AGAAACTCCTCCAACTGCCCCTAACAGTTCTTCTTCCTCTTCTTATTTCTTTTCCTCTGCATCCTGTCTCTTTTGAACCATAGATCTTATCGACATCTTCTTAACCCAACTACCATCATTAGTTAGGCTTCCAACCTCAAATGCCTACACTGCGAATGAAAGTTCTCTATTCCCAATAAACTCCCTAACTTTCCTTATGTCTTGAGAATCCTTCTTCAGGTCGCTAAGCCTTCTTATATGTCATGCTATCGGAAATCCAATTCCTCTTTGAAGTTTTGCTTTCATTATACAATTCAATTCCGTCTATAGTATTTACTCTCTTACCCTGTAGTATGAAAATGGCTTAGAATCTTTAAATTGGGGCTCTGTCTTGTTAAGGCCGAGAGATGGGAAATTATCCATAGTGTTTTATCAGCTATCTAAAATACATGTAAGGGATTTGAGGCAGTAATGTATTGTAAGACGATTTAATTATAGGCCCTTACTCCTAGCGTACTCTCCGATTTTTTCTTTAAGCTCTTTAACACTTTCGGAGATTTTTAAAACTTCGTTTACCTCCTTTCCTGTAAAAGACGGGCTATTAAAGCAGTCAACAAATATTGCAAATGCAACTTCTCCTCTCTCGATTTCATCTTTATCGTCTGAATCTAGCCCTATTTCCTTATTCTGAATCTCTATTTTCTCGATATACATAACTTCCATTCTGAAGAATTCAATTCTTATTCTGGTGCTTTTACTATTCATTCTAATGCCCTTGAGGAACATAGCTCTGGCACTTTCGATGTCTCCAACCTCAAACAGCTTGAATGCACAATATATCCAAAGATCAACATCTAGTGGATTTCTTGTACAGCACTCTGCAAACACATTTTTCATTTCCCCATACATTTTCTTTCCCATGACATAAGCGGTAAACTGTGAAACTATTCTTGGGTCATTGAATCTATACAGAGCAGATCGATATAACTCCACTATTTTTTTTGATATGTTCATGTCATGGAGTGAAAACCCAACATTCTTTTTCTTTACTCTTTTGTCTCTTATTTTTTCTAATATGCACTCGCTTTTTATATAGCGCATGAAATCTAAAAGTTTTTTTTCTGGCCTTTGAAGTCGGAGCTCATACTTTTTCCTTGTCTCTACTATCTTTCTTAACTCGTGTGGGGAGAAGATTCCTCTAGTCTTGTAGTCTTCCAACTCCGATATCATTCTTTCCATGCCTAGCTGTATACTTTCTACCATGGGCCTTTCTTTTTATTCTCTTCTTATTTTGTCTTAAACCAAATTTTTCTGAATTCCCATACTGGTCTCTCACCCATGCTCAAAAGAGTCGAGGAAGATGAAGTGGATATAAGAATCAAAAGGATATCTTTTGGCTTGTTATCACCGCGGGATATTTCGGGACTATCGGTGCATGAGATTTCGAGCAAGGATCTGTATGACATAAACACGAGAGTGCCTTTACCGAATGGCCCCTTGGACTTGAGGTTAGGTGTTGGAAACAAGAAGGACAAGTGTGCAACATGTGGAGAAGGATTGGCTACGTGTATCGGACACTTTGGAGAGGTGAAGCTGGTTCTTCCGGTTTTCAATATAGGGCTAGTTAAGAACACGATTTCTACGCTAAATTGTCTTTGCAAGAGCTGTGGATCCATCCTTCTTGGAGAAAAAAAGAAGATATACTTCAAAAAGAAGTTACGAGAGAGTAGTGGTGGAAACGACACCAAGCTTATTTTAAGAAAGATTATTGCGGAATGTAAGAAGGCGAATGTTTGCTTTGTATGCTCCTCTAGGAATGGACAAGTCAAGAAAACGTTTGGATTCAGAATGGTTCATGAGATTGAAGATCTTGAAAAGAGGAAAAAAGATAAAAATAAAGGATCGGGAGGAGTAAATTCTTCGGATTACGAAGAAATAAATCCTTTAATGGCGCTTAACATATTTAGGATGATGAAGGAAGACGACTACGAACTCCTTGGGTTTTCCGAGTCACCTGAACGACTTATAATACAAAGCATCATAGTTCCACCATCCTGCATTCGTCCAAGTGTATCTATGGATGATGAGGGAACAAATGAAGATGACATAACAATTAAAATAAGCGAAATTGTCCATACTAACAAGGTGCTTAAGGAAGGAATAGAAAAGGGAAACCCGCTAAACCTTATAAACGAGGATTGGGATCATCTTCAGCTTCAATGTGCACTACTCATCAATTCGGAGCTTCCCCAGGTAGGGATTCCCGGGCAGCCGATCCGAGGAATAGTTCAAAGGCTAAAGGGAAAGAATGGAAGATTTAGATGCAATCTAAGTGGGAAGAGAGTTGATTTCAGTGGAAGGACGGTTATCTCACCTGATCCAAATCTAAGCATCGAGGAGGTGGGGATACCGGAAAGAATGGCCAAGATATTGACTATTTCCGAAAGGGTCACAAGCTTCAATAAGAAGAAGCTGCAGGCTCTAGTGTTAAATGGCCCTGAAAAGTATCCGGGGGCTAATTATGTGGTTGGAGAGAAGTTCAAGAGGTTTTTGATGTATGGGAAGAAAGACACAGAACTCAAAGAAGGAGAGGTTGTCGAGCGACACTTACTGGATGGAGATATGGTTTTATTTAACAGACAGCCTTCTCTTCATCGGATGAGTATTATGTCTCATAAGGTTAAGGTTCATGGGAATAAGACTCTCCGGTTCAATGAGTGTGTTTGTACACCATACAACGCAGACTTTGATGGGGATGAAATGAATGTTCATGTTCCTCAAACAGAGAAAGCACGAGCCGAATCATCCATTTTGATGTCTGTTTCAAATAACATTGTCACGCCAAGACATGGAGAGCCGATTGTAGCTGCCACCCAAGACTTTATTACTGGATTATATTTGATAACTGGAAAAGATACCTTTTTCGATCGAGAGAGATTTGGGCAGCTTGTAAGCTATTTTTCAGAGACAAGAATCAGTATGAAACCAGCGATAAAGAAGCCTGTGGAGCTATTTACTGGAAAACAATTGGTAGAGGCTCTTATCAAGGACTCATTTGCTGCAAGTAGGGAGGATTACCGAAGTCCTTATGGTGGGTGCATTTCTCTCGTAGGTAAGAACAGATCATTCAAGACTCATGATGATCCTAACGACGGAAGTGTGATAATATTGGACAACCTCTATTACTTCGGGCGCCTTGACAAATCGATAATAGGAGGAGAAAATAAAAAGGACAGCCTTATTTATGCAATAATGAAAGTGAGTAATAAGGCTGCAATAAGAGTCATGAATAGCATAACGAAGTTATGTTCAAGATATCTTGGAGAAGTTGGTTTCAGCATAGGCCTTGACGATGTACAACCAGGGCCGATATTACGGCAAAAGAAGGAGACAGTTGTCGGAAAAGGATATTTGGAGTGCGAAAACAAGATTTTGGAATATTCGAAAAAATCGGAGTCCAGTGAAGAAATGCTGGAAATGGAGATATCTTCAATTCTCAACAGAATTAGAGAGGAATGTGGATCTATATGCATAAACGAGCTAAGTATCAGAAACTCTCCGAACACAATGCAAGCATGTGGATCCAAAGGCTCCAAAATTAATGTTTCTCAGATGGTAGCCTGTGTAGGGCAACAGATTGTGAGCGGAACCAGGATTCCAAATGGAATGGACGATAGATGTCTTCCCCATTTCCGTAAAGGATCGAGGACTCCTGAATCAAAAGGATTTGTACGGAACTCTTTCTTTGATGGACTAACGTCTCCAGAATTCTTTTTCCATGCAGTGAGTGGGCGGGAAGGGCTTGTTGATACAGCTGTGAAGACTGCAGAAACGGGATATATGCAAAGACGTCTTATGAAGGCTCTTGAGGATCTAAGTGTCCAGTACGACGGTAGTGTTAGGAATTCAAATATGGAGGTGGTCCAGTTTTCCTATGGTGAAGATCAGATCGACCCCGTAATCTCGGAAGGAGATGATCCTGTTAATCTTGAAAGGGTGTTTTTGCAAGCCAAGTCTGTTTTTTTGCATCAGCTCAATTCGGGTCGGTTCTCGCATTCTCTTCAACCAGAAAGTTGCGATGTGATTGATAGCCTCAGAGAACTAATACCTAAGGGATATCCCATTGAGCGCATGATTAACAAAAGATTTGTAAAAAGCCTTCAGGAGCTCATAAAATCTAAGAGTGAGGAAAGATTCTCTTTTGATGGGACTTCTTTCCCATATTTTTCATCCAGGGACTTTGTAAGAACATTTTTCTTCATGGTATCGCAAAAAATGATGGATTTGATTATCGAGCCCGGAACAACAGTTGGAGCAATAGCTGGGCAGAGTATTGGAGAGCCGGGAACCCAGATGACACTGAAAACATTCCACTTTGCAGGAGTAGCCAGTATGAACATCACCCTTGGTGTTCCAAGGTTGAAGGAGATAATTAATGCTGTTTGTAACATTAGTACACCCATTATAAATGCAGAACTAAATGATTCACAGAATCTGTTTGCTGCTGAGGTTATAAAAGGTAGGATTGGCAGAATTTCCCTGAAGGATATATGTTCTTCGTTAACAGAGGTTGTTGATAAAGAAGAAATATTCCTCGACATTGCCATAGATTTGGAAAGCCTTTCTCGCCTAAAGTTAAATTTAGATATTCATAAAATTGAGAGGTTGTTAAGTCTTCATGACCAAATAAGGATTGTAGGTAATAATGTCCTCAGGGTATTTATCAAGAAGATCACTGACCAGAGCTACTTCAACCTTCAAAAGATCAAGAAGAAATTGCTGGGCACAAGAATATGTGGAGCACCCCAAATAAGCAGGGTGATTATAAATAGCAATAAGGGACAGTATAGTCTGGTGATCGAGGGGACTGGACTCTTGAGTGTTATAAACACAGATGGAATAAGGTGCAGTAGTGTGACTAGCAACAGTGTAACGGAAGTAGAGGAAGTATTGGGGATTGAAGCGGCAAGGGCCCAGATAATCCACGAGATCGAATATACTATAAGCAACCATGGGATCAAAATAGATCCAAGGCATATAATGCTCCTGGCAGACACAATGACATATAGGGGAGAAGTATTTGGAATAACAAGGTTTGGAATCTCAAAGATGTCCAGATCTACTCTTATGTTAGCATCTTTTGAGCAAACCAGTGATTATTTGTTTGAGGCAGCTGCACAAAACAAATCCGATGAGATATGCGGTGTCAGCGAGTCCATAATTCTTGGAATTCCAATCTGCATTGGTACTGGGTCCATTGATCTGTACTGGAGGCGCGATTCTTAGACATTTTTTAAAAAAGAGCTCTTCTAATGTTTGTGTCTGTTATCCCATTAAATGTCGATACATGAGATAGGCAAAGCCATCGGGAGATTTGCCTCTCTGCGAAGAGCTAAGACCGATTGGGACAATGTAGGTGTGATAATAGACTCTGGAGTAGAAGACAATAAAGTACTCTTAACAATTGACCTGACAGAGCCTGTACTGGAAGAATCCATCGAGCTTGGTATTAAGAACATTATTGCATATCATCCCATAATATTCAAGGCCATAAAGAAACTTGGGCCCAAGGAATCTATTGTTATTAGATGCATTAGCAATGGAATCAGCGTTTTCTCCCCACACACTGCATTAGATCCATTGATGAACAACTATATATATAGCTTGATCAATAACGGGGCTTTTCTTTATAAAAAGAATTACGGACCTAATACTTCAACCATAGAGAATGCTATTTCTATTCTCAAGGAGAAGAGCGGAATAAGGAATTTCCGGATATGCTTAGCAAGAGGGCATACAATGGAAAGTGTCCCGGAATCCATGTATGTTGGTGTTGGAGCAACATTTCGCAACACACCTCTTAAAAACTCAATTGTTGTTACTGGAGAAATGTCCCACCACGACCTACTGTCGTGCATTGCAAACAATGCAACTGTTGTTCTGATGGAACACAGTAATAGTGAACGAATATGTCTGGAACACATTTCCGGCAAACTACAGGAGGAGCTCCCCGATTACAAGATTTTTATTTCAACCAGAGACAAAGATCCCGTTACAATAATATGAGTGCCCGATGGTGTGTGGATTGGAATCATATTTCCTAAAAAATTTTACCCTCGAAGATGGAATATGTTGCAGCCTATGTCATGTTTGATAAGGTAGGGAAAGAGCTCAACGAGAAATCAATGATGGACCTGTTTGATGCGATAGGTGGTAAGGTTGAGCCTGAGACGATGCGCCTATTCCTTTCCAAAGTTGCTGGGAAAAGCATTGACGAAGTAATGTCAAAGGGAAAGGAGTTTATGGCATCCCTTGCAATTTCATCGGCCCGAGAGCAAGCGCCTGCTCAGTCTACAGATGCATCGGCACCATCTCAAGCCGCTGAAACCAAAGATGAGGAAGAAGAGGATTTCGATATCTTTGCTGCGTTTTAATTAAAATGACCTTCCTAAATTTATTTTCTACATTCTTTCTGTATTTTTCTTTCCAACTGGGTTGACTTGAAAATACAAGCGATCCCTTCTATGAGCGAATGCGAGTACTGTAAGTCTAGGAAGATGCTTCCTCTTAATGGAAAATACTACTGCGAGGAGTGTGAAATATACTACGTATACAAAGATGGAAGACAGCAATATTCCAATCTTCCTATTGAGGAAATAAGTCAAATATCTGTTGGAGACCATCTTTGCAAAAAATGTAGACTGAAGTACTCTGAGAAGAAGTCCATTGTGTGCACTACATTTCGTGAATACTTCAAGAAGCTTCCTTTATGTAGAAAATGTAAGCAAAACAATCAGAAATGCATAAAGAACACCTTCTTCCAAAACTTCATACTTTACAGAACTTACAGCAGGGTTTTTTCGGTCCAATCTGTTGTGTTCCACAGTATATGGCTTTATTTAATGGGAACCATGTTCCTTAGTAAGCTTATCATCACTAACTTAATTATTTACAAAAGAAAAGGACTCAAGCTTTTAGAATGTTTAATGAGCTCTATTCTCCTTATCCCTCTTGGATATTGGAGTTGGGGTACCACCGTTTTCTATTTATATTGCTTCCTTACAATGGTTTTTTCTAAAAGATGGTATTATAAGGTTCCTGTTAATCTAGATGGGCCTCCTCCAAACATTTTGAAGTATTTAGAACATCTCAACATAGGCCGAAAGAAAGACGGATAGGAATGCCCTTGCAAAGTTCAATAGAAATGTCCAATGATAAATATAGTTAGGATTTATTCAACTTTTTGCTTCTTCACAGGAGCTTCATCGCTATCCTTAGACTTCTCCTTATCAAAAGTTTCTTCCTCCCATTCTATCTCAAATAGATTGATTACGGGAGGATCCATAAGCTTCACCTCGATTTGCTTCTTATCGATCTTGTAGCCACAGTATTCGATTATATCTTTATCTTCATCATCTTTTTCTGTTTCTTCCGCTACACCTTTATTAAGTTCTCTGTTAATCTCCGAGTAGGAATCCGACTCTACTTTTTCATTTTTCTCTTCTTCTTTTCCTTCGGATTCAAACACCCTTTCCTTTCCTTCTTTAACTACTTCTTCTACAGCTTCCATAAATGTTCTCGGCTCTGTCTCTTCTTCTTTCTCTTCATCCTTGTCCAAATAACTTGAGTCATCGGTCTCTGTTTCTCCTTCAGAACTTTCTTCTCCTTCTTCTTCTTCCTCCTTATCTCCAATCTCTTCTGATGGCTCCTCAACGTCATTCTTCACAAGCTTACTGCTAGGAATTCCCGGGTAGCTTACATCGACAATATAGCCGATTCTAATAAACTGCCGTCCTTGGTACTTCCCAATTATGAGAATAGACGTCAATCCAAACAGTTCGTCAAGCGGTATTCTATCTACATCAGGGGCATTTGCATCAATGCTAAACTCGATCTTCCCCTTAGGTATAGGTGCAACTTCGATTTCTGCGAGTACCTGGTCATTTTCGTCTGAGTGTACATCCATGTTGTACAAAACGACAAACTCGACTCCACGCTTTATTTCATTAGAACATGCAAACCGAAAGTTGAATTTGAGAGGGTCCATCAATCTCCTTACGGTGTTATCAACTTCAACGCTTTTGAGCTTCAAGTATCCCATTGTTCCTGAAAGAAGGATCAAATTTTTAAGCTTAAAAACGAAAACACAGTGAAAGGCAAACATAAAAAATTTCTGGCCATGGGCTAATTATGCCAGAAAAGGTTGAAAAGAAGGACTATAACTATCATTCTTCGAAACTTGAGGATTTGCTTCTCCGTCTCCCTTCCGAGAATAAAGGGGAAAGAATCAATCTTGAGGGCTGCATCCTGCAGGCTTTGGAAATCTTGTTTGGCAAGTCAACAGACTATCTAATCCTTGGACTAAAAGCATGCAAAGCCCACAAGCTCGGCCTCTTTCATAAAGAATCCATCAAAGACTTCATGAAGAAAAACGAGCTAGTAAACGGGTATGTGGGGTCTTTCTTTGCCTGGTTGGTGGATTTCTTTCCAATAAGTTTTGTTGAAATACTTTTTGAGGAAGAGGCTACAATCTTTAAGCACTACACAAAGGTTCTTATGAAGCTTTATAAGAGTCCGAAAGTTACAGAATCTAGATTGGCGACTGAAAGACAGGATTTTAACACTTTAAGTTGCATTACAAAACCTAAGATAGCTGGGTTGATTAGATATCCAGGGGTTGTGACCTATTTAACTAAGAATTTGATGTATATGAACGAGGAGGAAAGATTGTTTTTAATCAAAAGATATTTGAAGCGGGAAGACTTCGAATACTATCTTAATACGCTCATTGATAGGTCCCAAACTCCAGAAAAATATAGAGCAGATCTTGATGAATATCTTAAAAATGGAATTCTTGAAGACAGATCTGGAAAATATTCCGTGTTTATGAGAGTCTACAATTTCATAAAGAAAAACAATCATAAAACTATCGAAGATGTTGGAGTAGTTGAAAGAGTGTTTGACGGGTATAGCGTAGAGGAGTTCCTTCAAAGTGACATTGGTTTAATCTTTGTTACTCAAACCATAGAATATATAGGAATATATTCTGGAAGTGTGCAAAAGTGTAGGGACATCATATCTAGAGCCCTGAAATCCGATATTCCAAGAGATATAAGCAAGACCTTATGGAATACCTTAATCACAAATAGAAGAGTATTTTTGGAATGCATAGAAAAGTTCAAGATCTTTGAAGATGAGGATTTGGCGAGAATTCTTATTTATAGAAGAAGTACTTCCAAAGAAGAAGGCCCATCGATCTACAAATCGATAAGCTATGGAGATGGCATTTATAGAAAAGAGGCCGTAGAATATGTAGTGGAATCTTTTTCAACACAGGAAATAACAAATGTGATGCTTAAACAAGATAGCGACGAAAGAAGTTTTTTGTTGGAATGCATTTACAGAAAGGCTCTTCTAGGTGAGTTTGATTTTAGAATATTTGAAATCGAAGACGAAGTATGGGTGGAAAAGACCTACGATGAAATATTCAAGACCTTAAGCCACAATATCTATGACTCCTTGGTTGAGAAAAGACCGGAATTACTGTTTGATTATTGCTTTAGACATAGAGACCTTCGTAGAAAGTACTTTGAAGAAATAGATAAAGAAAACTGCACAATCGAAGAGGGTATATGCATCCATAAGATCCTAAGACACGAGTCAAAAATGCTAAAAAGTTTGAAATCCAACAAATCATATGCAGAAGCAGTCTATGGAGATACCAATGAAGGGAATGAAATATACATGATGAGTACTCTCATGGATCCCATACCTTCTTCGAATATTGTTGAGTTCATTTATCTCCTTACATTAATACGTCCCGAAGATGCAAAGTATTATATGTGTGAATATTTTGAAGAGATATGTGAGCAGGCTACAAACTGTTTAAAGGAAGAAAGCTCTTTCGATAGTACAGACTATTCAAAGGTTCTTAGCCTTGGAGATCTGAGCTTAATGTACTTGGTTCCGTTCCATCAGATGATTGAAACAATGTTTTCGGTTCATCTAAGGAATAGGTATCTGGTCTATACAATCATGGACTCACTCCTTGAATCCATAGTTGGGGGAGTCCAAAATCTCCGATTGATCATTTTGAAAAGTATGGACTCCAACAGCGTTACATCCCATCACATTGTCAAGTACATTGACACTCTCACACCTCTTCTCCACAATTCCAACATCCAGATATGCAATGAAAGTAGAAGGCTTCTTATGGAGATCCCCATCATAACTCCAGAGCTGGTCTGTCTTAAATCCCAGATGGTTCAATCAATAATAGATAAGATGTATGCCAAGTCCTTCTTCAAATCGATTAGAAGACAGCAGTTTAACCATTATCTTTGCTTTAATACCTTGAACATGCTTGTTCAGACTCTTACCATGCATATCAAGGAACTTAAAGAGGATGTTTTTCCGATCCTCTCCAGTTTGGAGTTTATTGCCCATCCTCAGGACCTAAAGCTAGTATTCCCTGTTATATTCGAAAGCCTATCTTCATTCGTTATTGAAAATGCATTTTATTTGGACGAATGCTGTAGCGTTGTAGCATCTCTTATGAAATTTGGAGGGGATATTTCCTTTGATCGATTGATTGATAATATGGGGCTTTCTCTTCGAGTTAATAAGTTTTTAGTAAGGTGTCTTAAAGCTTCCAATAATGAAATTGCCGAGAGTGTTATTAACAGAATAATAAGAAAAGGATCTGGTGATGTAGACATTAGAGAAGATACAGGGGAGGGTTCTCTCTATGTAGAGCCTTTCTTTCTTGCCTATGCACCCGAGCTTCCTATTTTCAAGGAATATCTCCCAATCTTCAAACCTCTTCTCAAGAGACTATTTCTTAGCTCTGACACTATGAAGCAAGAAATAGCGTCAAAGGCCTTTGAGTCGATGGACATTCTAGAATTTCTTCTAACTTGTTGTATTATCGGGCAATGGAAAACAAGGCTTCTTTGCATAGAGCTGTTTGACAAGAAGGGTGGAGAAGATAGCCGAGTGCTGGCAATGCTGTTTATCTTAAGAAATGATACACACTCAGCACTTCGGAAAAAAGCTCTAGACATATGGAAGTCCAAAGTGGTGAACACTAACTCGGCATTAAAGGATATTTACAGGACCATTCTTGGATCCTTAGGATACAAGGAAAGCTCCAGTCCATTTCGTGATTCTATCATGGGTGCTCTAAGTGATTTAATCACAAAATATAGTGGATATGTTGAGAAATATCTAGAAGATGCCATGAATGAAGAGCATGTCGGGAGTAATGACAATTCCATATCCAATCCACTAGGGCTGAACAAGTGCGAGGAAGGGCTAAAGATTATCTCGAAGAAGGAGGTACTTGAAGTAATACTAATGGAATGCGTTAAGTCAGGTAAGTATATGAACCAAGCATTGGATTTCAGCATCCAAAACTCGTCGACGGATATTTTCCGGTTGCTCCTCCAAATCCCATCGTACAGAGAAAAGGTAATTGAAATAGTGGGAAATAGAATAGATGACCTGGTAATGTCTGATCTATTTACCGGAGATAGCCATTTAGGAATTGATCTGTTTAAAATGACAGGAAAAACCTCCTTGTTCAAGTTTTTGAAGAATTCCGATAAGATGAGTCTCCTTGAGTCTATGCTTATCGAAAAGGAGCCAAATACGGCCCATATAAAAAAGCTTTTGAAATGCATGAAGCCGTCTGAAAAGCTGGAGAAATGTCTTTTAGTGTCTGATCCTTTATACACATCAATATTTTACGGATCTGGAGAAAAAATGGATGATCAAGGCCATCAAAGAGAGTTATTCATCAGGGCGTTTAACACCCTGAATTATCAAGAGTTGAAGCCTTTGATCATTCCCGACTACCTAAATCTCCTTCTGGATGTTTCATATAAGAATGTCAACGATTCTCAATCGCTAATCAAAATCCTCTGCACCACAAATTCCCTGAGGGCATTGGAAAGGCTAAACTACGTTGTTTCCGACATGGAAATTGAAGACTCGCTCTTTGTTTTGAGTGGCCATCTTCTTCGAAACTATCTTTCCTATGAGAAAAGAGAGGCAGTTCTTCCATCCCTCAATCTTCTATACAAAAGATACAGTGCCAAGCTTGGGGTCTTCGGTCTGATGATTAGGCGTCTTCTTGATGATAGCGGATATCTTTGAATAGGAATTCTATCGGTGTTTTCAACCGTACAAATAAAAATTTATGATCCCAGCCATAAGATGATTCTTACAAAGATGGCTGAAAGAAAACTAGACTCTACGCCTACGTCTCTGTACTTGAGAAATGGTAAAATATATGTAGGTCTTAAGAAGAAATATGCTATTGAAACCGAATACGATGTTCTTATCCTTAAGAAAATACCCGTGGAAGAAAACATTAGAGCTATAGTTGGACACGAAGAAGGCCTTCTTTTCTTTCTGGACAAGGGTGGTCTCTATGGTCTTTCGTGGGGTGATGATAATGCTGCAAATAGAATTTTATTCCGGAAAAAGATTATAAATACCGGACTTTATGATCAGTCTTCAGGACGTGTTGTTATTGGCACAAGCAAAGGAAAAGTCCTAGTACTTAACCAGTCTCTTGAAATAAGTAAGACTTTCTATGAATCGCCGTCGGGGATCATTAACCTTTCTGTGTCCGATTTGGGTAAGGTGGCCTGCATCTATGAGGTTGACTCTTCTGTGAAGGTGTTCGACTTAAAACATCCTGAGGTCAAGTCCGTAAGCCTATCCAATGGATTTCCGCAAGCTATTGCGTTTGTTGGTAGCACTCATTTGGTAGTTGGAGGAGATTCTGGAGAACTTTGTGTTGTCGATACAACTGTTATGAGCATTGTATCCTCCTTAAAGATTCCTCAGGCAGTCACTGTTCTCCTTTGGAAGGACGGATATCTACTCATTGGGGGAGAAAACATATTATACCTGTCTTCTGTTACAGAAGACCACATTGAGATTATAGATAGTTATGAATGTAATGGATTTGTGAATGCAGTCACTCTTGAAGACGGGTACGCTGTAGTTGGTATTGGAAAAGAGCCAAGGCTTGGAAGATGGAAGGTAAAAAAGAATGGAGAGCACAAGCTGATTGTTCTGAAAGTAGGGTAGTTATCCGAATGGAGGATTAGTAGGACTTCAAACAAGAACTTGGGGATACCCTAATGAAGATATCGTATATAGAAGGTGGGCTTCTTGTTGTTGAGCATGGAGAAATAGACAAGTGCCTAAATAAGCTGATTATGTTTGATCTTGACATGACACTGATCTCAAAAAATACTGGTCAAACTTCTAAAGACTGGGAATACCTGTTTCCGCAAGTGCCTATGAAGATCAGAGAACTAAGTAAGCAAGGCTATTTTATTGGAATAGCTTCGAACCAGTCTCAGCTTATTCGTCTCAATGTTCTAGAGGAGTTTGTGGAGAAGGTATGCAATATCTTAGCCGATCTAGATGCTCCAATTGTCTTTCTAGCAGCATTGGAAAGGAATGAATATAGAAAGCCGTCGACAGGGATGTATGAATACATATGCCGAGAATATGTTGATGAATCAAAGATAACTAAGAAAATTTATGTTGGAGATGCCGTGAATTCCTCTCTTGGTCCTGGGCACACAAACTCATGCGATAGTAAATTTGCACACAATGCAGGAATGGAATTTAAGCATCCAGACGAGTTCTTCCGGGGAACTAAGTTAGTGTATTTTCATGAGAATTTTGACATTAGAAAATATAGAGAAGGAAGCTTCGAAACCGATGGCGAAAAGAAAATAATATTTGTTTTTGGAAGGAAAAAGCATTGTGGAAAGAGGTTCTTTGCCAAAAAGTATTTCCCAAACCATAGGATCATTAATGAAAAAGCATTTTCCAACATTCAGGAGAACTGTATACTGATTAACTGTGGAGACAGGCATTTAATTGAAACAATTATGGCCAGATATCCCGAACAGTATTCGATGTACTACCTAAACTATCCAAACGAGGTAATGAATTATCTAAAAACCCTGGCAGTTCTTTCTGGGGAAAAGGAAGAAGAGTTTGTTCCACTAGATGCTTGTACATTCAGTATAATTGAGAAGTACGGGGTAAAGGTCCCCTTTATATTTGATAGCTCCGGATTTGATGAGAAAAAGACAAAATTATCTAGGATGCAGCTGTAGTAATGCTTTATCCATTGCTCCTCTTAAATCTCCTCCCTGGCTATGGCGTTTTCTAGTATTTTTACTCTCTCTCGAACACTTGGAATTAAACTATAAAACTTCTTTTTCACCCTTTCACTTTTGTTACAAAAAACATTCTTTTCATAGAAATCTCTAAGGAATTTTACTCTGCCTGGCTCTATCAAACCTTCACAGTGATATCTTTCTTCTCTTTTGGAGTTTTTATAGAGCCCCAGACCCCAGGTAGAAGATGGTTTACTTCTTTTTGATCGATCTTCTTGGCTTGAAACATCCACTTCTTTGTTTTCGGATAAGAAAAAGCCGAGAGTATTCATTCTACCTTTGTTCTCCTCCAAGATATGTTTAATCAAACCCAGTAGACCAATTACAAGAAATATACAAATTTCTTAAGTTAGATTGGACACTCCGCTGTTTTGTCTTCATACCTAAAACATCTCTGAGGTTCAAATTAGAGAAGAGAAAGAAAAGAAGGATGATCAAGGTCCTTCTTGGAATAAGCTTTCTGTTAAGAAGTGTAAGGAGTACAAAAAATATAGCCCTTGAGAAGAGTTTAACACCATTTCGTAGATACTGCCAATCGGGATATAAATTCCCCGAAAAAGCAGAAAACTACAACCTCGAAAAGTTGTTTGTAATATTTAGACATGGTGCTAGAGCTCCGGTGCGAAATCTCACCAGGGAATGGGACAACCAGGAATGCATGCCCTGCAACTTCAATGATAATGTAATATCAGATTGTAAAAGAAAGAAGTGCTCTGAAGGAGACCTAACTCATAGAGGATTTGCCCAGATGATCACTCTTGGAAAATTCATAAAGAAAATTTATAAGCCACTTCTTTTCGATAAGCAGGTAAAGATGGAAAATATAAAGATGAGAGCTACAAAGATACCTAGAACGCATTCTTCTCTAGCTGGAGTTATAAGAGGCCTTACAGGAGACACCGAAATAGGAAATGTAGAAGTGCCTCAGAAAGACGATTCCCTTCTGAACACCCTGGGATGTGCTTCTACAAAGGAGAGAGAAGATGTCACAAGGCTCTTTGACAAGCCGAGTATAGTTCAAGACAATCAGACCTTCTCTCGGCATCCAAAACCACAGGAAAGGGCAGATCATTACTACACAAGTTTATGCAGTAGGGTAAACGTGGATTGTGCGGAGTTAAACTGTAATATAAAAAATGTGGAAGACCATATGAAGTCTGCAAACGATGCCTGGACATATATGGCAACAATTGGATCGAAAAACGTAGAGAATAGAAAACGTCTATTTGGAAGGTTTGCAAGGGATCTACTCATCGACATCGGAGAGGAAAAACAGATACTCCTTTATTCTGCTCATGATTCCTCTATGAGTGCAATACTTGTGGGCCTTGAAACAGACGTATTAGAATGGCCTTCATATGCATCTGCACTATTTATCGAAATATGGTGTAACACAGGAAAGCAGTATGTTAGAATGGTGTTTAACAACAGAGTTGTAAAGCCAAAGTCTTTTCTAGATGATTATATCCCAATAAGAGATTTCATGGAATTGATAAAGAGTAGTTCTGCTTCCAATCCTCAAGAAAAGACTTCCGAAAGCTCAAACATTGAGGAAAACAAAAATGCAGAAGAAGATAGATCTGAGAAGAGATGAACTTAGTATCATCAATAATTTTGTAAAATAAAACAATATCAACCAATAAAACAACTCATTTACTTCTTCCTATAGTCCAATCTAGTTTCTAGTTTCTTTGCATCTGCTATTTTCCTAACAGACTTAACAAAATCTTCATGTTTTACATAGTCTCTTTCGTCCTTCAAGGCAATCATACCTGCCTCCGTACATACATTTCTTAGATCTGCTCCGTTGAATCCTGCAGTTAGCTTCACCAATGAATCGTAATCAATTTCTTCAATAGCATTCATGAGTTTAGAATGAATCTTTAACACCTCCTTCCTCCCTTGTTCGTTAGGAAGTGGGATTTCAATCTTTCTGTCAAGTCTTCCAGGGCGAAGAAGTGCTGGGTCGAGTATGTCTGGCCTGTTTGTTGCCATAATAACCTTGACATTGTCGAGCTCATTAAACCCATCCAGTTGGTTGAGAAGCTCCATCAGAGTTCTTTGGACTTCCCTGTCCGAGGAACTGGACTCTCTGGATCTTTTTCCTCCAATAGCATCGATCTCGTCCATGAATATTATGCACGGCGCCTTCCTTTTCGCATAGGCAAACATCTCTCTAATCATACGCGAAGACTCTCCAATGTACTTCTCAATTAACGCAGAAGACACTACCTTCAAAAAATTCACATCCATTGTGGCTGCAACTATCCTTGCTAGTAAGGTCTTTCCTGTTCCAGGAGGTCCATACAGAAGAACCCCCTTAGGAGCTCGTACTCCAATTCTTTTGAATATATCTGGATTTTTCAAAGGGAGTTCTATCACCTCCCGAAGCTCTCTTATCTGGTCCTTAAGGCCTCCAACAGATTCAAAGGAAATGTTGTCTCCAGGGCTTTCTTCCCCCATCGAATGGATCATTGGATCCACTTCTCTGGGAAGTACCACCATAATCGTAAGAGTTGTGATGTCCAATGCCACCCTTGTTCCTGCTGTTATGTTCCTTCTGTCTATTGCCTTCATGCATCCGACAACGTATCTTGGCCCCTGGCTACTTTTGACGATGAACTTCTCGTCACTTAATTTTTCTAACACTTCGCCTATTATATGTCCCACTGTTTGTAGGGCCTTGACGTCATTTTCACTCTTCAGGTAATGTTTGTGAGTTTGCTTATATACCTCCTGCTCCATTTTCAATGCCTTGTATGCTTTTTCATTACTAAGCAAGGCTTGTGTATATTCTTCATAAAGCTTGTTTTTATCCTCCTGAAACATTAAAGGGCTCCACCTAACATGATTTACACATACATTTGACCCCACATGGAGGAGTATGAAATTTTGGAGATATACAGAGAAATATCGTCAAAAGGCACCTATGACTTCAAGATGTTTTTGTTTGATGGGAAAAAGATCTCGGTCAAGAAGGTTTCCGACGAAATGAAATCCAGGGTAAGAAAAGGAATGTGTTACAAAAACGACTGGATCTTGATTCAGGAAGATGAGGATGGAATAGTTTTCAAGGTTATTGAGCCAAGAGCTTATTCCTATGCATCTCTTTTTAAAAAGAAATTTGACTCAGATGCTTATCTCACCATCAGAGGAAATGAAGGCCCGGTTGGTTCGGGACTTTCCGAGAAAACAATTCCGAAGGACCCCAGTAAGCCAGAGCAATCTCCTGCTTCTGTAGTTCCAGAGGAACTTCCAGAAAGAATTCTTCTCCCGTTTCTGAACGATACCCTTCCCTATAGTGTCCTTGAAATACCTGTAATGAACAAGGATCTACTTAATGGACAAAAGGTTAAATCCAATGAACTTGTTTTGCCTGATTCCTTCAATCCCGTTGACGTGAACAGATGGAATAACCGGAGTTCTCGCCTCTCTCCAATAATTGGAAGGGTCATATACAAAACTAGAATGAGCTCTGTAACTTATACCCGAAAATATCCCTATTATTTTTTTATTCTTCAGACTTCCAGACTAAACATCATCAAAGTGTTTGTTTGGGGAGAAGACCTCCCATATTCCTCCATGAAAGTTGGAGATAAAATCTGTTTGTCCAAGTGTAGGAAGAAACCTAACATTGAAGGCCCTTCTATTGTCGAGCATAACAGATTTACAGAGGCAAGGTATTTTCGATGTAAGGAGGTTAGTGCTAAGGAGATATTTAGAATTGAGTTGAACGAACCGAAGGAAGCATTTAAGTCAATATTTTCCGATGCATCGGGAAAGGTCGAATACCTAAGTGTTTTGAATAGGAGATGTTCAGGGTTTCTCGAAGAATACTATTTGATCCGAATGGGGAAACATAAGATCCTTTTGTTCTACAATTCATCTAAGGAATTCCATGAGATCGAGGTTGGAAAACATGTTAGAATCACCAATCTGAGGATTTCAAGGCGTGGAAGATCGGAGTTTTATATTTCTACGATCTATACACAGATCGAATTCAGCGATGGCATTTCTTCTCCTCTTGTGATACAGGACGGGGATATTGTCTCAAAGCTTGATGACGAGGGGAAAGATACCAGAAAAAGAAGCAAGATGGCAACGAATTTTGAGGAGTCTGAAGACGAAGACAACTTCTTGGAAAAAAAAGAGAATAGTTCCTTTCAATGTAACCTTATATTTGGAGCCATGGGGTATGTTCCGGACGACTTCTCGAATATTGAGGAGATGTATCTGTCTAGGAAAGAGGAGATATCTGGAGAGATGTGCGAGATAGTTCCTTTCATGCCGCCTTTGGAAATAAATCTGAAGGACATTTACGACGAAGCGGAAAAGCTGATGCTAAATGAGTCGAAGAAATTCATAGTTGATGGAATGCTGGTTGATGTTGATTTTTCAAACTTCATATTTGATGAACCACCAACTCTCATGGATGGTACATCTGTAACCTATTTCTGTAACGGAGCCTTAACCCACCAACTCCCGGGATATGTAAGTATATGCAACGAGATAACGATTGTTGTTTACTTGTTCAACAACTTCTGGATGGACGAGTTTGACTTAGAATCATTGTATAAGCTGGGTGGATGCTCCTCACTTGAAGAGTTAAAGAGCATGAGAGGAAGAGAAATGAAATTTGTGATTGATGCCTTTCGAGCTTCAGAAGAAACTGTGATATTTTGTTTAACTAAGGTTTTTAAATAGAAACAAAGGAGACTTTTGAGTTTTGGGTCTATGAAATTTCGTGAGATTTCCCTCCCTATCGATGGCCGAATTTCATCCAAGCCTATTCAGGAGAAAGAATCGGCCCGAAGACATTTCTGAGGCAGTGACAGAGGTCAAGTCTACATCAATACCACAGAACACACTTTATGAAGAACCCTTAGTCTCACAGCATCGGGCAAAGAAAAAGTATGTGACAGTGTACGGATTCACAGCAGGAAACCTCGATGCAGTGATGGATACTGTTAAGTCCTGTGGAGAAGTTCTAGAAGTTGAATATGGAAGGAACTGGATAAATGTTTTGTTCGATAACGAAGACAGTATAAAGAGATGTCTGAGACTAAACACTACGATGATCGAGGACGAGATTGTGGGGACTTTCAGACAAGGAGGAGGAATTATTGATTCCAGCGATATTTTTGTAAGGAAGAAGGGGGTTTTTACGTCTATAATGGAATATCTGTTTGGAGATTAAATCTGCTTCTTTAGAGCTTCTTGCCAACGATGTTGTTCAATTACTGAATGGTTTCCGAAGGATATTTGAAATTCCCTCCGGTTTCACCCAGGAAGAATGGATTATGAGCCTGTAATGAACAAGCTCATAAAAAAAGTAGTAAGGAAGTTTTACGAGCCCCAACATGTAGTTATTACTGACATTCTGCTTCATAAGACTCTTCTCTACGATGCGGAGCTCTGCGGGAGGATGAAGATGCTTTCGAAGGAAGTTAATCGTCTGATAATAAGACTGAAGGAAGATAAGATTGTTAAGTATGAGACAAAGGTGGAAAATAGAGAGGACAATGGACAAGTTCTTCGCACTGTGTATTACATAAACTATGCAGAGGTCCGAGACGTCATCAAGTATAAGATATTTAAAATGACAAAGAATCTAGAGAACAATATAAAGATGGCACAGACAGAAGGATATATATGCATGGAATGTGGGCGGGAGTACAGTTCTTTGGATGCTCAGAGTCTTATGGAGAACTATGTGTTCAAATGCGAGGATTGTAAAGGAGATCTTGCGGAAAACAAGAAGGATAGGAGCGCCGACTGCACGATGTATTCCAACTTGATGTCCGAGCTGGATGATATTATTCTCCTCCTGAAGGAAACAGACAAGTTCAGCATCCCGTCTTTGGACTATTTCCAAGTTCTTCAGATGAAGAAAGAAAAGGAAACCAAACAAATGCCTAGCAAAAAGGAAGAGCAGGTGTCTGAGATGGCGCTTCCTGTTGTGGAGGAGTTTGAGATGGGAGAGTCCTACACTGCTAGTGATAGGGAAGATCAAAAAAAGGAAGTGAAGATAGAAGAATACGTTACAGTGAACGGAACCAAGAAACTGTTCTCCGATGTTACTGAGGAAGACAAAGAGATGATGAACGAGGCTGAATATGAAGAATATTATGATATCTATTCTAAATACTATGACAATGGAAACTGATAGTAAATGTGAAGTAAACTCTAACTTATTATTTTTGAAATATTTTAGGAGAAGGATGGGACTTTCTATGGATGAAAACAGCAGGATGAAGGTAGAATCTTTTGAAAGGTTGGATGAGGAGAGAAGAAGTGTTGAGGAATACTTTCCGGCAGAAAATATCTCGAACTTGGAAGTGAACAGGATTATGGAGACTATCGACATGGTAAAAAGAGAAGCGGCCAAAGATTCAGAAACTCTTTCCAAGGCTATTCACGAAGCTACTGAATGTTTAGATCTACTCCAGGGACTTTTAAGGTGGGGTGCGCAATCACTAGAAGAAGGATCAGACCTTATGAGGAATATACTTATTTGGCTTAGAATCCGAAGGTCTCGTTTTAGCATTGCCACTGTTGAGATTTTAGAAGGGTTTTTGAAGCTAGGCTCTAACCAAATTGATGAAGACTTGAGCCAAGAGGAAGAAGAATATCTTGTTAGAATACTTGAGGAAATCAGAGAATACATAGAAGAGAATATATTGGGATGCAATAGAGATTCCATCCGTATGTTTCTCTTCCGAATCTTTCTTAAGTCAAGCAAGGCTGGAGACACCACGAAAGTGTTTGCCTTTGAGTTATATTCCCGAGTTGCCATACCTGCCCAGCACGAGGAGTTTGGGGTCATTATTCATGAAATAGACAGCTTAGACCTATTTAGTATTGGAGAAATGAATTTCAGAGACTACACTATTCTGAAGATATACAGAAATGTAGTGTTCCGAGAGTCGAAGATAATTGAAGAGAGCCATGACCGTTTGGTCAATATTCTGTTCGAAAAGCTCCTTTCTTATCTTCCTAGCCGTAGCTCCGAGCGCGCCTTTTCACTAATTAGCTATTCTTCTTCTTGTTCTCAGATCCTATGTGTATCTCTATCACTCTGCTACTTGAAAGAGCTGAGTGAAAACAGAAAGAGCCTTGACTCCAAACTTCTGATTCTTTTTATTGAAAACATGGTGAGGATTGGGAGGAAAAAAGAGTATGGGGAGGAGGAAATTGCATATTTCAAATGTAAGTTTGGAAGCCTTGAGCCTCGGGTGGCTGTGCTCAGAGTTATAAAGTCCTTTGTGATTTTACTACTACGGATAATAGATCAAAAAGAACATAAATCCCGAATAAAAGCAGCCAAGGTTCTTTGTGGAATTCAGCTCCATGGAATGGCAATTGGAAGAAAAATGTTTCTGAAAATCTTGAGGATTGCAAGAAAGTACATGGAAGACAGACGGGTTACCATTATGAAGGGAGTGATAAACATTATTGGCCAGTTTGATCTGGCTGCTTTGGCTAAGGAAATGCAAAGAATACACTCTATCTTGGCAAAGAAGGAAATGTTTGATAAAGTTAAAGATTCCTTTCAAACTGAAACATGCTATAGAGCATACATAGACCTGCTTAGCAACAAAGATACAAGGGATATTGAATACCGAATTGAAGACATCAAGCTACTTGCAAGGATCTTTTACTCTTATGAGAATAAGAGTGTTTGTAAGTTCATGAGAATTACCGTGTTTTCTATTGAGGATGTGTTTGTTGCGGAATTTGCTGCTTTGTACTCTGAGTTTCATCCGAACAGTATTGATGAGGTTTATGCAGCTTCAATCCTCTTGGACTCCAGAGAAGAAATAACAAGAGGCAAAAATGTCTTGTTCTATAACAATGTCTTGAGGATACTTATGAATCTAAGATCAAGATTTTCTTCGGAGTTAAGGAGAAGGCTGGTAGTATTTCTTCGAAAACTTGTTTTCTATAGTCCATACACAAGGAATGCTGGAATGCTTATAAACCTCTTAGGATATGGGGGGATTGAATTTCCTAGAAGAACCGACTACTTTGTAGCAATACTTGGTTCTTGTGGGAGTCCATACATGAGAGACTACTTCCCTGGATATTCATGGTCTCCAAACAAAGAGCTTGGACTTGTATACAACCTTCGGTTCGACCCGGCATTTGGAACAGCATATAAGTGGAAGCTGGAAGAGATTTTATCTAGAATGAATTGCAGCCTTGATGGAAAGGAGGCATTGGTGTGTGCTGAGCTTCTCTTATTCCTGAGCGAGACGATCGAACTTAATGAAGGAGCCAAATCCTATACTCTTGCCTTTGAACTGGTGGCAAACAACAGCAACTTTATAGTCTGGGGAGCTAAGTCAAATTGTATAAGTGTATCTAAGGAAGCCAATGTTTTACTAAAGAAAGCGACAAAGGCAGGAGCCATTCTCCCCCACATTTCTATTCCAATAGTGTTTTCCTACTATCTTGTTTCTCCAGAGATGGTCTACACATACTTCGAAACGACTTTAAGTGTTATTCGAGAGGCAATTGAGAACAAAAGATTGATGTTTAAGGAAAAAGGTCAAATTCTTGAGTTCCAAATGGTATATGATATTTATGTCCATTCTAAGCACAAGTCCAGGCTTGTAGACAAATTACTGGAGGTATTTGATGAATGCCCCATCAAAACATATTATCTCATGAGCCAGGCAGTAAAATTTGAAAAAAAGGATCGTTTTAAAATCATGAAATGTGTAGATGGTATGGTTCACTCCTATGACCCAGACAAAAGCAGAGTGCTTCTAAAGCTGCACTCCCTATTTTCCGAAGTTTTTATTTCAAGTAGGTCAAAAAAGGAAATGAGGATCTCTAACGAGAATGTTCTCTTTGAAGAGAATGCATCACTGGATGACATAGATAATCTGAGGCTGCTTAGAGTTAAATAAATACATTGAATATGGATTCACCATTAAAGATTCGACAAGAAATCTGGTTCCACCGAGATTCGAACTCAGATTACTGGATTCAAAGTCCAGGGTGCTAACCATTACACTATGGAACCTTAAGGTGCCTTGCAAAGAGACTCCTTGCAGATAATTCCCGGCTTTAGACTGTAGAGGATGATCCCTAATAATTTTTAAGAGAATTATCTCCCCAACATGAACATGAAATGCATTCGAGAGAAGATAGAAAAGGCCAAACCCCATTTTGTGAAAGCAGCCTCAGATACTCTTCAGGGATATATTTTTGGGTGCATGGTAGGCGTGTTTTCCTCATCGGAGAGGCCATCTTTCAAGAATATTCACGAGTCTGGAAAGTCGTTTGCAAAGATTAGTATGGTATACTCCACAACAGAATCAGCTCTTCAGCTTTATGGATCAGAAAACGCACCGCTTAACAGCCTTATAAGCGGTATGGTTGCCGGAGGCCTTGGGGTGAGGGACAAGTCCAAAAAATCTATTTTAACTGGAGCAGCATCTTTTGGGCTATACACAGGAATGTCCAGTGTTTTTCCCACGAAGGGACAGAAGTAAGATGAGGGCTTAAATCTTTCTTATGTTATAGGAAAATAAAAGCCGATAGGGCGACTGGACATATGTAAGGAACAAATGGATATGTCTGAGAAGGTTTTCCGATTGAAAGACATCTCCAAGGATGGTTCTTCTTCATCATAACGAAAAGTAGGTTTGAAGAGAGAAATGAGACTGAATGCAAATTAAAATTAAATTATTTAGCAATATGGACTTATTTATTAGGCCCCGATGAGCCGATTTAAATGATGGAATCTAAAATCTATTATCATGATAAACAAAATGATACCAAACGCCTAAATTGATTAATATTAGCAATGAATAGATATATTGGCTGGAAACAAACGGGAATTACTATAAATGGACAAACATTAATTATCGGTCCCTTGTAAATGAACAAAATTTTTGGGTATATAAAAACATATGAGGAGGCTTGTTTAGTAGTGCATGCCGTGAGATTAGGATACTTCAGTACGATAGAAGGAAGGTTAGCTCCCGAGGAGCGAGAAAAAATCAGGTCGGGAGACATATTCTGCTTTGTGGAGTCACCAAACGGCATCAAAAGATGGACAGACGGAAAGACATGGTCTCCATCTAAGATCCATGGGCAGTTTCTTTTGTATCAGGAGGTTCCCAAGCATATGAACAAAAGTGCAATTGGGAAAAGAAACCGCCAAAAGTCCCTTCTAGGGATAAGTAAGAGAGGAAGAACACGGGAAAAGATCATCAACTGGGACGACAAACTTTCTCTTAACAAGAAAACGATTTCAATCTGCCTGCAGAATAAAACCTACCATGTGATAGCATACTTCAGACCGATGTTCTTTAGGATGTCTCTGATAAAAGTCCCTCTTTTCAGCCATATGGATATGGCACTGAAGATATACCCAGAATTGCTCTCCGACGAGTTTCTTAGGACTATGACTACCAAAAAAGACCTTTATTCGAAATTCAAGCTACCATTTCCTTCCAAACAGATGATATTTCCAGAAGTCAAGAGACATTCCTTAGAAGAAATAGCAAGTAGTGTATTAACGGAATGGATGCAAGAGAAGATCAAAAGCAGCGATGTAGAGAAGAAATATATTTACTTGTGCAATAGTAATAAATGATAGTCTCATTTGTTTGTACTTTTCAAATTAGAAATCACCAATCCCCACATGAACGAGGTGGATGCATTGCTTAGAGAGATTAGAATAGATTGGGAAACCCTCATCACAGAGGACTTCAATCCTCTGAGACAGGCCCTGAAGAATAAAAACAATTCTGTAGAGGCTTCAAATTTCAGGAATCTCTTCCACAAGGTTGAAAAGGCAATGGAAGAGATCATAGAAGGAAACTACAAGGGATTTAGTGACTCGGTTCTCTCGTATATGGAGTCCTATTACCTCAACAAGAAGTGCTATGATAGCATCCAAGAGATATTTAGAACGACAAAGGAGTTGTCTGAGATGAAGATAGAGGTGAAAGATATGATTAAGGAATATGAAGACGTGGTGGTTTTTGAGGCCAAGGAGAAGATTTGCCTCACACTTCTTGAGGTTAGAAGAAACTTCAGGGAGTTTTGTGAAATCAGAGACAAGATTGAAAACAACATAAAGAGAAATATCGAAGATCCGGATATGAGTCTTAGACTTCTTGAGGCTTCCAAGAAGATCAGAGACATATTCGATCTAATAAATGAAAACAGATTGATAGACCTAGATTGCATCAGGAAGTTTAGAAACGACGTAAACTCAGAGGCCGAAGACCTAATGAGATTGATTTACAGTAGGATCAACAAGTTTGTTTTCCAGAACGAATGCAAGTATCAGGAGGATTTTAGATGCATTGTAGTTTTGAATGCCTTGCAAGGCCTTGAGAAGTATCAAGCGGACAATCTTGAGAAAGAGTACTTCAAGGTGGTAGAATCGGCAATTGAAGAGGTAGAGAAAAGTAAGGTAGAGAATAAAGCAGAAGTGCTAGCAAAGGTTATTATGGGAAGAACCAAGGTGATTATTCGTAATTTCAAGACGTTGTTTGAGATGGCAGATACTTCTTTTGAGGGTCTTCATGAAAAGTTGAAGAACTTTTTTGGGGAGGAGGAACCTGTGCTGAGGATCTACAGCCCAAGATGCCAGGAAACTGTTGAGTTGGCTATAAACAAGGTGATTCGAAGGTTTGTTCTGGAGTACATAGAGGATCCCGAAAAGCGTTGCTATGAAGAGATGTTTCGGGCGGAAAACTTTGTTGATGATATCGATTACGGCTCTGTGTTTGAAAGCAAATATCTTATCCATGAAAAAATGACTAGGGCCACAAAGCTCCAGACAGTATTTTCCGAGAATTTTAGGAGGATCCTCTCTTCAAGTGTAGAGATAGCAATCTACATGGAAAAGTATGCCGTTAGTTCTGAGATGAAGAAGTATCTAAGAAATGTTCTGAACGAGAAGTATGTGAAGGAGAAGGAGAACTGGGCGGAAAGGCAAATAATTTGTATATTTAACAACGATGAGTGGCATGGAAACGACTACATCAATTATCGGTTGTCTTTTTACACAAAATACCAAGAGATCATTGCAGACATTTCTTCTCATCCAGATCTTTGCAATATTTCCACAATCTCAGGCTTTTTGGACGACTTTCTTGAGAAAAGATTTGATGAGTATTTTAGCAACATTTTCAGGTCCGATTTGATCAGAGAATGTCTCTCGAACGGAAACACCAAGGAAGAGGCTGTGGAAGCCTTCAAAAACTCCTTGCTTACAAGGGACATAGACAGGAATTTCCTATTTTTTCAAAAACGATGCTACGAAAATATGTTTTTTGGTTTAGAAACATTGAAAGACATCAACAAATCCATCAAGGGAAGGAAGTTGGAGGCCTTACTCTCCTCGGCACTTACAAGATCGAAGTTCCAGGTTGTTTTGGAAATACTGTATTTTTTCGATCTGTTCTATCGTGAAGGTAATTACGCCAACAAAAACGATTACTATTTGCATAGAATATTAGGAGTGGTTGAAAACCTATATGGACCGGCCTCCTGCTTAGGTGTTCAATCTGAGTACTTCAGCTTTGTATTTGAATGCCTGAACTTTTACATACAAAAGAATGTTATAAGATTGAATGTAAGATCTGTAGAAGAGTTAAAGTCTTTTCTTGAGAAATTGAGACTATTGGATGAAATCTTGGGGTTTATCGGTGGAGAGGATAGCCTGAATGGAACGGTTGCCTTCATCGAAGGAGTTATATCTGGTAACTGTAAAAGCGAAAGTGGAAGAAAGTTAAGAACCAAGATTGTAAAGAAATGATGTAAAACGATGTTTCGTCAGTTTACAAACAATAGGCCGATAGATTTTGCTGGTTGGTTTTTAAGATATATGTTGGGGAAAAAGCAACTCTGATGAGTTCCCGAGAACTAGCAACGTTTATTCCAGGATATTCTAACGGAGACTTATCCGAAAGCTCCTTTGGTGACAAGATAATTGTCAGGGATCAAAGTAATGTCTGTGATGAGAACATGGATATAGAGGATGTATGGAGTGCAGATATATTGCCCCATTCATGGTATCAAGAACGAATTCTTGGCAATTATAAAGAAGGAAAAAGGTATGCAGACAAGATGATAAAGGCTGAAGCTAAAGACATATATAGGATATCTCCTGGGAAACTCTCGAAGGCTTTGACTTCCATCGATTTATCAATTCTCCGAAGAATCACACCTAATGAATTGGTTGATTACGATGGAACTGGAGACATCAAATGTAGAAATATAAGACATATGAGATCGAAGAACGCAGGTCTGACAAACTTCGTCTCTCACGAATTACTGAAAGAAGGAAATTACAAATACTTCTTCCGGGTCTTGAAACATCTGAAAAAGATAGGAAATTACAACTCGTTTTACTGTGTTGTGAGAGCATTTCAAATGCAGAAGCTGGATACAAAAAGATTGGATACTTTGTCTAGGCATATCGAGAAAAGCGCAAGTTATTTTGATATGAGACAAGTCCTGGATGACCTGACCACAACTGATATGTTTCTTATATGTCCCATGGATGTCTATATAAGAGATGTAGAGGAATCCAACAGAACCAAAAACAATGAGGTGGCGTCGATGAGGTTCTGTAGACTCGTGGAAATACTGATAAAGCTACAGGGTCAAGCCTCCAATGTTCGAATCTCGTACGCAAATGAACACTTCCTACTTAGTAAGTTTTGGTATCATCTTCAAAAGGAGATGGCTTCTGATAGAGAGTTTGGCATAAAAAGATACGAAGGGCAATTTTTACTTATATGAGAAAAGCTACGAGCGTTGGGTCTGTTAAATAAAAGCTTGAATATTTCTTCGGGGTTTTATGGAGGAATTTGAAGCACAGATTCCTATAGACTGTCTGTGTTGTACATCCTCGGCCTTAATTGCAGGGGGATATCTATTTCATGAGGAAACAAGAAGTGGGAAGATATATTTCTACGATCTTGAAAGCATGGAGATTCAAGACGAATTTGAGACATCAGGAACTCTTGACATTAAGATTAATGCCCAGACCCTATATTCTGCGAATTCTAGAGACGTTTCTGCAATAAATATCGGTAGTAAAAGTATCATCAAAACAGACACAAGGGATATTAACACATATCTGGAGATTAATGGAGACGAAGTATTTGTTTCCGACATTGGAGGAAGAGTTAGTGTTTATGATAAAGACATTACTGTGAGAAAGGTTGTAAAGCTTGGTGAGGCGCCAATCTGGGTGCTTAAAGGAAGATGTAAGGAGTTGATGTGCGGGTCGGAGGATGGAGAGCTCAGATTTGTAGACATGAGAACGTGGTCCGAACACCACCGAATGAAAAGAGCTTCCGGGGTTATATCAATATATGAACACTTGGAATATTTATATGTAGGGTCATATGATGAGCATATAGAAATTGTTGATAAAAGAATGTATGAGGTTGTGAGGAAGGTAAAAGTTGGAGGAGGTGTATGGAGGATCTTTGAGAAAGACAAGACATTCTTTCTGTCTTGTATGTATGAAGGGCTGAAGGTTTGCGATGGTGACTTAAATATTGTGAAAGAGTTTCCGACGAACTCAATTGCATATGGACTAGCTTCCTCAGACAAGGAGCTTTTCTTTACATCGTTTTATGATAAGAAAATATGCAAACTTAGGTTCCAGGACCTAAAAGATATTGTGGAGGGAGAAGACTATTTTTGAAGCAAGGGTTGGATTCGGCTGATAGGATGTCCAAGGTTTTAAAAAGTTGATTTGTTTACCCTCAACATGAAGATAAACATTCAGCATCTGAAGAACAAGTTTGTTGTCGAGGTGGACAACCTGGATATTACAATAGAAGAGCTTAAGAAAAAACTTGAAGAGAACATGGGGGAGTCTGTCCGAATTCCTGCTGGAGAACAAACCTTGATTTTTGAGCGCGAAAAGCTTGAGGATGGAAAGAAACTCAGCGATTATGTAAAAGGATCGACTGAGGAGATAAAGTTATTTGTTATCAAGCAGCACAGGAATCCAAATCCCATATCAAAGCCGGGGAACATTTATCAAAATGCAAGTAACCCATCCGATGCTCAGTCACAACCACAAGGAGGAAACCACTATGGAGGACATGGACAATCAACACCTAATCCATATACGGCCTTTGTACCTCCGTATGGTGGATATGGATCTCCCCAGCAGATGTACGGCCAAATGCCTTATGGATATGGATCTCCTCATCAGATGTACAGCCAAATGCCTTATGGATATGGATCTCCTCATCAGATGTACAGCCAAATGCCCTACGGATACGGGTTCCCCCAAGGAAGTGGATCTCCAGGACAAGGGGATGGATACAATGAAGCATTTTCAAATGCAATGATGCAGCAGATGGAGCAGATGCTTAACAACCCAACCTTATTGGAACAAGTGTTAAGTATACAGAACCCAAACATGACTCCTGAACAGAAGGAAGAGCAAAAGAAAATGCTAAAAGAAGCCTTGAATATGATGAAGGCCAATCCATCTCTGTTCCAACAGGCACTTACACCAGAAAGGTTGAATTGGGCACTGAGCACAATGAACGGCGGAGGATATGGAGGGATGTTTCCATCATTTCCTCCAGGAAACATGGGGAACTTCAACCAAAGAGATCCACGTGCGCCATGGATGTATGGATACCCCCCTCCAGGATACGGAAGCCCAAGACCAGACCCCCAAGCCGACGAACAAATACATCTGGTACAGCTAGAGCAACTCAAAGCAATGGGGTTTGAAGACGAGGAAGCTGGAAAGGCCCTAAGGGAGGCGAAGGGTGATATAAACAAGGCCCTGGACATTCTTCATGAAAGTAAAAAAAAGAAGAGCCAAGAAAACGCTGAGCCCCCTTCGAAGAATTAAATGTTCTGCAGCACATTCCTTCTTCCTAATCTATGGTCTTATCTGTGTATCCTTGGCGAAGGTTCATAGAAGGGTCGGAAGGGAGAACGGTTTATTATTAAATTAATGGTTTCTAGTGACCTTGTCAAATTGCTCATCAAGACGCTCTTTGTCACTCAATAAGGTCTTATTTTGAAGAAAAACCCTTCTAATATCGCCATTGGAAATCTCAAGGTCATAATCTATAGCCGACAAAACCAACTTCTCTATTTGAAAGATTTCTCTAGGATTCATCTCCTGGAGGAATCGGATACTAGGACTTGGACCATCAAAAATAAATTTCAATCCCATGAAGCAGCAAACAAAAAAAAACTTAATTAGCCTTTTACAATTACTAAATGCAATCCCAATCTTTTTGACATACTTCTCGAGATAAATATATCCCGAAATTAAAACCAAAGGCAGTTCTTGAGCAACCTTGAATATTGATTCTATTAACAGGATAGATCCCACGTTTCTATGGTCCAGAAATCGGAGTATTACAGAGTTGATAAGGCCGAAGTTGAATCTTATTCCTCTTTCTTGGCCGAAGATGGACACAAGAAATACGTCCATTGGAAAGCCAGCATATGATCTTAGGGATGCATTGGATCCAGGAGATGAAGCACTGTTGTAACCAGGTGTTTTTTTGTTTATTGCGCCATCCACCCCGCCACTTTTTTTTCTGATTCTACTGGTGGATTGTTTAAGCTCATTCCTGGAGTCCGCCTTATATGAAGGTATGACTGGCATCCACATATCTTCCGCTACTTTCCTTTCTATTCCAATGGTCCTTATGCATCTCTTTCTGAGCAAGGAATACAGATGGCTTTTCCCCCTCATTACAAAACACTCTACCGGCAATCTTCCCTTTTATAATTGTTCAGAATTATTTTGTTTAATATATTCACTAATCATTAATTTATGATTATTTTTACTCTTTCCTCTATCCAATTGCTTGTGGGAGACTTTACAGACTCCTATTTATATTCTATCTTAATTAAATGCTATAAATAACCAAATTATAAAACTTCAAAATTAACATTGATTTAAAGCTTGATGTGTAGATTTAACTTATTAACCCCTGGATTTTGCCCTTCTGAAATGATCCTCGGACTCCTTGGAATAATCAATATATACCTTTTTCTTACTGGACTGTTCAGGACTGTAAACCTGCCTGCTGATTCCTCGATGGAGTCTCCCGGCTCTAAAGAATACAGTAAAATCGTGTATCTTCTGATCGATGGGCTTCGTTTTGACTCTTCCGTAAATACATCCAAAGAAGGACATATATTTAATAAGATGAAACATCTACGATCAATCAAAAGCAAATTCCACGCTCTGAGCGTCAGTGGAATCCCGACAGAGACAGGGTCTAGGGTCATAGGGCTTGTGACAGGAACACCCAGCAATTTCTTGACCAGTGTTGGAAATCTCCAAGGATGCTCAATCCATTGGGACAACATGGTGAGGCAGCTTCTCCAGGATGGGAGGTCTTGTGCTTTTTTTGGAGACTGCCAATGGATTAAGTATTTTCCAGAACTCAAGAATGGGCCTTGCCATACAGTAGATCCATATGGAAGATACGAGTTAAGGAAACAAGAAAACGAGATAATAGAAAGAATCCTACAGAGTATAAACAACTACGATGTCATTATTGCACATCTGATAAATCTTGATTCCTACGGTCACATCCATGAGACTATATATCACAAAGATATGGAACATCAGTTGATGATATATGATAATCTCATAAATGATATATATGAGAAGATGTCAGAAGACACATTGTTTGTAATATGTAGCGATCATGGCGTAGATGATAACGGAGCTCATGGAGGAGTCTCCACATTGGAGATGTCTTCTGTTGGAATTTTCATATCAAAAGACGGGAGATTCACTAATCTTTCTCCAGTTAACGAAGAAATAGAAGAACTAAGGAAAAAGCACATCTTAAGAATGTACGACGACAATCCTCTTGAAATACAAGCCAAAGAGCCTTATCCGACTATTCATCAGGACGACATCCTCCCAACACTCTGCTATTTGATGGGTGTTCCAATTCCAAAGATGTCTTGTGGTAACTTCATACACGAGCTTGTACACGATGTAAATGCATATCAAACCTACTACAAGCAAAAATGCAGTGTGCTTGGAATTGAGCCACGAGAAGTTCCCAAAGAAACTAATGAATATGCCAAGCTGAACTATAAGTTAAGCGAGGAAATATCTCGGAAATTTGCAGGGAGAAATTATTTCAGGTTAATTATTTCTGCAATACTTTCTGTGGTAATAGCACTAGCCGTTATATTCAAGCTTTTCAGCTCGAAGTTCTACAAGTTCAACGACATTCTTCTGTTGTTTGTTTTCATAATGACTGCACATTCTGTACTATCCATAGTTCATGAGGATTTGTTCTGGGCTGTTACGTTCTTTATTTCGAATCCTTCGGCTAAGAATCTTCTTGGTGTGGTAATTCTTTTACAGATGGTAAGACCTCCATCAAATGCAGATCCTTTTTATGTCCTGGTTATGGAGAGACTCAAGCTTTCTCCGATATTCAATGGAAATCTTCTCTTTATCCTTGAGTTGTGCTTGTTTGGAATCCTCAACAGCACAGCACACTTTGAGCTAGCTCCCCGGTTTTTCTCTAGCAGTATTTTCGAGATTTTCAATAGTCATCCGCATATCTTTATTTCTCTCCTCAGATATCTGTTTGGAAGTGGATTGGATTCTGCATCATGGAGACTCAGCTTATTTCTATCATCCCCCAGCATTGATACCTTAATAGCCCTGGTATTCAGGCCGATGGAGTCCATATATCTTATCTATATCATCAGAAATTTAGATATTGAAAACAGCGTTACCGCTTACTTCTCGCTTACGAATATGGCCTTCTTCTCATCAGGACTACAGAAATTGTTTCAATCTATTAACTACAGTGTATTCTTCACGTTTTCAGGTAACTTCCTTACTTTGCCTGTCGCCTTGATTGCCATACTATACTTTGTGTGTCCAAGACTCCGGGCCATACAGTTGTTTATGTCCCATCGAGATAAGACAGGCTCTTCAAAAGGGAAGAAAAGACATCTAAGAGATTTTCAGTCCTCCGTAAAGGAAATATTCATGTTTCATAGCCTCAATTTATTACTAGTGATGTGGTCAGGATATACCATTTGTGAGTCGCTTTCATTCTACAAATTCCTTGGAATTCGTGCATTCTTTGAGTATATCTACTATTTTATAGATATCGCTTTGTTCTCCGTTCTTGGAATAATTAAAAGAAGGCTTAATTGATGTAATCCCATCCAAAGTCTATTTCTTTCTTCTAAAAAGAGCTATGAAGAACCCGGTGGCTCCATTGTCGTCTCTCCTGCATCTTATTACATTCCGACTAAATGGAAACTCTGAAGGACAGCTAGGGCCCCAGAACATGCTTATATCTTCTAGCTCATATTCAGAATCCTTTAGGATTTCTTCCACCACTTCCTCTCCTTCTTCTTTGTGGTTGGAACATACAGAGTACATAAGCTTTTCAGGCTTGAATTTTAAAGCATGCTTAACAATGCCCACTTGAAATGATTTAAGGCCTTCTATTCGCTCCTTGTCCATTTTATACCCAAAATGCATTCCAGATCCTGAACAACTTGGATCACATAGAATATATCGGATGTCTTTGAAATCTTCCGGATTGGTCTTCATAAAGTCCTCTTCTATAACATCCGTATTGTTTACTCCTAATCTTTCTAATCGGATTTTAAGTGTCTTTGCCCTAGCTTTATCTCTCTCAAAAGCGTATATCTTACCTGTATTCTTCATGATCATTGCCAACTGCGATGTTTTGTTTCCGGGTGCAGAGCATGTATCTATAACTCTGGATCCTTCATCGGGATTAAGTATGTGTGCAGGAAGGCAAGACGAAATATTTTGGATCAAAAACTTACCATTCTTATATTCCTCAGAGAAAACAATATCTTTAGAGTCCAGGATTTTATACACTCCATCAATACATGTCTTTTCGTGTTTTAGAAAATCTATGTCCTTCTCTGTACCATTCTTTAATGGATTGATCCTTATAAACACAGATGGCTTCGTCAACTTTAGCTTTCTTCCATCGAGAGCTTTTTTAAACTTCTTGTACATCCTGGTATTTTTCAATCGCCTGTCTAATATCTCGAAACATTTCACCACTCCTAATTCCTGATCTTCTTCCATGTACTTACATTTCTTTATCACCTCAAGCAACAAGTCATAATTCTCAACCACCATATGCACCAGTCTGTGGTACATCTTCGGGTCCTTTGTCTTATAAACTTCACTCTTAATCGTCGATCGGCCTTCTAGTACGTTTCTTACCATTTCAACACATTTTTCATCGAACTTCGACTTGCTATTTTCTTTCTTTTCCATCCCTAGGATCCAATCCAAAAATAATTAAGACCTAAGAGAAATTATTTATTTAATCCTGATGTCATAACTCTAGTGTACATCCACTACGGTTCTTTTCAAATAGCTGCTCTACAGATAGGACACTTATTCGAGTGTCCAAGGAGCCATTTATCAACACACCCAACATGGAATCGGTGGTCGCATGGTAAAACCCTTAGTTTTTGGTTTGTAGAAAAATTCGACATGCATATGGTGCATTCGCACGCCTCGTCAGCTTCCACAGCTTTTACAACATTACTCTTCTTTAGGGACTCCTTTGTAGCGGTTACTGGTGCTTCTGCAGAAGCATCAAACACATCAAAGTTAATTTGGATCTCGTATATAATGTTTCCTCTAGATCTCTCATTCTGTGGAGTAAGAAACAGGAACCGAAGCTCCTGGGAAGGAATTCGTGGGAAAACAACTCTGAATCCTCTCCTTCCGGTAGATTCCGGTTCCCTAGCTCTAGGTTCAACCTGTTCTTCGTTTTGCAATGAAGATTGTTGGGTCCCCATTCCATTCTCTGTTACTAAGATAGATGTTGTTAAAGTAACTGGATCCCTAGAGCCTTCCGATCTCCTTCTTCTGGCTCCGTCATCTGAAACAATCCTAGCACGGCGCCTTCCCCTCATTGGCCTTTCCTCTTCTGCACCTATCATCCTACTACATCTATTGACAATATTCCGCTCCTCTACAGTAGGCGCCTCTTGCTGCCCATTAGTCTGGTTCTTTCTTTCGCGCCTTCTCCTTCCTACTCCGCTAGAAGCCCCTGGAGAAGGCCCTGCCTCAGCTTCTTCTCTCTCATTACTCCTTGCCTCTTCTCTACCATTGATCAGGTCGATCAGCCTACTTCTCAATCTACTCATGAAAACTCCGCCAGGACTATTGTTTGTGTCAATGCTAGATGATTCTATCCTTGCATCCAAGAAATTCAGCATGGATCTCATAATGTCTAGAAAGTTGTTGTTCCCATTTCTCCTTGCCATAGGGGGCTGGGCCGTCCAAGCCTCGATTTATTTTGGCCATCATCTCGAAAACTCTAGAAACCAACAGATTTTCCAGAAAGGAAAGGAGAAATTACTATGATACAACCAGGACAGCTTAAGAATTTAATGTTTGGAGTTACAAAATCTGCTTGCAAGCAGAAATAGTTTCGGAATTCTCACAAGGGAAACTTTCCACATGACATTTCCGCGCGCGAATTCTTCTTCCTCCAAAAAAACGTCCATTAAGAATGTTAAAAGCGTGCCTGGCTTCATCTTCCGTGGAATAAAGGCAGTATACGGCAACTTCCTCTTTCTTATGTACTCCAAATTCTACAACATCTCCATACTTTTTCATCTCATTCTCCATTTCTTGATCAAAATCGTCATCTGCATCATTTATGTCTATCAGGTTTCTCAAAACAACCATTTTTCCTTTGCCAAATATAGCACTTTCAATTCTCTTCTTTATCTCAAACACCTCCTTGGGAATTGCAAAGTAGTTTTTTTCTGGTAGCTCCATTTTGGTCACACAAGGCCCTATTCTTATTCTTTTTCCATAGAGAATAATCTTGTTACTGTATCCCAAAGCTCTTTTTGCATCGATCCGTCTCAGAAACTCCACATATCCATATCCTTTGTGAATAAATGAAGATCCATAGGCAAGTCTTACTTCCTTAATTTCCCCCATCTTTCCAAAGATATCTTCTAGTTGTTCCTCTTCAATATCCAGGTCTATGTTTGATATATAAACAATGACTTCATTTGGAGGCCCAAGTTCCTTTGGGATCTCCGATGGAAACGTAGAGGTTCTTCCGGCCTTTAGGGTTTTCCCATTAAAGCTTACTCCATTGATCTCCGCTATGCACAAATAAGCTGCATGTGGATTGTCGAAGTCTGCAAACACACATTCCTTGTTTCCTATGCATGTCACAGATACTGGCCCAAAAACGCTGAGAAGATCCTGGATAGAGCTTCTGGATCCTGTAAAATTTCCTATGTACACTTTGTTAAGGAGTCTACTGTCGAACTTTGAAGCCTTGATGCCCTCGTTTGGGATAACCCATCTATTGTATTCTACTACACTTCTGTATGCTGTGTCCAGTTTCCCAAGCTCGTTCTTTTTGGTATTGGATACTTCTTCTATGTCTTGGAGGAGCTTCTCGTCCTTTACAATTATCATTCTGGGCCTGAGGCCGTATAGCTTTCTATGAAAATGAATAAATTCAAGTTCCAACTCCTTGGCATAATGCTGAGCAACCATCAAGAAGAGTTCCTTGAGAAAATTAGATTTAAAGGCAAGGGAAATCCTCGTCGAGCTACATGGATAAAAAGAGGAACAGAGGCAATAAAAGCGATTAACAGCATACTCAGAGCACCTACACATGACTTGGCCCTCTTTGGGTTGGAAATAGTCAAATGTCTGTATATGTACGAACATATCCTTGGGATTCCAAGATACTCATTAGACAAGGCTCTTGTAAGCCTCTGCAGTAAAGTGTTTTTAGAAGAGATTTATAATGAAATTGAAAGAAGGATCCAGTTACATCTTGAAAAGATGCTCAATAAGGAAATACACTCAATCGACGAGTGCATGAGTTACCTAAGTAGTCACAGGTCCTCACTGGATGAAATAATTGTTGGGTATCTCATGATAAGATACAGGGTGTATAAGGAATATAAAAAAGAGACATATTGCATTGTTGAAAGAGTTGATTCAAAGCTAAAAGTTAAGGCAAGGAAGGCATTCGGCTTTTTAGTTGATGGATGTAGAACTTGCTTTTTAGAGTCTAAGGTTAAAGAGCTTCTAGCTCAAAGAATACACACAGAATTTATAATTGCAAAGAGAGAAGAGATCTCCCATGACCTTACCAAAGATGAGATAGAGTACATAAGAGAAAACTATCCCCTTGTATCTTGCTTTTACAATATTCCAGAAGATATAGGTGTGCCCTATCTACGCTTAAGAAAGAGCTTTGACGTCAGATACTTTGTAGATGTTTTTTGCTGGAATGGATTTGTTGAAAGCATCGAGACCTTCTACGGAGCACACGAGGAAAAGCTCCTCGACACAGCTTTTTTAAGGGGTCTGTGCTTCCAGATGTGCATAGATAGAAAGTACAATCTGAACTTGATGGAGAAGTTTATAGATAGATCTACATCTTTTGAGAAAGCATTTATGGAAGGCTATAGAAAAGTGGTGTTCCAGGAATACAAAACTGCCAAGGAAAGATTCAGAATGGTTCTAGAAATTATCAGGGACTTAAGACTAGGCATTGTTCCGGAGATTCAACTCTGGGTGTACGATCTTCTTTCCATGTGCCACATGTTTTGTGGGGAATACTTCGAAAGTGTGTTCTATCTGAACAAGGGAATTGAACTGTCTCACAGGTATCAGCTAGGATTCGTTTCTTTGCATTTTCTCAATTGCAAATTCATAGTGGAGAGAATAGGAGGCATACAAGGGCCCTTCCCAAAAATTAGACTGGACCTGGAAGAAACAATCAACTCTCGGTTTGTTATTGAAAGCGAGCAGAAAGCGATAAATAACAGGATTCTTACAAACCTTCTGCTCAAAGATGACATGAGTAATCTCAGAGAAATGAGAACTCTCGAAATATTTGCAATGTTCAAGCCTTCCACTCTTTATAAAGACATAGAAAGAACACTAAGCCGTTTAAAAAAGTTCACGGTTGTATCTCTATATTCGATAGATGGATGCCTGTTTATCAATGACTTTAGAGGATTTGTAAAGGTAGATAGGGGGTTTGGAGACACTAAGGTAAAGATGAATGAGATATTGGCCAAATCCAGAAACGTTCTCAAGGGAAATGTAACTAGCGACCTAGACAAGGCAAGATGGTGGATGGAAAGAATGGAACTGGACACACAATTGGGAGAAATCCTCCGCAGCGTAGGAGATAAGTTTGATAGGCTCTCAATTGGAAAGGATGTAATTCTGGTTTTGGATGAAACCACAACAGAGTTTCCATTTGAATCAATCCCTGCTTTTAAGGGTAAAAGTGTGTACAGAGTTCCCTCTCTAGAATACTTAGAGGATGTTCCTGGACTTGAGATAGATAGGAAGTCATTTTTCTACCTTTTGGATCCGGAAAACAACCTCTTCAAGACTCGGGAAAGAATATCCGGCTTTCTTAGATCTTCGGGAATAAAAAATGGAATCACAGGAAGGCCTCCTTCAGACCTAGAATGCAAAGAAGCCGATGGTTACGACGTACTGCTTTATTTTGGACACGGAAGCGGACTTAAATATCTGAAGGTTTCTGGAGAGGGGAAGATTATGTTTTTATTTGGATGTAACAGTGCCAAGCTTTTGTGTGTAGAGAATTATAAGAGAAATGGGTCCATTCTAAAACATCTTAGGAGGAATTCAATGATAGTCGGATGTCTCTGGGAAGTCACCGATAAAGACATCGACAATTTTAGTGTCAAGGTTATTGAGAGCCTGATAAACGGGTCTACTAATATTGGCGAGGTAGTTTCTAGGTTTCGTGATGAATTTAAGCTGAGGTATCTGAACGGTGCCTCTGTAGTTATTTATGGCTTTCGCTAAAGCTCAAACCCTCAAGGAAGCTATTAATTCTTGCAGTAAAGAACCCAAGATGTCTTGGTATCATATTCAGGACAAAAGGCTTAAGCTGGCGATTAAGGCCAAGCCAAATGCTAGATGCACTCAAGTAAGAGAAATAACAGATACGGAGATTGTTGTAAATGTAAGGTGATCAAATTAATTTTAGGTAAATGCACCACCGACAGATAATAAAGCTAATAAGGAGCTGGTAGAGTTTGTTGGTAAGATGCTTAAAGTCCCGAAGTCTTCGGTTAAGGTAGTGGTAGGTGCTAGTAGTACCAATAAAACTATTGTGGTGAGCGCTTGGGAAGGAGATGAAGAGAATCTGAAAGCAGCTGTGAATAAAATGCTAGAGTAGAGATCTGCCATGAATCCATATGGTACTTTAATTTGGATAAAATCAATCGTCTGGCCTTCCATGATGCTTTACAATAAATGGATGATTTAAAGCTTCGGCAAGCCTCATTCTGTCACTGGGATTTAACATAAGAAGCTTAGAGATAAAGTCCGAGGCATTGGAGCTGATTGTTTCTGGAATCGAGTATTTCAATGAGTTGATTTTCTTGTAAGCCTCTCTCATGTTCCTGTTCTTGCTTTCAAATGGTGTTTTCCCTATGAGGAACTCGTATGTTAAGATTCCCAAGCACCACAAGTCTATTCCAGAGTCGTGTATGCTGTTGTTGACCATTTCTGGCGCAAGATACTCCATTGTACCGCAGAAGGTCATTCTCCTCTTATCGGCATTGTAGACCGCCCATCCAAAGTCTCCTATCTTGAGGAGGTTATCCGATCCAAGAAGTAAGTTCTCTGGCTTTATGTCTCTGTGTATCACATTGCATTCCTTCATGTACATCAGAGCCAGTATCACCTGTCTTATGTATAGGGAGGCCTCTTTCTCTCCAAACTTGCCTCCCTTCTCGCTCAGGAACTTGAAGAACTCCCCCTTTCCTGCATACTCTAATATCAGGTATATGTTATCCTTGTCGTGGAAGTGTCCATACATCCTAAGGATGTTCGGATGCTTCAGATTGGAATGTATTTCTATTTCTCTCCGGATTTGCCTTGCTGTCTCAGCCGTTTGGATCTCCTTAATTGGAATGATTTTCAAAGCAACTATAAACCCTTTTTCTTTCTCTCTTGCAAGCCACACCTGCCCGAACTTTCCACGCCCAAGTAACCTTCCTATTTCAAACTTATCCAGAGTCCAATATTCTACCATCCCAGGGTCTTCAAGGGAAATATTTATAAGAACTTGCGTTTGTCACGAGCTCAGAAGAGCATTAAGGACAGAATATATGATTGTCTCTCGTCTAGATCCATATGTTCTTTTAACCATGTATTTCTCTTTTATCCTGCTTATATGGGCACTAGATGCCGCTGCCTCCTTCTCTGTCATGCAGATGAGTATACTGTCTATTGCCGAGCAAAATGTTAGGCACACAACAAGAGCTTCTGCTCTGTAGTCTATCTCTTTGCTACAGGTTAGATATTCCTTTATGTAATTTATCAACTCTATCCTTATGTTGTAATCACTCATAGTAATCTTATTGAATATCAAGTTCTTATTTTCGACTCTACATATCCGTCTTTCTTCAAGATCCTTATAAACTCTTAGTCTGACATTTTTCATATGAACACTTCCTCCTCTTTTTTCTCCGTTGAGCCTGTACATGAGTTCGTCAGGAGGTAGCTGGACCTGATAAATCTTGCTCATCGCCTCTAGCAGAAGTGAATTGTTTAATGTATTGTCTTTCCCCACCACTCTGCCTTCTTTTAAGCCTATTGCTCCGCAAAGGGCAAGCTCAATCACTATGCAGGCCCTCAAAGACAAGGAAACGCGGTTGCATAGGAACTTAATCTCACTTCTTGTCCGAAGTAAAATTACAAGTTGCTCATATAGTCTAAGAGAGCCTTTTGTTTCTATATGTTGAGAATGCTCACGTTTCCGTGTTGACATTGATTCCATCCAGGGCCCCATTGGTTGTGATTATTGTTGTAGACTGGTTGGTTTTGAAGTAGCCAATTGCAATGCTTCTAAACACCATTAGGCACAGAACCTTATCCTTGAAATTCCTTTTGCTCTACGAGCTCCTTAGAAATGCCAAAGACCCCAGAGCTCAAAAGATTGACTGTGTATGATATCCAGAGGATCTTATGCTGGGCATTTAATCTGGCCAAGAGACCTTCATTTCTCCCCTTAAAGGCAAGCGATCGCCCAAGCACAATAAATATCATTAAACTAGAAGAGACTCCAGAAAGCATCTCAAAGCTTTTGTCAAAACTCAAGATAGAGCATATTGCACTTGTGAACGAGCGGTTGCCATTGAATAGCATTGTAGAATGTATTCAAAGAGATGGAGGATACGATAGTATTGTCCCATCTCTTGAATATGTAAGAATGGAGAATCTAAAGTTCATTCCTATGGTAAGATTTGAAGACATATGTTCCTCAGGAATATTCGTCGATGATAAGAGATCCTTGCTGGAAATCGATCCAAGTAAATATAGAAGGGCTCGTATACCTAGCTCCTATGATATAATCGCACTGGATATAGAAAAGGTCAAAACACAGAGGGGAAAGGATCCAGGAAGAATAACAATGGTTGATTCTAATGGAAACGCTGTCTACGACAAAATAATCAAGCCAAAAGAACCTATACTAGATTATCTAACCAGATACAGTGGTTTGACAAAAGAGATAATCGATAAGGGAATTGATGTTGAAGTTGTCCGAAACGAAATTTTCGACTTTATTGGTACAAACACTGTGATTGTAGGGCATGGGATTGAAAACGACTTGAGTTCCCTAGAGTTGTATCACAACAAAATAATAGATACGGCACATCTGTTCCTGAATCCATCTGGAAGAAAGATATCTCTTGCACAACTAGCAAAAATATATCTTTCCAAGGACATCCACGCAGAAACACATGACTCAAGGATAGATGCAACCACTTGTCTTGAACTTCTTTCGATGAAAGTACAATACATGCTCAGGATAACAGATCCAGAAAGTCCAAAACTAAAACTACAGGCAAAAACAAAAAGAAGATGCATTCTCGACATCTTAAAGCATAACAGAGGATATCTTAACATAACAGCTTGTAGCTACCGGGACTTGGCCAAATCCTTGAGATCCTACAAGAAGACCAAAGAATGTCTCTGGATGTTAATCTACGAGATTGATAATAATGTCTACCTAAGCTTCTAATACATCTTTATTTATCATCTCTCTACCCATTCACCTTTACCAGGTTTGTCCAATACGATAACATCACAAAAGTCTTCAAAGAGGTCCTCTACCCCCAGAGGAGTTATCAGGATACCTTGGAACCCACTTTCTTGGAAAAAATCCAGAAGTAGTCTTATGGCTTGTTTTCTATTTAGATCATCCATGAACACATCGAACTCATCAAGGATCTTAATGGGACATGAAAGTGAAGGCCAAAGGGAGAGAAGCAACGAAACACATGCGAAAGATCTTTCTCCACCTGAAAGCATGCTTCTAGATCCTACCGAGGTCTCTCCATCAACCTTCATCTTTACATCCAGTCTTTTCTTATCGTGATTAAATTCCAGAACTCCTTCATATCCCCTAGCTTTCGTTACCCTAGAAAACTCCTTGGCTGCATTATTGGCAATCTCTTTCCGCATAAAATCTCTTTTGGCTATTCTCGCTGTGATGTTTTCAAGAGTCTTTTCTATTTTTCCATTATGTTCAGAAAGAAGGTCTTCTTTTCCCTTTTTGGCTTTCTTTAGATGAGCCACAGTAGCTAATGCCTTTTCTTCATCATCGATTCCTTTGCACATGTCGATTTGTGCTTGGATCGAAACTATCTCTCTTCTGACTTCGTCTTCTGTCCTTGATTCTATTTCCTTCTTTCCACTCTTGAGGAGTATGCCTTTTTCTGCATTGTAAAGATCCACCTGCTTTAAATGTTCTTCTTTTAGCTTAACAACTTCCCCTCGTGACACTCCCATCTTTCTCTCAATGCTTGAGACTTCTGCGCTCTTCCTGTAAATCTCCTGTCTTAGCTTTTCTGTGTTTTCCACCTTATGCTCTTTGATCTCCTTGTACTCTTTTTCCAAAATTTCAATCTCCTTGTTAATTTCATATTGCTTCTTTTCTAACAATGAGATTTGATTCTCAAGGCTTTTCGTTTCTTCATAAAGGTCATCGTTCTGTACAACTTCCATTTGTGCATTATATATCTGTTTTTCCTGGTTCATCTCAATCTCCAGAGTCTTGCAAGTCCTTTGAAGACCTTCTATCTTCTCTCGGACTTTCTCCATCTCATTGCTTATCTCCTCCAGCTTCTTCCCCCAGCTTTTCTCAATCCTCCCCTCCACTAGGTTCTTCATCTCTGCCCTACACCTTTCAAGCTTTTCACGTGTGTTCTCAAAATAAAACCTGTCTACTCCCCTTGTAACAAAATCAGACATACTTCCCCCAACTAGCCTAATCTTGTCTCCGTTCTTTGTATATGCACACTCTACAGATGCAGGTCTTGATCTTATTATTTCATAAGCTTCCTTCCGATCCTCAACCAGAATCGTCTGCTCAATAGAGGCTGTTATTATCAGATAATTTATCACAAACGGGCTTCTTACCTCAAGGATATCAAGCACTGTCTTGTATTTCTCGTTTGCCCGGTATTTTATAACATTTGGTTCCTTGCTTGAGAGTGTCGAAATTGGAAAGTCTACTTTATGCTTCCTAAAGATTCGGAGCAAAATGTCTTTGTCTCTTTTATCCATTATAATAAAGGTTGACAAGAAGTTATTTAGTACAATGCTAACAGCCTTACTCCACTTCTGTTCCTTGAGTTTTACCTCAAATCCAATCGGACCGATAATCTTTCCATTGAACCTGGTTTTTGAGATCTCATCTATAACATTAGGGAAGTTGGGCCCAAAAAAACTATTCTTATCATTCTTGGAGTAAAATTCAATCTGCCTCCTAAGATGGAAAATACGGCCTTGCCTTTCGGAAATCATTTCCTCTTCCTCTCTCGCCTTCGCTCTGCATTCCTTAGCTCTTTCCTCAAGACTTTCCAGTATCCCATTCTGAGACTCAATTTCAGATGCCGCTTCCTTGTGCTTTTCCTCAAGTTGGGGAAGTAAGTTTTTCACCGTTCCGTCTTGTTTCTCAAAATCAGAAATAATTCTCTTCTTAAAGTCCCTTGCTTCTTTCAATTCCTCGCAGTCATTTCCTATTTCTCTGTGCTTCATTCTTAGTTTACCAATCGTCTCATCAATCTCTTCCCTTCTTTTATCCTTGCTCTTTTTCTTTTCTCCTTCCGAGATTTCAATACTGACTAGTTTCTCCTGGGCATCCTTAACAACTCGAGTAAGCTCTTCCATTCTTTCACTATCTCTGTCCATCTCCTCTTGTTTGCTTTGGAACTTCTCAAAACACTTCTCCATCTGTGCCTTTCTTTCATTTACCTTTGCCCACAATATTTCTTCCTCTAATTCAAGAATGGCTTTTTCCATGGCTTTAACACTCTTGATCCCCTCAAGCCTTCCTTCCTCATCCTTTATCTGTTTGTCGATGCCTTTCAGTTCCTCATCAACAAGGTTTATTCTTTTTCTCATCGCATCTACACTGCTCATCGACTCATCATTCAGCTTGCATATCTCGGCAATCTCCGTCCCTTCCATAAACAGTTCATAAAGTGTCTCTGCGTTCGTCATATTCAAGAACTTCTTGGCTTGCTCTTGTGAAAGGAAGTTCAGAGGATTCTCAAATCTTAACGAAAAAAATTCCAGAACTAGCTCCAGATCCTCTTTTCTTGTCGACCAGACTTTTCTTTCCCCATTTACGATACTGCTAGTGGCCGACTTCAATCCAATTCTCTTCTCAATAATGATTGTTCCTCCAAAGAACTCCCTTTTGAATCCCCTATGATTCTCCAATACAACTCTTACAACAGCATTGGACTCCCCACTCTTGATCATATCTCTGAAACAACTTCCTCGTTCCAGATTGTATGCTCTCTGCCCAAGCACCAATCCAATTGCAACCATTATTGCACTCTTTCCCGATCCGTTACATCCTGTCACTATCGTTAGAGGCTTTCTTAGATTAATGAGAAGATGGTCATGGCACATGAATTTTATGAGTTCGATAGAGGCTATTGTTTTCTTAAACTTCTCGCAACTCATTCCTAAGGCCTTTTCTTTTCCAGCCTAAATCCAGCCTCGAAAGTTCCAAATAACATTGAAAAAGATAAAGTATCCGAAGAATGATGGATGGACTTTACTTATATTAGGAGTAGGGTGTTGATGATTAAACAGGAATTTAATAGCATCATATTTAAGCCAGGGACGAGTACTTTCCAAAAGATGGTCTCATGTAGGATCCCCCACTAGGGAAGAACCCAGCTTTCTCAGATGACTTGGATGCATTGTCTTTCTCCATTCCATTCTCTCCCTCAGCCTGTTCTTGGCCTCCTTCTAATCCAGAGTCTTCTCCTCCCTTGGCCTCTTCGCTTGCCTTTTCATCCTCAGGAGTGGTTGGCTTCTCCTTACCCTTTGCGCCCTCTTTGCTTTCAGGTGTCTTAGCATTAGCATTACCTGCTTTCTTTGTCATATTATTGTATCCCTCCATGTAGGAGAAGTCGGGCTTTGGAATGAATTTGTTGGAAGCCCCAAACCTTTCCGATGCAAATGCCACCCTATCAAGGCTCTCAAGGACTGGCCCTGGGACAAACTTGACCTCATAGGGGTTGACATAGGTTGTTGTTTCACGTACAATGGCCAAACCGTTCTCAAGTACCATCTTTCTAGTCATCTCTGGAGTAAAAGTATCTTTCATGGTCGTCCTGGTAACTAGATATTCATTCTGATAGTTACTGTCACTATCCCCAGCGAACTCTTCCTTTCCAGAAGTGGTCTTTTCCGAGGCAGCAACCTTGTACAGGTAACAGGCGGCCAGCTTGAATGTGGTAAACTTCATAGTCTTGAGATTATGAAAATCGTGGTTTAAATAGTTTTTCTTGCTCTTACAATGTTTTGGATCTACCAATAGTCCACGGGCCTATGCCTGAAACACTTCTCAGATTGATCCACCTATTCTTCTTGCAGTGTCTGTTATGGAGTCTTAATGGATACAGATCACATAGACCAAGCTTTTCTTCTGGCCCTGTTAAGCAGACCGGGCTTATATCATGGATTTTATACTTGGAAATTAAGGCCCTTGAAATGGTAGTACAGGAGAGGAAAGACAACCTTCCTCCAAAGGGACTAAGAAATAGAGGGAACACTTGTTTCTTCAACTCGGCAATGCAATGCATTCTATCGATCGGCGAGCTCAACACCTTCTACAAGAACACGGATTTCCCAAAAGAAAAAGTAATATCTAATGCATTTAAACAATTCATATCGGAGTATGAAAGTCGGGGACACAACGACCCAAAGAGTCTTATCGATAAGCTTAGTACAAAGATAAAGCTGTTCAACGGGATGCAGCAGGATTCCCATGAGTTTCTTATTCAATTCATTGATCTGTTGTATACGGAATCGGATAGAAACAAAGGTAGATTTGAATCAAGAGAAGAGTTTGAGGAGGTTCGGAAACACAATCTGATTGCAAAGACTTTGTTTTCGATGGATAGACAGGTATTAACATGCGAAGCATGCAGTTATTCCTCTGTGACACTTGCTATAAACAGCACGATTCTTGTAGAGCCCCGTGAGACTATCCAACTAGGAATAGACCAGTGTTACGAAGAGGTGAAGCTTGAGGGAAAGGATGCCTGGAAATGCGACAAGTGTGGAAAAAAGAAGAGCTCTAAAAAGAAGATAGAGATTCTTGTTCATCCCGAAGTTCTAATAATTCATATCTCAAGATTCCATCCACAAGGGTGGAAGAATACAGCAAGTGTCAATATTGATGACACATTGTTTTTCAACAATAGAAAATACAGTCTTTTTGGGGTTGTTTGCCAGAATGGAACTCTGAGCGGAGGACATTATTTTGCAGAGGCCAAAAGATCTGGTACATGGAATGTGTACAATGACGAGCAGGTGACAAAAGGCTCCAAGACCTACAGTGGAGCACATCCTTACATAGTTTTCTATGCTCTTTAACAATGGCGACAAATACCTTACTATCCTCTCCCGCTTGGAAGTTGCTCATTTGATTTGTCTTTCCTTGTCTTCAAAGACCTGGAGTGATTTGCCAAGAGATGGTAGTCTTATTGGTGTTCTGGGGGTACAAAAGCAATGATTCCGGATTCCAAAGCCGATGGTATTTTGTATGGAAAACTTCTGGAGCATAGTTCCATGCAGGAGTAAAAGAGAGGAGAAGGTTATTAAAAGTACCTATCTAAAGAGCTATGAGGCAACTCAAAGTGAATGTGAATCGGATTTTTTTTCCGATAGCGGTGGACTTGACGAAGCACGTGGGAAGGACAACTCCCGACGGATGAAAAGAAATGAAAGAAATATTTCTAAAAAAATCCGGAAAACAAGTTCTAGCATGGTTTCAGAGCCAAGAATCGATGAAAAGAAGAAACAAAAGCCAAGGACCAATAGTACTGTGAGTAGCGAGGAACTTTGGAGTGGTGAGGATGAAGAAATAGTTGATCAAACAGAGTCTTTCAGCGGATTCAAAGAAAGGAAAAGAGATAGGAATAGAAGAGGGAAGTCGGAAGGTAATAGAGAAGTCTCTTCAGAGGATTCACACTTTGAAGACATCCAGGGCCCGAGGAGATCTTCTAGGACAATAGATGCATCTGCCAAGAAGACCGAGATACTTGAGAAGTATAGAAGTAGGATATATCGTGACAACAAAAAATCCCGCGATCCCGAGGATATTTCAAGGGAATCTGGAATCGAATCAAACGATTATGGAAAAGAGGAAAGGTTTTCTAAGTCGCAAGGGCTTAATAGATTTGGAGACTCCAAAGTAAATGAAAGAGATGCCCGCAACTTTGATGATAGCGAAAGCGAAATCAACTTTATAATGGACGTATACGACAAATCATCACTGAATAATAGCTTGAGAGAAAAGATGTTTGAATACCTTAACCAAATAGGGAGGAAAGGATAAGATATATTACATCCATTAAACCTAGTCTCTAAAATCTGCTTCTTTTAATTCTGTTCCATCTGAACAGGATGGACAAGCCTTTCCTGATTTCCAACAAATATATTTCTTATTTTATCGCTCTGCTTCTCGCCTAAAGGTCTGGAATTCTTTCCATCGGAGTCCCAGACTTTAAATTCCTTTAGCAATCCGCTGTTGTCCCCTTTAAGAAATGAATGGAGATTACTAATGCTTTGGAAGTGAAGAGATAGGCTACGGGCTGCATTTATTCCTATTCCCGGAATGTTCTGTAAAACATTTTGGAGATGCTCAATCTTTTGATTTGAAGAAAATGTCTTTGTTTTTGGTACGTGGACGCTCTCTGAATACAGATGCCTTACTATGGCTTTCAGTTCTCGAGGAAGATCCTCAGGATCATCGATAAAGACAAAGTTTCTACCGTTCTTGATTTGTGTGAGATAGATTTCCTCCATCTTTTTTTCATATTCATTTTTCTTCCTGACGTATTTTTTTCCTTCTTCCAATGCTTTTCTATATTCCTTGTCTTCTCTCGCTTTTACAGAACTCCGATATTTGTTTCTGTTCACTACAAAAGAGATGTTGCGGCCACAAGCCTCAATTCCATCCTTTTCCAAATCGATAACTCCTAGAGAATATACTGTCTTATGGTTATTACATTCAACTATCTCTAAGGACTGGTCCGCGGAAAACTTGTAAACAAATTTCCGGTCCTTTATCTTGTTTACAAACCTCTCTAAGGTTTGAGGAAAGACAAAGTAATGGTTTGCAAAGGCCGAGTCAAGATTCTTCGGAAATGAATTCTGCTGTGTTTCTGAGGATGCCTTTAGCTGAGGAGCATTAGATATGGAGAGTGGAATGTCGAGAATGGTAATCGAACTGTCGGTATCGGGGACGTTTCCTGAAGATCTTTCATTCCCTACACTGCTCCTTTCCAAATATTCCATGAGATTTACATGCTGGCTGTTCATCAAAAGCCCCCAAAAACTTCTCAATTTATCTCTACCCTCTCTTTGGATTCTCAGGAAGAAGCTTAATATACCCTCTTCTATTAGTATTAAGGTGAAGCTCCTTGGATCTCGAAGGATTTAGATAAAACATCCGAATGGCCTGTCCAACTTTGATGTCTGGGGAAGGATTCCACCATGTCACTGTGCATTCTCCGCTACTATCTCTGACCAGTAGCTTGGTATACATAGTGATCCTTACATCATGCGACGAAAAGACTCTTTCTGCTTTCCTTGCGAGATCTTCTATTCTATCCAGTTCGGGTTCGAGATCATCAGTTGTATTGCTATAATTCTCCACTTTTACAAAATACTTTGTTTCGATGATCTTTATAACAACCCCTTCAATGCAGCAGACAGGGCCTCCATTGCTAAGGATTTCCGATATCTTAAGTCTGAACCCTATTCTTTTTCTATATCCAAGTCTTCTCTTGGAATGGACTACTCGGACTCCATTGTAATGCAGCTTAAGACGGACATTCTCACAATCAAAAATGGATATTGGCGTGCTTCCCTCAAGATCTGCCCCAAAGACCTTAAGTCTAAATCCAACTCGGATCTCCTTCTTTTCTATCTTTTTTTGGAGAGCCTCGTCATATGATGCATAGAGACTGTGATATCCATCAAATACCTCAATCTTTTCTCCATCTATTCCAACAACCAAGAGGATCATATATCTCCAAGGGACATCGTCCCCCTCCAGAATTCTCCGAAGTACAGAATACTCATTCTCTAGTCTTATCCTAACCTGCTCTTCTATTCTATCTACAAAATCATTAAACTCCAGCCGTCTCCTCCCAAGGAAAAAATAAATCCACGCCCATGTAAACTGAGCAAAAACTCGGTTCGTATCTTCTGCAGGAAACCTCTTTTTCATCTCCCTATAAACCCTCTCAGGATCTATTTCTACTTCTTCCCTCTCCACTCTTCGAGATAAATTGTCCTGCGCTTCTCCATTTGTATCTACTTTTTCCATTCCATCTTCGAATATTTTATATGCTGAGCGAATACTCTCCCTTCGCACCTGGATCTTCTTTTTAGATCCTGTTGTAAACCCTGAAAACATCATATCTTCATTGGTGTTCCCTCCTTCGCCAAGATCTATATCCAAGATATGATCAGAATCCAAAGATAAGCGCTTTTGAGGAAAAGTATTGGGATTGTTTTCATCAGTGCTTGTTACACCGATGCTGTTTGTAGAATTAGCATTCATGGCTTTGCATCCATCTTCAGGACTCTCAGGAATCCGAGATGAGTCCGAGTTGAAGTCGTAGAATGTTTGATTTTCCTGTTCTAAGGACTCGGATACATCGGGTTCCTCCCCTGCAGTGTTATCTTTACGGCAAGCATTGTCTGAGCTAAAAAAAATCATATCATCACAACTTACTTGGATTGAATCAAGGACGCTGAAAGAGTCTTCTGTCTCTTCTTCGCTGTTGCTACTGCTTTGGAAGAAACTTTCAAATTCAACCTCCGAGCCTGCATCCATGGGCAGAATGCAGGAGGGATGCTGTCGGAATAAAATACAAAATAACAATTTATTCTGTTCTCAATCCGAACAGATTGTTTCTATCGTTGTTCACTAGAAACCAAACAGTTTTGAAGAAGTGTTCGGGAAGGATGAGGGATGAGTTTGACTTGGCTGTGTTTGGGTCGTTGTAGTATGATTCCTTCTCAATCTCCTTGGTATCCTTGATTCCTAGCTCAGACAGCGGAAGAATATCGACATCTGGCCCTCCTCCCATTTCAGACCAGCTTTCTAGAAGATTGACTCTTTCCACAAGAACCCTCTCTGTAAAGGTGTCCAAATACTCCTCTTCCTTGATGTTTAGAGGATAGAAGTGGCAGGACTTGTAGAACATCTTCTTAAGGCTACTGCGGAATATAAATGTGATCAGAATAATGGGAAGAAGAAACATCGAGAGGTAAAATCTCTTGTCCGAAGACATCTTTGCAAAGGTTGCCACCTGGAAAAATATAAGCGAAAACATTATGTTCTGGCATGCAGAGTCCCAATATCCCCCTCCGGACTCATACTGGTTTCTAGAAGCATACAAAAACTCCGACTTAAACGTTAAGTAGTTGCATAAGTAGAAAAACGCTCCGAGTAGAAGGATTGGCGGGCATATGACTGCGTAGACAATAGACATCGAAAATACAGTCAGACACGACGGGAATATGGTCCCGAAGTCAAATGGAGGAGAGAACTCGGCATCGAATCTTTCCCTCCTTGTCTTTCTCCCCGTAAATGGAAAGATAATGTAATTTATCAGCAACGGAGCAGGCTTCAGCAGTGTTAATGCAGTTCCCACTAAGGTCCTTTGGATAATTGTATTTGCGAAAAATACAGACGATTCTAGGGACTCATTACTGAACGCCTTGATGACATTGTATATTCTTTCATTTCGGAACAGAACATCTGCAAAGAGCCTATAGAAGCTTGATGCAAAGAACACCGAGACAAACCCGTTGAAGAACAGGAAGTTGGAGAGTTTGTCCATCAGCTTCTGTTGGAAAGTTGAGTATGAGTAGATTCCTTCCATGTTCACAAGTGCGGTTATGATCGTAGGGACAAACACCATCATGGAGTTGTAAATAAGTGGGAATAAGATTCCTCGCAAGGAGTCGGTGATAGTCTCATGCTTGTCCAGAAACGAGGATATAAGCTTGTTTTCTCTAAACATCTCGGTGCTTACTAGCAAAGTAACAATGTTGGCAACTATCGACGAGAATAGGATGATAAAAAGAATGAAAAACACCGCCCCAAAGACACTGTACATGTAGTTTTCGACCTCGCTGTTTGTTATGTTCTCCCAGATGACGTCGTTCGGTGCCGGGGCATCTTCCGATGCGACCGAAAATATTCTTGATCCTATTTGTGACTGCTTCACTATATTTGCACTTCTCTGGTCCTTGAACGTAACAAATCCTCTTTTGGTTTTTGAGGGGAGGTCTAGAGTAAAGTACATCTTGTAGTTGCTGTAATTGAGTATGTGATGAAACGAAAAGAAGCTTGCATCCTGCGATATGTCACCTTGCAGGAAAAGAGTGTTATTGTGTGAAACTAGCTCGACAATCCTAACGTCCTTATTCCTTGCTTCCTCATTTTTTATGATCTCCTTTTCCTTGCTAATTCTGCCATTCACGTTATTCAGTTTTTCCAAATAGAAGTTTACCTTTGGGATATCTTCCTTGAGTGTGTTTTCGAACTGCTTGGCTCCGTCCAAAAATAGAACAATAAGTTGTCTCTTCTGTGAAGAATCAAAAACACCCTCTATGTTGGCCTCCTCAACAGTTTTGAGGATGCTCTCTTTAAATCCAGATATACTTTCTGCACATGCTTCCTGATTCTTTTCCGACCAGTCTTGCATCTTTGCAAACTTTTCATTGATTTCTTTCTCGATGTTATAGATGTAGCTGTCCTTCTCACTATAAAGACTCTGCAAAGTATTGGTATCATATACGAGTACACAGTCATCAATCTCTCCAACTCCGAGGGAATCAATAAACTCAAAGAGATCTATATCGTTATTCACATAGCTTGGTAGTCTCGAGAGAATTAGCGTTCTGTTTGGAAGGTTGACATACTCTGTAGACTTCTCGGCACTTCCAAGGTTGTTTGAGAGTCTCTTCAGTGTTATTATGGACGTCATTATTGCTGGGTTGCGTAGATATGCTTGCCTTAGAACGATATATCTTTTGTAGTATATAAAGATAGAGTACATTATAAAGGCAGATATAAGGTACACAACAGGTATTATGAATCCATAACTTTCGGACTTTGGGTCCAAGCTTCCTAGAGAAAGTCTAACAAGCCATTGATCAGAATTCTCGACGTTCTCCCGCTGGTTTGTCCAGAACAAATATCCCAGAGATGGGATAACAAAGAAAGATAGGACAAAGAGAATTCTGTACAGCATCTTCAATGTCTGCAGCATCATAAATGCATCTAATCCTATGATTGATAAGAGTATTGTGTCGCTTACCGTCACAACAGGAATGATCCAGCTAAGAAACCCGGTGTAGTTATAGCACGGATGGCAAGGTCTGTCTTTGACGTTGGGTGAATAAAGCCATCTTGCCCTCTTTCTGAAGATGATGTACACTATTAGGATACAGACTGTGATAAATCCCTGGGACACTATGTTTGTCAACACAGCATTGTCAGCCCCCTTCAGAGGAGGCTTTTCTACTGCCTTCCCCATGTTTTCCTTGTCAGCATCGGCCATCCTTGCTTAGGGACTAAAAATTTTATCTTTGTAGCAACCAATAAAAATATACACACATCCGTTTGCCAGTGAAAGTCTTCTCTTAAGGAGAACCTTCCCATCCATTTGGATGCACTGTTTTTATGATACAAAATAAAGATGGGTGTTGGGGTCGTTTTAATCCGAAGGGCCTGTGAGGGTAAATAATGCGGATGAAATTTGTGGCAGAGAAGTCAACGAGTCTTCAAGATGTCGAAGACGAGAAGCAAGCTAATGTTGCCACTTTAAGAGAGAACGAGAAGATCTTGATTCTGTCCGTTGAAGAGGAGATTGCTCTGAACAAACAAAATATTGGAAACGATGTATATTATGGTGCGAAAAGGGCGTTTTTGTCGGGGGGAAAGAAAAAGCTGGATGAGAAACTTGTATCCCTTGGCCTGGACGATGAACAACAACTAATAGTGTCTAACTTGATAATGAGTAAAGAAATAAAAAGATGAGCTTTGGTTTTTTAATCACAGGCAATGGTGAAAACACACCCCTATCTATAATCTACTGGAGAGCCTCTTTAATTTTCTCCTCTAGACGCAAGGACTCGGATCCCTTTGGCAAGTAAATGGTGCATGCAGCAATTGGCCTATGGATTCCGCATGCTACACCCAGGGCACTCTTGGAAGGAATGTGAACAAAGGGAACACCCTTATCTTCACATATTATGGGCAGAAAGGCCGTTATTTCCTGCGGCTCTGCATCACATGCTATGACAACAAGGAGGGCGGTCCCCTTATTAAGACACTTTGTCGACTCATTTATGCCTTTTCTAACGTTCTTTGATCTTGTGGCTCCTTGGATTAGCTTCAGTATGTTCTGTACTTTTGAGTCGGAGACCGGAGAGTATGTCTGGGTCATTGTCATTGAAGGGGCAAAAATTTTGGTGTTTAGAGCCCTTGGATGAATATCAAGTCTAAGTATGACAAGGTGGTGAAAGCTCTATCTATCCGCCAGGTAGATCTATGGGCTGTGCCGAAGCTGATGACTCCTCTTGAAAACAGCTTTCAGACCGAAGCCATTGGAGACGAAGAGATCTGTATTGTACCCAAGGAAGCCAATTTCCAGCTCCCTAATATCTTCCTGAGGACCAGGCTGAATCCCGAATGCCAGAAGCTGATCGACAGTAGCAAGAGTAGTGAAAACTGGAACGACATTATCGAAGGGGTGATAGAAATGCTTGAGGAGGCCGACCTAACTACGGGTGAACACAGCCCTACAACTAGAAAATGCCCTGTGGATCAGGACACCCTGAACAAACTGGTATTTGAGAGATATGGGCACATCTGATTGGAAGAGATGATAGACATACTATTTATATATGTTTGGACTCCATTGGATGAATTAGGGATATCAGCTTAAACCTATTGGTGGGAAGCAATACTTCATTTGTCCTTATGATTAGATTGCTTGGTCGAGCAATCACTTTCGATGATGGATACATTTTAAAGATATAAAGACAAACAGTCCATCGTCTACATGAACCTTACAGTAGAGGAACCTTCGAAGGTAATAAAAATGAGGGTGAATGGAGGTAAACACCATAAGGAGCCGAGATACAAAAAAACGGTTTCTGGGGAAGAAGGGGAACTTTATCCGTCTATCTATGGCCAGAAATCCGAGGAAAAAAGGGTTCTTCAGAAAAGGGCTCTTTTTGAGTTGTATGATGATGAGAATTGTCCAGATGGAGCGATGTTCAATACAAAGGAGGTTTCTATTGATTTCTTTGATTTGAATCCGATGAAAAGGAAACAGCAAAAAGAAGGAAATCCCAAGAGTGGCGGAGTTAGAGAAGTGGAAAACCCATGGGGTGGGAAGGACAAGGGTATGATACTGGAAAGGAGCTTTATAGAGAGTATGCTAGAAAACGACATCCGGGTCAAAGATATAAAGTATGGAGAGGACCTTGTATTTATATATTTTTTCACAGTGGAAGATTCTATATCGTTTTACAAGCAGTTCTTACCATATGCAGAAGTACACTTCTCCGAAGCATATGACTTTGAGCAAGCTTTATCTCTTTCTTCAGAGGAATGGGCCAGTATTGCACTACTGAACATGTGTTGCGATTCTTCAAAGATCAAGGAAAACTCTGTTCAGCCTCCAGATGAAAAAATACATTTGGAAACAAGCAATGCATTAGAAAATGGATTCCAAGCAGATGAACGGAGTGAAAGCATAAAAGATGAGGAGACATCCTTATTTAGATGCACGGGATTTGGTAGTAGCGGATGGGACTGTGAGTTGTCCCAAGAAGAAATCTTCACAAGAAAAATTGAGCACTTCACACATCTCAGGAATTTCTTCTCGAAGAGCGAGGTAAAAGCCATGTCCCAGAGCTTGGAGATGGGAAATGTTGATTTTGTGTTTAAAAACACCAAAGAACTGGCCGTTGGAAACCAGTCAAACAAGGTGATGCAGGAGGCAATAGGCCTTCTCCCCGAGACTGGAATTGCTCGAATTATTCAGAATCTTGGACATGACATTGCTCCTATAGCAGCAAACAAGCATGGAGCATATACTATCCAGATGCTGATTTCGATGTCAAAGACATCGCTAACCCAGAATCTACTATCGAAATACTTTAGGAGGTTTGGAGAGTTCTTAATAACCCATGAGATCGGGAACTATACTATCCAGAAGATACTTAGGTTTGATGCGAATCTTGTATTTGAGCTTTTTATCTCAAGAATCGGAGATGTCGTAAAAAACGAGCTTGGTATAAAGGTTTTGAAGAGATGTATAGAGTTCTTTCCCGATAAAAAAGGCTTCTTGGCCCAAAAGGCTAAAGAGCATGGAAAGAACTTGACCACTCTGCTATTTTAGGATTGTATTAAATTTATTTTTCATATTCAACCAGTCCAACCTTTGCCTTCAAATCGGAAATCACTTTGTTATGGTAGGCTTCGTCAACAAATACTCTACAGGGATCAAATTCCACAAGGGGTTTTGTGCCTAGTGTTGTTTCTAGAAGTAGGATTGCCCCATACACATCATTTTCCGATGGTTTTCCGGAATTCAGCAGCTTGGAATGTGCTTCTGTAAGCCTTGCAAGGCTCTCTAGCATTCTAACGGTGTTGAATTCATTAGCTCCCTCGGCTTTTCTTTTATAGTGGTAGTAGCTCATCAGAACAGAGTTAAGGCTGTCGGGAATGACTGTACTTTTTTTTCTTACAGTTCCTATGTAGCTCTTTAAAATCCCACTGCCCCAGTACTTTGTTTCTTGTTTCTTCTCGGAAAGTCTCTTCTCAGGATTTCTACCAAGGATCTTATCTACAATCATCAAGTCATTACTGTGGCTATTCCCATCAAATAATCCAAAAATAAGATCAAACCTGCTGGCTAAGGGGGTTGCAATCATGGTGTTTTCCGAGACACTTTTGTCAAAGTTGTATTTATGTCTCGTGTTCACCACTGCAATGACAGAACATCTGGTATTCAATGAAGAAACAATCCCTGCCTTTGCTATGCTGAGTGTTTGCTGCTCCATTGCTTCCAGAAGTCCGTTTTTTTCATTAACCTTAAGTTTGTTAAACTCATCTATACAGCAAATCCCTGTATCTGCAAGTACTAGAGCCCCTGCTTCCAGAACCCACTCTTTTCCTTGCCTCACTGCACATGCCGTGAGCCCAGCTTGCGAGGTTCCTACTCCATTGGTCAGAACTGCTGGGGACAGAAGCTTAGTGCATGTCTTGAGGAGATGGGATTTTCCCGTCCCAGAATCTCCAACCAAGAGTACATGGGAATTTGACCTTGTACATCCCTTTTGCTCTTCATGGAATCCGCTTACAAGAGCCAGCAGAAGTCCAAGCTTGACATTCTCGAGTCCTTGTATCTCCTCTCCAAATGAATTAATAAGAAACAGTCTTCTTTGGAAGCATTCAAGCCCATCCAATCTGCTTATAAATGCTCTTCCAAGTGGGTCTCCCATAGATTCATCGTCTTGCTTATGAACTGCAAGTGCATGCATGTATATGGAGCTTGCCATTGGTTCCCCTATCTTGAATGGCTTCCATCTCACAAGAATTACTCCTGTTACAAGTATCTTATCTCCGGGAAAAAACTTTCCTGCAAGATCCTCCTCGAGAACAACTTCTAGCGTCTCCGACATTGAGTTGGGATTTCCTATGTCCTGGATCCTTATCTTTTGACTCGGAATGGCCTCCCCAAAGCACCTTCGATCCTTCAGAAGAGACGATCCACAGGATTCACACAGCATTTTACCCTTTCTTTTTCCCGAAGAGCATTGGTATGCCTTAGAATTGCACTTCAGACACACCAACTCACTCGTGACATTTCTTATCAAAGTTTCATAGGCTCGGATAAGTGTTCCACTCACAGTGATGATCCGATTGATGTTCTTGCTGTAGCATGCTTTATCTGTGAACAATGCATATGGAATCCCTTTAAGAGTCCTCTTGTATATGTAGTGATGGGCAGAAACCTCCAGTGCAATACTATTTGCCAATTCTGGATTCTTCGAGCAAAGTTCAATTAAGTCGAGTTCCTTTTCCTCTTCCAAAACCATATCCCCACAAGCTCTTTCGCTCTTTCAACAACAAAATTTTAAGGCTTCCCTAAAGAGAGAGGAGGAGCTACATCTCCTTGTGGACAAAGAGTAGATTTACTTTGGATCCCAGAAAAACCCGCAGGCCTAAATAAGGAGAAAACACAAAAAGGGGAAAAGGAGTTAACTCCAATTGATGAATTCAAGCATAAAACAAAATAGACAGAGAATAGTCAATGATGGAAGATAAGCAGGAAAAGGTACTTGATGCAGCAAATGTTGTGGAAGCAAAGGCAATGAATGCAATAGATAATGTTGAGAAGTCGAGCATTGGAAACTCCATTCCACTTGAGGTGAGTCTCCCCCTCCGTGAGCTAACGAAGTACCTAATGTTCTTCACTATATTTGAGTCGATTCCCATATACTTGATTACTTGCGAAGGAAACAAAAACGAGTTTCTTCATTGGATTTCAAAAGCAACTGGGTTTGTTTTTCTTATCATAGCCATCACGGCAGCAGTATTAGACCTGGTTACATTTTACGGCAAGCTGTTCTATTTGTACAAGTTCGTTGTGCCTGTAACTCTTGTAAAATCCGCCATAGCATTTGTTGTTGTAGTCTTTTCCAACATCAGCTCGATGTACGTTGTGATTCTTGCTATATTATATTCCCTGAGAATCACCGTATTTGATGCACTGTTTCTATACTACCTTGCAATCCTTCTGAGAAGAATAGAGTCCGACGATTACGACAACGACGGAGAGCGGCTCAAAGCAAAGGAATCAAAGGGAGAGAAAGTATGATTAAAGACTTTGAACTATGTACAAAAAATCATTTTCAACTCTCCTTGTGCGCCCCAAAGTACAAGCTTGACTAAATACATTTTTTAATCACTATGGTAAGTAAGGCCGGCCTCATTGTGCCTTTATCAGCCCGGTTATCATCCCATCCTCAAAATCAAACTGCTCCTTGCCTTCATCTTCGTCAGGGATCACTATCTTTATTCTTTCAACCAGAGGATTCCCTTGGTTCACTCCAAACTCCTCTGCTATTCTACTCCACCAGAGGGCCAAGAGAGCATTTTTCTTGACTCCTATCCCCTGCTTGTAGCATTCAGAGACTAAATATGCTGCAAAAACATTCTCTCTTGTAGCCGCCTTGAGGCCAAGCCGAAATCCCAGCTTAATATTCTTCTCAACCACTCCATCCAGTCCGTTTAGAAATAGAGCCGAAAGCCTTGTCTGTGCATCAGACTGCCCAAGATCTGCTGCCTTTATATACCATTCTATGCTCCTTCTCATGTCCTTCTCATGTCCCATTTCTCCGTTCTCAAAGCATTTTCCCACTCTGAACTGACAGTTGGGGCAGTCTAGAGACGCCCCTTTTAGATAAAGCTTGAATGCATACAAGTCATCTGGGGATATAATGTCCGGCCCCTTGCCCTTCTCATGGCATCTTCCGAGGTCGTACAGGGCATATGGATAGGTATATGTTGCCTTCTTTGCAGCTAGCCTCAAGTAGAAGTACCCTATCTTAAGATCGCAGTCTCTTTCCATCCTTTCAAATAGCACAATTACGCCATAGGTGTGCATTGCATCAATCAAACCTAGTTTGGCTGCACACCTATAAAAATACACCGCCTTTTCGATGTTTCTCGCCTTTCCTATTCCCTTTTCATAACACTGTGCAACTCGGAAGGTTCCAACAGCACTTCCCAGCTGGGCAGCTACTATATAGTTTTCAAATGCTTTTCTATCGTCCCTCTTTATCCCAAAGAGGCCCTTTTCATACGAAAGACCCAAGTAGTAATATACCTCTGCCCGCGACATTGGATTCAAGGCCTGGATCAAGTGGCTGGAGATGGATTTCCTCAGTAGTTTCTTTATAGATAGACGCTGTTTTTCATTAAGGTGCCTAAGGGTCTTCTCCAGCGGCAATGGATCTCCCGGGAAAATTCTCTTCGTATCTCCTCTCTCGTCCTCCATCTTCCTAGCATAGTGTCCAAGTATGACTAGCACATCACCTACATCTTCTTCAATGTCATCTTGCAGCCCCTCTGCCAACTCTTCCCCAACTCCGCCCATCAACACCGGCTTCATCTCTGTTCGATATGCTTTATTCCTTTTGCAGGAACCAATAGCTTCCCTAAGGAGAGATTCATTACTGATGGAGTTAGAGCAATGGTCAAATGGTATTTGATTGTCTAGAGAAATTCCGAGCTGTTGGTAAGGGCCTTGCGAAAAGTTCCAAGGCCGTCTGAGGACTGAGATTAACCTTTTTGTGCTTTTCTTCTGTCGTTGATTTTATCCCGGACAAAAGAGCCCGGGATGTTGAAGATTCAAGACTTTGACTTTGTAAAAGTCGTAGGAGAAGGAGCCTTTGGGAAGGTGTATCTGGTGAGACCTAAGAGAAATCCAATGCTTATTTTTGCAATGAAGATACTTGACTTTGGGGAAATCCTTAAGCAGAGGTTAGCTGACCAGCTCGAAAACGAAATTTCTATTTTGAAAAGACTTTATGGATGTCCATTTGTTGCAAAGCTGTATTCAACAGACTTCCATCGTGGAAAGGTGGGACTAACTCTGGAGTATGTTGGAGGAGGCGAGCTGTTTTATTGGCTCAAAAAGTGTGGGAGATTTGATGAGAAGATGACTCGATTCTATGCAGCAGAAATCGTTTTGGCTTTGAAGTTTATACATGGAAAAGGGATTCTCTACAGAGACTTGAAGCCCGAGAACATACTGATTACGTCTACAGGACACATAAAGCTGATTGACTTTGGATTTGCAGTCTACGAAAACGAGAGTATATATATGATTTCGGGGACTCCGGAGTACATGTCACCGGAGAAGCTGCGGAGCGAAGATGATGGACGTGCAAGCGATTATTGGGGGCTGGGAATTATAATCTACGAAATGCTATGCGGAGACCCTCCATTCTACGATGCAAGTGCTGACACCATTTATCACAAGATACTCGAATGCCAGATCGTTTTCCCCCATTATGTAAGTCCTGTTGCAAGAAGCCTGATATCAGGACTATTGGACAAAAGTCGAACCACCAGACTAGGAGCCAAGGGAATATTCGAAATAATGAATCATCCCTTTTTCAAGGGATTGGACTGGGGAGAAATAGAAGATAGGACTGTAACACCACCGTTCATCCCAAGCCCGAGCTCTGTCCTCGGATTTTCAGGAAGCAGCTCGGAATACAGTAGCATAGATTATGGAGAAACAGCTGTTTTTAAGCCATACAAGTATGTTAAACACTTTCGAAAGGACAAGATACCGAAGCGGATATAGATCCGATGCAAACCAAATAAATTCAGAGTATTTTCCTTTGAAGTAGTTAAGTACCAAATCTTGTATGGTTTTTTCTCTGTGGTGAGTTTACGGAGAATGTCCCTATGGACATCAATTGGCAAAGAGGAGATGAGGGAGCCGAATTTGGCAGGAAGAACTAATAAAATTTTGTTATAAATATTCTTTTGCTAAGAGGGGTAAGATGAGAACAGAAAGCAACAGTGGATCGAAGGGAACCTTCAAGACGATGAAGCTAGGATTTCTAGGGCTGGTTGGAATGGTGGTTGTGTACTATGTGCTTCTGTTTATCTTTGGAATCAAGTACTTAGACCCGGAATACTATGGAAGTTATTTCTATGCTTGGAGAGTGAACTTTGCAGACAAGATCATGACACATGGGAGATACAAGCTCATTAAGAAGAACGAGCACCCGGACACAGAGGACAGGAAGAAGTTCTACAAGATCTCTCAAGACGAGACAGGCCCATATCTTATTCGATTTGATCGACCGGAGCATTTCCCACGGGGACACGAGCATCAGTTCACATTGAACTTCCCTGGATATGAGGACTTCCTAAAGATGCGGGAGAGGTTTATTGTTGAGTCTGAGGGATTGCAGTCTGAGATGGATCTGAGCCACTCTGATTTGATTGACCGGATGAAGAAGAAGAAGGAAGGAGGAGGACAGTTTCTGGCAGAGTACAAAGGCAAGTCTATTGAGGAAATGAAGAGCATTCTGTTTCCAAAGAACAATGAAGAAAAGAATCCATGGTTTGAGGTGAGTAACATACTGATCAATGCAATATCCAATATCATGTCCGACAAGGCTGAGGATAGAGAGGGATATCTGTTTGATGGGGAGAAGATTGGAGACAAGATGATGAAGGACATTCGAAGTGCTCTCGAGGAGCTCGACAGCCGTGCAGAAGACGAAGATGAAAAGCTTTCGGAGAAGATAAGCGATTCCGACATCAACAACTTCTTCATCAACAATGGGAGAGTGTCTGCAACACCACATGAAACATTTGCTTACTCACGGATATACTACCTGTTCAACTTCTTGACAGCAGGGATTGAGTTCAAGTCTCAGAAGCTCGCAGATCTAAGGGAGGGGGAAGATGAAAACGAGTTCCGGGAAGAGCGAATGAATTATGTTGCAAATCTGTTTGCCAGGATATTTTCAAGCATATACCCTAACCAACACAGAAAAGATGTCAGTTCGATTGGGGTTCTTGAGAAGATAAGAAATTACTATAGCCCGAAGACGGTTGTTGAAGAGAAGAAGGAGGTGGATGAGGAGGATCTCAATCTCATCAAGGACAAATTCTCAACTTCGTCAAGAGTTCCTGCATGATCATAATAAAAAAGGTATTTCCATCATACGTTTACTTTAATCGAAATCTTTTGTCTTGGGTTCGGCATCTTCGTAATATTGCACTGCATTATCTATGGAATAAAACAGCTCCTCAACACTTTCCTCCTTGTTCCAGTCCAGCGGATGGAAGTTCAGCATGCTATTCTCGGCAACAAAGCTCAACATTCTTTTACATATTCTAGAATACTTTCCCCTGCCAATTAGTGCCGAAAGTTCCTCTGTTGGCGTATAAAACATCTCAAGATCCTCACTCTTAACCAAATCCATTTTCGAAATAACATTGATACAAGGAATATTCAACCTTGACATCGAGACAAGTGCACAAAAGCACCCGCTCACATACTTGTTGATATCCACTAAGTATTGGGACTCCATCATATAAACAACACCACATTTAAAATGCCGGCCTACATGATCGATAATCTTTGGCATTATCTCGGAGTGTGCAAACAATTCTATTTGCCCCGGGCAGTCGAAAACAAGAAAGGCGCCCTCAAAGTCCTCTAGCCTAAGCTCATCAATGTTTTCGTAGAGTTCCTCCAGTGCAAGCAGAAGCCCCCCATTTGGTCCATAGTCATACTCCTCCATAACATCCCCAACAGTGATGAAGTCCCGGAGATCCAAGGCATACCCTTCGCCAGGAGCTATCTGCGCAGGATCCAGGTTGATCACCTTGTAGGTTCTGCCTACACTCTCCCCATGCTCCTGTATATTTCTGCAGAATGTTGACTTCCCCGATCCAGCCGGTCCAAAGACAAAAATGGCATATCCCATTCCAGCCCTCCATGAGGAAAATTAATAAAGCCGTCCATTCCGACCCGAATATTGAAGAGCTTCTACTCTCTCTCCAGATAGAGAATGAATCCCTTGAAGAGGGTGAAGCTTTCGAAAGCTCCTCTTCACTCATGGACGAACCAGAGTGCAGGCTCGCCGGAGACATAGTCCACAGAGATCTTCGTGCAACGGATGCCGACATGAAAGCCCTGATAGAAGGAGGAAAATGCAAGATCTCGGGGAACTCACTGCCTTTTTCACTATTCGAGGTGATCAAGAAAAAAGAAAGCACCGAAACAGCTGTTGTTTCCAATCAGAAGTTCCTTATCGAAGGCGGAAGGTATGACTATGGATTTACCCCCAAAGATCTGGAGAGGTACAGAATCAAGCGAAAAAGAAGAATAAAGGAGACATGTCCTAACTGGGAAGACATTTCAGAAGAAAAAAGAAACGAGCCGAGAAAAGTTCACGTTAGGTCTTTGAAACTCCGAAACAAAAGATGAAAGCCCGAAACCACTATCTTCAATAAATCGATCTACAAGCTCAAATTATATGACATTCTTTGGTTTAATAACCTTCTTCATGGAAACAATACCAAAGATAAAGGACATAAGAGTGATGAGGAAGAAGATGCCTATGGATGTGCTGTACCTGACTCTTCGGAATCCGTAGAGATGCAGGGCTTCTCTCCCATTGGGAATGCATCTTTCGGAATCCTTGCATTCGAAGGTCAAGTTTTCAAACTGACTCTGTAGAATGGTTTCAAAAGCATAGTACACAGGAGACATCCATACAGTCCACTTAACAAACTCCGGGGCCTCCTCAGGGTTAACAAACATCCCTCCAAGCATTATGAACAATGCAGCTACTGTAGACGAAACCACCTGTGCGTGGATAAGTGTTTTGGTGTGGAGAGAAACTATAACTCCAAATGATATAGAGAAAAGCACAAGCATCACAAAGACAAATACAAACAATATGAATTGGAGGAGGCCTGGGTTCAAACCCACCACCCAGTACACCACAACGGTATAAAGAACGCTAGGGATTCCAGATATAAAGAAGCTAGACATCACATTGGCGAAGTAAGATTCAACTGCACCATACATCCCTGCACAGACCTCTCTTCTGAGTGCCTTCTTGTGGGAGTCGATGAATATGATTGAGGAAGCTATTGACCTTTCAAGGCCGCTTATAACCATAAACGAGAGGATTCCAAATCGGTCTCGGATGCCTTTCTGTGTGTAGTCTAGGCGGAAGTAAACAAGAACAAGAAACAGCAAGGTTACAAGCTTTTGGACACTCAGAGTCCTCATGAGCCCACGTCTTCTGGAAAAGTCTGACAGGTTTCTTTCAAGGACCAGTAAGAAGCTTAAAAAGGACTTCTGAAGCATCACTGGGAGCTCTATCTTCTCTATTATTGATGATATGGCCAAGGGCTCTATTCTTTTCCAGGATGCTTTTAGTCTTTCTATCCTTCTAGTAGACTCTCTTTCCGACACTGGCGATGCCATATCGATAGATAGGATCTTCATAAAGAAGTCCAGCGGGTTTTCATGTTTTTTAAGATTGTATCCACACTTCTTCAAGAAGCTCTTACATTCTCTAAGACTTCCACTGAACACAATTTCTCCTTGGCATATCATTATGATCCTGTCAAAGAACGAAAGAATTTCCTTGGGAACCCTTTGGAACGAAACCATAATTCCCTTTCCTTTACTCTTCAGATCCATAAGAATGTTTAGGATGTGAATGATATTCAGCAGATCAAGATCGTTAGTGACTTCGTCTATAATCAGCACCGAGGGTCTCTTTGCAAGAATTATTCCCAGGGAAAGCCTTACTCTTTCTCCAGTTGATATTGAGCTGACTGGAATGTGTGCAACTTTATACAGTCCTAGACTATGGATCAGGTTGGGCACCTCTTCTGCCACAATTATTCTCTGATCTCGGTTCCTTGACGCCATCACTGCAAATCTCAAGGTTTCCTCAACCGTCTGTGTTTCATACGAATGGAGATGCTCTCCCACAAATCCTACGGCATGCTCCCACACTCTTGCATCGGCAAAGTGACCATTTAGGAGGACCTCTCCCGATATCCTTAGTCCTTCCATTGGTTTTCCTATTATCGCATTTACCATCGTTGTTTTACCTGAACCGCTTGCTCCCACAAGTACAGTCATTTCCGAAGGCCCTATCTTTCCCTGAACCCGATGGATTACTGTTTCCTTGAAAGGCCCCTTAATTGATTCCACGTTTATGCTCCTCCAAACGATCTCTACCTTTCCATTCGTTGGATCCATGGGTGGAAGGGAGTAGCTGTTAAAATAGTCCTCCTACCATTCAAGTCCCAGAACAAAAAGAAAGAGACCTCCATGAGGATCAATGCCAGACACCTCTGATTCCTTGTCTTAATATCCAAAGATTTGTTTATCCTAAAATGAAGAGGTCGATTAAGGTTTGCCATTCCAAAACATATGGATTTCCATCAGGTGAGAACATATGCCATCAGGAACTTGCGGAGAGCTTCCAGATTCTTTCGGCAGTAAATCTTTTGGTGTTGCCTGAGTCGTTTGTAAGAATCGAGTTTTTTTCCACTCGTAGAAGCGTTTTCACTAATGATTCCTTTAATGCAACAGACATCTACTCTGTATACAGGAACGGCGAGCTTTTTTTCAATTCCTCCCCGCTTCCATGGGAGTCGGATGCACAGATACCCTGGGCAGAATATAGAAAAAGGCTAGTCGACTATATTTCAAAGAGGCTAGCTCACGGGATAGAGAACATGGAGGGACTTAACGATCGTTATATATTCTATACAAAATATCGCCTTGCAAATTCCATCAATCCAAGACAGTGCCGAAAAGACCTCCAGAAGCTCTCCAAAGAGTTTAAGCTATTGGAGAGGATAGAGGTTTTACGGCTGTCTACACAAAAAGAAATCTCAGGTCCCCTTGCTGATGAAGTATATAACATATTTTTATCCTATAAATCAGATCCAGAGCTAGAAATCAGGTTTATTTTGGAAGTGATAGACATACTGCCGCTGTCTGTCATTGTAAGAATGGCTAGAAGTATTAGCAAGGCAAGAAGATACCAGGCTGTATTACTGTATTACGAGGTATACTTGAGATCTCTACAGAAGGAAAGATACAGAACAGCATTTCTGTTTGCCATCAGTGCATCAAGACTTCTTAAGCAGGGGGTGAACTTAAACTTTGAGGGGACGATCAAGTCAGATTCAATCCGCTGTATTAAGGAAAAAAACTGGCAGATGGTGTTGAAGAATGTGATTAAGGGAATAGAGGAGTTAGATTCACTCAGATACGGGGTAAATCCATATATATTACACGACATTGATAGATGTGAGTTTACTGTCGATTCTGTGGAACTTGACTGGTCCAACATTACCAAGTGCTCCGACACAGTGCTCTTCAATGGAGAAAGCACAAGAACATACTTCACGGATCGGTTCAGAATCAGAATCTTATTTTCTAGAATATCTTGTGCCAATCTCCATGGGATTTCGGGAAGTATTGCGGGAGGACCGGATATATTTATACCAATATACCAGGTCTTAAATGAAAGTCCTGCAGTTGTCCAAGTATTCTTTGATCTAGCCAAAGTACTTCCTTCTGCGGAAGATAGAGCCAGTGAGCTTGAACTAAACCTTAAAAGATTAGTTTTCTCCGAAAACATAGTTGTACCTATCGACCTTGAGATTACCTGGGTGAGAAGAAAGAGCACAGTCCACGTCAAGGATGCCAGTACTATCGATGACGAAGGGAAAATCATCGTTCTCCTTGTATTATCAAATCAGGAGGGATTTGAATCCAGAATTCTTGGGCCAGATGTTATAGAGAGAAATGGATGTGAGACAACTGTTTCTCTGCATGTGTCCAAGGGATTCAAAGTATGTTTACGCCATGAGATCTCGGAAAGCATATTTGAGACATTCGAACTCACATACTAACTTCAGGATTAACAAAACGATCCACTAAATAACATATTACTTGCCTCCATTGGCCCCGGAATCCCATGTGTATTGACCCTCTCCTAACTTCTTTTCCGCAATCTTGATATCTTCAACAAACTCCACTTGCTCTGATTTGGTAAAAGAGCATCTTGCCTCGGGCGGATATTCCACCTCCTCTTTTGGAAACACAAAACTTTCCACAATGTCCTCAACGGTATTCTCCGAGACATCCATGTCTTCGTCTTCTATTGCTTCTTCACTAGAAGCTTTTTCTGTATAATCCTCCTCCCCAAAGAAGACCCTGTTCCGAGGCTTCCGGATAAACCTTTTCTTGAGCTTTCTCAGTATGTTTCTGTTTATCTCTAACATGTCGTGGTTGTGCTTCTTGGAAGGTTCTTCATAGTCTTCATCGGACGAGGCAATAAACGACAGGGCATCGGAATCACCTCCATCCTCTTCATAGGAGGATTCTCCATCCTCAGATGTTTTTGCTTCCAAGTCTATGAATCTTTTAAATCCTTTGGACTTCCCAGACTTGGACTTTGCTTCTGAACTTGAACCCAAACTCGATGAAGAAGAATGATGCAACGGTTGGGCCTCGGTTTCATCTTGGTCTTCCATTTGTTTACTGGAAGAAAAACACTCATCATCGCTTGACATACAACAGACTCCATCCATAGAGGTATCATGACGGCTCTTAAGAAAAATTAAGTCAAAATCATCATCTTTCCTTCCAAGTATCTTATTGGTTATTCTCTTCTGGACCTCTCTAACCGCAAGTTCCCTTAAGATCTGCTTGCGATGTTCCCCATAAAGTCCCATCGCATGAGATATTGTATAGACACATGCCTTTCTGCTTGTCAAGGAGTTTCTTGGGAATTCTTCGGCTTCCTTCATGTCTGGAAATAGGTTAGCGATAAAAACAAATAAAAGGGCTCCCTTATGATTGAAGAGCTGAAAGGGATAGTGAGAAACAAGGAGACAGTGCTTGAGGAAAAAGAAGCTGCAGTCCTTGAGATTTTTAGGATCCTGATTTCCAAGGGTGACTACCAGGAGATCGGGGCCACTATCATTTCATTGAGAGAGACTTGGGAAGATATAACAACACCCAGAATCACAAAGATCATAAGAAACCTTTTTGAAATGATCCCATACTCGTCTGACAACTTTGGAAATGTTCTTGAGCTTCTTACTGTTCTTGTGGAATGGGCAGACAAGGAAAATAAGAAGATGCTCCGCCTCGACTTAGAGTGCAAAAAGATATATGCTTTGCTGAAGACAGGAAGATATTCGGAGGCATTGGCACAGATAGGACCTGTAGCCCATGAGCTCAAGAAGTACGATGACAAGATCAATCTCATAACCTTATATGTGTATGAAAGCAAGGCATTCTATGAGATAAAGAACATCTCGAAGTCAAAGTCGTCTCTGACATCTGCAAGGGTTCTTGCAGTTTCTGCGTACTGCCCGCCCCAGCTTCAGGCACAGATCGATCTTCTAAGTGGAATTTATATATGTGACGAAAGAAACTATGGAGTTGCGTCTTCTTACTTCATAGAAGCTCTCGAGGGCTTCACACTTGGAAAGATGGATCCTGAAGCCTGCATATCGCTGAGATATCTTATTTTGTCAAAGATCATGGCAAATAAGAGAGAGGAAATCAATACGGTGATGAAGAATAAAAGCACTCTCAAACATCTTGGAGACGAGATAATCAGGGTCCTCCTCAAAGTCAGCAACAGTTTCGCAAACAGAGATCTGAAGTCATACACCAATGTTCTTCAGGAGTATTCCGAGCAGATACACAGCGATTCATTTATCTGCAGCCATCTACAATACTTGTATGATCTTCTCCTTGATAAGAACATCATTAAGATAATTGAGCCTTACTCTGTTATCCGAATCAGCTTCATAGCCGATGTATTGGGCTTTGGAGTAGACGTCATTGAAAAGAAGCTTAGAAAGATGATCTTGGACAGAGCTGTCAACGGCACCCTCGATCACATAGACGAATGCCTAATTCTGCAAGGAGAGAAAGCCGATGAAAGCTTTGCAGACGAATGCATGAAACAAGTCAAGGCATTGAATTGTATTGTCTCCCCTCGCTATTAAAGCCTTTCGCAGCCTATTTTGGTTCTTTCTTTACCCATATGGACATGGCAAATGCTCCAGACAAGACCTCCGGGAAGGTCGGCCTACTTTTCAAGACCATGGGGAAAATGATTCCTGTCAATGCAGTGTATGGAGACACAGTATTAGAGACTGCACACAAGAATGGCGTGGATCTTGAAGGAGCCTGCGAGGGAAACTTGGCATGCTCAACATGCCACGTGATCCTAGAGGAGCCTCTATACAGAAGACTTGGAGAGCCTTCCGACAAGGAATACGACTTAATCGACCAAGCGTTTGGCATCACAAGTACCTCAAGACTGGGATGCCAATTGAAAATTGATAAGAGCTTTGAGAAGACAGTCCTTACAATTCCTAGAGCAACGAAGAACATGGCTGTGGATGGATTCAAGCCCAAGCCCCACTAGCTGGGAAGAAGAATATCCAAGAGTCAAAAAACTTTATTCCATTCCGTACACAGAATGTCTTACAATTGTAGAGTCTCCATTTCCGTTTCTACTGAGTCTATAGAAGTATTCAGGCCCGTCTCTACTTAGCAGCTGGACAAAATCCTCGTCGTGTGTGATTACAATCAGCTGGAAGTTGGAATCCTTTTTGTGCTTCGAGATTATCTTGGAGAGAGTGAATGCAAGGCTTTCTATGTTGTCTCTGTCGAGATTGGTCGTTGGTTCATCAAGAGCCAATATATTACAGTTGGAAGCAAAGGAATCTGCAAGCGCCAGTCTTATGAGAATGCTAGCTATCATCTTTTGTCCGGCACTCGACCTTCCTCTCATGTCGAGCTCCACCCCTCCTTTGATAAATACAACCTTGTAGTTATATGTTCTTTGGCCCGAACTCTCTGTCTTGATCTCTATCCAGTCAACGTCATCTCCTCGGTAAGTATTCATCCACAGGTCCTTCAGCGTTGCATTGACTTCTTCTAACTTCGAGGTATGGAAATCCACAATAGCCTTGTCCAATGCCTGGATGCACTTCTCGAGGTCCAGAGAAGATATCTCCAGAGCCTTAACTTCAATGAAGCATTTGTTATAGTCCTCTACAGTCTTTTCATGATCTTTCTGAAGCTCCTGCCTACAGGACTTTATCCCCAGAGCAATCTGCTTGCATTCCCCTAGTAATAATGACTTCTGTGCAATCAGCTTCATCTTCTTTTCTTCCAAAAGCTGTTTCTTCTCTCTAAGTCTGGTTAGATACTCAAAGTCAATTTCAGACAACTCCTTCTCTATTTCTTCAATTATCCTTTGTCTTTCGTAATACTTCACACTCTCCTCTGCCAGGACACGCATTTCATGCATAGTACGAATCTTCTGTCCAGCCTCCAAAACCTCATTTTTCTTCTCAAGGAGCTCATTTCTCACAGCATCAAACTTCCCTTCATCCTTAGCCTCATCACAATACTCAATATGAAGAAGCTTCTTCACCTTACTGTTCAGCTCTTCTATCTCTTTTTCAAGCACTGCTATTTCCTTTTCCTTTTGGTAGAAAATCTCCATACTCATTTCCAACTCTACTCTCTTTCTCGAAAACTTCTCCAGAATCTTCTCAACCCTGCCTTTCTTTCGCAATACTTCCTCAGAGACTTCTGCAATCCTCGCTCTTATGCTACTCCTCTCAATCTGGCGAATGGCTTCTTTTGCATCCTCTCGAAAATTGATCTTTTCTCGGATCTCTTTCTCTGCCCTAACTACTTCCTGCTTCCGCTCAAGATACTCAATCCTTTCTTTCTTTCTTTTCATCTCCCCTCTCTTCTCCTCATAGATCTTCTTTATTCCATCAATCATTGACTTCAGCTCCTGAACAGACTCTCCTTCCTTTTCATCCTTCAGCTTCCCCTCTATCGAAAATAGCTCGGAAACTAATGAAAGATAAAACTCTGTTTTCTTGATTCCCTCAGACTCGTCCAGGATGTCTAACTCCATCTCCTCTAGAACTTCCTCATCTACTATGCCTTCGCTAGGCTCGTATTTCAGAATAAGCCCAACAATCTCTTCTCGTTTCCTGTTTCTATCCATCACTCCTTCATTGATCCTCTCTATTTCCGTCTTTCCCCTACTTTGTCTCTTGGATGTATTTTCTTTCCCTTCTAAAGAGACTCTTTCAATTGCAAGCTCCAGTCTTCTTTTAAACCCTATCTCTTCCTCCATAGAAAAGGATCGGTGGCAAATAGGACATCCATGGCTTCTTCTTCCATCCTCCAGCATTTCTCTATAAATCTTTTCTCTCCACAAACTCTCTGACTCACTTGTCATATCCCAAAGCTCAAAGGCCTCCTTCTTTCCATAGAATCCTTCAAAGTTCAGTAGGTCAACTCCAAACATTGCTGAATCCGCTCCAAAGAATGTTCGATTTCTTTCTACAATTTCCCTTGCCTTTTCCACTTCACACTCATTTTTGTAGTAGAATCCTGAAACCTCTAACTCTAGCACTGCTTGATCTCCAGCTTTGAGTTGCATGGCTCTAAGCTCCTCACACTTCCGACCTATTTCCCTTTTGATTCTTTCATTCTCCTTCTCTCTTTGCATCATTTCAGCCTTCTTAAGATTTATTTCTGTCTCAATCTTCTTTGCCTTCCTCTCCTTCTTTCTAAGTTCTATTCTTTGTCTCTCAAGTTTCTGGTGAAGCTCAGAGACATTAACCTCGCTCAGAATCCCCTCAATCTCTTTCTTTCTGTTTCTTATCTGGCTCACCATGAAGTTTTTCTCTGCAATGCTATATGCATCGTTCAACCTCCTTTGATAGTCCTCTAACCTTTCTTCCAAGGCCTCCATCTCTCTATCTCCACTTATCTCCATCTTAAGCCTCTCCATCTCCTCCAAATATGAGACAGAAACATCTATACTTCCATTGTCCTCAAGACCCTCATATTCGTCCACTATTCTTCTCTTCTCAAAGAGGATTTTCGTCCGATTCCCCTCTTCCTCCTTCAGCTTCCGAAGCTCCTCCTCAAGCTCATTTATACGTTTCTTTTTGTCTCCAATGTCTTCCTCCACTTTCCTGAAAACCTCAAGAGCCGTTTCCCTGAAGTCCTTCTCAACCCTCAGCTCCAATGAAAGGTTCTTAAAAGCCTCTGTCTTCTGCCGTTTTGCTTCATCTAACAGAGAGGACTTAACAGATATCTCCGAAAACACTCCGTCGAGTTCCCCCTTACTCCGGAGATAGCTGCTTCTTTTCTCGCTCAGACTCCTGAATCTTGCTTCCTTTTCCTCTGCATCCATCTTCATCCTCTCGTACCTTTCCTCTACCCTCTTCAGGAACTCTCTGCTCAAAATTTCTCTTGCTTCTTCCAACTCCAACCTCTTTTCCTTCAGCCCATCAATAAAGCTCTTTAGTTCCTTATGTTCGTTTCTTAGCAAATATGCCCTTTTCTCCCTTTCCCCATTCTTCTCAAGCTCCATATCTATCTCTTCAACAATTCTTTCACATCTTCTTATTTCATTTCCATAGGCTTCAAGTTTTATCTCATTTCTTTCAATAGATCCACATCCATTTCTTATCCGTGACTCCAGCGATTCCTTCCTTTCCTTCATCTTTCTCAGGAACTCTAGCTCTTGCATCTTCATCCGGATATCCGAAGAGCATTCTTTCTTTGATGACTTCAGACTGTCCAAGGCCTTCCCATATTTCACAGATGCAAATATCTCGTCTAGCTTCTTCTTGACAACAATCGGTTCTCCAAGAGGCCATGTGCTTTCCTCCTGATGGCAGAATATAACGTTTTCCAGTACACTACTCGACACCCCAAAGTGCTGTGGCATCTCCGTATCGACATCTCCACTCCTTCCACTCACTCCTCCTCCATCCTTTTCAGCCCACACCATACTTTCCAGTGTTTTTTGTTCCTTCTTACCTCCTCTCTGTGTTAACTGAAGAGAGCGCGAACATACCATCGTCTCCCCATGCACATTGGTAAACAAAAGCTTCACCTGTCCTTGAACCTCTACTAGTCTTGCAACCCTCGGGTCATAGATAAACGCTCCACCTCTACTGTTTGGAGGAAGACTTCCAGTACTGATATACTTCAGCGATTCGATTATCGTTGTCTTTCCTGTTCCGTTGGGCCCAACTATCAGTGTCAACGGAGAATAGAACTCCAGTATACTACCCTCTCTATGGCTGAATGACCTTATTCCTCGTATCATCAGCTTCTTAAGAGATGACATTCCGCAAGGGATCCAAACCTTTTCAAAGTACACTTTCAAAATACTACATAAACTATAGCTTTATTTTTCCACACATTTGTTCATCATCGAAAGCACTTCCTCGCTTGCAACCCCAAGAAGCTCATCCCTCTCGTTTCGAGCAAGGCTACTCTTTACTTCCCTGTATTCAAGGAAGGTGTTGTAATCCTCGTCCCCAATACAGCTCACCATACTCATTTGGCTGTAGAGTCTCGTAACATTCTCAAGCTCCAAACAGACCTCTGTAATCCTTCTGGCCAGGCCGTCCACAGACTCAGAACATTCAAGAAGAGATCTATACCACTCTTCCCTATATCTTTCAACCTCAATGCTTTCCCTCACTCCTTCAATCTCTGCTCTATAATAATCCTCAGACTCTAGTACATTCATCAGATCGTCCGTGATCGTCTGCAGATCCACCGTCACAACAACATCGCTCACTCTCCTCTCCGGTTGGAAAGAGCTCGGAAACCTAAGAATATTTCTCAAAACAAAGTTTGAAAATATAAAGTAGTTTCGACGAAAAGACTCCAATATCGTCCCTGACATTCGATGTATCTTTTTTTTGCCAAGAAACGATAGCTTCTCAATCCCTTCCTTCAGAATCCCTTCTATCTCCCCCTGTAGCTCAGAAACTAGGGTCACAGGTGCAAATCCAAAGAACTCAATCTCTTCCTCGCTTCCCATCCTCAGGGTCAATTTTCTTTCCCCATTCTTATCCAAGACAATTAAATGATAAAAAGAACCTTCTCCTTTAGTATCCGCAACCCAGTACTATTCCACTCTTTATCTGTCATCCACATCTCCTTGATGCAGTCCAGCCCTGAAAACACTCCCATAACATTCATTATCATATCTTCGGCTGAGTCCGGATACATACAAACCTCAGGATAAATCCCACACTCCTCGAAGACCTTTTTTAGAGATGTCTCTGACAACAGAGTTCCCCCATGGTTAAACACTATCACCTTACCTCCTATCTTCTTCATCTTTTCCTTACTAAGGACATGGTTTATTCTCTTGCCTATAATCTCATAGATGTCTCCCTTTTCATCATACATCTTTAAATGCATCTTGAAGTGCTCCTGAGGATCTACATCTGGATGGCATTCGTTCTCCTTCTGGTGCTGTTGCTGAAAGTGTGTTTCCATCTTCTCCTCGGTCTCGTCCTTGTAATCACATTTCCCACAAGAAAAGATATTTTTCTCCTCAAACACCTTGATCTTGTTGAACTCGTCGACAAAGTCTATAGAGTCGGCAAGCTCAAATCCCTTGTTGCTTTCTTTAGATACACAGATCCCATCCAGCATCCAGAAGTCTTCCACAAGACACACCGTCGTGTAGTTTTCATAGACATTCACCACAACACAGTTTGGTGAAAGAGTTCCGATCGCTTGGGAAAGACTCCGTGGCGTGATCAGAATCCCCTTGAATGACAGGACATTAATGAAGAGGTTGCACATCGCCAATATCTCGGTCCTGCCCAGAAGATCTTGGAATATAAGAGAAACAAATGAGTTCTTCGGTTTTATCCCAAGTTTATGAAGTGCTCCAGAAACCTGGTTCCCCAGCCATCCAATGCATTCCTCAAGATTCCTAAATCTCCTCGTATTCATTCCCGTCGGAAAAAAGAAATCCCCCAGATCAATGGACTCCGACTCCACAAGAAGCTTGTTGTTCCAAACCACAATGTGGATTATCTCCTCATCTGCCTTGTAGTTTCCCATTCTATACTTTTCGTCAACATAGAACGAGACATCGCTTCTCATAAAGAAGCTTTGTATGTTTTTGTTCGGCGTAGTTATTTGCTCAATCTTTGGAACTGTGCACAGTTTCGGGGTGTATTTAAGCGCCATGGGCTTGGGATTTGATATCTAAATGAACAGTCTTCCATGCCCATGACCTCGAAATATTCTGGAGTCAGTTTAGAGAGTGATGAAGAGGAAAAGATTCATCCCAACATAGACGAGAAGAGTTATAAGGAATGGAAAAGAAGACAGAGAGAGCTGAAGAGAAAGGAGCTGGAAAGGAGGCTTGAAGAGATCAACTCGGTTGAATTTCCGAGTAAAGAGCTGGCCGAAGAGAGAGAGGAGATAGAGAAGATTTTGAAGCCATCCTATGTATGCCTTGGCACCGAGTCGTTCCGGACCCCCTCTTCAAATGAAGAAAAGGACTATATCCAGGAGTTGAGCCACCTTATAGTTCACAACGAGTTGGACAATTTTATTGAGCTGATGGACCAGTGTAAAATTGACATGGAAGAGTTCGAGGTTGTTGTCCTTCACAATCTAGCAGAGCAAATCAAGGAAGGAAACGATGCAGGCGGGCTTATACTTTCGAAGATATCCTTGTATGTCAAGTATGCCTTGTCGCATGGAAAGGAATTTCTCTTGAAGCTACGTGCCCAACTTACAAACAAAGAAAGGCGAAGGCAATTTGAGGAAGACTGTAGAAAGGACTTTGAAGAAACAAGACGAATGTTCTTGGAGCAGTTTGGCACATTGGACTCTACCTGTAGCCAGACTCCTAAATAGGGGTGCTAGGGACCTAGAACGAATCTTTTATTTTGTGTTTGTCTTTAAAGCTGCAAACGGCTTATATAAAAACTCATAACAGCAGGAGATGACAAAGAAGACATAAAGCAGCCATGACTTACTGGAGTAGAGCAGAAGCAGCTTCACAACCATCGAAATAAACAGGAAATCAAATGCAACACTGACATGGCCCTTTCCGTTAAGAGATGCCCCGGGGCTCACCAGAGTTGTTGTCTTTCCGTCGTGAGAAATAACAGGCGTTGAGATTCTATAGAGATAATAAACAGCAAGTGCCTCGGGAATGGATCTAACAAGATATACCAGGATGTTTTTCTCTTTGTTCATCAAATACACTGCAAGCGCACATATGTTGTACAGAGCTATGCTTCTTAATATCAACTTCCTTGTGGTTTTGTTTTTTTCAAAAACTCGAATCTGAGACTTACTTCCTCTCATCTTTGTAGGGCAGAAATAGTAAAAAATATTGATTTCCAGAGCATTTGTTTAATTCCATTTCCCAAGATAAAAATAGCCTTCCCAGAAGAGGAAAGCTTACATGCTATCCCCCTACTTGTGATGTTACCACTTCGAGTTCTTCATTGCCCTCAAAGCCGAGGTCGCCTGGGGTTTTCCCAGGATCGATATTCTTTCCATTAAACAATAGACGGAACTCCGAGCTGTTCTTCCCGACATTGGAAGAAAAGGCATCGAGTATCTTCTTGAATGTTGTAGCCGGCTTGACATTGAACACAAGCATTGTACCATCCTGGTCAATAAGCTTCAGCGGCATCTTTTCTGAGGAAGTTATTTGCGGGATATTCTCTTTGGTCTTGGATTCATTTCCAGAATCCGGCGATCCCATGGGGTTTCCATCCCACTTGTTTTTGGCCCTGTTTCCTCCCAATTATCCCTCTTCCCTATCTTCCATCTTTTTTTTCTGGTTTCTTGGCTCCTGAAGCCTGTAGAGTGTGGAAGCTTCGCTGTAGTATGCATTGCCATCTCTTATGCAGAGAACCAGGAGATTGTCTATCTTTTGTGGTGAGCATGTGAAGACTCGTCCGTCGGACATACAGGCTTTCTTGAACAGCTGGGAAGACCCTTCTTCTAGAATGGTAAAAGAATCTTTTTGGAAGTCTATCCCGTCCGACTGGATAATGACACTCTCATCTTCCGTCGACGGAAAGAGACTGTAAACCTCTTCGGCCTTGATGTTCTCGTCTGTAGGGTGAACTATTGTGTTTACATCCTCGAAGGACTCTTGGATATATTTTTGATAGTCGAAGATCTTACTCATGCTTTTCTTTATCCTTTCTCTCTCCAGAGCCTCGCCTCTTCTTTCCAGCCCACTGGAAGCTCCAAGTCGATGCCCAGGCTTTCCCGTACTTGAGGCCTCCCTTTCGATATAGTCCATGACCATTTCTACGAAGTCTATGTCCAAGGCTTCAAGAAGATCTGTATGTAGCCGCCTTGGCACAATCTTCTCAAGGGACCCGTCAAATGAGGTGAAGTCTCTTTTTATCTGAGGCTCAATGTAGCACATCCCAGGTGTTGGTGCGGGAGGTGCATTTGCCCAGCATATGCTCTCTTCAAGCTCACGGAAGGCTTTTTCTGGATCCATCTTGGGCATTGGGTTGAGAATTTTTCTAGGGTTGATTAAGGCCTTGGCAGCTTTGCCGGCGAAGAAATAAACTTTAAAATCAAGTGGTCGGGTGCTGGAGAGTAGTCTGAATCCTGTTACAGCACAAACAGCTGCCTTTCGAGTTGGACTATTGGAGTCTAAGACATCGTCCAGTTTCCAAACTCCTTCTAGTCATTCCGTTCCGGTCATAGAAGAAGTGAACTTTTCTGTTATGAACGATTTCTGGCATTAACCAGATGCCCTTTCGGCAATGTGTCTCATCTCAGACCTTCCCAAGGGCAGAGCCCCTAATCGAAAGCTTCCAGCCGCCGACAGGGGTAGGAGAAGAAAAATTTATGAATGGCAGAAAGGCCCTTTTGATGAATCTAAGGCTAGAATCGATAACAATCCACAACTTCAAAAGCTACAAAGGGACCCATGTGATCCAAGGCCTGGATCCAAGGTTCACGGCGGTAGTTGGGGCAAATGGCTCGGGGAAGAGCAACATAATAGACAGCATTCTTTTTGTGCTTGGGTTCCGAGCCCGAAGGATGCGTCATTCGTCGATGGCAGGCTTGATCTATAGTGGAGACGGAAACCAAGACATGTGTTATGTAGAGCTAGGATTCAACAAGTTCCAAATAAGGAGAGAGGTTTCCTTGGCAGGAAGGACTAGGTATTTTGTGGATGGAGAAGAGGTACCTTGTACTATGGTGGAGTCTTTGCTCAAGAGCGAGGGTGTTGATATGGAGCACAATAGGTTTTTGATACTACAAGGAGAGATCGAGAATATTGCTATGATCAAGCCCATGGATGGTGGTTTGCTGGAATATCTTGAGGATGTAATTGGGACTGGAGAATACAAGGCAGAGATTGAAAAGGAAGAAAGTGAGCTCCGAAGGGTCTCTGAGGAATGTGAAAGCAAGTCGGCAGCACTGAAGTTCTATGAGAAGGAATACAAACATATTGAAAGAAAGCAGGAGGAGTGTCTGAGGACAGCCAAAAGAAGAGCTGAATGCCTGTGTCTGGATCGGGATTTACATCTTCTCTTTTCAGAAAGAGGGAAAAAGAAGCTAGAAGGGCTTCTGTTGGAAAAAAAGAAGATTGAAGAAGATCTTCAGGTCCTTGAAAAGAAGAATAAAGAGAATGGAGGCAAGCTTGAGGTACTGGAAGGGAAAGGAGCAAATGCAAGAGTTTCGGCTCGAGAAGCCGAGGAGAGGTTTTTGAAGGCGAGAAAAGAATACCAGAGAGCAGAAAGACGAAATAAAATGATGGAAGAGGACCTGGAGAGGGAGTCAAAGCGTATTGAGGAGTTATCTCGTGAGATTTCTGAAATCAGGTGTCTGGAAGATAAAAGGCAAAAGGAGGGGCTTAAATGGACAGAGGAAATTAATCGAAATGTGGAAGAGATCTCTAGATGTAGTGAATTAAGCGAGAAGCTCCGAAGTGAAATTGGAGAAGGACAGAGAAGGATTGAGAAGGAGGCCAGAAAGAGTATTGAAGAGATTTACAGAGAAGAAGAGCGGATGATGAAGCTTCTCAAGAGGAAAGGAGAGATTGGAGAGAAACAACGAGAATCGGAATCTCGATTAGGAATTCTGATGTCGAGGAAGGAGGAGATTTTGAGAAGGGTTGGGGACATCGATGGCAGGCTATCGAAAATGGATGAAGGAAAAATAGAAATGGGAAGGTCTGAGGAGGAAATTAGCAGGGAGATTGAAGAGATTGAGAGGGATCTGGCGAAGACAAGAAAGGAAATGAGTAGAAGAATGCAAAGGGCTGAAGAGCACAGAGAAAACGAGGAGACAAGTTGGAAGGAGAGAGAGATTCTAAGAAGTATTGAGCATGTGAAAGGAGTCTATGGAAGGCTAAGTGATCTTGGGTCTGTGGAGTCCCAATATGATAGGGCATTCAGGATTGCAGGAAAGGGATTGAACAGCATAGTTGTTGATACAACATGCACTGCAGAAGAGTGTATTTCCATAATAAAAAGTCTGGGACTTGGGAGAGCTACATTTATAATATTGGACAGGATTTCCTCGGAGCCTAGCCTTCCTAAGGAGTCTGTGCCTTATCTGTACAATCTTGTCAAGTGCCCAAAGGAGTTCCGAAAGTGCTTTTATTTTGCTCTGAAAGACACACTTGTATGCGAAGGATTGGAAGTGGCCGAGAGGCTTGCATTTGGAAAGACAAGAAAAAGGGTTGTGACGATTGATGGAAAGCTTATTGAGAAGAGTGGAGTCATGAGTGGAGGAAAAGGGAACGGAAGGATAAAAAGCATTGAAGAGCTTGAGAAGGCGTGCTTGAAGATGATGGAGCTGAAGAAGAAGAAAGTTTCGGAGATGGATATGGTTAGAGACTTGAAGGAAAGAGGAGCCCTATGGAAGACCCGAGAAAGACTTGCTTCGGACTTAGAGGAAGTGTGCCGGGAGATTGGGAGAGTAGAGAAGAGGATCAATCGAAAAGAGATAGAGGATATTGAAGTAGAGATTGAGAAGATTAAGAAAAAAGTGTCTTCTCTCCGAGAGGGAATTGAGAGTCTTACCGACATGGAGACCCGTAGGAAGAAAGAAAACCTTCGAAATCTTAACGAGAGGATTGAGGTGTTTGAAAAGAGAAACCTTGAACTGAGACTGCATCTTGAAAGCAGTGGATCAGGGGAGCTTCGAGAAAAAGAGCTGGAGGTTGAAAGAAGAAAAAAAGACTTTGAAAGAATCAGCATCGAAGATATTTCAGGAATGAAGAGCAAGATGATTGAATGTGAAAGGGAATATAAAGAATGTGCAGAAAGGTTGAGGGGGATATTGAAGGAGATTGCAAACGTGAAAGCCTCTCTTGGAAACGACTACCATATGGAAATTGACCTGAAGAACAGGTTGGATGATGCTTGCGATAAGATTGAGGAGTGGACACAGAGGATTAAGGAGAGCGAGACAAAAATAGCTTCTCTTGAGGAAGAATCCAAGAAGTATATGAGGATATGCAGGCTTGAAATCCATAGTACAGTCAAGGTTGAGGAAATGAACGAAGAGGAAATTGATCGGACAATAGGAAGGATCGGTGGCACGGTGGCAAGACTTAAAGGCGAAGAGATTGGAGAGATTGATCTAGATGTGTTTGAAGATTGTGAGAGGGCAAGGGTGGAATACGAGAAGGCAAAGGGGGAACATGGATGGTTTGAATCTCGGCAGAAGGAGATCAAGGAGTCACTTGAGTATCTGAAAAAGAAGAGGTACGACGAGTTTATGAAAGGATTTACTCAAGTATCTGAAAACCTTAAGGAGATTTATAAGTCGATTACACATGGGGGAAACGCAGAATTGGAATTAGTTGACCATCTTGATCCGTTTAGCGAGGGGGTGGTTTTGAGTGTAATGCCACCTAAGAAGAGCTGGAAGAACATTGGGAATCTGAGTGGAGGGGAAAAGACACTCAGTAGCCTTGCACTTATTTTTGCACTCCATAAATTCAGGCCATCCCCGTTCTATGTTATGGATGAGATAGATGCGGCTTTGGACTACAGAAATGTAGGAGTGATATCCCACTTCATCAAGGAGATGTCCAGGACAGCCCAGTTTCTTGTGATAAGTCTGCGAAGTGACATGTTCGAGCTCAGCGAAACCCTCCTTGGAGTGTATAAGGCAAACAATGCTTCTCAATCTCTGATTGTAAACATAGGCAAGCTTGCAGGCCAATAAAGATCTTCTTTTCTTGGAATTCTTGTCTGTCCCTTTTCCCCTGGATGAAGAGGTATCAAGAGCCATTTCTGCACTTCATAAAAGACGGCTTTCTGGCTCCAAAGGATCTAGAGAATATACGAAATATACATGGGAAATGTGCGTTTAGAGAGATATACACAGACCTGTTCAGATTCCTGCAGACTGCCGAGTTGAGAGAGAGGAAGGATCTTCAGTTTTTCAGAGACTCTCTGATGAGGGCTTTTGAAGAGATTGGGGATGTAAAGGGAGGATGGATAGACCTTTTTGGGTCGTATTACCGAAAGGGAGACTACCTCCTATGCCATGATGACAGAACAGAAAGCCGGAAGTTTGCCTTCAGTTACTACTTGGAAGATCACAGTTCCGGAGAGCTCATCCTCTATGAAAATGATGGGATGAGTGTTTCGAAGAAGGTAGAGGTAAAGTCAAACAGACTAGTGATATTTGAGGTATCTGATGTATCTTTCCATGAGGTTGGATACTGTAGCAAAGATGGAAGAAGAGCATTTACTGGATGGCTAAACTTCGAGTATATCAAGCATAACGACCATAGCGAATGTGTGAATATGGAGAGTCCGAATGTATGTGGTACGTTTCCGATGGAGATTGACTTCAATGAAAGCCCCCTTGTATTCTATCCTGGCGTGGAGTATGACTTTGAGCACACCTCTGGAAGTGTCGAAGGTCCCTTTTGCTTCAGAAGAGTGAAGAGGATAGAGGTTAAAAGCCCATTAGCCCCATGTTTGGATGGATGGGAACTTAAGGGAGGAGGCTTCTACCACTTCAGGGTCGGAGACTATATACTTCTGAACGATGGATGCAATGCATTTGAAGGAGACGTGTGTGATGTGTTCTTCATAGGAGGTGATGAACATGTCTTTGAAGACAGGCCAAACATATTTGAAGATTCAAAAAACCCAATCAAATATCTAGATGAAGAAGGGAGGTTTGTGTTCGGCCTTCCGATAGCTAAGGGGATGTTTGCTATCAAGCGGAACGGCCTTTCTTTGTTTGTAGAAAGGTCTGGGACCGAGTTCTTTATGGGACACTTTATTTATGTTTCCAAAAATTGAAATAAAGGCACCGGAGTTTCTAATACAACCATATTTATTTTTCATTCTTTACTTTCTTACTCCCGTGGTATTCCCACAGAGGAACAAAGCTCTCAAAGAAGCCCACGTCTTCAAACAGATTTGGGAACAGCCAGATCCCGGGAGAATACAGAAAGTATGTTATCGAGAACAGGATCAGCCTTATTATTGCCAGAACAATTATGAATGTGATGAATCCTCCCAGAGGGTAGACCATATATGAGAACAGACGCTGCTGGAGGTTTCTTGGCCACATTCGGAAGAGAACGATTGTAAATGTCATCAGGACAAACACCACACAGAGGATAAGAGAAATGTTAGATGTCTTTTCATTTGCAAAGACATAATATTGGTCCTCTTGAAACTTCTGATCAAGTACCACATCGCATTCCCTTGCATTTTTCTTGTTAATGGACACCTTGAATAGGACACTTTCGTTTAGAAGCTCCTGCATAACAGACTTCGCCTTCAAGGGCTCCAGCCCCTTTTTTGCCAGAAGAGCAAGGCCACTACTTCCCTTGAACGTCCCCACTCTCCTTCTATATCTCAGTGTTTTCTCCTCTGTTCCAACCTGTCTCAGAATGGCCTCGTACTTTTTTAATTCTTCCACCATTTGTTTGGGATCAAATTTTCGGCTTTTTTGTCTCTGGCTTATATCTGTAACTTACCCTCAACTGGAATGAGACTCAAGGCCTTGATAAAAAAGAGGACAAACGATCTTCTAGTTGCCTTGAGAAGTCTTAGAGGAAAGATATGCAGTGAAGACGTTCTTAGACAAGTTCTGGGCAATATCCATAAAAGCTATATCCGCCTTGAGGTGCTACTAAATAAGCCAGGACTTTCACATCAGGAGCCTGTGGAAGTTGATTCCACAAATGGAGTCGTAAGGTATAAAACAGGGAACCTTGAATTTCTGTATCATGAGGAACATGGGGTTATCTCTGTAAGCACAGGCGACACGGGGATAAATAATTACCTCCTCTGTTTGATAAGAGGCAAACCGGTCGACACACACTTAGAAACTGCTTCGGCAATGCTTGGGATGTATGCAGGAAATGAAAGAGCATTGTGTGATGTGTGTGGAAATTATGCAACTGTTCCAGGGCTCTTGACACCGATATGCCGGTCTCCTGAAGAAGACTTCGTACTTGTACACCACGCCCAATGCAAAGTGGAATCTCTGGAGAAATAATATTTGAACGCCTGCAACAAATTTTGCACAATCCCCTTAGGATGATTGAATGCTCCGTATTCGGATATTTGATGGAGGTCGATTGTATCTGCAACCATCTGAAGTTGCATAAAAGAACAGACAAAACTGTTAGTGAAGCCGTTTATTCTAATGGGACAAATGTGTTGCTTGTGTCTAAGGAGGATGATGGTATTTACCTGTCAAGCAGAGGGCCACCCGACAGAAACAAGAACAGAATGTCGTTCTGCTCAAGAGTACAGAAGTCAAGGATTAGGACATTAGACACTTTGAAGGAGTTTCTATCTTCGTTTGGCTTTGAGCTGGTGAGGGAAGGGCAAGTTGAACTAACCACCTTTGAGAAAGGAGCAGGGCGCATTGAAATATCCAGGTCCATCTCTGATGAGGGCAACAGCCAGGAAGTAGACACCGGCAGATATTGGCTAGTCAAGGTATTTGTAACTTCAGAAAACACACAGAACGGAGAAAGAATGTTAAGCAGGTTAATCGAGGAGCTGGAAGACCAAGTCCAACTCATCAAACCCTCAATAAAGTGATTTCGGCAGTCTCAATAATATGTATTTCTGCTCCTTTCCACCTCTCCAATGATTTTATTGGAGGCCCTGATCAAAACCCCTTAAGCCAGTGAAAAGAACCCTCCCTAGATGGCAAGAGAATACAAGGAGACGGTTTACAGCATATTGGCATCTCTTTGTCTGGTGGGAGGGCTGTCCTTGGAAAGTTTTGTGTGTAAGACTGCAAATTGTTCGTTTTTCCTGAGCTCTACTCTGTTTATTTCAATGGCTCTAACACTCCTCAGTCTTGCACACATGGTAAGGACAAAGGCAAAAGTTACTCTTTTCTCTGCATACAAAGGATCTATCAGTGCTTTGATGGACATTATGATTGTGTTCATATACACCAAGATCTTGTGCACAAACTCCCTGTTCTTCTGTCTATCCTTTTTAACATATCAGATGACCGTGTCCATTCTGACCTGCTTCACGTCCTTTTCCAGCTCTGGCTTCATGGTTTGCATATGTGTCATATTTCTTTCCCCACTATTTGACCTGTGGTTTGTGGAGGAACATGGATTCTCAAGATCTCAGATTCCGGACTTTATGAAGTACTACATCACAAACGGATCTATGAACATAATCTTTTTCATCCCCATAGTTGGGATCAGGGTGATGTTCGGAGAGTTTTTTGGGAGACTCGAGAATAGAGAGTCGTCCACACTCTTCAACTCTCTGGGAATGGTTGCAATCGGAGCCATATTGGGGCTTATTGATAGATCCGCATTCTTGGAGGAATTTCGCAAAATGTATCAGGTTTCTATTCCATTTGTTGTGTCAAACATCATGCTTGTAACGTCCTTGGCTATCTTCAGATGGAACAAGAACATCAACTTTACCTCTGTATATCCACCTGTATCGGTGCTGTCCATTTTAGTATCTGGACTGTTTTGTTACACCTCAGCACCCTTGTTCTGGAGGAAAACCATTTTGGAATGCTCGCTTAATGCCCCGTATCTTTTCTATCTCCTCACGTTTTCTCTTTTCACCTTATATATAATCGTTGTGTATAAGAGTAATATTGTCTCAAGGCCTGCCAGGGATGGATTCATACCAGGAGTGACCTGGTGGCTTTGGGGATAGTGAGTTCTTGATGGCTGGATATAAATCCATAAATTACAGTGATTAAATTAATTTAAAACCGATCACAGCTTGTAGTTTATGACTCAGCACCGCTTTTTGACTTTTTTGTTTGTAAACAATGTTCGGGAGTTAGTCTACTAGTGATTTAATTTGGTATTAAAGTATCAGGCCGATTTTAATTGGCCCACTTATGAATCAGAAACAAAATATTTAAGAACGAAAACACAACAAACAAATGGCTAAGGAAGCGCTAAAGACTCTACAGTCCATGTTTGGAGAGATGGTTGCATCCTTTGTCTTTGGATTTGCGGTATATTCTGCTATACTGGGATCTAGCATTAGCCAGTCATCGGCAGATAAGGTCATTGTAGGACTAACAGTTGGATTTTCCGGAATCGGTGTGATATATTCATTTTGCGACGTGACCATTGCACACTTCAATCCTGCAATCACTCTTGCAGCCATACTGACATCTAAGATCGATGTACTTCAGGGACTGGGATATATGTTGGCCCAGTACATAGGATTTATGCTTGCTGTGTGTGCCCTGCTGGTATGCTCTCCTGTCGAATACAAGGAGACTTTGGACACAATAAGGCCAGGACCTACGGACTTTGGAGCAACCAGCCTCAATGTTTTCTTCGCCGAGTTTTTCCTAACTGCAATCTTTGTTCACATTGTCTTTGCAACAGCTGTTAATCCATACAAGCCAAAGGTCGACACCGAAGGAAAGTTTGTGGATCCCGACGAGAAAGAGCCGGTGGATCGCAGAATAACTGCACCCCTCTGTATAGGTCTGACACTTGGGTTCTTGGCATTCATGGGTTTGGCCAGTTCCGGAGGTGCATTCAACCCCGGCCTCACATTTGCTCCAATGGCAATGTCGAACACTTGGAGCCATTTCTGGATTTATCTTGGGGGTCAGTATCTAGGAGGCTTGACAGGAGGTCTTCTCCAGGTGCTTGTGCTATATAAGCTTAGCTCGGACTAGAGTTCAGAGCATCAAATAATGGAAAAGATAATAAAATCACACAAAATTCTTTTCATTCGGTCCGCGGCACCTGCCATATCTGTAACATGTTGTCTTCAGAGACACTAACAATCTCAAAGGGCTCTGCAGGGTTCCAAGAGAGGTCGCATACAGTGCTTGTATGTCCTCCATGAAGAAACCTCATCTCGGGAGGTCCTTCTGCCTTGTACTCCTCAGACACCTCTGCTCCAATCCGATTCAGATCCCATATAATTACTCTTCTGTCTGTACTTCCAGATGCAAGTATCCCTTTGTCGTGAGGAGACCACTCTGTGCTCAACACCTCCTTCGAATGTCCCAGGAGAATATGGAGTGGTTGTTCCAGATTCCTCCTATCCCACACCTTCACAGATTTGTCTCCAGATGATGTAGAGACAATATTCCCGTCCAAGGGCGAAAACCTTACAGAAAGAACATCAGACGTGTGTGCTTCCTCAATGGCATGTATGCAATCTCTACTCCTCGTGTCCCAAAACACCACCATCCCATCATCTCCTCCAGATGAGAGAAGACCTTTGTCTAGGAAGCTGAACGAACAGTCGTTGACAGTCATTCTGTGTCTTCTTAATACCACTGTGGGAGAAATTAAAGAAGATTCCTGGGATATATCAAACACACATATCTGCTTGTCCTCCCCACAGCTTGCAAGCTCCCCAGAGCTCTGAGGACTCCATGACAATCCAAAACCTCCCCCCTCGTGCCCCCGAAGAACCATATCAGGCCTTGGAATCTTCTCATGTGAAAGATGCTTTGTGTAATCATAAACATGTATATCCGAAAGATCAGAGCGTACCGCCAGTACATTGCATGCAAACGGACTGTATCTAACCCTATTGGCCTCGTCCATAATCGAGATCCTTTGCACAATCTTGAATCTCATGTCCCCATTCACCTCCTCATTCTGAGACTCGTCAAATTCGTCGGGAAACTCAACCTGGGCAATCATTATATACTCGTCTTCCACTCCGCTTGTATGGGTACTCAGCAACAACCTTTGCACTGTCCTTCCTCCCTCCTCGTCTCTCTTCACATCCGGAAACCACTGCACAGAAAGAGACGGCCACTGGAGAGTGTGGCAGAACATAAGGTCGTAAAGATACGGTACATTCTTCTTCCATATCTTATACTCCTCATTGATTATCTTCTGCTCCAACACCTGGTTGTTCATCCACGAGGGCTTTGAGGCCAGGGAATTAAAACCCATTGAAAAAGATACTCCAAATAGTTAGTTATACCTTAAAACGTTTATTCTCCCTTAGAAAAAGCTGAAGCTGTTGAAGAAGCTCCTGGGATTGTGCATGCCATCGTCAGAGGCCTCTTCATGCTCCCTCTCCTCCTCAGGCATGGTTCCAAACTCCCCGTTTACTTTTGTAAATGTTCCATAGGGCTTCCTTGGAGGCTCTGCAAGTACTTGCATGATCTTTGCCCTGTCAGACTCACTGCCAATTATCACATTTGGCTTAAGAATCAGACTTCCTTGCTTGTTCCCCTTGAACCCTTCGTTCCGAATCTTGAGCACTGTATCAAACGTCTTGAACGGATTCACATTGATCTCAAGCACTCTTCCGTCAATATGGGTGAAGTATACCACTCCTCCTCCGACTGCAGTGTATAGCGGAATGTCTATCTTCCCCACCAGGTCACTTCCACGCCTCTCAAACCTGCTGTCTTCTTGCACATCAATTATGAAAATTACATCTCCTGGAACGTGGTTTCTTCTCTGGTCTCCCATACCCTCAAAGACAATCTTTTCTCCTTTTCTTGCTCCTGGCTTTATATTCACTTCAAACATGGTCTTGTCCTGTATATACTCAGACCCGTTACATGTACCACAAGGCTTACCTTTGATCTTATGTCCAGAGCCTCCACACCCATCGCATCGCGTCTCTGCAAGAGTTACAAACCCTCCTAGATTTCGCCGACTAGTGCACACTCCACTTCCATTGCATCTCTTGCACGTCTCTACATCCTTTCCTCCCTTTCCATCACATGTCCCACATATCTTCTCGGTCCTGACATTGAACTTCGACACCTTCCCAACAAACGATTCTCTAAGTGAAATAGTAATCACATACTTTGTTGAGTTGACTTTGTTTGTTCTCTGGTGTCCTCTTCCTCCAGTAAACTGGCTGAATATATCAAAGATGTCGGAATATCCTCCTCCAGAGAAATGTGCTCCAAACTCCCCAAGCCCACTGTCGTACTCTCTCTTCTTCTTCTCGTCAAACAATACACTCTTTGCAGAGTTTAGCTTTGCAGACATCTCTCCACATTCCTTCTTGATCTTCTCCCTTTCCTCATCATTGGCCGCATTCCTCAGCCTATTCTTGATAAACGGCGAGTCCAGGTGGTACTTTGCCTGTTGCTTTGAGTAGGCCTTTCTTATCTCGGCTATAGACGCCCCAGGACTAAGCTCAAGTATTTTATAATATCCCTTGGGATCTTTAGACATGGCCCCACAAGATCTACCCTCTTTTATCTTTTTTTTTCCGCGGAAAAATCTAGAAAAAACCAGATGTCTCTTCAAAACTCCAATACTATAAAGCATTTAATCACAGAAAGACGGTTTAGTCTCTTCCTCCCCCACACATTTCGCATAAAGATGTATTTCTTTCATTGGCAAAGGTACAGGCCTTGCATTCCCATACAGTACATCTATATTTCTCCATACTCGACACAAAACTCCTAAAGTCCTGGCTATTGGAAATGGCCTTGAACTTGACCTTGTCTTGCTTGGCTATACACATGAAAAGATCCTTCCAATTGGGAAAGATCTCTTTCACTCTTACCAAAAGAGTAAAGTTCGAGAACTTCTCCATCGAAAAGTCTCCTCCAAAGTATTCGGCCATCTTCCTCTCCCCAAACTTCTTTGGAATAAACTCTGTATTCTTGAAGAGTGGATTTGTCTTACACCCATGTGTTAGCTTCACCAGGAAAAACTCTCCTGGGAGGTATGGGTTTGCCTTGACCATCGATTCCTTTGTCTTTGTTCTATAAAGAATATCCCTTGTTGTCAGGAGCATCAGGGGGTTTTCGGTGGGAAAGATCCAATCTCCCTTGAAAAGAGCCATGCACTGGTTACTTACTTGATACTCCTGCAGCCCGATATTTCCATCCTTTTCCACAGTAACAACAATGGTTGCAAATCTCGACCCAAACTCTATCTCCTGCTCTCCATCCCTAACCACATAAGGATGCATAAGCTGCATCTTTGCTATAAATTCAATCTCCAGAGATGACAAGAAGTAGCTTCGACCAAGTTTGTCGCTTGTAATTCCTCCCTTCTCCATCAGAATATCTGTGTATATCATCCCAACTATTTCAAGGCCTGTTCCCAAAAAGGGCCCGTCCATGGACCCTGTTATCACGAATCCGTCTGGATAGTTTTCCTGTTCTGGCTCCCATATCCCAGACACCACAGCCTTTAGTCCCAGGGGAATCATCTCATGGTCCATGTATCTCCCGACAAGAAATCCAAATCTCTGCCGTCCACTCTCCCTCCAGTTCCTAATGAAGTTCTCTACCAAATGCTGCCCGTCAAACTCGACATGGTCAACCATTCGGAACACCTGTGGTGCCAGGATTATGTTTTTTTCTTGGCATCTATTGCACCTTGTATTGGACCCATGATCCGTGCACGTCTTGATGGTGTAGTCCTCGGCACTTAGTCCCTTATTCTTGCTTTTTATCATCTCATGATATGACTGAAAGCTGAGATATTTGATCATGTTGTCTTTGTAATACTTCTCGTCCCATGGATCTAAGGGTGCACAGTTGCTACACATCGCATTAGAGTCATGCTGGCACATCATCCTATCCCTTTCTCTTTTGATGTTTTTGGAGGCTTCTGGATTCTTCTTTGGCTCCTCTTTCTTCTTCTCGTACTCTACATACAGCACCTGGCCATTCCTGAGCCCCAAGGCGGTCGGGGTTTGGGTCTTATCCATCTTGTCCTTGCCATCTGGAGTAGAGGATATTGATATCTGACCCACATTAAAGAAGGCAAGCAGCTGCGTCTCCAATATTCTGGATTCGTCCACTTCCACCCGTCTTTGGCCTTCTGGGCCTCGAACGATGAATATCATTACAGGGCTTCCTGGTCTTGTTTTTATTGATCATGGTTATGGCGAGCCCATCATGCCAAAAAGAAAGGATCCATACAAGACACTTGGAGTAAAGTGGACATCCTCTGGGACAGAAACAAAAGAGGCATACAGGAGATTACAAAGGCTGTACCATCCTGACAGCAAGACGGGAAATAAAGAAAAATATGAAGAGGTATGCAAAGCATATGAAGAGACTCTCAAGGATCCACCTGTAGAGATTGTTCCTATTAAAGATGTAGCGAGAATCTACAAGGGCTCACAAGAGGAGGTTGGAGATATCATTGCGTTGTACAACAAATACAAAGGGAAGATGGGAAAGATTGTAGACAACCTTCTTCTGTCTGACGATGGGGATGAAGAGAGACTTCGAGGGATTATTGATGAACTGATTGGGAACAGGACTCTCAAACAGTACTGTAGCTATAGCAAAAAGGTCAAGGAAGACCCGAAAAGAAGAAGAAGAAAAGCAGAAGAAGAGAGAATGGCTAGGCAGATTGCAGAGGAAATGGGGATTGATCTCGATGCTCCATTAGAAGATATCCTTGGAGGACATAGAAGAAGGGAAGAAAGGCTTCTTATCAGTCTTGAGGAAAGGTGTTTGGAGGGTCCTGGAAAAGAAGGAAGATAGACTTGAAATATGAAGAATAGATGTTTTGTTGACAAATAGATACCCTCTGATGGAAAAAGAGATCGATGACTTGTTCCTATATGGGAGTGTTAAGAAGGTTGGGAAAGACAGAATAAGGACCTTGGAGAAATGCATGGGAGACCTTCCAAAGATAAACCCAAATCTTGAGCAGGTGTGGACGAAGTGTAAAGAGATTGATTCAAGCTTGGAGCTGTACAGTATCAAACTGGAGTCATTGGCAAGAGAAATGAAAGGGATAGAAAAGGAAAATACGAAGCTAGAGAACGAGATTCAGTATCAAACATCCATATATGAGCATCTGAAGGAACTCCTGATCAATGTGGAGATAAAGGAGGACCACTTTATAACGTTAGAGAGCGAGTCCTTTGACAGTATTGATGGGCTTTGCAGGATCGAGAAGGCACTGGAGGTGCTTGATGGATTCCATGTGGATGAGTATGACATCAGGATAGTCCGAGAAAAGAAGGAAAGGATCAACGATGCACTGAGGGAATTCTACAAAAGGTTTATAACATATATGGGGAGTTTTATGGTTGACAGCGAAAGCAGCGGAGACCTGAAGGTTCACAAAGGTCTCTACGGGGCGATCAAGAGGTTCAAGAAGATATTCCAACACTCGAAGAGGTATAGAGATTACTATGTTGTTCTGTGCTCGATATACATGGCACGCTCGAAGAAGTTATATGAAAGGGAGTTTGGGTTCCACTTGAAGACAGTTCTCCGGCTACTGAAAGAGGATGTGACACAAGATAAGATGGACCGAATATTCGAGACTCTTTTTGAATCGTACCGCAGCATAGTGAAGTGTGAGGATAGATTTCTTAAGAGTATGGAGATCGATGGGACATGCCAAGAGATCTTCCGAAACACAGGGCTCCTGATTGTAGGATTTGTCGAGGATGCATATGACATTGCAGATATCGAAGTATTGAATGGATTGGGGAAAATATGGAAGGAAGTTGAGCCAGATGAGGATGTATATGGATCTTTCCAGAAGGAGCTTAGAGAAGTATATGGAAGATTAGAGGAAGAGTATCTAAAGAAGAAGATGGGCAAGGGAGAGAATGGAGTTGGAAAGCTGGAAGAGATCCTCAGCAGGTCCAGCAATGAAGACCTGAAGAGAAAAGCAATAGTTATGGGAACACAGAGAATTATGGAGGAGGAAGACAAGGGAGACTTGAGAAGAATAGTAAAGAGATGGAGGCTTCTAGACTACATGGGGAAGAAGTGTACCAAGGAGATAGAAGAGGTTTTGGATGCAGAAAGAAAAACCGAATCTGAATTTGAAAAGAGCTGTGCAGATATGATTCTTGGTAGCGGAAAAACAGTCGACAATGTGAAGAAGGTACTATCTCTCATCAATGGAGAAAAGGGCTTCAAAACAAAGGTGATCAGGAAGATGAGGGAGATGGTTTCAAACGACGTTGAGGAGAAGGATGCAGAAGATGCAGACAAGCTGCTGAGAGAGGCAATGTAGTCTGTGAAATCGGAAGGAGGCTATCTTTGTTTCCAACCGCAGTGAAATTAAACTTAATTGCAGGGACGGGGTTTAATGTCATTTTTTCCTTGAATATGCATACTTTAGTAAGTCATACACTCTGCATGAATATCCATACTCATTGTCGTACCAGCTGATGAGCTTGAAAAAATTGGGTCCTATCGAGATGCTCGCATTAATGTCAAACACCGAGCTTCTCGAGTCTCCAATGAAATCGGAGCTTACAACATCATCCTTTGTTGTTCCTATGATCCCTTCATTGCTTTCCGAGAACCTTTCGATGGCATCCACTATGGCCTCGATGGTTGTCTCTTTCCTTGTTCTGCAGACAAGGTCGACCACACTAACATTTGCAACAGGGACCCTCATTGCCATTCCGTTCAATTTCCCGGCAAGAGAGGGAATTACCTTTCCCACGGAAGTTGCTGCACCCGTGCTTGCAGGGATTATATTGGCCAATCCTGACCTCCCGCTTCTCAGGCACTTTCCAACTCCATCAACAATCTTTTGTGTTGCTGTCACTGCATGAACTGTAGTCATCAGTCCCTCCACAATTCCAAAGTTGTCGTCGACAATCTTGGCAAGGGGTGCCAAGCAGTTGGTGGTACAGCTCGCATTGCTGATGATCCTTTGGGACACATAGTCTTGATGGTTGACTCCGTACACAAACATAGGTGCGTCCTTGCTTGGCGCAGTAATCACAACAATCTTGACGTCCTTATGGCCTTCGCAATCCTTCAGTGTTGTAAACACCCCACTGGCTTCGACAACTGCATCCACTCCATATTCCGTCCATGGGATCTTCTCAGGCCTATCAAAGGCAGACAAGCTTGTTTTTTTTCCTTTGTATAGGATCTTTCCTCCCTCAACCTTACACTCCTTGCATCTTCCAAAGACACTATCGTACTTCAAAAGGTATTCTGCCTGCTCCGGCTTCAAAAGAGGGTCATTCACAAGAGGCACCTCTACACCTTTCTCCCTTAGAATCCTGTATACCAACTTTCCTATCCTTCCTAATCCGTTTATTCCCACCTTCATTTATACGGCACATTGAATTTTGTTTAAATACCTTTTGACAGAAGTAACAAGGAAAGACCCAATTGCCGCCTGGAATCGATTGCAATGATAGCGGCTCATCCAATCACCAGGTCTGCTCGATTATCGAGAATATACCGATGCATTCTGTAAACAAAAAAGAAAATACAGGCACCCAAGGAAAATGATTTTGAATAGCCTATTCAAAAACTTCAAGAACATCAAAAGATATCAAAAGCCAATCAAAGCTATTCTCGTGGTTGTGCCTCTGCTTACCTTCAAAGTAAGCAAAGAGACCCATGTCTCCACTAACGAGCCTGTTCAACATTATATAGATAGAAACATCGAACTCGAGAAGCCTTCAGACTCCACACCTCTTTTTACTTGTAACAGATTCATCCTCAATGACCTTCCTCCAAGACGGACATTAAGGATTCAGGGACTTCCAGACCAAAAGGAAAACTACTATCCCATAATCTCAACTCTAAAGTCGATGGCCATAAAGAATATCAATGTGATCATCGACCTAAACCCTCCAGATGAGAAATGCATGTATCTGTTCGAAATAGACCTGAGGTTTGCCGGCAGCACATGCATGCTGATACATCCACTGAAGAACCACCAGCCCAACTCAGACTTCTTTCTTGTTGCTGGAGACTTCTTTCCCTCCAAAATGTCCTTCGACCCCATGGACATCCTTGTCACAAACAAGCCGTCAAATCGCCTGCACATCTTGCTGAAAGGTACTCCCCGGAGTCTGAAAATGCTTATTTGCTTTATTAAGTCGATTTCGTTTATAAGGACCCATCCATACGGAAGCTACTTCTATATCCCAGTAAGCCATGGATACATAGATATCACCATATTCATGCCTCTAGTGATTTGCGTGTTGGTTTACTACATACTTGACTGGATTTGGACTCCCCACCATGTCTCTGTTCCAAGGATATTTCTAGGATCTCTTCTCTATTCGTTCTTTCCTATTTCATTTCTGTTCTTCACAAGGAAAAACGAGTTTCTTTGTCTTTCAACGATCTTCATGGTCCTGAACCCAAAAATAGGCCTGGCGTACATTGGGATATGCTACCTAAGAATGGTGTACGATACCTTCTCCATTGCCATACAGATGCTGAAGTCATCAAGAATGTCCCCAATGGATGAAAGATCTTTTATAAATTACAAAGCTAAACACAAGGTAGAATAAATGTCCTTTAATTAGCCATGACCATGGATTGCTCCTTGATCGCAAAGTCGGCTCCGAAGGAAACATGCAGGATATCCTTGAATGAGTTTCGGATGTTGTATGGCATACTGGCTTGAGTAATGATTTCGGCACCAAGGCTTATTGCTGCTATGCTGCTTATTGCACTTCTCAAGGATGAGACGATGTCTTCCGTTCCGATGTCGATGAGAGATGAATCATAAATCACTCCATCCTCGTAGACCTGGTGCATCACCATCTTGTAACTGAATGGCTTGATGTTGAGCATTCCAAGGAGGTTGGCCTGTGAAGGCCCCACCTTATCTCCTACAGAAAGAACCTTGTATGGAGAGATGATCTCCACCTTACCCTTTGTGATCTTGGTTGCTATTCCAAGAACCTGGAAGTATGATGTCTTGTCTGGAGTCATTCCTGTGATGCAGTTTTCCACCCATACGTCTTTCTGTGCAATGTTTCCAACCTTGGCACACGCTTCTCTGACGTTATCGTCAATGGCCTTCTTGACATCCCTAACGTCTCCCTTGAAAAACACAAAGCAGACGTCTCCCTTGATGAGCTCAAGGATACTTGACAGCTTGGGATTTTCAAGACTTGCTACTGCACGCTTGATTGCCGAGTTCTTTCCCATGAGAAATTCAACATCCTCTCCCCAACCCTTCTTGATGTTCTTGAGCTGAGTCGACTCCACATTCTCGATTCCCACAAGAGCAAACCTGGTGTAGGTTCCAAAGAGCCTCCTAGCCTTCTCATATACCTGTTCCTTCCTTTCCTTGGAGTCCTTTCTAGTCATTCCAGGGTGAAAAAATTTCTCTCTTTTGGACTCCGGCATACCCAAAGAGCTCTGGCCAGTCTGGTGGAGCCCTATCAAGAGAAGTTCTGATTTGAAGGTCATTCCAGCCACCCTCTGAATGGACGGGGTGGTCAGAAGGATTTCCAACCGGCTTGGAACAATGCCAAAGGAAACAACAGAAATGATTTCCCAAGCACTCAAGGATCCATCCTATCAGGAGAGACTGGTTGAGATTCTTGGATATGAGATGATGGAGGAAGTGGAGATGATTTGTGCAAACAAAGAGTACTTTGTTTCTCAGGAAGAGGTAGAGGACCACGGCTTTTATGTGGAGTACAACTTTCCAGAGTCCATTCCCATAGAGGTTGACTGTTCAGAGATTGTTAGTACAGATGTGATGGGGGGATACAAGAAGTACTTCGACTACAAGAAGTTCAACGGGGTCCAGTCAAAGGTGTTTAACTCGGCATACCAGAGCGATGGAAACATGCTGGTCTGTGCACCAACAAGCTCTGGAAAGACAGATATTGCATTTCTATGTGTTCTCCGGGCACTTGGTAAGGGAGACAAGGTTGTTTATGTCGTTCCGATGAGGGCATTAGCAACAGAAATAGCATCGAAGTACAGAAAGAAGCTTGGAGAGCAAAGGGTTGTGGAGTACACTGGAGACACAGAGATAAAGACAGAAGATGTGGCAAGGTGCGATGTCATAGTGTCAACACCGGAGAAATTTGATGTTGCAACACGAAGACAATGCAATGTATTCCAGAGCCGTGTTGGGCTTGTTATACTTGACGAGGTTCACATGCTCCAGGACGAGAGGGGGCCTGTTTTAGAAGCGATTGTATGCAGAGTGCTTAGGTATGTAGAGCTCCGCCAAAGACCCATACGTGTTGTGGGGCTTTCTGCCACACTCCCTAACTATGAGGATGTGGGAAGGTTCCTCAGGGCCGAGCATGTGTTCAGCTTTGACCAAGGATATAGACCTGTTCCACTGAAGATGCAAGTTGTTGGAATGAAGAAGAGGAGCAAGCTCCAGCTCGAGGATGAGTTTCTAAAAAAGAAGGTGGAGAGATATCTGAGTGATGGAAAGCAAGTTCTGGTGTTTGTGCATTCCAGGGGAGAAACTTCTAGGACAGCAAAGCTTTTGAGTGATGATGGAGAAAGAAGAGATGTAAAGGGAGGAGTAGTGGGAGGAATACTTTTGGAACTGGCTCGAAGGGGGGTTGGGATACACCATGCTGGACTTCCTCGGAAGATAAGACTGTATATGGAAGATGAATTCAAGGCAGGGAGGCTAAGGATATTGGTTACGACATCAACCCTGGCATGGGGAGTCAATCTTCCGGCATATGCAGTGGTGATCAAAGGAACCAGATTTTATGACTCTTCTCAGGGAGGATTTAGGGATGTAGGCATTCTGGATGTATTACAAATATTTGGAAGGGCTGGGAGGCCTCAATTTGATTCCAGGGGAGAGGGATGTCTGATAACGACAGGGGACAAGATGGACCATTATGTGTCTCTCCTCAAGAACAGCAGGGATGTGGAGAGCAGGCTGCTTCGACATGTTGCAGATATCATGAACGCAGAGATATACCTGAACACGATTGAGGATGTCAACACGGCTGTGGAATGGCTAAGAAGTACTTTTATGTATGTCAGGATGTCCAAAAATCCTATGTGTTACGGATTGAGTAAAGAAGATTTGTATGATGAATACAAGGCCCTGTCGGATTATGCTATTCTTACATGTAGAAGGCTAGAGGAGTGCTCGATGATAAGAATACATAGAAAAAGGATTGGAGACTTTCAAACATGGAGATTCTGTAGCACGGAGTATGGGAGGATTGCCAGCATGTATTATCTATCTCATGAAACCATGGAGAGGTGGCTGAGGGAAATAGAAGATATATATGACGAAGACTCCATACTTAGGCTTTGCTTTGAAGATAGGGAGCTTTCGGTGCTGGGATGTAGGGAAGAAGACGAAGAAAGTATCAAGGAGCTTTGTATGGAGGTTGGAGTTAAATACGAGGTGTCGATAGGATGTAAGCTGATGGTTCTTGTGAAAGCACATATCAAAAGACTCCCAATCCAAAGGTTTTCACTTGCATGTGACAGTGAGTATGTTGTCAAGAATCTCCGGAGGATTCTGATGGGGCTATGCCAGATCCTGATATTCCAATGCAAGCATCTATTTGTTGCAAAATGTTGCATACTATTGAAAAGAATAGAAAGGCAAAAGGAAAAGCCTTGGGATGCCAACAACAGAGTCGAAGTAGATCTTTTCCGAGTTCTTGGAATGGTTAGAATGGAAGTTTCCCTGAAGATGAAAGGGGAATATTGGATATTTGTATGGGATGGAGACTCTGCCATCTACTCGGGTCTCTTTGCACATCGAGCAAATTTATTCATCAAAACAAAGTGTGATGTGTTGAGGATTGAGATTGTTGCACGAGATGAATGGGCAAGAACAGAGGAGAGATGCTGGGTTAGCCGAGACACAAGTACAAGATCATTGTACCATAACGGTGTCCATGAGTGTGATCAAGGATGGTCTTTGGTAGGAGAGAAGCAAAGCTGTTCCCATTTCTGTGTGATAAAGTCGCTTTCGGATCTTTCCGATATGATGGATGGATGGAGATTGGACGGAATCTCCGAGCCTGGAAGATTGATTATGACAAACAGAAGGATTAATTTTTCGAGTATGAGGAAGGGAGACATAAGCATAAAAGGGTGGGATAAGAGAGATCTAAGGGATGCTCCTGGTGTGAGTGTGGGCTACTTAATGCCCGAGGTTCCGCCGAGATATGTTAAGTATATTTTGTGTGATTTTTCTCTTCGGATAAAATTTGTGCAAATCGACTGCATGCTGTTCAGGGAGAGGCTTCAGCTCATGAGCTCCTGTATCACATTCATGGATAACTACGAAAGCAAGAAAGTTGTCATAGTGGCACCAGACACAAGTGACATGGAAAGAACAGCACAAGACCTCGAGACTAGAATGACTCTGAAGAGTTTGTCTTGTGGAAAATGTGATGTGAAAGTAAGGCGTGGAAGACCTATGGCAGGAGACACAGGGATATTTGTAACTGCATTTGATAGGAGGTTGGAGATACAAAAGGATTTCACGGTGATTTTCAAGGGATGTTCCAATTCCAATGGATATTTTCCTATATTTGAGGTTTTGAGGATATGCGACTCGAGAGAGGCGCTTATATATGAAGGAAGGGACTATATAGAGTATTTTAATAGCTGTGTACTGAACGGGGATGAAGAATGAAAATTAAAAGCGATGTTTAATTATCGGGATGTATAGGTGTGAAGATTTATAGCACAAAGGTGAGTGCCAGGGATATGTCATCTTTGTCTCCAAGACCTCTGGTAACCTCCTCTGGAGCATCTATTATAAGAAGAAGGCCGCCAAGGGAAACCCTCACAATGGTCCTGGGCCCTTTTCTTTCAAGGGAATAGACCCTTCCATAGGCTAGATAGAAGCAATCTATGTTCTCATGGATTCCTCGAAAAATACGCACCTCGACAGCATGTCCTACCTGAAGCCTGCACAAAGTGGTGTTGTAATCAAGAGAAATGGAAATTTTGGGGGATTCCATGTACAGCCTCGAGACTTTTGTGTAGAGCTTTCCTTCTTTGTCGATGTCAACGACTTTGAAGCTGTCGGCCAAGATCTGCATCATGGGTGCAAAAATTTGAATGTTGAAATGCCCTGTGATGGAAGGAAACAAGGGCAGAGAAGAGGAAGGAAAGGAGCTTTTTGATGAGGAGTGTTCCTCCGAGTTTCTTCCAATCGACTTCTATGATAAGAGCCGGAGGCCTAGGGACGACCAAGGGATTGAGTTTGTAGTTACCAAGAATGGTTTTCCTGAAGGAACAAGGGGGGTGTGTTTTGAAGGAGTTGTGGATGGCCTTGAGTTTGAGAATCGGAAAATGGAGGCGGAGATTGAAGGGCTGAGCAAGAAGGAGAGAAGAATAGAAAAGGAAAATGCAGCTCTGAAGGATGTCCTATTGGGGCTTTTGTCAAAGCTTTCTTCTTGACAGATGTTTGTTTTACCTTTATAATGAGCTTTGAGCATAAACAAACCGTAGGATGGACATAGGAAGAAAGCCACTGAGCGACGAGGATTTTGGAAGTGCGTGGAAGTCTATAGAGAAGGAACTTCGGAAGCTTTCCTCGGGGGGCTTGTGCAGTGGGCTTGAGATTTATAACAACATATACACGGTGTGTACGTCGTCTACACCCAGGCTTGAAAACAAGCTGTATTGGAAGATAGGAGATTTTGTGTATATGAGAGCACGGGAAATAAGAAAGGAGGTGTTTGAGGCAAAGGACTGGATTAAGGAGTACAACGAGGGGTTTAGGAAGTTTAGGCAGATGGTCTTTGCAATTGACGAGCTATGCGACTTCTTGAACGAGTGTGTGAAGGGCCGGACGATGCGGGATCTAGGATTTCTCTTATGGGAGAGATGTGTGCTGCAGCAGACGATGAAGTACAAGCACACAACGCTTGGGTTCGAGCTTGTGAACCAGGAGAGGATTGAAGTGATCAAGGATGCAATTGAGTCGTTTCGGCTGATTGTTCCCGACCTGAAGAAGCCGATGCTTTACTATACACAGAGGTATGAGCAGTTTGCCCTACAGAAGATTGGAAGCAAGTACCAGGAGGAAATAAGATCCATGTGTGGGGAAGTTGAGAAGTACTCGTTCTATGTAAGAGAAAAGATTTGGTATGAGAAGAGCATCCGGGAAAAAATATTTCTTGAAGAGTCTTGGGAGAAGATGGAGGAGATACTTGAAGAGGTGTTTATCTTGAACAAAAGAGAGTATCTCTTTGCAGAAATATACAAGATAATGTCGATGCACAGACTTCCTGTGGAGATTCTTGACAAGATCTCCAAAGAGATGGAGCATGACAAGCATCGAGAGGTTGGAGGATATCGAACAAACGATTTCTATGAGTTGCAGAATGATGACGAGCCTAAGGTCAAGCATAGCGATGTCTTTCTGGAAAGGATGTCTGTCCTTTACAGGAACCTGTCCGGGCTGAAGTCAGCATGCGAAATATTCCGAGAGGTGTTTACCCGATATGTACGGGAAGAGAGTGAAAGGCATGTGGATGTGTACAGCAAGGGTATTGAGACGCTGTATATCTTTCACTGCATGCTTAGGCATGTTGTGGATGTCGGGTTTTTGGGGGACCATGAATATTTCAAGATACTGAAGAGAGAGTTTTCCACAAGCTGTATGAAACTGAGGCCATCTCTGGAAGCAAGACTGCTTGAGTTTTCGGATTGGATTGTTGGGGAGAACAGCAATGTATTCAGGTTTCTTGACAGAGAATTTGAAAAAAACACTGGGGGAAGCCACCTGGATCTTCCTTTTCTGGGGCCTGGGAAGGTGAAAGAGGAAGGATTGGAGCTTGGAAGGAGGTTTGAAGGGAAGAATGAATTTTTGCGGCAGGTGTTTGGAACACTGTACAAGATGATAGAGAACAAGCATGTGTTCTACGAGATGTATCTTTCAGGGCTCGGAAGGAGGCTACTGGAAAAAGGCCCGAATCTTTATGAGGAGAAGAAGTTGATTTCCCTAATGAAACGAAAGGGGAACCAGGACTTTATAAAGAAGGCTGAGACGATGGTTGCAGATATAAACATCTCCCTGAGCTACAACAAGGATACTGACCGATTTGTGTGGGTTCTGACACAAGCATATTGGCCACAGCAGGCAGAAGCCCCGCTGATCCGGATTCCAGAGTCTCTTGAAATGATAAAGAGGGTATATGATTCGAAGTTCAACAAAAAGAAGTTGTGCTGGGCATGGAATCTAGGAAGTGTGTGTGTGGAGATCTATGGAGTCGAGATCCAAATGAATGTTCTCCAGTACTCTGTGATTGATCTGTTCAACAGACATGAGCAGGTGGATTTCGAAAAGGCATTGAGTGCCACGAAGATGGGGACAAAGGTTATCGGGGATGTTCTTAAATCCTTAGTTGATAGTGGCCTCCTTGTCTGTGCCGAGGGTTGGTACAGAATAGGAGATATATTTGGTATCGAAAAGGATATCCGTGGCTTTTACTGCAGCGAAAGTGTTTCCATGGTGCATGAGATAGACAAGAATTCGTACTACCAATCACTTGCATCGCGAATACTAAAGAGGAGGAAGAGGATGTGCATGGATGACATAGTAAAGGAAACTCAAGCGGAGCATACCGAGAGATTTGGATACGACGAAGTAATCTTCTCCGAAGCCATAAGAATTCTTGGGGATAAAGGAATCATAGAGGAGGTGGAGGATGCATATGTCTATCTCCCCTAGGGGGTAGGCCTTTGATATGTATACTTACAAAGAAGATCTTTTGGCCCATGGCAGAGCTGTCGGAAGAAAAAAGAAGGATGTATTTGGAGCAAATAGAGGAGCTTGAAAAGACACTTGAGAAGGAGAAAGATAGTCTTAGAAAGACTATAGAATCTCAAGACTCCAAACAATAAAAGATTTATTTTCTATATCAAGAGATCTTTGGCAACTTCAAGGAAATGCAGGCTCCTTTCCACCCAGCAAGTTCCTGGCCTCGTTGATCTTTGACGCTATGTATGGGCTTCCTCCCCTATCTGGATGGTTGATCTTCATCATCTGTATATATCTCTCTGCCACACTTTCCCTACGACCCTCGATGGATAGGATCTTTCTTGCCTCGTTGAGATCCATCACAGGCTTGAATCCTTTTGGATGGCTTGGGACGAACGGAAGATAGTCTACAAGTCTCCGAAGCATGGGGACCCCATAAGGCCAAATTTTTGACTCCCCATGGACATTCAGAAAATAGTTGATGCCATTAGATCTAACGACATAGATGCAAACAGAGCTGCTATCGAAAGCATCTATGCCAACTGCAGCCAGCTAGACGACAAGGACATTATAGAAATAACTCCGTCTGTGATCTACTACCTGTGGAAGCTTCCGAAGTTCACGGCTCAGAAGCAGTTTGTTCTGGAACTTTTGTCCCATGCCGACCAAAGGTTGCGCTACAGCCTGTTCATGTATCTCATCGATCACTGGAGTAGCATCCAGCTGGTAAGAATGGACAAATTCTACTATCTTGTCAAGAGGATTCTGGAATATTATGTACTGGATGTGGAAACAGTCTCTTCCTTGTTCAATATATCCACGAGCATGGATCTTAGAACATTTATAATTCGATGTGTTGTGGACAGACTTAAAGAAACCACCGAGGACATGGAGCATTTCTTGGCTGGGTTTGCTTCCACGTGCCCTCCGGCATTGCTGCTTCCTCTCGAATCCCTAAGGCTCCGGAAGGAGGTTGCCCTGGAATATGCAGGGAATAAGGACATCGGAAAGAAGAACAGAGCTGCATTATACTCCATGATCAAATAAAAGATATTTCCACTAACTCAGCTCTAGCTCTCATGCTTCACAAAGCTGAACTTGCTTTTGCACTTCTTGCAGACAGGAACAAACCTGCAGAACACAGAGAGACATATTGGACATACAAGCCCCAGCAGAACTTGCTTGTTATGGCAATAGCAGGTTGCAGGGAATCCCAGAGGCTTTGAATCTCCTTTTGTTCCAAGGAGAGAGAGTAGAAATCTCAAACATCCGTCTTCAGATGTTGAATAACCGCCGCCCGTTGCAGCACAACATTGGAGAATCGTCTTGTTTTCAAACAGCGAGAATGCACTTATTCTTACTCCAAACCTCTGTGCAGCAAACATGCATTTCAGATATCTCAGATACTCGTCGTTCCGCTCCTTCTCAAGTGTAAATATTACGATTTGGGATTCCCCGAGTCTGTGGAGACACAATGCATATCCGAGATCCCCCACGTCATAGCTGGACTGGTGTTGAGTTATCCTGTATATTTCCTCGATGCTACTTTCCAAGGAGTCGAAGAGGATCTTCTTCCCACTTACGACGACAATTCGATTGTTTCGGCTTGACTTGTGATATGCATTCAAAAAGACAACAACGTCATTGAAGAGGTCTCTCCCCGTCATCTCCCAATTCTCTTTCTTCAGGTCGATTAGAAGGAAAAGAATCATGAGGGATTGGCAAGGACAGATCTTGTGTTCTGTGGAGCAAAAAGATGTCAGAAACGGGATTCGAACCCGTGCCTCAATGAGAATACGACCTGAACGTATCGCCTTAGACCACTCGGCCATCCTGACTTATATGTCCCCCAGGGGAGGGTATCGCCAATTCCTTGCCCCATGCTCCAGACAAACATATATTCGCCAAGGGGATGTCCTCTATTATCTAATGGACGGGTGCAGTCATCCCGTAAGACTGGGCACATTGTGCGGGGTATGTGGAATCGAAATCCCTGAAGATTCACACCTCTTCTGTGCACTCTATAACACAGACAATGTTAAGATAACGCACAAAGAGGCTGTCTCAATATATAAAGAAAAAATGAAAACTTTAGAGACACAGATGAAGCTGATTCTGGTTCTTGATCTTGACCAGACAATTCTTCATACAACATACGGGGAATCCAGGATCCATGGAACTGTGAGATTTATAATGGATGGGAGCAAGTACTGTGTGAAACTAAGACCAAACCTTGATCATATGCTTCGGAAAATTTCCAGGCTGTATGAGATTCATGTGTATACCATGGGAACAAGAGCATATGCAGAGAGAATAGTTGGGATTGTTGATCCTTCTGGAAAATACTTTCAGGACAGAATCATTACAAGGGACGAGAATGAAGGGGTTTTGGTGAAGAGGCTGAGCAGGCTCTTTCCACATAACCACAAAAACATAGTAATCCTTGATGACAGGCCTGATGTATGGGACTACAGTGAAAATCTGCTTCTTGTTCGGCCGTTTTGGTATTTCAACCGTACGGACATCAATGATCCATTGAGGCTGAAGAGAAAGATAGAGGAAGAGGGAAGAACATCTAGGGACTTGGAAGGGTTTGTGGACAAGAAAAAAAGAGTTGAGGAAATTGAGGATCCGGAGATTGTCTCGAAGCTGGATGATATAGTGCTTGAATGCTCTTCTGGATCCAAGGAGCCAAGGAAAGATATCGAAAGCACGGAAGAAAAAGAAGTAAGCAGATGCTTGGAGGATTGCGAGCTGTTAAGAGTGACAAAGGTGTTGAGGAGGATTCACAAGAAGTACTTTTCAAGCAGCCACAGAAACGTAAAGAAGATTCTGAGGAACATCCGAAAAAAGATTTTCGGTGGAGATCGGTTTCTTGTTCCACCTGCCCCAAATAGGATGTGGCTTGTAAAAACAATCGAAATGAACGGAGGGACAGTAAGTTCTCTGGAGAACGAGGTTGACTTTATAATTTCTTCTAGCAAGGAGGAGGTCAAGGCCCTGGCACAGAAGCTTGAGTGTCTTGTTGTATCTCCAAAGTGGATAGCCGATTGTGTGTATTCCCTGAGGCGAGTAAGGCACGGAAGGTACATTGTGTGCGACTATAGGCCCAAGGATGAATACGAAGAAGAGCTTGAAAGGCTCTTTTCGTGATGGAGGCTGTTTGTTATTAAGTGGCGGGATAAATTTGAAGCCTTGCTAACAATCTTTATATTTGTTACCCATAAGTTTGTTTTGAGTTTATCACATTTGAAATAAAACCCATGGAAGGAATTGTTCAGGAAGTAATACAGTGCATGCTTGGAGCAATTGTAAGGAACAATGCAATCCAGATGATAATTCTCTACTCGGTGTTTTATTTCACAAGGTGTGCAAAGCGCCCGGATGTATTCTACAGCGGAATGAAAAGGGACTCTGTCTTCAAGATGGGGAGCCTGCATAGAAGCTATTATCCCCTATTTTTTGCACCCTTTGGAACCATCCAGACCGTTCTTCAACTATTCCGAAGGCCCATGTTCCTTGAGAGAATAAGTATTCAGGTGAAGACGCCCCACAACGGGTCGATCCTGCTTGACCTTGTGGAAGGTGACAAAAATTCCAAGAAGAATGCACTTCTAGTCCACGGATTCAATGGGTCGGGAAACTCAACGTACATGAGGGGACTGGCAGGGCATCTTTCAAAAGAAGGGTACAGAGTCTTCTGCTTTAATGCAAGAGGTATCAGGTCGAAGCTCAATAGTCCTGTGTTTTTCCATATAGGATGGACAGTGGACTTGAAGGCAGCCGTGGAGTTTATTCTTTGTGACTATCAAGGGACACTGGAGATATTTGGGTTCAGCATGGGAGCCAACTGGGTAGCAAAGTTTTTTGGAGAGGAGAAGCTCGATCCCAGAATAATAAAGGGAGGGGCTGTGTGTCTTCCATTTGACTTCTTCAAAATAGGAATCCACTTTCTGAAGAATCCGTACACTAGGCTATTCAACAAACTACTGGCAATGAACTTTGTAAAGTATATCAACAGAAACAAGGATGTATTTAGAGATGCAGGGTATGACATGAATATGATAAGAAAGTGCAGTAGCGTCCAGCAGATAGACATGATGGTAACAACAAAAATCTTCGATATCAAGGACGTCAATGAGTACTACAAAAACCAGTCGTGTGTGAACTACATCGATCAAATAAGTGTTCCTTTCATCATACTCAACACATACGACGACCCGATCATCCCCCCATTTTCAATAGACAAGGAAGTGTGCATGAGGAACAAAAACATACTGTTGGTAATAGCTCACAAGGGAGGGCATCTGGGCTTTCTGTCAAATAGGCTGGATAGAACTTGGGCAGAAGATGTTCTAATGGACTTTGTCAAGCACTTCTAGGCATGGCGGAGAAGAAATGTGTCGATTATTAAAGCATGAGTTTATTGCATCTATGCCCTGGAATATCCTGACTTCAAAGATCAAATCCCCTTGCAGCCAACTCACTCCGGACAATTTCTCTATACACTCCTTCAAGCCCGTCGAGTTCCATGGGATTAAGTTTAATCATCCTCAAGATCTTGTCTTCACAATCCTTGAGAACGGGTCTGGAGCCTTCAGGCATCTCGTTGTTGACCTGGTTTATGATCTTCTTAAGATCCATCAAATAGTTTGGCCCAACAATCTTCTTCTTGTGTGCAGCACTACAGTTGAGCTTGAGCTCGAGGCAATCCAGAATTTCTTTTGTAGGTAGACTTTCCTTGGCATAGAAGATAGGGGCATCATGCTTCGAAGATGAAAGTTCTCCATCGGCCAAGATACAGTATGAAGTCTCGTTGCGCTTTGCCAAGCAATAAATCTCATACCTCTGTGGTTTCATTTCACAATTCTCCACTATGTATGCTGTGTCTGGATCCATGTTGCTAAGCTTGCTTCTTATGACTCGGAACTCATCGTCCAGATGAACAACTCGAAAGTGCGCCGATAGACAGCTGCGCAGCTCCTCTAAATACATCCTCGACCTTCCCATCAGAATTATAACAGGCATCGAGGGGCTTGGGGACAAATGGATAAGACGGCTGGTAGCACTAGTCTTGTGTGAAACGGCTAATGAGGTTAGCCAGTCTTTCCTTGTTTCAGGGTCGAACGCCGAAGTTTCGTCCCATGAAACGATCGTGTTTCGTGTTTGAGAATAAATAGTAAGGTGAAAGAGACTCAAAACCAATATGCTACTGTCTCTGATATTCCCTCTTGTAGTGCTGGGAGAAAAGTTCGATGGATATGGACCCACGGCATTCGACATCTCTCTGAGCCCCGAGATTCCTCTTGAGGAGCTTACGGGATATGGTACAAAGCATGCCAAAGAGAGAAAGAACAAAGGATTTGGAGATTTGAGTCTGGTCGACTTCAACATGGAGACAGAAGATAGCTTTGACAGAAATAAGCTGGTCGAGATTGCTTGGAATGTCTTGGACTCTTCCCACGGAACAATCATGACTATGCAATCAATCAGGAAGGGAGAGATCGATGCTTTGTCAATAAGGGCTCTTGGCCACTACGAGGTGCTGAACTCATCAGAAGGCTCTTACAACGTCCAGGAGGCGCCGATAACATATCTTCCAATCGTCTTTGACACACTGGTTCTTGACCACAAGAAGAGTGGGTATGTCCGAAATCCAGAGAACAATAAAATCATCTATGCAAGCTGGGCAATATTCGAGCACAAGCGAACAAAGAGATGGTTCACTGTGGTCAATGTTGACATGTACAGCGCATACTCGGAGAAGACCGATGTCCAAATGGCAAATATTCTAGAGGATATGAATCGGGAGCACACAGTGGACTCCAACCCGGTGTTCTTCATGGGGCACATCAATGCAATCTCGGACAGGCTTCAGAAGGTGATTGAGGACAAGTACATAAATCCTTTGGATGTAGACAGGAACGCAAAGGAAGGACCCAAGTTCACCATGAAGAATCTCCCAGATATTCTTGGCAATTTCCAGAGGGACTTTGTGTTGGTTAGAGATGCGTCATCCAAGGTGGTGAGAGTCAACTATGCAAGAATACTAAGAAAGGGCCTTCCCACCCTCCACTATCCCATTCATGCAATAGTGTCGTTTGAGGCGGGGGACCAGCACCGTACACCCTCGGCTGCCTGAACAATAATAAACCACCTTTTGTGATGTTTTGAATAATTTTTCGGTAAAAGCAGTCCCTTCATGATTGAAGGTCTTTCGACGTTTTCTGGACGCACCATGCCAAAAGGATCTGGAATCTACTCGGTGATGAACGACGGCAGGACGATACTGACGGCATCGAACAAGGAGAGAAAGCTTATCCAGCGAAAGATCAATCCACGAGATATCCGATGGACGACGACAAGTAGGGAGTTCTTTGGAAAGGAATCCCAATATGTGGTTGAGAAGATGAATGTGCAGAAGGTCAAGATCGTCCGTGGATTTAGACATATCAGTGCTGGCTTGCTTGAAAAAGCCAGGCAGACAGAGTCTTCAAGAAAATGAAATCGCTTTATTTTTATGTCTTAATCTTCTCTATTGAAATTGGAAAATTTGGTTCTCTATAAACAAAAAGGATGGGTATAGGAAATCACCAGGATTCCTCGGATGGCCGTTTACCTGCTCTACCGGAGCTTGAATTCAGGATGACATATGGCGGAGAAAGATATAAGACCTCGATTCTGTCCAAGGAGATTGTTATGGGTCTGAGGGAAGCTCTCCAGGACAAATATAAATATTCCCTGAGTTGGAAACTTCTTTTCTCCACATTTGAAAATGGATTTTCCTACAGAACCTTTCTTTCAAGCTTTGAAAGAGACGAACTACCTTTTGTACTTGCCTGTAGGACCAGGGATGGAGAGCTGTTTGGAGCATTCTTTGAGGATAGAATTAGGGTGTCCAGGACCATGTATGGGAGGCCATCCACTTTTTTGTTCACCACAGCCCAAAACATGATCTCGGAATCCGAAGATGGCAAAGTGGCTGTCTTCCCTGTATCTCAAGGCAGTGGAGCAAATATCTATTGCACCCCAGACTTCCTTGCATTTGGTTGTAGTGGAGAAAGGTTTGGGCTGCTGATAGACAGATCATTGTCAAGTGGAGAAACACATCCGGTGGAGACCTTTGGGAAGGCCATCCTTGCATCCAACAGCCATTTCCAAATATCGTACCTCGAACTGTGGCTTATCCAGTTATGAGTCTTAACCTGTCTTCAATGCTCTTTGGAAACCAAACAACTGCACCAATCAAGAATATTTTAATATGTTTTTGGCACAATGGATTGACATGAATTCTTCAGAATAGGTCTGGGTATTTTGCTGCAACATCTACAAACCGGCAATATGTCTCCATGTCAAACCCATTTCCAACGGGATGGACACTGTTTTCAACAAGTACCCCATCTTCCACAACGCCGCTAACCCGGACCAGGCCAGACTTGTAAAGTCCAACATCCTGGTGCTTAACCTGAATCTCTCTCTCCATACATTTCAGAACAACAATGCCATCCTCAACCCTCTCAAGCCTTCCTATCACTACGACTGTCTGTCCTTCACAGTTTCTAGGATCCAGTGAATGCATGGGGACAGAATATCAAACGGGAAAAATCATCCCCAACCAAATGGCTCTAGAACTCAGGGCTTTATGTCTAAGCAGAAACACTACAATAGAGATGATAAAGGACAGGGGATACACAACGACACAAGAGGTGCAGACCCTCGACGAGTTCCATGAAAAGTATCCCTTTGCCCTTACAAAGAGATCGACATTGAACTTTGTCTGTGTAGATACGAACAGACCTGTTGCTATACACTTTGGAGAGGACGAGAAGATGGGCAAGAAAGTATTTGAAGGGCTTCTGACGCAGTATGAAAAGGACAACATATTCCATCTGATTCTGATTCTTCCGCTTGCACCCAGTCCTACAGTTATGTCGATGATATCTCTGAACCCAAAGTTTTGCATCGAGATCTTCCTTGTTGAGGAGATGATATTTAACAAGACAAAGCATTCATGGGTTCCTCCACATAGAATCCTGTCTCGAGAGGAGAAGGAGAAGGTTTTCAATACTCTGAAGCTTGGGCCGGGAGATCTCCCCAGGATTCTGAAAAGCGATGCGATTGCTAGATACTACGGGGCAAGGCAAGGAGATGTTGTGGAGATAGTTAGAAAGTCGAAGACCGCTGGGGAATCCATTTATTACAGGATTGTGGTGGAAAAATAAAGAGGTGTTTTGGCTTCTGTGTAAATTTAACTTGTCTGGCATGGCCCTGGACAATGGATGGGGTTCTTGAGAAACTGCTTCTGGATACAAGATTCACAACGAACAAAATCCCGAAGGAGTTTCTCCTGAGGAGAGTGGGTCTTGGATACAGTATAAGAAGCAAGAGATTGGATCGAGATATCATAAAGCCCTGTCTTAAGGCAAAGAAGAACAAGGAGAAAGCTTTGAGTATTCAAGAGGAGGAGTCGGAGGATGCTGGGCGATCGGAGTCTGTCAAGAAGAAAGCCCGATCAAGAAAGAACTAGCTCCCTCGCAACCAAAGTAGATGGCTATTTGTGGCCAAAAAAAGCCCCTAGGATGGGAAAGGCAAGAAGAGCCTACGAGCTAGAGATCACAAAGATCCTGGCCAAAACCATGCAAAATAGCTACAGGAAGAAGCAAGTTGAAGAATTGATAACGAGGATCTTCCAAAAAATGCAGACGATAATTGGGCCTTCCAAGAATCATGAGGAGTTGGAAACATTAAAGTCGGAGTTTCATCTACTAAAACAAGAAGCATACTCTCTTATGAAGACTTGAAAATAGGGTTGCTTTGTTTATTAAACCTCAAAAGGATACTTTATCTATAGTTCTTCCACTCTCCGTCCCCTTCTTTTGAATAGTAATCCATTAGATATTCTCCTCCCTGATAGAACACTTCGAAGGGCGACAGCAATGGCTTCTTGAACAATTTCCCCCAGTCTATGCTAAGTCTGGGACACGATATTTGAACAAAACTGTCTATGAACTCATACCTTTCGAGCTTCTTGGGACTTATTTCGTCCTGCATTATCAAATAGATCTTGTATCCTTTCAGTCGGTTGACCACACTTCTCAGGATATTCTTGTTTCCCTGCCTTCCGAGAGACCCTAGTATTACTCCAAACGATCTTCCCTTGAATGCCGTCCTGATTTCAGACCTTCTATCACTCAGCATCTTATTGTAATCATAGAACTCCTGAGTCATCCGGCGACTGAAGGGACAGTACTTGTAGAACTTCAGATGGGGGTTCCTTATCATGGCTCCCTCCAAGTGGAATCTTCCATCTCCTATCGAAATAACGGCTGAAACTCCCTCGATTTTTGGTGATGTGCACCCTAATACCTCTCCACTGCTAAGAGGTTTCACTTGCGGAAGAATACATTCCACTCCACTCTTCTCGTCATTTAGAGCCCTTCTCAGTCTGCTTATACTTGAGTTAAATTGGATCGTCCCTATCACACCTACACGCCCTTGGAAGTTTCTCTTGATCATTTCAACAGCATGATCTACATCTATCCGGATGTCCACAAAGACATAAAGAACCCTTGTGCTCATCTCGCCTACAGGGATAAGGCATGAATGGCCGTAGTGTACAAGGAGATCAGACCCAATGCTCTCATCGTCCACACAGCATCCTCCATAAACAACATCGTTCAGAATTATACATTCTGCATCGGTATACTTCTCTATAATGTCTATTATCACAAAAGAGTATTTCAAAAGCCCGTCTGGGAACTGCAATGTCACCTTCTTTGCAGACTGCCTTCTAATTGTTCTCAATACCTTTCCCATCTCAAAGTTGTAGTTCCTTGGAAGATATCTCTGGCATTCTGGGACCTCCTTCTGCTCAAGTACAACCATGTGCCCTTGGAGGGCCTGTCTATTTCATAATCGATTTCCTGGCCCAGAATGGATGCAGAGGCATTGCTGAGAAACGAAGAAAATAAGAGTTTTTTGATGAAGAGACTTGAGGATCTAATAGAGAAGCATGGCTTTGACAGGAGGATAGATGAATTTGTGGAGAATCTTGTGGGAGCCAAGATGGCCGACGTCATAGATATCAACAAAGTTTTTGACAAGTTATATGATTTCGTGATTATGAATCTACCTCCAGAGATTCAGGAAACATTCTATCATGACGTAAGAAGCTTTATAGAAAGAAGCGTTGTAACAGAGGATCAATAAACAATATCCTTAACTCATGTTTCGTCTCTGATGTCTCGAAGACAAGACAAGGTTTCGAATAGCTATTGATAAGTGTCCCTAGAAGTGGAAAAGGAAATGAAGAGGCGGGCTTACATCTGTTTCTTTCTTGGGATTGCAACCTGCGAGATCTTTTTAACAACCATAAGACCGATTGACAACCCTAATGTTCTTATGGTTTCTGGAAAAAACGTTGTACTCACGGCGAACAGGGAGGACGAGATGGCCACCTTCCGTGTCGAGACCCAAGACAGGAAATCCAGGTTCCTTGGAATAAAGTTTGGGAAACGGAAGCATACTGTTCTCATATCACCGGGGGACAACCCGAATCTTTATATGAAGTACAGTAAGTCGGATGGGAGGCCTACCATGGGGAAGAAAAAGAAGTACTGGGAATACAAGGAGATGAAGGATGGAGGCTACATGCTTAGTTCAAGCAAAAACAAGTGTTTGGGAGTGGTTGGGAATAGCTTCAGGATCTCCGAGTGTGGAACTGGAAAAGGCCAGGTGTTTGTTTTTGAAAGGAGAGACTACAGCGAATCTTCAAGCACTTCTAATTTTGAAGAGCAGATTTCTATTTCTTCGGAGGTTCCCTTGGTTCCTCCGGTCTCTCAAACTTCTTTGGTTTCTTCAACTTCTCGGTCCTCTCTTGTTTCTTCAACTTCTCCAACCTCTCTAACCTCTCGGATTCCTCAGTCTTCCTTTGTTTCTCAGACTTCTCCAACCTCTCGGGTTCCACAGGCAATCCAGGCCAGCCAGGCTTTCGAGGCATTGTTTCCATTTGATGAAAGTAATGACTCCGATAGCAATAGCGACGACATGAAGCCCGTGTTTATTAATCTGGATATGAAGGACAAAAAGACAAATACAGAAACCCAGGAAAGCAGTTCTCCCATTTCGATTTCAACGATGACAGTTTATGTATCTGTCACCAAGTCTCTTTCCGCAGGAGCGGTGTCTTCTTCACCAATAGTGACGATCATCGACAAGTTTCCGCCTGTCAGTGCCAAACTTCCTCCAAACGTGACGCTTATTCGGAACAGGATTGCATCTTCCGAGGAATCGCAGTCTTCTTGCGAGTCAAGTGATTCTTACTTGGGAAATGAAACAGTATCTCACAAAAGTTCCAGCAGAAGCTTAGGAGGAGCCAAGAACGATGCAAATCTGGACTTTGATCTTGAGTTTTATCCAGAGCTGGGGAGGCTCCTAGACGATAGTATCCGCAAAAAGAAAGAAGAAGAGCTTCGGAAGGAAGCAACAGCTAAAAGGGCTCGAGGGAATCCTCTGGGCGAAGAAAGAAAAGACGGAGAGTTCTTTAGTGCCTTGGCATATTTAGATACCTCCATCCCAAATCCTTTACGCCAAAACCTAGCGGAAGCACAATCTGCCTGTGCAGACATTGGGCAAGTATAATATAAATAAATGTAAATGGATGCCAACTCTCTGTTTAATAAGGAGCCCTTCTAAGCCGGGTTATATCGACCACGCCTATAATTTTCTCTATCTTTCTGAATATATCGTACATCTTGTGAATCATTTTACGGGTTCTAGCCTTTTCATTAAGCTTCAGCACGGCCTTGAGTGAAGGAATCATCACGAAGGTTTGGGAATTGTCTCCAGGATTGCAGTCTGTAAAGGAAAGTGCCCATCCGCTTACTCCCTCATAGTTGATTTCGTTTCCAACTGTAAGACACTTTCCTTCCGATATAAGCTGGAATTTCACACTGTTTGGAAGCCTTTTCAAGTAGATGGAGGACGGTGAGATCTTCATCCTCACGCCTTTCAGGGAGGAGTGAACGTCTGCTATTTCTATGCAGCGCTCCTTCTTGAGCTCCAGCCACACCTTCTTTGAAAAGCTCTCGTACTTCAAGTCAAAAACCTGGTTTTCCATCATCTCCTTAGAAAACTCAGAGAGTAGGGCTGGTAGGCTTATTCTTTCTGGATGGATGGTGTCAAACACGGTTAAGGGTTGATTCCGGTGCAGCACATTCAGCATCATTACCCCGTCATAATCGGAGTTCCGAAGATGCCTATTGGACCTACCACAAGGCCCATATCCTCTTTGGAATGAATATGCAAATGCAAAGAATAACAACAACATCACTTCCTTGTTTTGGAAAGATATTTAACTTGTGTTAAAACCTGTTCCGAAACAGTTTAAAGCTTTGTGTCAGAAGCAGGGCTGCTCCCCAGAGACATAAGTCAAGTCGGAAGAAGAAAGTTTATTTCGCATTGTACTGCTTGACCATGTTAATAAAAACCTTCCCTGCAGGCGTAGATGGGCATATGACCCTCCTGCAAAAATACGTCTGCATGACTTGCATTTCCATATTCCAACTGCCGTTCTCTTCACACTCTTCTTTCCACATGCCTCACAGCTGTACTTGGCCCTCTGTGTTTCAAGAACCGCTTTCATTCTCTTACGGAGAGTCGATCCATATCTTGCTCCGAAAGAGCCTGCAATCCCTACCTTCTTGGTTTTTCCCTATAAGTTAGTCTGCTTCAGAATCCCCTTGGTCCCAAGTCACTTACCATTTTGATGGGTAAAAAAAATTCTCCTTAAACCGCAATACTTGCAGGACACCTTCCAAGAGATGATGCATCCGTCAGGAGCGGTCGTTTATCTTTTCCTCAAGAAATCCCTCCCCCGTCAGTTTCTTGAAACTTTCAATGTTCTTATTGATGCTTTCTATTAATCTATCTCCAAGTTCTATTTCAATTCCCTTTGCGGGATTAGAATTCAGGTGAGAAATAGCCAATCCTACGAGAGACAGAAGCATCCACATTGTTTACAGGCTTCCGTTACACTAAATAGTCTGTGTTTTGGATCATTCATTTCAAAACTCGATACATCCAAAAACAACTTGGGTTTACTATCAATCATATTCATCAGAATCCACAATCATGCTATCGTTTTCAGATTCATACTCGTCCTCCTCAAAGTCGGAGCTTGCTCCGTCGTCAATAACCTCGCTCCTCGCCTTAATTCCCTTCGAGTGGAAGTACTGCTCCAGAAGTCCGAATTCATCTTTCGAAAGCCCACTGAAAGCGTACGGACCCTCGCAGAACAAAGTCATGTCAAATGTCTTGGCCTGCATACTGCTCAAGTTGATTCTACTAAACTCCACAAGCGATATCTCACTTAAATCCAACTTAACGGCTTTGGGAAGAAAGAGAACACAGTCTTCCAGAGGATATAACTGCCCCTCGTATGCCTTCATTGCACACCTTAGGCATCTCATTCCATCTCTAGACTCAAAAGCACTTCTCACAGACTTGGTAACACATAAAGCTTCCATCACCTCGGAAAAGATCTCGGAAAACAGCCCAGAATACTCCTCCTTGAGCCTTTCGTCACTAGCACTTATCTCTCCCTCCGAATCGTCAAACGATACAACAATGCAGTCATATTTCGTCTGCCCCTGCCTGATAGGAGGGTCGACACACACCACAGCATATTTGTCTTCGTCTCGAATGTATCCTTTCTCAAGGACATAGAGTTGCTTGATACTTTTGTAGTATATCTTGTGGTCGTAGCTGCTCCCAACTAACCTTAGGTAATCTCGAAAGAAGATCAGGTTGAACTTCCCCCTCGGATAGGCAAAAGAAAGACCCTCCATCTTAAATATCTCGTCATCAACCGAGGAGCTGCATCCTTCCTTGACTCCCTCAATGGTCTTCTTGTTAGAAATAAACCTTATCTCCACATCCTTCAGAGATACAGAAAGTTCGTTCTTTATGTCGACGACGCTTTCGATGTCCTCAACAGGAATCTCAAGTATGGTCTTTGTGTTTCGGAACTCCAGTGCTCTCTGCCCATTGATCCCAAGCTCCCCAGAAAGGACGTCGACTATCTCCAGCTCCTTGACATACAGACTAACCTTGAAGTATTCGGAAAACATTCTTTTTAACTCGTCAATGTAGTTTTGGTCCACATTATTGAGTTCATAGACTGTACTTCCAAATATTCTTATGGCCATTTTTCTTACTCCATAAAACAGCTCTGCATCTTTGACTTCGTCCTTCTCCATTGTGTATACTTCTCCATCCTCTGTCTTGATTGCTATTCCATCCCTCGAAATCTTGACTGTTGCTTTCTTGTCGGCTTTCGACTTCAAAAAACAGTTGTTAAGTGTCAGGACCTCCATCAAGGGATAAAAACATCTGCGCCAAGACCTTCATGGATGGAAGGCATGAAATGTCGGAGGAGGAGTACAAGAGACTAAGGAAGTCACAGCCAAAAAAGAAGAAGGTTCCCAGAGAGGACTTTGGAGACCCGTCGGAAATAGGAGGATTTAAAGGACCCTGGAGTCGGTTTGTGGGGATCTGCGAAGACACAAAGACCCCAAGAGACGTCAAGGAAGAATACTCGTTGAAGAAAATAGTCAACAAGCATTGTCTAACTGCAGGAAAGGAAAGATCGAGGAGCAGCTACTTTTTGTCCATGAAAGATCCAAGCCTGGGAAGAGTACCATCAAAGAAGTTTCTTGTTCCAAAGAGCAACGTCATGCTATTCCACGACCACAAGGACATGGTTTCCTCTGCAATCCTCTTCCGAAAACATAAGTTGTTTCTATCCTCTGGCTTTGATGGAAAGGCATATTTGTACAATCTGAAGGACAGGGAGCTTGTGACCACATACATGGGACACAGCAAGGGGGTATCTTCGGCAATAGTATCTGAGTGTGAGAGTAAATTCTCAACAGTATCCTTCGATGGGTTCTTGAAAGGTTGGGATGTGGAGACGGGAAGATGCAACACAAAAGTAGACTTGGACTGCCCACTCACCTGCCAAACATCAGAGGCATTAGATAAAGCCATCTTTGTGGGAGGAATAGATGGAAGAGTCAGAACAGTAGATATGAGGAGCCGAGCTGTTTTAGATGCAATGATAGAAGAGAGGATCTCGGAAAAAGATGCTTTCAAAACATTCTCCATACGGGATATCCTTACAATCAATGACTCCTCCCTAGTGTTTACAAGGAGAGAGGGCTCTCTGCATTACCTAGACCTCCGAAATAATCAAATAGTCAAGTCTCTTCGAAACTCTTACTCCTTCGTTGGATTCAGCCATGGGAAAAATGCCATTATGGCCACAGGCCAAGATGAGATTGTGCTTTTGGATGCTCATACTCTGGAGAAAAAGGAAGAAGAGATTAAGGCTCCCGAATGTTCTACTCCTGCAAAGGCCTCGGAAGACGGAGGTATTCTGTGTTATGGAAGCAGCAAGGGCCTTGTCAGCTTCTTCACTTCAAAGTCTACTGCTTCTTTTGGATCCGCCGGTGAGATGATAACTGCAGTTGACTGGATAGACGGTAGCTCTTCAAGCTTCATATCGGGAGACATACTAGGGAACGTGAAGATATGGGAGTGACTTAAGAGATGTCTTTATTCAAATAAAATTACATTCATAGAAGTCTACAGAACTAGAACAAGTAGTGTCATGATGTGCTGGAATCTCGAGATTTCTTCTTCTTTTTATCAACCTTCAGAAGAGACTTTGCAAGCTTCTTCTTGAAACGAGAACCAAGGCGCTTCATTTTCTTCTTAATTCTTGGCTTCTTGAACCTCACGTGTTCCATAAACTCTTCAAGGGATTCTTCATCACTCTTTGGCTCCCGATGCTTCTTTTTTTTCTTTTCTTTCTTTTTGGTCTTCTCTTTCTTTTCCTCTCTTTCTTCTTCCTCTTTCTTCTCATCCTCCTCTAGATTTTTCTTGCATCCAGGCTCCTCGTCATCAGTGGTTTCCGAGGAGATTCTTTCCTCTTGGTCCTTTTCCTTGGTATCTTTCTCGCCATCCTTATCTCGATCCCCATGCAAGCCTCTCCTGCTCTTCTCTAGATATTCGCATCTATCTCTAAAAACTTTGATTTGGAATCGGAATTCCAGAGACTCTCTTCCAGGTGGCATGCACTCTTTGAACTTCACTTCTCTACCCACATCTGCCATACATAGTCCACTGTCATGCCCTATCACAATACTTTTGCACTTTGTTGGTGACACAAAATGGAACTCAAATCCAGATGGAATATCCTTTCCTCTTCTTTTGTGTCCTCTATAGATTGTCATTCTTCTATATTTGCTATCTACAGTTAGATATCCTTCCCTTGTATAAAGCTTAAATCCATAAGGCACATTTCTATTCCAATCATATCCAAAAACATAGTCTTCTCTTCTCCGCTTGTCAACAGGCTCTAACCTCAGAGTTCTTAAGTTAAGGTATCTTCCACTCATCATGGATTTGATTGCAATCCCCATCCTTGACACTACCATTCCCAGATGCAATAGGATATAAACATTCATGGCACCTTCCGAGATGCAAACCACCTGTTTTAATATGTCACACCATCAGACACATATCCACTGATTGGTTAGAGAAACCAGAAACCCCAATCTGTTTTGGATTCAGCTAAGAAAACAAGAAACAGATACTCGTTTATTGAACTACAGAGTCGATCACATCCATGATAGCAGACTCTTCCACCCGCTCGCATCCCCTTCTGCTTAGTACAAAAGATGATATTTTTTTCGAGTCGGACTGGACAACCTCCATGAGTCCGAGAATAGTGAGTCTTACAAGGTCTCCCTTGTCCTTCTTCTCCAAATACTCACATACTCTTTGGCTTTTCTGTCCAATCGCTCCACAGAAGAATTCAGAGAAGTTTCCGTCCGGCTCAATAACATACGCCACAGGCCTGGGCTTTAGTCCAAACAGAACTGTACGGACTCCAAATGGCCTTTGGTGGTAAACAACAGTATATCTCTGCTTATATTCACTTAGCCTTCTTGCAAGCTGATCGATGCTTATGTCCTCTCCCGTGGTATTTTTGTATGAAAAACATATCATCCTTGCTGCATTCATCACCAAATATGCATCAGGTTTGAACCCAGAGTAACTCATCCAAATACTCTGCCGTTCGTTGACAAGAAACACCTTTTCCTCCTCCAGAAAAAGCTTGTTCCCCGACTTTCTCTCAATGCTCACAGATATCTTCTCGGAATCTACCCCAAACACAACAAGAGACCCTTGCTCGCTGGCCTGCTGTGCATACTCAACCTGTATAAGCCTTCCGTCAGGTGAAAACACTGCCAGCTGCTCTTCAAATCCCATTAAGGGCTACCCCATTTACTTTATTTTGGAATACTTCTCTGCATCCCGAGACACAAGGTTCGTCATAGTAGAAAAAGCTCCTCAATTTGTTTCTGTCTGTCATAGTGGTTTAGATACCCAAACCTTACACTAGACCCGTCATAGCACACATCAAAAGACTTCTCCTCGCAGACTATTCCATCGAGTATAATCTGAGGGTCTCTATCGATCTCCACTCGGATTCTGGTTCCCATCCTACACACAATAGGTTTGAAGTTGCATCTGTTTGGTGCAACCACATTAATGACTATTCCTTCGTCTAGAAGCAAAGGCCCGTTCAGGGATGCATTGTATGCACTACTTCCTATTCTTGTTGACACAATAACTGCATCTCCCCTCAATTCTATCATGGTGTCATCTATGAATATCTTGAATGTTCCAAGTCCCAAAGAGGACGGCTTAATGATAGCCTCGTTGAGAAAATAGTGTTTTGGCTGCAGACAGAGTCTCTTGGTCTCCATAAACTTGATTTCTCCATTTCCCCTTAGCCGTGCAATGAGCTCGTCCACAGAAGAGTAGGAGATGGGGCATAGAAACCCCACCTTTCCCCTATTGATCGCATACACCACGGGAGGGTCCCGATAAGGTGCAATGGCTCTAAGTACAGTTCCATCTCCCCCAATGACTATAATTCCGTCGTAGTTGATTCCATGGTCATAAACATCGCAATCCAGTGAACTCTTAACTCTTTCAATGAGCTCTTCATTGACATCATTTTTGGTAACAAGCAAGAACCTTCCCATTGCGTTATTTCTGGGATCGGTGAAACAAGCTAAATTGAAGAGCCCTAATGGAAGACATTCTTTTGAGAGGAATAAAGCAGAAGAAAAAGAGGATTCTAAAGGAGGAAGTTGAGTACAACGTCGATGGAGAAAGACTACCCCTTCTTAACACATTTGACAGTCTAAAGACAAAAGCTCCTTTTTCCTCTCCTCTTTTGGCCCAGAAGGTCGTTGTGCCGTATTTCATGAAGAAGTACAACATTATTGTACAGGCCTTTACTGGGAGCGGGAAAACACTATCGTACTGCCTACCGCTTGTCGAGACTGCACGAAACGAGAATCTTTTTGGAATGATACTTGTTCCTGGAAGGGCGCTTGTGAGACAAGTCTATAGGGTTGTAAGAGAAATCAAGCACAGGGAACTGGAGATCAAGGGGATCTACAGAGATGGTTCCGAGGACTTCTTTGTTGAAGAGGATGAAGAAGGGGGATTGGTTGAGAGGAGAATCGACAGTAGAACACAAAAGGAGATTGCTGGGTTCCCTCGGGAAGGAGGAAGAATTGTAATAGGAACGCTCCCGTCGATTCTTAGTTTGATGGATCTGTTTGAAATGAAAGCTATCACACATCTTATTATAGACGAGGCAGATCTCCTGATAAACCCCGAGACCATCGATGTTTTTGCATCTATTCTTCAGGAAATAGACGTGGAGAAGACACATGTCGGATGTTTTAGTGCTACTATGAACGAGTATGTTGAGCAGGTTATAGAAACAGTGAAGAACATCACAAAGATACATATTGTGTCGAGGAAACATATAGACCATGAGTTTGTATTTGGGACAAACAGAAAGATCAAACACCTATCGCTGCTACAGATCGTTGCAGATGGAATTGAATCACCGACCCTGATATTTGTCAGAAATGAAGAGACCGGGGAGTTTTTAAGTAAGCTGCTGGATAGAAGCGGAGTTTATAAAGAAGGAAGCGGGGAAAGCGCAGAAGTCCTTGACGACTTCCGGCTAAAGAAGATCTGGTACCTGTTTGCAACAGATGCATTGAGTAGAGGAATAGACTTCTATAACATTAGGAGTGTGATAAACTATGATCTTCCAGATACTAAGACCCAGCTTGTGCATAGGGTTGGAAGAGTCAATAGAAATTGCCAGGGACAAAAGGTGTATACAATCTATTCGGGCGAAGACTTTGGAAGAATCTCCCTTGTTGCCGAGTTTCTAGAGGAGAACGGACATGAGATACCAAGCCACATTACTCGGATTATAGAAAAGAGCCGGAAAAGGATTGGCAGGAGGAGCTAGCTCCTTTCCTCCTCTTCGGAGTCTGTGCAGAACGAATCCATATCGTCAACCATCTCTGCTATCCGGGTGCTAACGGGGTCTACGAGTCCTTCCACTTTCCCAACAAGATCCATTTTCCTGCGGATTCCATTTGAGTTTTTGGACACCCGAGTAGTACTGTCTATCTGAAACAGCTGGGATGCACTCCTGAAGTCGGATGGATCGAAGCATGGAGACATCTCCAAGCCTTCTTCTGTGTAAGTTAGACATTGGTCCTCCGAGCATATGATTGTGCCTAATTGCCTGTCGTACACATTCCAGTAAAACTCATCGTCGCCAATGCTTACTGAATCATTTCCAGATATATACAAGTTTCCTATTGTTATTGCATATTTTCCCTCTTTTTCCTCGATGCTTGTGTTGATCAAGGGAATTCTGCCAACCTTTAGTTCTAGATCCGGCTTGAGGAATAGCCTTATCTCCACCGGATTCTTAATATGCCCACAAGCACCCGATAATAAAAGTAGAAATATAAATTCCATATCTTTTTATTTACTTCCAGGCATCCTGGTATTTATAAATGGGCTTCATCTACGATTGACAGACAAATATTTACCACAACTTCTTACAAAACGGGAAACTAAACCAAGGCATGGAGAAGCTGGAAGGACCGAACTTGGGCCTCCTCCAATTAAAATCCCATAACTTGCGAAGGACATCCTTTACATCATCCTTTCCATCAAGGTCCGGAAGGTTTTTTTTGGCATACTTCGAGAAGTCATTCTTGTCCTCCAGGTTCTTCTTAATCTTTTCTACCTCATCTCTATTTTTCCTTCCCAGGTTTTCTAATTTCTTTTTGAGCTTGAGCTGTTGCACCATTTCTGCCTCAGTTCTAGGCTTTGCGTTTAGATCGACCGAATCCAGACAACTTTCAACACCCATATCTTCAAAGAGGAAGACATGACTTCTACTTCTCCCGTTGCACCTCTCCAACACAAGTTTATTCTCATCCCTAGTGCTAAGGCAATATCCTTCCTGGGATACAGTGAATCCATCTCCACTCTTGGATATTTCCCAGAAATCTATGCTGTCCTCGCATTTAAGAAGATCCCTACCCTTCCGACACAACCAGGAGTCTCCAACACGAATCTTAAAGACTCGTCCATTCCTGTTGATCTGAGATCTTGTGTTATGTCCGTAAGTTAAATTAAGCTCATCCACAGCTCTAAAAGGGTTTGATCCAAAGTCTCTTTTGAGTTCGGAGACAAGAAGATGATACTCTGCTGCCAAGATTCTGATAGGTTTGTTGGTAAATGAGTCGAGGTATAGCGGATAGGAAAATGCCATTCCAAGAACCAATATCAGAATCATGGATGTTGATCTGTATTCCCACTATTTAAAGAAGATGTGATACACGAGTTAGGAGATGTTTACGCAAATCACAAGACAATCTTCAGTATAATCGTTTTTAATCCACGAACTAGAAAATTATAGGATCCCTCCTAACCAGATTTTTACTTCTGTAATGGTGAGGAGAATGATGATGATCTAAGTGCACCCTTTTGACCCCAGAATGGGGGTTTCTTGTCAAGACATGTGTGACAGTCACTTCTTCTTCCTTTGGCAAGGTTTCTTCATACAAGGGGAAGTCCGCTTCGTCTCCTGAATAGCTGGAGACGTCCCCTTGCTGAGAAAAGGAAGTGTTTCTATTCTTTTCTCTCTTAATGGGGAGGATGATGTTCTTATTTACATCTCCCTTTGTCTTTATCCTGATGGATGAAGGACATTCACTCTCTGGATGAAATATATTCACATTTGTTGTCATATTCTTTCTCCCTTCGTTCCTCAGAAGGGACCCTATGTCTCCACATCCCCCGAGGTCTGCAAGCTTGAAGCTAAATATCTGATCGTCCGTATTGACACAGATCTTCATCTGAATGGACTCCTCAGGACCCTTGGTAATGCATTTGTTGTCCGTAGAGATTGTGTATCCAAACTCCTTTCTGTCTATGTCCCAGGGTCTTTCTTCTTTGCACTTCACCACCGAGTTTCCATCTTTGCATATGTTATTTTCTCCAAATATCACAACATACTTCTCTCCAGACTTCACCAGCCTCGCCCTTGTAACAAACTTGTACTTGCTTGGATTCACATACTTGCTGTGAGACACTAGAAGCCCATTTTCCTCTTCTAGCCCAAGAATCTGTGTGGGATAGGACGAAAAAAAAACCTTGATGTCTTTTTCAACAAACTCCTCTAACTCTCTGTCCCTTGCGCTAACAAAGATTGACATAAACATCAAGATCAAACCCGGTTCCATGCTTTCCAGAACGGCTTTTCTTTTGTATAAAATCGTTGAAACCACAGAGGCCTGTCTCACCCCATCATGCGATGAGAAGAAACTCTGTTCCAGACCTGAAGCATTATCATTGAAATAACTTTGGCTTTCCCTTTGTCTCCCTGACACAGAGGAGTACAAATACACTGAAGACTAGGCAAAGACCTCCGTAAATCCCAGACATAACTTGTGCATGGTTATAGTTCAGAGGATGTAGCAAGGTTGTTGTTATGAATCCAAATAGCCAATTGAAACTGACTCCAAACTCAAAGCCGGTGGATGTATATCTCGAGGGAAATATCTCTGCCGAGATTATCCATGGGATTACTGCAAGCCCGAGGTTGAATCCAATAAAGCAGATTATCACTCCTAGAAGGGGAAACCTGTCCATGGCAAGAGGGATCATTCCAAATGCCATTATTGTCGAAGAGATGATCGACATTGTTTTCCTCCCAAATCTATCAACTATCAGTCCACAGAATGCAGTTGTTATAAACGATACAAACAAAGAAGAACTTGTCATCAGGTTGGGATATTTGCTACTCGAGAATAGGCAAGACTGCTGAAACGTCAAAAAGTTGATTCCAGACAGATGGTGGAAGGCGTGGAATACTACTGTTATTGCAATCGACTTTGCGGATCCAGGGGTCCTGATTAATTCCTTCATGGATGGCCTGGTGTTGAATGTATTTGGTGTTCTTGGATGGGGACTTCTAATAAATGCAAATCCTATCGTCTGGAGAACAAGGAACACAAGCATTGCAACGAATGGGATCCTGTAGCTTTCCTTGTTTCCAAAGAAGTTGAACATGGAGCCTACAAAGAGTCCCCCAACTATCCCGACTGGCTGGAGACTGGCCAGGAACCCCCGGATATGGTCTGGAGCAATGGCATCTATATAAGATGAAATTGATCCAGAAGTGAGGTCGAGTGCAAATCCAAGTATGAATCTGGACGTTAAATAATGAGCAAAATCCAATGTCATCAGCGGGGTTGCAAACACAATCATATATATGACGTTGGCTACGATCAACTTCACTTTGTCGTTAGTGAAAGACACAAACTTGAAGATAATTCCTGCAATAAATGCACCTAGGAAGTGTGTTCCTGGGATTAATGCTTCATGGTATATGGTGTAGGTCTTTCCAGTAGACTCTGTAAAGTGATCTTCTATCAAGCCATAGAGACAGGACAGGCTTATCAGAGAGACCCCAAATGTAAAGGCTGTCAGAACAACCAAGATCAGGCTGGCAAGCTCTCTTTTGGAAAAGACTTGGTGTTTCATCGATGCTTGGAGATGTCCCAAAACTTTTATATACTTCATTTTTGGAATAGGGATGCCGGTAAAAGAAAAGGAAGAGGTTCTTCTGAAGGATATCAAGGAGGATGTTCAGAGTGTAAGAGACGCAGTTGTCTTGTCGGACGACGTGTCCAGGATTGACGAGTATAACTTTGAGAGTCTTTTTGGAATATATAAAAATCCGCAGCAGCAAGTGGTCTTTGTAAGGACGATATATAGGCAGTTAGTAGGAGAGATCTTAAAGTTTTTCTCCTCGAAATGTGTTGCAGAGGCAATGACTAACATCTGCATTCTCGAAGAAGTCTTTAGGAGCCAGAGGGGGTACATTGACATAGAGATGAGTCTGGAGGATGTGGAGTGCATTAACCAGCATGCATATTCCTTGGGAAAGAAGGAAAACTCCGGAGTGGTGAGGGAAGGTATACGGGCATGGAACTGTCTAAAGCAGAGAAAGGCTATTCGAATATGTGTCATGCCATTTCCAGATGACGAACGAAGTTTAATGCTTATTGAAGAAGAATTAGAGGCCATATCGAAGACTCTTGATGGTTGGGAAGATTCTAGAGATGGGAACTGTACAAATTAAATTCCTTTGGGTATTCCATTTGATAATCGTCGAATGCTCCATCTTCAAATGGCATGTCGATGACATCCAAGTCCATTATAGACTCTTCTGGATGAACGACACATAGCTCGGGCTCACTGGGCTTTTTGAATGTTCTTAGAGATGATGTGTTTGTTATCTCCGACAACTTTCTTCTGGGTTCCTGACTGCTCATCTCAAGGGATGAAGGGATTTAGGTTATCTGCCACTAGGGGCTAGAGATGCAATGCACCGAGGAATACTTGTTTGACAGAGACAAACAATTGGGAAGGTGTCTGAGGGAGATTCTTTTGGAAGACTACTGCTTTGAGCTTGGAGGCGAGGAGAGGACACCTTTTGAAATAAAGAAAGGATTTCTGTGGTATGGAAGATACAAGGTTATTAAAATCGATGGGGATTGGGCATATCTTCATGGATACAAGCTGTTTGTTGCAAAAGACAGGCTCCGGGTTTATGAGCTACCTCTTGGACAGTCACGTAGTCTTGGGGATTTGATAGTGAAGGAAGGTAGTATGGTCTTGGCTGAAAGGGATGGAAAGCGATGGAACTTGGCAGCGATATGCGAAGAAAAAGTTTTGGATGTAGCCTTTTCAAAGGACAAGGCATGGATATGGTATAGCGAGGGGGAAGAAGAAGAGTACTTGTGCAAGAGTATCTATCTGTTGAAAGATTCGGAATGGGTTAAATGGAAGAAAGAGACTTATAGAGAGAGTGGAGAGGAGATTCTTCGGATACAAGATATAGTTGTCAGAAAAAAGACGGTGGTACGGAATCCACTAAGAGTATGGAGTAAAGTATTAATGAATGAAGTGGTGAGCATAGTGGTAACTGAAGATATGGTGTATGTGGAGTGTGGGGGATACATCAGTTTGAAGCCCTGTTGTGGAGGCATCTATGATATGGACGGATGCAGGCTTCTTGGGCTGTCTTCTTGGGAAAATATATCTGATCTGTATCTAACACTTCTTCTGTTTACTGACATTGCAGTAGAGAACTTGGAGCTGGAGAGGATTGAGGAATATCTCTTCAAGCTGTTTGTTTTTACCGAAGAAGGAGAAAGGCTTGTCAAGTGGTTAATGGAATCGGGGATGGACGAAAAAAAAGAGATGATTGTTTGCAAGCTGTACAGGAAGATAGATGATAGGGGCAAGAGAAAGATAGAGGGATGGGTGAGAAGAGTGAAGAACTTGGATGCATTGAAGCTGGTGATTATATACTTTCCAGAGGAAATGGAAAGATACATCCGGATGTGTATAGAGGAAAAGAGAGAGTATGAGATAGAAGAGGTTATCGAACACTATCGAGGGAGCGAGATGATGAAGGAGATATCCCGTGTTCTACTTCAGAACAACTGCTTCTATCTCTTTAGCCAATGTATGCCTGAATATGAGGGAAGCTTTGGAGATGTGGTTCTAGTTGAGAAGTACAACATGGAAAGCCAGAAGAACATACGACTGGAAAGGGATAGGAAGATTTGATTTGAGGAAAAGTTTGCCCTAGATTTAACTAGAGGAAGATTTATAGAGATGAACAAGGGAAAGTATGAAATGGAGTCGGACGAGTTTTTTATCAATGCCATTCTAGAGGATCGGGAGGTCAATGACTTTTCCTGGGAGTTCAGTGAGATAACAAGCTGCTCTGATATGCGGAGTAGCATAAAGGTTGAGAAGATTGACTCTGATAGTGACGTGGAGTTTATAGACAGGATAGATGTAGAGCCGCCTTTGTGGGAGAAGAGTGGAGAGGATGATACGTCGTCAGGGAGTAGGTTAAAAAAGAATCTAGGGAGACTGGAATTGAATGGAGAGTCAGTTTTGGGAAGAGCAGATGCATGTCTAAGAAGTGGACTTGGAAGCAAGGATCTGGGAAAGGGAAGGGAAGTTGAGAAAGGAGGTGTGGATTATGAATATTACTCATCACTTGGAGAGGATATTTCGGACATCAGTATTGTTTCAGGGTCGTCGATGGAGGGATCTTCTGATATTGAAATTCTGTCTGGGGAAGAGAATGAAGGAGAAAGAATGGAGAGGCACCCAGACTCATGCAGTCTTAACAACGACTGCATCCGAGCAACGTTTCTCAGGTCCTCTGGCGAGGATAAGGAAGATGTGGACAACTCGTTTCCAGCGCATGTGCTTGAAGAGTCTTCTCTGTCGTCGCACGAAGACTTCGAGCCCAAGTCTATAGAGGAGTTCTATCTCCGAGAAGTTTTTAAGATGAAGGAGTTTAGGACAAACCAGAGAGAAGTTATACAGGCATGTCTGTCGGGGAAGGATGTATTTGTGTTGATGCCTACAGGAGGAGGAAAAAGCATCTGCTACCAACTACCGGCTCTTGTTTACGAAGGTGTTACAATTGTTGTAAGTCCCCTTCTCTCTCTTGTGCAGGACCAGATTCTGAATCTTCTGCAGAAGGATATTCTTGCACTTCCAATTAACTCGAATCTGAGTCGGACGGAAAGAAGGCTTGTGTTTGAGGCTCTCGGAAGTGACGAGCTAATTTGCAAGATATTCTATGTGACACCCGAGCTTATTGCAAAGAGCGGGCATTTCCACGAGGTGGTATCTGGGCTTGTCAGAAGAGGGAGACTGAAGAGGTTTGTGATAGACGAAGCCCACTGTGTTAGCCAATGGGGACATGACTTCCGGCCGGATTACAAGGAGCTTGGGAGTATAAGGAGAAGATATCCTTCGGTTCCTATTATAGCGCTGACAGCTACGGCAACGAAGAAGGTTGAGCTAGACATCTTGGAGAATCTTGGGATTCGAGGGTGTGAGACATTCAAGATGAGTTTCAACAGGGCAAACCTGAGATATGAGGTGCGTGCCAAGACAAGCACAGTTGAACTTGACATTGTAAGCTTTGTTCAGACACATTTTCCTGACTGTTGTGGAATAATTTACTGTACATCGAAGAAAGAATGTGAAATGATTAGCGAGAAGCTGAAGAAGCATATGAAGACAGCATTTTACCATGCTGGGCTTAGTAAGAACGAAAGGAATAGTGTACAAGAGAAGTGGAACAAAGGGGAGTTCAAGGTGATTGTGGCAACAATAGCATTTGGAATGGGGATTGACAAGAAAGATGTGAGGTTTGTTATCCATTACTGCATACCCAAGTCGCTGGAAGGGTACTATCAGGAGACAGGGAGAGCAGGAAGAGACGGGCTGGAGAGTGTATGTGTACTGTTTTACACGTATGGGGACAAGAAGAAGATCAGTTTTATGATTGAAAAGGGAGATGGAGGATATGAGCAGAAGCAAAGGCAGAAAGAGGATTTGGAGGCGGTTATCCAGTTCTGCGAGAACAAGACGGATTGTAGAAGAATGCAAGTACTGGCTCACTTTGGAGAGAAGTTTGATCCTCAGCTGTGCAGAAAGACATGTGACAATTGCAGAAGAGAGACGATTGTCAAAAGAGATTATAGCAAGGAGGCCCGGGATCTGATTCTTCTAGTGTATACAAGTAGTCGTATCACCTTATGCCAAGCAGTGGATGTATATAAGGGACTGTCGAACAAGAAGAGTAGGGAGTACTCCTGGAGTGAGTACTATGGAAAGGGAAAATTGCTGAGGAAGATAACAATAGAGAGGATTCTCCGGAGCCTTATAAGCCATGGTTATATCCAGGAAAGAGTAGAGTTCATGGAACGGAGGTTTTCGTGGTCATATCTTGTGGCCAGGAAGACAAAGATTGATAGGCTTGAACTGGATGAGGAGGAGGATTCTGCCAATAAGACTGCGAAGGATAATGGGAGGAAAGAAGCTCCAAAGAGCAGAGGAAATAGAAAAGGTATAAAAAAGATTAAAAGATGATGTTTCTTACTTTTGGAGGTGTAAAAATTCTGTAATTCCTAGAAATACTTGGGTGGAAAAGAATGATAAACTTTGGTCTGAAGAAGGATATGGATAGATGTGATGTAAGGAAGCAAGTGAAAATACTGGAGAACATGGAAAGGATTAGTAACTGGCTGATTGAGATGGGAGGGGCCAAAGACAAGAAGGACAAGATGGTGAAGAGATATGTCAGGAACATTCTGAAAAGGAAGTACAAAAGATACAAGAGAATGGGAGTTCTGAACATTGAAGGAAAGCTTGATGGAGGGGTAGGAAGGCTTTCTGATCTTGGATATTATGAATTGAAGGCACGGAAGGAAGTTGAAGAAGTTCTTAGAGATTCCAAGCTCTGTGGGTCAGGATTAGAGTTGGAAAGAATATTTAAAGAATACATGGATGTACACCTGTGCAGTGGGTACAAAGAGTTTCTGAGGTGGGTTCATAAGCTTGAGGCAGACAAAACTAAGTTCAGATATCTGGAATATTTAAACGAGTTGAAGGAGTATCTATGTAGGCTTATGAAGATCAAGTACTTTAGAATGTTCAAGAGATTGATGGCCTCTAGGATGGAGATTATCAAGAAAATAGAGGCACAGAGATACATTGAAAAGGACTTCACGAAGGAAGGAGGATTTCCAAAGGTGTACTGTCTTGGATGCTCAAGAGAGGTTGCCGGAAGTGTGCTAAAGTATCACCTAAAGGGAAAGAAGCACTCCAAGAAAGGGGATGGAGAAGTTCTTTATAGTGATATAGAGACTTTGGAAGCCGAGAATCTGATTCGAAGGGCCTTCTCCGTCCTGGATCGAGAAAGAAAGTATAGCATTTCTTTGTTTTCTAGAAGGAAGAAACTGGTGGGAGATGGAGTCCCAAAATGGAAGCGCAAGCAAAAAGACCTAGACATAGAGTTTGAGTGTGAGATTTGTGGGTATTTGGGGTACGGTAGAGATGGGTTTGATAGGCACTTTGGAGAAGACTTGCACAGGAAGTGTGTAGAGGAGTACGGGATCAGGTATTCTCCTATATTCAAGGGAATTACAAGAATCGGGACTCTTATCCGGATGAAAGATAGAGTGGAGGAATCGGAAAGCTATTCAGAAGAGTTTGAGGACAGGGACGGAAATGTATTTGACAGGAGGACATATGAGGATCTTAAAAGGAATAACCTGATCTAGAATTTACTTTAAGAGGGCCCTTCATGATAAGACTCAAGGAACAGGCTACTTTTGGGAAGATCTACCAGATAAGATATAGAGACAGAATGCTGCTGAAGAGACTCAGGGAAATAACCGTGATCCAGACATATGGAATTCGGATGGAGGGAAGCATCACATGCACAAATGAAGGGGATTTATTGAGAATCCTGAGGAGTTTGGCTCCCAAGAAGAAGGACATAGCAATACTGAGTCCTTCTACATTGATAATCAATGAAGAGATATACAAAATGTTCAGAATATTAAATGCAGCAGGGATATCGCTATTTCTGTTTGTTCTCCAAGACAACCCGGTTTGGTACATAGATGAAGTGTTGTAGGGTGAGGTGGATGCGTCTTTAGTTGCTGAAGTTTATTTTCCTTGCAGAGCTATACCTTTTTGATTCGGGGCTACCCATAATTTCTATACGGCTGCTAGGAGACAAGACCTTCACCCTTTTCTTAGGTGTTCCTATCTTCTTTGGTGTTTCCACAGCCTTTTTGATCTTCAGGGATCTGCTTCGTTTCAGTGGCTTGGTGGGTTTCTTTCTTATCAGTATGTCCACGGAATTGACTTTTTTAAAGCACTCCTTTGCACTCCAGGCTCCGGAATTCTCCATTTGCAGTGGGATGCTGGGCATTATTTATCTGTTTTTTGGAGGGAAGTTCTCTAGATACACTTTGCTTGCGGAAAGCACAATGATATGGTTAGAACAGATGCTTTACCCATGAATCTGGGGATAGAAATCAGCTTGGCGCCTATGATGGATGTAACAACAGCCCACTTCAGAAGACTCATTAGATTAACGTCCTCGTCGACTATTCTATTTACAGAAATGATTGTGTCTAACACAGTGATCCATATTTCCCGAGATCGTCTAAGAGAGAAGCTTGGAGAGTATGACGACAAGACAGTTGTACAAATAGGGGGGAGTGATGCGGGGCAGATAGTAGAAGCCGTAAAGATCTTGCAGGATCTTGGATACAGGATGTTTAATCTTAATTGTGGCTGTCCTAGCTCGCGAGTGAAGAAGGGAAGCTTCGGGGCCGTCCTCATGCTTAACAAGGAGTTAGTTGCAGAGATAATCAACAAAGTTTATAAGGAGACAGGGGAAATTTTGAGTCTCAAAATTCGAGTGGGAGTGGATAACCATGAAGGTATAGATTTCCTGAAGGAATTTGTTGGATACATAAAGGAAAATACCCCAAATAGGACGTTCTATGTCCATGCACGGAAGTGCTGGCTGGAAGGGCTTTCTCCGGAGCAGAACAGAAAGCTACCCCCTCTTGATTATGACAGTGTGTATATGATCAAGAGACTTTATCCAGAACTCAAGATTGTTCTTAACGGATGCATTGGAATCAACAACCTGGATAGAATAAAAGACTTGGATGGAGTGATGGTAGGGAGAGAAGCTATCCGGGATATACTTGTCTTCTGGGACATTGACCGTAAGTTGTCTATGAAGTGCGATAAAGGAGAGAGAAGGGATTGCGAGGAACTATTCCCATTTGATATGGACATGAAGAAGATCGAATGCAGATCAGACTCGGAAGCCAAGGAATGGAGAGCCCAGAAGATTCGGTCTGTTGTCAGGGAATACTTTGAAGGGTTTCCGCCCTCTGATCAACTGAAGTCTATTCATATCCAGCCAATAATCAATCTTATGAGGGGGAAGAAAGGCTGTAAGGAATATAGAAGGAAGCTTAACTCTCTTTTGATGGAAAGAGTAAAGGCCGGTGAGGCATATGGCCTGATAGTAGAACATCTCAAGTAATATAAGTAAAGAAAAATAACAACCCATTGATGACAGAGCCTATCACCAGAGAAACGAGATTCAACGAACTTCCACAACAAATAAAGCAGAAATTGATCAATATCTATCGGAGCTCACATCAGCAATATCTGTCGATGGAAATGCTGAAGCCGACAAAGTTCAATCTTTTATACTCGCAAACACAAGATCTACAGACAAGGAATCTGCAAAAAAATTTTAGGCTTCTTGTGGAGAGCGCAGAGAAGCTGAAAAGGATGTGGTATCTCTGCAAGGATGAGGTGGATTTCCGGTACCTACATGAAAACCTGAAGAAGGCGTTGGACGAGCTCAAGGGAGAGGTGATGCTGTACAAGAAGAATGAGGGAAACACAGAGTTTCTTGATGAGATCTCTATGACATATGGGATGCTCAAGAACAAGCTTGAGAGCCTTACGAAGGAAAAAAGGATGTAGGAGGGGTATAGTTTGTCACTATTAAATAAGCTTTAGTCTAGTGTTTTGTTGTAGATTTCTGTGGTCTGGATTTACAGGTGTCTTGGGCACGGTTTAGGAGGAGATGCGAAGAGGGTCTTTTGGTTGTGCCCTAAGGTTTATTTACCTGGAAAGAGACTAGATATAAAATTTTGCCCTGGTTGACCCCGACAAGATGAGAGAAATAATTTCATTGCACATAGGACAGGCGGGAGTGCAGATAGGGAATGCATGCTGGGAACTCTATTGCAAGGAGCATGGGATCTTACCTGATGGGAGACTTGATCAAAACAAGATGGACGACGAGAGTGCAGAATCTTTTTTTTCTCAAACAAGTGTTGGGACATACGTTCCGCGCACATTGATGGTTGACCTTGAGCCTGGGGTGCTTGAAAGCATCAAAACAGGGAAGTATCGAGAGCTGTACCATCCTGGGCAACTTATTTCTGGAAAGGAGGATGCAGCAAACAACTATGCGAGAGGGCATTACACAGTTGGGAAGGAGATAATTGAGCCGGTGATGGAGCAGATAAGAAGAATGGCAGACAATTGTGATGGGCTGCAGGGGTTCCTGATATACCACAGTTTTGGAGGAGGAACAGGATCTGGATTTGCATCTCTAATGATGGACAGACTTGCAGCGGAGTTTGGAAAGAAGAGTAAGCTTGAGTTCAGTGTATATCCGGCACCAAAGATAGCTACAGCAGTTGTAGAGCCATACAACAGCATATTGACAACCCATACAACTTTGGACTATTCTGATTGCTCGTTCCTTGTTGACAACGAGGCGATTTATGATATGTGCAGAAACCTAGGGATCCAAAGGCCCTATTACACTGACATCAATAGGATAATTGCCCAGGTTGTTTCGTCGATAACAGCATCTCTTCGGTTCCCTGGATCGTTGAATGTCGATCTAACCGAGTTCCAGACGAATCTGGTTCCTTACCCTCGAATCCACTTCCCCCTTGTTGCATACTCTCCCATGCTGTCGAAAGAAAAGGCAGCACATGAGAAGCTGAGTGTTCAAGAGATTACAAATGCATGTTTTGAGCCACAAAACCAGATGGTACGATGCGACACAAAGAAGGGAAAGTACATGGCATGCTGTCTCCTGTTCCGAGGAGATGTGAACCCAAAGGAGGCTAACAATGCAACAGCCAATGTTAAGGCGAAAAGAACCAATCAGTTTGTTGAGTGGTGCCCTACAGGATTCAAAGTTGGAATAAACAGTAGAAAACCCACTGTTCTCGATGGAGAGGCGATGGCAGAGGTCTCCAGGGCTGTATGTGCACTTTCAAACACTACGGCGATATCCGAGGCATGGAAGAGGCTTAACAATAAGTTTGACCTAATGTTTTCGAAGCGAGCATTTGTGCATTGGTATGTTGGAGAAGGTATGGAGGAAGGAGAGTTCAGCGAGGCCCGTGAGGATCTTGCAATGCTCGAAGATGATTATGAAAGAATCTCTTCGAATGCAGAACCCATTGATGAGTATTAAATTTATTTGGTCAATTGACATCTCTAGTGTACCTACCTTGAAATCGAAGTTATTCTCTTGTCATAAGGCTAGACTGTATCCCTTGAAAATGGAAGGGGAAGGTAACATGGAAAAGGTTAAGGAGATGCTCCAAAGATACTCTTCTCGAGGTGGGTCATTCTCTGAGGGAAGCTTTCTGTCTGACATAGATATGTCGGATGCATCTTTTGGATCCTGGGAAGAGGAGTTGGTAGGTAGAATTATGAAGTCGCTCAGACACTGCAAGGAGATGGCGGAAATGGGGAGAAGAAGGAAAATACGTCTCTCACCCAAGGAGACAGCAGAATGTGCATTGATATTGGATAGCATCAAAAGGAACATTAAGGGATTTGGAGAGACAAGGAAAAATTGGATACTCTGGGGTATCCCGATAGGCCTTTCCTTCCTTGGAATAGCATATATTTCTGCCAAGTATTATTTTTAGTCTCCCCTAAAGAAAATAAAGGAATCTTTGGGAGAAGTAAGACGTCTTGTAAAGGTTTATTCTCACACTTTCTCCTCGTCCTTAGACGTCTTTCTGGTCAGCCACTGCATCGCCCTTTGAAGTGATGATTTGACAATGGCAAACAGCTTTTCGATTCCAGACAGAAATTGCTTCATAATCCCTGTTTTTTCCCCTATCGGAAAGGGAATCTCAGTGATATATTCCTTGAGCTCATTTATAGTATAGCCCCTACTTTTCTCGCTGTGTTTGGGAGGGTTCTGGGCATTCGCAGAGGGCTGTATATTTGATGCTACTTGCTCGTGCATAATGTCGTCTCTTTCCACAATACCATCTGTATTTCCCTTTTCTTTCGCATGATGTTCTCTTTGCTCCTCCATGTTTGTTGACAAGGGTTGTCTTCCCGATATGATTACTCTTCAAGACATCCGGTAGAAGACACATAAGTCCACCGTGGATCTGGACAGCAATGGTTTGAACGAACCGTTATAAGTTCCCAGGAAAACTAGGACCCATGGAATCCTGGAAGTCAAAGTCACTGGAGCACATCAATATACAGTTCCGAAGTATAATGGAGGGAATGGGAATAGACGAAGAGAAGCAGCATAAGCTGGCGGCAAAACTGAATCTATCGAAGAAGATCAGGACCATCACATCGATGCAAAGCCTAGACGAAAGAAAGAAGAAGATTAAGGAGTATGTGATCAAGCTGAAGGATAGGAATAGCGTACTTAACCTTTTGAGCTTGTCGGTTTCGCTTGAAACCGGGCCCAAGGTCCTGTATGATATTTTCAATTCCGAGGGAGGACATGATGTGCTTGTGAGGTGTATGAGGAGAATGGATGAGGAGTTTGGAGATGTGGTCTGTGATGCCCTGTACATTGTTCTATCCAAATACGGGAACCGCTTTCCGCCATTCCTCAGGCCTCTACTTGATGGATTTCTTGGGGGGAAGATCCATGAAACAAGATCTTTTTTCAAGATCCTCGAGTTTCTAGTCAACGAGAACAAGGCTGACGAGCTGTTTTTCAGTACGGATTTCAACAAATGTGTTTGTAACACCTATCTGTCCAGGATTATGGAATTCATCAAGGGCATTCCGACGATTGAAGAGGAGTTGAACTTTTTGGTTCCTCTTCTCAAATCCCCAAAGGCTGTACATGTCCGATACATTTTGTTTGTGTCGGACCTTTCACAGCTTGAGCAGAGGGTAAGCAACAAGGAAGTCTTTGAAACCATAATAAAGGAGATCAAACCTGGGGTCAGGCAGGATTGGAAGAGGGGCAGAATTAATGAGGTGGTGAGGCTAGCAGAGATGGAGGGGGTGCTTGATATTGCATGCTGTGTTTTTGAAGCATTTGCATTTCGAGACAGCAAGGTATTTGCAGATGTCGAGAAAGCTGTGGAAAAGATGAGCATTCTGGAAGGGGTTGAAGGAGAAAAGAAGGAACTTCCAAAGGTTGAGAAGAAGGAAGAAGTAGTTAGAAAGCCAGAGGCTGGGAAGACAAAGGGGCCAAAAAAGATAATCAAGAAAGCGGTTAAGAGTGGAGGGCCAACAAAAAGATATGTTCAGGTGAAGTGGACGAAGATGGGAAAGGGAAATAGCCTATGGAGCAAGATAAATATAGAGGAGATGGAAAAGACATTTGGGACCGAGGAGTTTGATGGATTTGAAGTGAAAGGGGAAAAGCCAAAGATATCCCATGGGGAAGCAGAGAAAAGAAGGCCAAGTGTATTTTCCGAGAAGAAGAACTATGCGATTAACATTGCTCTTGGAAGGGTGAAGGAAAGCAATCGAGATCTGAAGCGGGCAATACTAGATATGAGGGAGGGACTTAATGAAAATCTGGTGAAGCAGCTTCTTTTTTACTTTCCGACGGATGAAGAGATCGAGCTGTTACAAAACACCGAGAATGTATTTGGAAGGGGAGAGGAGTTTTTCAAAGAAAGTATTGAGGAGATAGAGCTTATGAAGAGGTGCCTTTATTACCTTTACTTTATGATATCATTTAGAAATCAGAATGTATGCAAGACTCTTAGGATTCTGGAGAGGTATTACACAGTACTTCTAGAAAGTAAGGAGTTCCGACGATTTCTAGGGATTACTCTAGTTGCGGGGAACCATCTGAACAGGGGGAGCTTCTTGGGAAATGCCGAGGGGTTTACTATGGAATCTATTCCAAAGATATTGGAAGTGAAGAATGATGGAGAAAGCCTGCTAAGCCTGCTGAAAAGAAAGATCGATGGCGAGCAACTGCTCAAGGATCTGAGTGTGGTATATGATGCAAGCGGAGTCAACTTCGAGGCGTTATGCATGGAAGTTGAGGAGCTCAAGAAGAACTACATCAATGCAAGCGGATCCACCTTTCTTAAGATACAGGAAAGGATGGAGAGTATACAGGAAGAGTACGAGAAGATATGCTCTCTCCACGATAAGGTTGGAAAGCTCCATCGGGATTGCAAGGAGTACTTTGGGGAGAAGGTTGATGACGAGTTCAATAGCTGGATTATACTTCTTTTGGACAGGATGTCTCATGACATGAAAAAGAAGTAGTATTTTGACCATGTCCAAACCCTTGAATGAGAACTATGAAAGAACAATGGGACTCGTTTGAAACAGGGAATCTCACAAAGGAAACAACAAAGGATCTGTTGAGATTATGTGGATTTGCGCCTCGAGAAAAAGACATATCAATACCTAGGACATTTGATGAGTTTGAGCAGCTTGCGTCCAGCATTGCATCACCAATACCGAAAGACGAGATGAAGAAGATGTTGAAAATGTTTATACATGAAACACACATCACCAAACAGGATCTTGGAAAGTACATGTCGATGGGGGACAAGTTAAGCGAAGAAGAGATGGAGGAGTTCTTTAGAAGCTGTCCATTTGACAGAAACGGGGAGATCACTGCCGACGAGCTTCTTGACTTTCTGTATGGTTCACAATGAATAAATGTTTTGTTTTCGTCTGCCTTGCTTTTGTCTTGAAGAGATATTCACTGATAATGATGGCCCTCTGATGCTGACCATTGATGAAATAGTGGGGGAAAAGGATCTTGTCCAGCTGTTCCGAACGATTGTAAGGAAAGGGGAAGTAAAGTTCCTAAACAGACAATATATAGTAAAGAGGATAAGAGAGTTTGCGCCTTTGTCGATGGAGGATCTTGAGGGGCTTTACGATGAAGATATTCTAGAGGAGCTGGAGAGAAACAGAAGGTGGTCTATTTTAAGGAGGCTGAAAAGAGACAGGAAATGAGAGCCCTGGCTGATCTGATTGATTTTGCTGTTTCACCCACCCTTATAAACAAAAATACTGAAAATCCCTAATGGTGGTTCTCACAACCCAGGGGAATTCCAATAGAAAGATCTTTGAAATAAGAGATGGAACTGCATTGGGAGACTTGCTCCGAGACTATGTTCGGGCATTGGAACTATACTCGATCGATATGGAGAGTGTGAGGGAATCTTTATCCTCGATTTTTGCATACATATTTCTTTTAACTGTGCAGATCTTCGGGTTCCTGTGGGTCGTCTCATGGACTGAAGGCAAAAAAGGGATAAGTTCTGCTGCAGGACTGTCTTTTGGGGCCTTTTGTGTGATGACTATGTTCTTCTTTGGAGCCGGATATATTTACAAAGAAATCCTCAAGAAAAGAGCTGATTCGTCATACATCTCGTATGTCTATGTGGTTGGGCTTTCTGTTGTACACTACCCGTATCTTATGTTTATAGGACTATTGGCAAAGAATATATGGATGTTTCTTTGTATGATGGCCATCACCTCGATTTCCCAGTTTCTTATCCGATCATCTATGCTGAGGAACCACAACTTCGAGAGCAGTAGAGATGGATTTATGTTTGACATTGCCTCGTTTATCCTCCAGTGTGGGTTCTGTTTTGGAAGTCTTTCTCTCTTTAGTTTCCTATCGCCTGGGAATTAAACTTTTTAAGTAAGAACAGAATATTTACTTTATTTAACTCTGTTTCCTTCAGTTGTATGTCTTGTTTAACTCGTATCCCTTTCCAGATGCCCAAGCAATATTGATTCCATTGTTTGTGTCCACCTGATGGATGGTTTTTCCATCTTCAATCCCAAGGTTCTTTATGAAAGAAATCAGATAAAACAACCTACGGCATTCGAGAGACTCAAGAAGATTGCACTTCTTGTAGAACTTGTCCTTGACTTCCTTCATGCTTGTCTTCTCGCCTCTGGCAATCTTTCCAAACTCGTCATGGAAGTAAGAAAGTAGATACAAGCTGTCGACATCATTTAGGAAGGGCTTTCTAACTACGTTTGCAAGCTTCAATACGATGTTTGTAGCACACAATTCCTGGCTATTGTCATCCTTGGACTTGCACTCTTCAGGATCCGACAAACCAAGGGATGTGATTCCAAGGTCGATTGACTCGGAAGTCACTCTTCCGTTCTTTTCTAGAAAAGATATTTGAGTACTTCCTCCGCCCATGTCGATGATTCCTAGGCTTTTCTGCTCGTTTTCCTTTCCCTTGTTGGAGAGAATTAGTGCCATGAGAGCAAATCTTCCTTCATCTATCCCATTTATCACCTCGATCTCCTTGAGATTGTATTCCTTTAGCTCATTCCTTACAAGATCCAGAATGTGGTCTGAACGCGATTTGTCCAATGTTCTGAATCCTGCAGTTCCGTAAAACCCAATAGGCATCTCCTTGATGTTGTTGTAGAACGGCTTTGCATGTGTGAAGAGTTCTCTGATTGAGTTTTGGATCTCCTCGTCACTTTTTGCACCTGCTAGGCCTTGAGAATTTGTAAAAAGGCCCTGGTGCTTGATCTCTCCATCAACAAACCCATATATATTCAATCTTGTTCCTGTGGATCCTGCATCTATTACCCCACTGTATGTCATCTTGGACGGGGAAAAGGCCTTGGAATTGGAGGGGGAAGAAAGACCTAAGATAATTCCTGGGAGCAAGAGGAGCAGCATAGTATCCATTTGAGTTTGTTTTTTTGTTCGAAGCAGAAATCTTCCATCTTGTTTTAGATCATCAACGCCGAAAAGATAAAGAGGCTCAACAGAAGTACTATATGGGAGTTGGATGGATTTCTATTGAATAATAGATTTGAAGTCTCCCCTGTATGGCAACGCTGTCTCAGAAGAAACTTGTAGAGTCCATAAAACTGATTGAAAGAGAGTGGATAAAGATGCACAAGGCATTAGCCAGATCAAGATGTGGAGAGGTAAAGGAAGTCAAGTACAAGTATGTCGAAATGATTGGGAGAGGGTCTTTTGGAGTAGTTGTTAAAATAATGGATGACAGACTTAATTTCTTTGCTCTGAAGAGAGTTTACCAAGACAGGAGATATCACAATAGAGAACTCAGTATATTGATGGAAGTAGACCATCCAAACATTGTGAGACTTGTATCGTACTTCTATACGGATAAGACCCCATCTGGAATGTATCTTAACATTATTACGGACTTTGTTGGGATGAATCTGGAGGAGTACATGAAGGCAAATAGAAATGTAGAAATAGACACGATTAGACCAATATACAGGCAGATTTTGGAAGGGCTGGAATATTTACATGAGAAGAAGATATGCCACAGAGATATGAAACCATCCAATATACTCATAGGCCCAAATGGGTTGGTCAAGATTTGTGATCTTGGAAGTGCAAAGGTTATTGGCAATGGGGAGAAGAATATAACATACATATGCTCCAGATTCTACAGGGCACCCGAGAACCTTCTGGACTACAAGGAGTATGATTTTAAGATAGACATATGGTCTGTAGGATGCGTTGTTGCAGAGTTTAGACACTCTGGGCCTATGTTTAAAGGAGATACGAGTGGATCCACACTCAACAGGATTCTGGAAATTGTTAAAGCTTCTGAGGACGATTTGATTGGACTCGGATGCCAAAGGACCGATTACAAGCCTGGAGTAGGGGTGAGGAAGTATCTTGAGAAGCTCTTCGATGATCCCGATCTTCTTGAAGTTCTGGAGAAGTCCTTGGTATTTTCTCCCAGTAAGAGATCCACTGCTTCTTCGTTGCTAAAGAGTCGGTTTTTCCAATGAGTACATGCCCATTGGTCTTCGATATTGTACAGCCGAATTTTGTTCTGCATGTAATGCAGAGTGTATTTTGATGTAATTAAACATCTTTTTGAACAGGAAGAAGATTAGAAATGGGGATTTTTATTTACTCAACAGTTACAGACTTGGCAAGATTTCTTGGGAAGTCGGCGTTGTATCCCCTTGCGACGGCAAGATAGTAGGATAGGAGTTGCAGAGGAATAACAGCAAGGATTCCCTGGAGGCAATCCACTGTTTTCGGGATAACCAACAGATGGTGTCCTGCATAGTCCTTGGAAATGTCTTCGGTGCATATCATAATAGGCTTTCCACCTCTTGCAAGAATTTGTTCCATTGCATTTCTTGCCTTGTCGTAGAACGTATCCTTTGTTATCACAAAGATAATCCTGAACTTGTCATCTACAAGAGCAATGGGGCCGTGCTTTAGCTCTCCAGCTGCAAGTCCTTCGGAATGTATGTAGGTTATTTCCTTTATCTTCAATGCTCCTTCCAAGCAGGTTGAATACTGGTGTCCCCTTCCTATAATCAGAAGGTTTGCATCATTCTTCAGTACATCTGCTAGATCTCTTGTCGAATTGCTCAACTCCAGGGTCTTGTCTATATGGCTGCTTAGGTTCTTGAGCCCTTCCATTATTTCTCTTCTTCTCTCTTGTTTTGGAAGGCTCTGTTCACTTAGCTGAAGGGCAACTAGCACCAATGCAACATACTGGCTTGTATAGGCCTTGGTACTTGCCACACCTATCTCTGGCCCAGCGTTTATGTGGATGCCGCATTCTGTTTCTCTTGAAATGGTGCTTCCAACAACATTTGTTATCCCAACACAAAGAGCCCCTTTGGATAAGCAGTACCTGAGTGCCATGACACTGTCTGCTGTTTCTCCGCTTTGAGACACAAAAAACACACAGTCGCTTCTTAGTATAGGAGGCCTTCTGTCCAGAAAGTCACTGGCTATTTCAACACTCACAGGGATCTCAAGGAGCTCTTCAAGCAGTCCCCTATTTGCAAGGCTGGCATGATAACTGGTTCCACATGCCACAAATATTATCCTTTGGGATCTTCTTATGTCATCGATGTGGTCCTTAAGGCCTCCTAAAGAAACTTTGAAGTTTTCAAAGTTGATCCTTCCCCTCATCGTGTTAACCACAGATTCCCTTTGTTCATTGATCTCCTTGAGCATATAATGGTCATAGCTCCCCTTCATGATTTCAGCCAATTCGGTCTCGATTGTCTTGACTTCCCTTGTACTAGACCCGGTCTCCTTTATCTTTGAATGCATCCTGTGGATAAATATGTTACCATTGGACACGTGGGCTATGTCGTTGTCTTCAAGATAGATAACCTTTCTTGTGTGCTCCACAAGGGCAGATGCATCCGATGCAACAAAGATCTCAAGAGGTTCCTTATTGTATGTATGCAGAGAACATTCTTGAACGCCCTTTGATATAGTTTCGATATTTGGATTAAATTTGTACTTATCGAAGTTTGGAGACATTAGTGGAGAGCCCAAAGGAGAGATAGAATGGTCCATGGAGTCGTCATAGTTAACACCGAAGAAATCAAAGGACATCTTCCCTGAGGGCTTGAGGCCTATAAGGACAGGGGAAGACTTCCTAACAACAACCAGTTCGTTGGGAAACAAAGAAGAAACAAACACAAACGCAAATGCTCCTTCGCAATGTCTTACAACCCTCTTTACAACTGATACGAAGTCAGGTTTTTTTCCTTCCTTCTCCATCTCTTTGTAGAAATAGAGTGCAAGTTTTGCTGCACACTCCGTGTCTGTACTGGATTCAAATGTAAATCCTCTCTTTTCAAGATATACCTTGAGATCCTTGTAGTTCGTGATAATTCCATTGTGGACGACAAGGAAGTTGTTCTCCTTGTCACTGCTTAGAGGATGAGAATTTTCAACACTCGGCTGGCCATGTGTGGCCCATCTAGTATGAGCAATGCTAACATGGTTGGAAACCTTTCTTGAAAAATCAATGGGGGCTTGGATGTTTTTTATTTCGCGAAGCTTATCAACTTTTCCAACAGACCTGATTTTGACAAAGTCCCTATCGCTGTTGTCTGTGATGCAGAATCCTGCAGAGTCATATCCTCGGTATTCTATCCTCTTCAAGCCATTTATCATGATGTTGGCTATTTCGTCCTTGGTTTTTTCTGTAGAGAAGTTTGCGTATCCAAATATTCCGCACATATGGTCTGAAAATTTAGTTTATTTATACATGAAAAGAAGGTTAGATGAAGTTTATTGATAAACAAAATTGATAACCAATTAATTTCCATGAATTCATTATCTTGGGAGGGGATTTGTGGAAAGCAATAGACTTCAGATATCCCCAATGAGAATTTCTCTGAAAGACGAGAAGTTTTTTCGAACCATGATAGGTGTATTTGCCGATAAAGGGAACATCGAATTTGATATAAGGCCGGAGGAAATCACAGCCTCATCGTGTGGTCAAAGTAATTTTTATTTGGTGATAAATAACGATGTGTTTACGGCTGATGGAGAATGTTTATCATTTGTTGTGAAAGCTCAGCACCTACTTGAGGGTATAAATGCTCTAGGCCGATATGATCTCGTTATTGAGGACGATCTTAAGCTTTTAGACGGAGGGAACACTATATTTATTCCTTTTCTACCAGCGCCAAAAAGCGAATACGAGGAGCCTGACACTCCTGTCGCAAAGCTCGTTGTAAGCCCTGAGCTACTGGAGGCATTTGGGATGCTGAAGGGGGTTGTGACATATGAAATAGAGGGAAACAAGCTATTTATTAGAAAGGCCGGAAGCGATGTTCTGGAGGAAATTGAATTTTTGACGGGAGGATTCATTATAGCTGGAGATCTTCAATTTAAGTGTAATAACAGATGGACAGATGTGTTGGCCGGGATCAAGAGTTATGTTGACTCCATAATGCTTACATTTGGCGCAAACACTCTGTGCATTCAATTTCTATTTAAAAAGTATTCTAGAAGTTATTTAGAGTTGCAGGTCTGGAGATCCCTCGGGGATTGATTTAGGGCCCGGAGATAAAAAGAAACGGCCATAATACCCCAAATGGAAAGCAAAGGGTCGAATTACCACTGGGCCGAGTCCGACTTGTCTGGCTGGGCAAAGGATAAGATCAAGGAGACCTTAGAACATCGAGGCTACAAAGTGAATGAGATGGATGTGATGGTTAAGATATGCCAAAGGATGAATACATTAGGGCTGGTGTATATGATAGGCTTTGAGTGCACGAAGGATGGAAAGTATTGTAGCATAAGAAACTTCTACTCTGTGTCTGAAAAGGCAGAAGGGATGGAAGACTTCGAATGGTTTCCCGGGTTTTTCTCGGAGCTTGAGGAAGAGGCAATACTCAAGTTTGGAAGCCGAGTTCTGGATACTAATAGGCAAGTGGAGGAGAGAAAACCTTGTGTCAGGAGTATAGATGCTGAGGATGCAAAGACTGTAGACATAAGTTACAAGGCAAGCATTAACTGCGAGATTAATGAGTTCAAGAATTTCATCCTATCCCAAGAATATATTTCCATGTGGAGTGGGTATAGGGCAACCTTTGATGGAGACGACATCCTAATTGACGGGGTAATCATCCGGAGACTCCGAGAAGAGAACGGATGTATCAGGATGGAGTGGAAACTCGAGAGATGGAGTCACTTCACAGAAGTTAAGATATCTCTCGAGTCTTTTCTTAATAGCTCAAAGGTAACAGTGAAACAAAAGGCTGTTCCAATCAAGGAAGAGAAAAGCATTAGAATGTGGTGGCATGAGAAAGTATTTGCCTCGATTTCTACTTGCTTTGGATTTATCCTAAAGCCTCTAGAATAATCTGCAGGGCTTGACTACAATAAAACACAAGATTTCTAAATCGAGTATAAATGTGGACTCCTGCATCAACAGACATGGTGGCATGGAAAGATGGAAGGGGCGATTGTATCATAAGATGTTTTGGATGTGGCAATGTTGTCTGTAGAAGGGCAAGACGGGCCATGCTTCTATCCAATGTAAAGATCGAAGTATATTCGGCAAATGTTCCCACAGAATGTGTGAAGTGTGTAAGAGACGGTTACCTGGCATATTCATGTCAGTGTATTGTTGTTGATGCAGAATGTAGATGTTGCCGAATGATTCTAGGATATCATATTTTACATCCATGCAAGTTATGCGAAGAGATTGGAGGCATCAGACATGCATGGATCTTTGATACAAGCTCTGTCATTTCCTCCATCAGAAGGGAAAGATCAGAGGCTTGCTTGAACGTGTCTGCAGCATGGAATGGGGAAGGAGACAACGAAGTGAAGATAAGATAGTTTGAGAATTAAACAAAACAGCCTAAATGACTTTATTGCTATTTCTTTAAAGTAAGCACCAAAACATATGCTGAATGGCAGAAAAATAGAGCTCATGACTTATTCAAGAGCCTGATGTACATTTCTATCATTTGCGATATTATCAAAACAACATTACTTAATATTATAATAATCAGAACAACCTCGAACTTTTCAATACTGCTCCTATTTGTGTTTTCGTTGAGGATCTCTAGTATTCCGTTAATCACGTCACACCTCCTGTTCAGCAGGTCTGCCCTTGGCTTGATATCCAAATACCTCTTACATGTTTCATAGAGAGACGAAAATGCAGGGTAGTCCCACACAAACTCAGGCTCATCAAGAATATTGGATCCAAGATTTAGATTGAACCTTAGTCTATGCAATTTACCTATCATCTTCAATATCTCCTTCTTGCTTTTGCTGACCTTTCCCTCCCTCTCGACCTCTTCAGGGAACTCCTTAACTGCATCGATCGTGTTGTCCACAAGATTCTCGAAGTAGTCCAGCTTCACACTCTTGGCTATTGCAATCGAAATCACCATCTTTGTAAAGTGATTTTCAGAGTTCAAGTATATTACATCGTTGATAATAAATGGATTATCCGTTATACCATATTTGAAGGACTCAATCTCCACCTCGCTCGGCTCATGTCCGTTTTCCTCATACTTCTCAACAAGCTTGACTATCATCGATTCCTGCATCTCAGACATTCCCCAACACACTACAACACCGTACTCGTAGAAGAAGCAGTCATGTCTTTCTCCACTGCCCTTGAAGTTCATCAGAGTGTACAGACATTCCCCAAAGTACATGGAGACTTTGTTGCATAGAGAGTTGCTCTTCAAATACTTGTACAGATTCTTGAGGTCGTATCCGTCTGCAGTACAATAGGCTGTTACTCTGAACAGCTTCGTGTCTGGGACCGTGTTTTCCTCTTTTGGCATCATGTCTGTTTCAATCTTCAGTGCATATGCATCCTTGAGGGCTCGAAGCTCTATCCTGGCCTGCTTCCTGCCTCCAGCATTTGGTTCTCTACTTATATCAGTCAAGTATACCTTCTGTTTGTTGTAGTCTTCGGCCATAAATGCTCAGGGATAAAATTTTGGGGTTAGAAATCGGTCTCCTTACTTCAAAAGGAGAAGAGACATAAACGGATTTATTGATTGGAAAAATATTCACTCACCTCCTTCTTGAACTCAGGGGACCTCTTCCGGTTTCCCTGGGGCCTTGTAAAGTACTTGAAGAGCTCACTTCGCTTAAAAATCTTTTCGTCCTCAAACATCCTCAGATACTCCTGGATCTTTTTCTTCTCCTTTCCATTCTCAACAATCTCCTCGGCAGAGCTTAAGAGAGCTTTCGTTGAAATCAGATTCCCTATGCCCTTGCATTTCCTAAGGCCACCATCAAACATTAGAACTTCTTTTCCGATACTTTCGTCGGAAAGTCCATGGCTTCGAAGTAGATTTACAATATCTTCCGATTTGTCCTCTCCAGACTCCATCAACCTTTTCATCTCGTCCTGGTACTTATCATCTTCTTCATCTCCAGGATTAAAATAGGCATCATCCCGTTCCAAGGAATTCCTCTCTACATCCTTGAGAATCATTCCATTTAGTTTGGAGCTTTTGACATCGGATATCTTTCCGCAAGCCAGGCATTCTAGAGATAACCCGCCATTGTTGATATAGAATGTCTCTGGGTTGTTGCAAAATGGACACATAACATATGCATCGATGAAGTCATATATCAGGTCTTGAATCCTCGAGGATTCATATCTCCCGTTCACAGCATACCGTCCCTTTCCAATGTCTGTCCTAGTAGCCAGTTCATAACTCATAAACTTTAGAATGTACAAAGGCGGCCTCTTCAGAGAGGAGCTGATATCCTCCAGATTCACAATCACTGTTCTTGTGTTTCCAGCCTTTCCTTCCTGCTTTACAACTGCTCTAGGCATCTTGTACCTATAGTAAAAGTCATTATTTGTTCTATTTATGTCGATCATGCCATAAATGGGAATGTGTATATTGGGGGATTTACCCATAAACACATGGCTTTGATAAAAAATTGCTAAGGATCCTCCATGGGTAAGAGCAAAAGTACTGGAAGAACAAGGCTGGATAAGTATTATAATCTTGCAAAGGAAAAGGGCTACAGAGCAAGATCTGCATTCAAACTCCTTCAAATTAATAGGAAGTATGCATTCCTTGAGAAAGCACATGTGCTCATCGACCTGTGTGCAGCTCCGGGGTCGTGGTGCCAAGTTGCAGCTCAGGAAATGCCTCTAAGAAGGAAGATAGTTGCAGTTGATTTGGAGCCGATAAAGTTCATGGGGGATGTCGACACGATCACAGCAGACATAACCTCAGATGAGTGCAGGCTTAGACTACGGGAGATACTTGGAACACACAAGGCAGATGTTGTACTCCACGATGGAGCACCAAATGTGGGAACGTCATGGGAAAATGATGCATTTAATCAGAATCTCCTTGTATTGCATTCAGCCAGGCTCACAGCGGAGTTTCTAAAGAAGGGCGGTGTATTTGTTACAAAAGTGTTCCGATCCCAGGATTACTTTTCATTGCTGAATATATTGTCGCAGCTTTTTGAGACTGTTGAGACCTCGAAGCCGCTCAGCTCTAGAAGCCAAAGTGCAGAAATATTTCTTGTGTGCCTTGGGTTTATTGGAGAAGAGGAGGTAGACTACTCGATTCTGGATCCTTCTGCAGTCTTTACGGAAATGAAGGAGACAGGAGGGTATGAGGATTTCAACTTCCACAAGAAACTGAAGCTTACAGAGTTCCTGAAGGAGGAGAATCCCGAAATTTTGTCTGAGATGCTTTTAAAGTATTCGGAGATTGTAGTTGATATAGATGAAAAAGACATAGAGAAGATCTTGGAGCCTGAGTTTCTGTATCTGTTTAAGGATCTCCAATTACTAGGAAAGGGAGAAGTCAGAAAGATTCTAGCCAAGAGGAAGAAGATCATTCGGGCAGTGCGGAAAGGAGATGTTGACATTCCAGCACTGGACTTCCTTGGAAGAAATGAAGAAGAGGAGATTGAGATGAAAGAAAAGAGTGTTGAGGAGAAGATAGAGGAGATAGAGATGCTTCTTGAAAAGAAAAAAAAACAGTCCCGCCGTGAAGAGTGCAAGACAAAGAATGAACAACCAGCCGAGTGTTTTTTTAAGGACTCAGTGTTTGATAAGCTGAATATTATAAGTGATAATGAAGAGGAATTGGAAGAAAGTCCGGAGCAGGATATTGAAGTGAGCAGTTGTTCGGACAGTCTAGATCTCGATGAAGAAGAGCTTATGTGTATTGCAAAACTTAAGGAGGATCCCGAGGGGTTTGTGGAGGATACCATTGACAGATACATCCGTGATCCCAATGAAAAGCTTCCAAACTATCTTCGTGAGGACCAAGAAGCCTTTTTTTCAAGGCCTTCAAAAGCCGAGGAAAGAAGGCTCACAAAAAAGGAAAAAGAGGCACTTAGCAGACGTAAGACAAGGGCTGAGAGGAGAGCTGAAATGTTTATGAAAGATCTGGTAATAGATGATTCTGAAGAAGAGGGCAAGGTAGCAAAGAAGATTTATAAGTCATCCTTTAAGAAGACAAAGACTAAGCCGAGAGTTGTGTTCCCTAAGAAGGGAAGATGTGGAGTCCCGCGAGGGAAGGGGAGAGTTGTGATGCTGGATAGAAGGCTAAAGAAGGACAAAAGAAAAGGAAAGGCCTGATGCTATAGCCCGTCCTGAGTAATAGAGCATATCATTAAAAGGATTTACTTATTTATGGAATTTAAAGACACCAAAAGATCAAGTTTATTTCAGATTTTCATTCATTGCCTATGCTCGATGATATAGCCATTGCACACACAAGCCCGAGAAGGCCAACAACCTCTCCAAAGATTAGTATTAAGAAGAAGATACTGTTGAACTTCTTTTGTTGGGACCTTGTGACACATGCAACCTTTGCAGAGTAGCCTATGGAATATCCAGCAACACCTGAGGATACGCCATTAACCACACATGCACTCAGGACCAAAAGGCCATCCTTGAGAGATTCAATCTTCTTGTCATAAACCATGAAGTATAGAATCACAGAGTACATTGTTGGAGCTGTAATGAAGATGATTGGAACAAGGGAGTAGGTGGTATTAACAACATTTTCAGCAGCCTTACAGATGCCCTCCGAGCCTGCTATGAATCCCAGGCCTCCGCCTATGGCAGAAAGAGAAATCATCAGTCCTGGGCCTAGCTTTGAAATGATTAAACTTAGTGTCTTCTCGTCTAACTCCATGTATACCCTTGTTTTATTTTGATAAATATTTTAGAAAACAAAGTTTCCAAATCGAAACAACCTGTACTTACCAGATTGGCCAATACAAAATGGGAGGCGTATGGAATGTCCCATGGGGAAGAGCGACTTTCTCGCAAAGTTTGAAGAGATGAAGGATGGGACGTTTACGCCTAAGGACCAGTCCCAGAATTGGTGCCGGCATTTTGGAGTGAAGAAGGACAAGAGGCTGCACCTGTACCCCGAAGAGATGCTGTACTTGTACGACAGAAATCCTAAAGAAGAATACTCGGTGAGAACAAAGGCATACTTCTTTATCAGAAACAACTGCTACAACCTTCTTCTCGGAGAGGACGGTAGATTTCTTCTGTACAGGAGGCATAAGAACTTCAATAGAAAGAAGGATAAGCCGATCTGCTTGATGAGATATGTACACAGGGATGAGTGGATGGAAGATTCAACCAAAGACATTGTCGATGAGTCTTTCTGTGTGCTATCTGATGATGTGTTTACCTTTCTGAGGATCCGAAAAGTCTTAAAGCTTGGGATGGACACTCCTGAAAATTTGAGGAAATGGGATGGAGAACCCTTTTGAACCCCTCATCTTTTTCCCAAGACTTCTCAAGCCCTTGAAATGAGTAGGAACGGACAAGGAGACCAAGGACAACTGACAAAAACAATAATAGCCGTTGGATTCAATGACCAGAAACATCAGGAAGAAGTAAGAGGCAGGGTTGAAAAGCATTTTGATGTAAGAGAAAGCTACAAAATCCAAAACGACCATAGAGTGCTTTGCATACTCTTTTACGACGAGAGGAGGGCAAGAGAAGCGATTTCTTTCCTCAAGGAAGAGGGTATTTCATCCTACCACATAATAAGCAAGTATGAGATTCCCAGGGATATGGACAAATGCGATGAATCCCGAAACCAAAGCACACTGCTATTTACTTTCAAGAACTTAGCGGGCTCTGTTGACGACAAAGAGTTTGGAGAGCAGGTTGGGCGATTTGGAGAAGTGAAGGACATTCGATACGTTAAGACACATCAAAGATGTGTGGAGTTCTATGACTCAAGAAGTGCAGTTGCAGCTTTCCATGGAATGAACGAGCTGAAGTTTATGGATGGAATGATGCAGGCAAAGTGGGTGTGGGATCTCTCCACAAAGACGAGATGGGAGCTTATAAGGTTAACAGACAGTATTTTGAAGGAATGTAAGTTGGAGATAAAGACGCCTACAAAGAGAGAGAGTGAGGAGAGCAAGGAAGAAATAAAGAGAAAGAAAAAAGTACAGGACAGCGACACGGCACACCCTAGAAATATATTCTTGAAAAGGTTTGATTCCTTCATTGCTTTGAATATTGACCATATAACCGAGGGATATGTCAATGACTGATTAAGCAGGGAATTTCTGGAGCCTTATTTAAGATGCAAGCACTACCTGAACATCCACCTTTAAAGAAGCAAGTAAAGAACCAGAAGTAAATGTTTAATATAACTTCTTATTTCTTCTTCATCGTTTTGAGGGGTTTCTTGGGCCTCAGATCCTTACTGTCGCACTTTCTGCACTTCTGTGCAGACTTCCCAGACCTCGCATAACATCTTCGACAGATAAGACAGTCGTTTTTTTCCTTCATGGCCATGGCACCGTCGTTTTCAGACATGTTTCCCCCTCCTCCAAGAAGTCTGGGATACATTGTAATTGTATCGAGATTCCTTATGCCATAGCTTGCCACTGTGTTGGAATCCTCCAATATTCTAGAGTTGTGCTGCAGAACTACCATTGAAGAACTAAGTCCACAGGCGTTTCCGGCAAGGCCTTTCAAAGACAGAATAGGCTCCGATGGATCGGCCTGAACAAACGAAGTCTTTCCACAAAACCTCACTACAATCTTCATTCTTAAAGGGCAAAAATTTCCAGAGTAAAATCTGTGAAGTTCTCCAGACAGCCTGGGGACAATACAAGTAAAGACATTTATTCTACTCAAACATTCGATGGCAAATCCAGTACACTCGGCACATGGGGCATATTTTCCTCTGCTGGAGCCACAATGCTATGCAATGCGAATGGAAGGTGTGTTTACACTTGCCTATGCATGGCTTGCACTCGATAGGATGCTTACATTTTATGCACATCTGGTCAAAACTCTGCTGGCATATCCCGCATATATCGCTTTCTATGTCCCATTTCCAATTGTAAACAGGATAGACTTTCTTAATCTTTATTTCGACCATTCTATCGGACAGGTTTTATGATTGTGGGGAGTCACTTTCGCTCGAAGATAAGCCTGTAGAAAATTCCAGACTTACAGAGAGAGCCTCATGCAATGGAACCAAAAGGCAGTTGAAAAAGACAAGATTGGATCTCTAGATGATAGAATGAAAAATTTGCAAAGAGTCCCAGAAAGAGGGAGAAAAAACGTAGCCCTGAAATGGGGATAAAGTACAGCTATGAGATACATGATCCTTCGAAGGCTGTGAAGGGTAAGATCGACAATGCAAAGGTAAGCTTCAAGAAGACTAGAGAGACTTGCTGTACTCTAAGGAAGAGGAAGCTGCTTGACGCAATTCAGTATCTGAAAAACGTGATTAGCAAGACCGAATGTGTACCGTTTAGAAGATACAACCGTGGATGCGGGCAAACACACCAAGCAAGGAAGTTCAGCATACCTAGAAAAGAGATTGTGAAGGCCAATGGAGAGAAAGTGATTAAAAGGGGACATGTCCAAACAAGAGGGAGATGGCCTAAGAAGTCTGCCGAGTTCGTAATTTCACTTCTTGAAAGCGTCAAGGAATCTGCAGAATCCAAGAGTTTGGATGTGGGAAGTTTGGTGATAACACATATCCAAGTCAGCAAAGCTCCAAAGATCTTTGGAAGGACCTTCCGAGCACATGGAAGAGTAAATCCATTCAATAAGAGCCCATGCCATATTCAGGTTGTTGCAGAAGTGTTGGAGAGCAACGATGTTAGCATCGAGGCCTAAGCTACCTTACGATTAAAGGTTTTCTTCTTATTTTTTATTCCTTCCTAAAGGCCCTACTTGATGCTGAACAATAAGGGAAGGATCCATTCTATGAGCGGAGGATTTAATCTAAGAGCACCAAGGGAATATGGATTGTTTGAGGACATTGATTTTCCTATGTCTTTAGATTCCATGGATGAGCTGGACACTAGAAGTAGCATAGGGGCCATGAATGGAACAGAACTCCGAAAGGATGGCATAGAGAGTTTGTTTATAAGCAAAAAGAATGACTACAAAGAAGTGAAGGAGGAGGAAAAGTTCAACCCGTACGAAGACAACTCGGGAACAACTGTTTGCTTGAAACAGGATGACTTCATTATTGTTGCTGGAGATACAAGACATTCGTCGGACATGGTCATTAACTCTCGAGAAATGTCAAAAATATTTCGGATGGGGAACTTTCTTTTGACCGGGACAGGATTTTATGCAGACACCTATGAAGTCTATAGGAAAATGACAGATGAAATACTCCAATACGAAGTCGATGGGCCCATGAGTATTCATAGCTCGGCAAATTTGCTCTCAAAGATTTTGTACTCAAGAAGGTTTTTCCCATACTACTCGTTCTGTACTCTAAGCGGATTTGAGAAGGGAAAAGCTTACCTTTATCAATATGATCCTCTAGGATCTTATGATCTTACAACATGTGTATGCAAGGGAAGTGGAAGAAGCATGATTCAACCTCTGCTGGACTCGTTTATTGACAAAAAGAATTGGAATAACGCGAGTGATGCACAGATAAGCCAGGAAGACTGTATAAGACTGGTTGTAAAGGCATTCAATTCGGTAGCAGAGAGGGATATAAAGACTAAGGACAATCTGGAGATCTATGTTGTAAGAGAACACGAGCTGACTCACCAAATTCTCCCTCTGAGAAGAGATTAAAATCGATGTCTTATGCCTTGATTTTTTACCTTGTTGGGAGTCCCTTAATTTTTGGACGATTTTTAACCCGGGAAAGATATCCCCAAGCATTTGCAGATGAATTTCTTGTTTCCCATGTTTCTTTCGCTTGTCTGCTCCGAAAACTTGGGGATTCGATATGAAGACGTGATCAGCAAGTGGGTCAATTACGAGAAGAGGAGAATGAGGGATGGGCCTCTTGGGGTTTCGCCTTCTTCGTTTACTATCGAGAATGGAATGCCTAAAAGTAGAAGGCTTCTGGACTCGAAAACAATTTGGAATCCAGTAAGGATGTTTGAAGACGATTTTGAAGGACTAGAATGCAAAGGAGTTTTAAAAAAGATCTCTAGAGATGGAGACTCGAAATATTTGAGTGAGGGATATGAAACGCTGCTCGATGAATCAGGAATCAACTATTTGTGTCTATCGACGGCAGTTAGGCCGTTAAGAATCAGCATAGAGGGGATTACAAATGTAGCAATTGGATATAGAGGGTATTTTGATGAACAAAAGGCACAAAAACTAGGGGAATGTCTTTCTAGAGTTCTGAATGGAATGGAAGTGTGTGTTATTCCGGAATCCCTCTGTGGGTTGGTATCGAAGCTGGAGCATGTGGGAGAAGACGTTTCCTTGCACTGCATGGTAATTATGACTTCAGGGAGAAAGACAGTATTTTCACTTTACAAGGTGGAGATAAAGGACAAGGAGAGAAGATTTGAGAATCTGTTCCATGAGAGCCTTGACGGAATATCTGATTGGAAGATGGAAAGAATAGTATACGATTACATAGAGGAAAAGCTTAAGGAATACATTTCCATCAAAGACGATATTTCGGAGACAAGCAGAAACGTGGCATTCTATCCCCAGATAGAAGAGGGACGGGACTCTAGTTTGAGAATTGACATGAGGCCTATATACAAGGAGATCAGAAATGCTCTAAGATATGAGAATCCAAGGGGAGGAGTGAAGATGGTTAATGGGGTCAGTGTTGTTGATGGAGAAGAAAATGTAAGGTTTGTTATTGAGGCACCTATTTTTAACATTGAAGAAATTCAGAAAAGACTTGAGGAATTTGTTAAAGAGAACGAAGGGGAATTTGGCAGGATGGTTAAGGAGATAAAGAAGAAAGCGGAGGAGATTATTGAGCCAGGGGGTTACAGTGTGATGATGAGGTCTGAATTCTATGGGAATCCGATATTTGACAGGATCTTTGGCAATTTTGGCAAGAGAGACCACATAAGATCGGAAAGCATTGAGAAGGGAGCAGCAAGGATTATGAGAACAGAATATATGGTGATTGATCCGAAGATTCTACGTGTAAAAGGAAGAAGTGGAAATGGAGAAGCTTACTTGGATGAAGTCAAGGCAAGAAGGGAGATTGGAGAAATACTTGAGAAAAAGAAAGACAAAAAACTCAGAGATATTTTTGAGCTGGTACCTGATTCATGTATAGAAGAAGCAGATGAGATCTTTTCGGACGTTAGTGAGCTGGACTCCATCAAGAGGGCAGTGGAGAAGTGGAAAGAATTGGAAGCCAAAGACGGAGAGATTAGAGAAGAGAAAAGGTTGAGAGAGCAAGCTCTGAAGGATCTAAAAGAGGCGATAATTTCGGCAGAGAAGTTGGGAAAGAGTAATTTGGAAGTGTGGGATTCGGGATTGAAGGACGAGGTGACAAAAGCACTGGAGCATCTGAACATCATGAGCGCCGATAGCAAATATAAAAAGAAAGATATTGAAGAGGTGGAGTTCAACCTGATTATTAGAAGCAAAAGCCTGTTTAATGCATACGAAGAAAAGGCCAGGAAAGAGGCTGAGAAGAAGGAAGAAGAAAAAGCCGAGGGAGACGGAACTGAAAAGGAAGCTGAGGTAAACAAAGACTCTGAGGAGAAACCGGAGTCGGGAGAGGAGGGTAGATCTGAGCTCTAAGGAATTAAAATTGAGTCTTTTATATTCTGTATATGAATGGTCAGGTTTCTAAGTGGGAATTCCTTCTGCAGCACTTTACCTGAATTTTTGTAGGGAAAAACAATAGACCCTTAGAGATATACATGGACGAGAGCCGAGAGAGATACGAGGCAGAAATGACAAAGAAGCTGGATGCATTCAAAACAGCAAAGGAATGGTCTGACTTTATTTCCCTTCTGAGCTCACTGGACAACACGATTAGGAAGTTTTCCATACCAGAAATACCAAAAAAGAAGCTTTTGTTTAAGAGGCTAAACCAGTGTCTAAATCCGGTTTTGCCTGCAGGAATCCACAACAAGACCTTGGAAACATATTCTTTGGTGTTTGAGAAGATTTCCAGAGAGAACTTCCTCAAGGAGTTTGACTTTTTGACACTGGGACTCTTCACGTTTTCGGCACATTGTAGAATTCTTGTGATAAGTTCTTTTCTGGACCTTATAGAGAAGTATATTGTTCCATTGGGGGCGGATGTGGAAAGATATTCCACAAGCATACTTATAGGGCTTCTTCCACCGATGGAGTTCGAATCTGGAGAACATTACAGCCGAGCACACCTCATAGTAACCGAGTTTAAGTCTCTGGTTTCTCTAGAAGTATTCTACTCTTCGATGTGGAGCATCCTTCTTAACGACGAAAGACTCAGAACATCTGTGGTGAATTATATGCTAAGCCTAGGCTGGGAAGAGCAGATATTGGGGAATGAAAGACTTGTGGTAAGAGCTCTGTGTGCAGGCCTTGGAAGCGAATCGACTTTAGTGGTAAGAAACTGTTTAGATCTCCTGATTTTTGTATTTCCCGATAAGGATCACGTTTGTAAAGAGGATATGCTGGACGACCTTACGGAGGCGGTGATAAGGTTGTTTGTAAAAAGAGACCTTTCTCTCAACAAGAGGATCTACGGATGGATGTGTATGGCAGATAACTTTAACGAGGCCGACGTGGCTTTGTTAAGTAGGGCTCTTAAAAGGTTTTTGGACAGAAACAGCGCAGAAGACATCCAACTCTTCTTTAGGATCATGATGACGCTTCAAGACAAGGGAAAGCTCTGCGAGAAGATTATGGAGAACCTTCTTTTTGATGTTCTATCCTGTCTTCAAAAGCATCAAAGGAAGGGTGTGAAGGAAAATGTAGATTCAGATGCATTTGAAGAAAGACAGGGCGAGAGCATTGATGTTGAAAAGATTGCAAGGGCATTTTTAACCACAGATCTGGATTCGATATGGAAAATATTCTATCTCCGGCTGAGAAATGTCCTGAAGGAGGCCAAGGAAAAAATGCTTTTGGACTTGAATCTAATTGACGACGAAGAGCTTAATGACAGTGTGATGAGAGAGGAGATATATAGTATGCATACGATGTCGTTAATTCTTAATGAGGGGCAAATAGTTCTATCAGAGGGGTCTTCTCTTAATAACTCTCAGGACCGGAGTTCAAACGAAAAGATTTCAGAAGCAGAGGAAAGAAGTTCTTTCGAAGAAATAAGCCCGAGGAAAGAAGAGATAGTAGCAAAAGCGTTAAAAGTCGAAAAAAGACACCGAAACAGAAGAGATTCAAGAAGGCCCACCCAGGTTCTTTCCTTCATAAGGTTTGCCGTGGAAAATTACTCTGTAGTGGACTCGGAAGTCTTCCACTACCATCTTCCGTTTCTGGTCCATTTAGTCCTTTCTGACTTTCTACTGTTTGACGCTCAGATTGTTTTTTCGTTTCTGGATTTCAGTGCAAAGATAATGAAGTTTAAGGAAAAACAAGTTGAAGGAGGAAGGAATCTGCAGAAGCTGATTGGGAGATTTTATCTGGAGGAGGACACCAGCGTACTGGACGATGTCTCGTCAACAATACTTTACAGCATTTCGGACAAGATTGGAATAGCTATTGAAAGTAATGTTGAATTATCTCTTCCATTAATGTCCACTTTCATTAAGATCTATGGAGAGGATGTTTTCCCCAGTGGTTTTATACCGAATTATCATAACTTCATACTGAAGTCTTCCAACAGGCTTATAAAGGAGCATCTTGAAGTTTACAAGATAATTGATTGCACTCGACTTGATTCCCAAGCCATGTTCGATGTCCTATGGACAAGATTCTGCCACGTGGAGAAAGACCTCTATCTGGAGAATCCAAAGGAGTCTGACACCAACAACGGAATGCAAAGGATATCCAGAAGAAACATAACAAGTAGATTCTTTATTACAGGCAAGGGACCTCACCGCAGGGCATTGGTTGAACTTCTATGGAAGTATAACGCGATCTTTGGGCGGAGCTTTGAAAAGTTTCTTCTAAAAAGAATTGGAGAAGGAGAGGTAGAGGAAATTAGTTACTTTCTCCTTCTTAAGATTGAGAATTTTAAAGGGAACTTCGACTTCTTAGAGCTGTATTACATCATTAACTGCAAGCTTGATCCTGAAGATCTGGTGTTGAACACATTTCTTTGCTCTCTTACGTGTTTTGATGATCTATTTAAGTTCCTCTTGAAGAAACTTGAGGATTCAAACATACAGACAAGTGACACCTTCTTTTCGGAGTCCATTGATCTTAATCAGATAGTTGGAGTGTTCAAGTGCATCAAGAATCTTCTGGAGTATTCCAAAGGATTTAAGTCGATGCTTGTAGACTCTGAAGAGAAGTTGTATTCCAAAGTACTCCCTCTGGAGGAGCCGGTATCATCCAGAGAAATCTTGTATAGAATACTAGTGCATTTGCTTGTGAACAGAAAAGAATACGATGGAAGGGATTTCGACTTGGAGATCATCAAGGTTCTCGAGGCTCTAATGAGAGGGGGGATTCTTGACAGCAGTGTGATGAATGTGGTAGATCTTTCCAAGATTGTGGATGTGGCAAAAGGATACAGAGGAGATCCTGCAATTGTGTTGGGAATTGCTCCGTTGATTAAGCATAGTGGAAACAGTATGGCAATCCAAGACCTGTGCAGTATACTTGATAGTCAATGCTTCTACTACCATGAATTCCTAGGGTTTGTCTTTTCATTAACCGATAGACTCCAAAGAAAGGTACTTTCAAACGTGCTCTTTTCACTAGAAAACCAGGACTTTGCACTCATGATAGTCTCGGAAACAATAACTAACATGCTGGTTAAAAGAGGAGTTGAGGGCGAGCTGCCTGGCTTCATAGACAAAAGCATGAAGTTTATTTTTGAGTTCTTTGAGAACCAGTACGTCGATGTAAACGAAGCAGAAAGTGAGGGAAATAAGGTTAGGAGTGTAGTTCGGAAAGACAAGTTTGATGAGCAGTCTATTGGTGGCGATGATCTGGTTGTGTTTGAGGAAAGGATTAACACAAGAATGAATGCTTTGAGATTCTCGACGGCAAAGGAGTTGTCGTCTCTGTTTTTCAAGAAGGTGCCTATTGGGTTTGTCGAGATGATCCTGGGGAATCCGCCGTGCATTCCGTTTTTGAAGTCTATTGACTTCCGGGAGCAGCTTTACATGTCAATTATGAATCTTTACTCAACAAATGCTATGAAGGTGTTCAAGTTTCTGGGCGTGCTGAACAAGGTCATGGATCCTCAGGAAATGATAGGGGTTTTCAATAAGTCAAAGAATCTTCTCGAAAAAATCTCTTCCTACAGGATAGGGTCTGACTATTCTCCCTTAAACTTTGTCTTGGACTTTCTACAGTCTCTAGACCTTCAAGAGGATGCAGAGGCTCTTGTTCAGTCGGCCATCATAAACTCCGTTTACTTCTTACAGAAAAGGTTGGATCTAAAAATAAGGAATGGAGAGAAAGAATTCGAAGATGAAATTGGATTACTTGATAGAATAACAAACTTTAAGTTCCAGGGAGTAGTTCTTTCGGCTGTTCCCAGTCTGATCACAGTCATCCTTACCTTGGTTAATTCGAATAGTCCTAATCTCAAAAATGTCGGAATTGATACTCTTGCAAAGTTGAGCAGCAAGGGTCTTGAGGAGAAGTATTGGAAGAAAGAGTATATAGAGATATTTCATACACTTGACTTCTTTACATACCGTCTATACAAGAAGTCAGATCTCATGAAAAAAGTTGTGGCTAAAGACCCTTCCATTATTAACGACCTGATTGTCAGGCTGGACAGTGGATTTTTTGTCTCGCAGGCATCGGATGCCAACAACAAAACTCTAGTACTGAAAAGGATCTCGTTCATTATATTTTCAGCACCCTACAACTACTTTGCAAGCTTCTCTTTGAAGCTCATCGAGAAGATAGCGAGTCTGATAAATTATCCTTCTTCAAAGGTCAGAAGGGAGGTGTTTCTGCTTTCTAAGATGCTGGTTCTCAAGATTTCCCACGACAAGCTAATCAATCTGTATCCCATTCTTCTCTATGATATCGGGATAATAATCGAGAGTTCTGATTTTGAGGACGTGATGCTTCTCGCCGAGGTGCTGAAGCTATTGGATGTGGTGTTTCTGTTGAACACACCTCAATTTACAGAGACGAGGGTGGTGTTTCTTGGGCCTCGATGCACCACGACGATGGAAGGAGAAGGAAAGAAGCCTGGCTTAGAGAATCTAAGGGATTTGTTGAATTGCAAGTACGGGAAGGAGATTCCCAGCGAGTTCCGAAGACCTAAGAAGAAGATCCCGTTTCTGGGGCCAGGGAAAAAGGATATCGACGAGATATTGGACTTTACAAGCAATGCATTGGAGTATTATAACTGGCTCGATGAGAACTGCTCTGAAATCGACTATGAATACCTATTCAACCTCACTCTGGAAGAGCTGACAGAAACGACCGAGTAAATGTGTTTTTGATATCTCTACTTGTTTTTATTTTTAGATACAAGAAATAACATGGGAAAGGCTTCAGGGCCCTGGACAAGCCGGATGAAGGATACCATGGCTATCTTCAAAAAAAATCAGAAAATATATTCTACAGGCGCCTTTGATCCGCTGATTCTAGATGCAGTGACTGGATTGAGGGAGATGGCCAGGATGGCCTATGGGGATGAGTTACTCTATGTTGAGGCGAGGGGATGGGTGATCAGCTCTCTTTTCGGAGTAAATGACGTAGTTGTGATCTTAGTAAGCAGGGGACTAGATTCAAAGAAGCTGAAGCATATCTACGAGTCGTACCGTGTATGTGAAGCTTACAAAGACATTGGACTCATGGATATCCTTCTAAGGATGTATGGCAAAAAGGCAGGAGCAGGGAGATGATGTATCCCAGTAGTGCCAGTGTTCTTTCAAAGGCTAATAAAAATTTTTAGCAAATGGCCCAGAGAAATGGTAAGTCGGCTTTAGACTGGTTAATTTGTAGAGTAAAGGTACAGCCAGCTTTGGAAAAAAGAACAAGAGGAACACGGAAATGTGTAGAAGATGCGGAAGACAGAGTTATCACAAGCAGAAGAATTCATGCTCATCATGCGGATATCCTACTCCGAAGATGAGAAACCCAGGGTCTATCAAGGCAAGACGTAGACGCACTGTCGGAACGGGCAGAATGAGATACATGAAAAGAGAACTGAGGGCTGCAAAGAACGGACATAGGGGAAATCCAATATTGAGGCCCCTCTGGAGTGGAAATTAAAGTGGTTTTCTTTCTGTTTTAATCAGTAATGCCTCATACATAAAAGACTTTGGGCCTAGACCCTGAAATGAACTTGTTGTGGGCGGGATATGTTTTTGGGAAAATGATTACACACGAGGTCGAGAGGGTCTTGGAAAGGCCAAGCGAAATGGAGCCATTAAAGACCATCTCCAATGGAATGTCGAGTTTACACCTTTACTTGCAAGAGACCGAGGGAGACGTGTATGAACCGGCTTTTTCCCAGCTTGTGCAAAGGCTCAAGAACATCCCGGATTTTGTTATGGAGCAGGGAGACAAGATCTATCGCATTGTTCCTTTTGAATCGATTGAGATAGATTCTCCTGGAGGAAAGAAAAATCATGGGAAGTTCCATGAGATAGCAAGCATGGGAAACGAGGTGGTCATGACATACACAAGCAGTGGACGTGATGGCGAAGAGGGCATGTATACAACCATAACAGTTATCTTTACATCCTCTGATGGAGAAGAGAAAATAGAGAAGATTTACAGTGGATGGTCGGAGTCCTGTCTTCTAAGGGTTTCGACACCAAAGCTCAAGGTTAAGCACAGGAAAAGAATTCTGTCCATGTATCTTGAGGATTTGGAGAGTAAGGATCCAAAGGAGGAGGCCATTGGACACTGGATTGAGGGGGTTAATTCCGAAGGAAAAGGATTTAACAACGACGCCATTCTTAAAGAGGAGATGATGATATTCGAAGAGGCAGGAAGAAAGGACAGTGGGGACTCTGTTAAAAAAGCAGACTAGATGATGAAAGAGATTAAAGGTTTTGTGGATTTTATCTATGTCGGCGAGTAACGCGAGCCCTTTCCTAATCAGCAAGGGCCCTTAGTATAATGGTAGAACACTTGGCTTCGGACCAAATAGTCCGGGTTCGAATCCCGGAGGGCTCGGTTTTATGCCATCCTTTTCAATCAGATGAAAACAATCCTTTATTTCTTTCTAATCTTGTTTTTTTCCCTCAGATAAAAAGCCATTTTCTCTCCAAAGCTTCTGTTTTCCCTCACCTTTAAAGCCTCCGCATCCCTGTTGTATCCCTGCTTCATCTCGAGGACTCTCTTGCTCGGCTCGGGGACTATAGTATCGAAGAGACCCAGGAAGTCATCAATAAATTCGGGGTTCTCAAGAAGAGATAGGCCTGCCTTCAGGAAAACCTGGCTTTCAAAGGAAGGAGAGTCTTCGATGTCTTGAGGAGCATAACTTACAAAGAAGATAGAGACATCGTATTTCTTTATGAACTCAAGATGCTTTTCCCCCAGGGCGCCAAATGTCCTATATCCAGGTATATTTCCAAGCAAGCATTTTTTGGTGTATTTCAGACCATAGTGTTTTGGAGGCAATGTCTTTCTAAACACATACATGCACGGGGTCCTAACTTTCAGCTGTCCCGTTAGGATTAGACTCTCTTTTGGAACAGAGCCGAGAATGTAGCTCAAGCAGAAGTCTCTTTTGAGAGTGATTATTCCGCAAAGATAATCCAGACTGGGATGTCCTACTAACTTCAATATGGACTGGTGGATGGACGGGAATTCTTCAGCACTTCTTTCAAAGTGTTTCTTAAACGGCTCAAGAAGCAAAGTCTTTTTGTCCAAAAGCCTCCTCTTTCGATTCACAAGGAAAAAGCAAAATGCAAGAGCCAAAGCCACAATAACTACGTCGTGCAGCATCGGGGCAACAATATATTACCCTAAAAACCAACATCGGTTTGCAGAAGCAGATGGGTTCCTTTGGGGCCTATCTTGAACCCTGTTAGCTCAATAGGTAGAGTGTTGGACTTTTAATCCAACGGTTACGGGTTCGAGTCCCGTGCAGGGTGTTCTTTTGCTCTTCAAAACATTTTTCGAAATAGAAAACATCTTTAATCTCCTACCGCAACAGGTATTTACAGTACTCGGCCAGCTCGACCATTTCCCTGCACCTCACTCCAAAAGCATCTTCCAGCTCATTCAGTCTCTTGCTCAAGTAGGAAACCTTTCTTTTCTCCTCTTCGTACATCCCCTTAGCCTCTTCAACTTGCCCAACCAAAAACTCTATTCTTTCATTGTTTGCCTTCCGGAGAGACTCCATTTTGTCTTCACTTGCAAACAAATCCCTCTTCAACGCTTGAATGTAACTTTTCAGCCTGTATTCATTAGACTTTAACCTTTCTATCTCCTCATTCATGATGGTACTCTCCAAAAGAATCTTCTCCTTTTCGTTTCTTTCCAACGCATACGTAAGAGTTGCGTCGTAGTTCCTCAGCATTCTATTGCATTCCTCTTCTTTTTTTTTAAGATCCTCTATCATTGTCCTGCTGGAGGCAAGTTCGGAACAGGTCTTCTCATAGTCAGACCTCTTCAGAACAATGGTTTCGTTGTCGGGATTGGTAGTCCTTCTGCAGCCCTCTGTCTTTTCATTCATATCTATTGAACTTAGAGGAACTGTGGATTCTTCAGCAGGAGCATGGGTACTTGAGGAGATGCTCATGACCAGGGAGCTCAGATTTGCAATGGAGTCTGAAAGATACTTCACAAACTTCGATCCCATGTGATGGGCCTTGGCAACAGTCCCTATTAAATCCAAATGTCCAAAAGAAAAAGTTACAGCACCCGGGATTCCCGAGTGGTCTCCCGCCTCAGTACTATCCGGGCTCGCACAGGCTTAACTGCGGAGATCTGACGAGTTCCGGTGCTTTTCCGTGGATATGGCCGTAACTGTCCCAAATCCTAATCAGAGTTAAATACTCTACTCCACAATCCTCATAGACACTCCACCGGCCAACACTACAAAATCCATCTCTATTCTTAGCAAATTTAATATAGTAGAATAGAATAAGCCCACTTGCCCATTCTATATCTTTTCCTCGGAATCCACAGCTTTACTTTTCCCTATCTTTTTTCCCCCAAGCATCCCACCTATCAGAGGCTGCACAACAAATATCACAACAGTAGTCAATAATACAGAGATCAAAACTAATCCTACTTCAAACCCATTTGTCTCTACAAACTTGTATTTACTCAGCCACCAGGACGTCCATCTTGGAAATAGATACACCGTCATCAGGAGACCCATGGTCACTAGAAGGGAAAGACAGGTAAAGCTTTTGAATAGTAAGTTGTCTCTTAACTCTTGTCTATGTGGAGAACAGTCGCTCAGATACAACCCGTTGAGGATATAGATAAATGTCATGGCAAAAAACACTAGCTCGGATGCAATGGACTGGTCGTTCATGACAGGGCTAGACTCCCCGTATCGGGACAAGACCAGAAGGGTTAAGCTTTCAAATGCTATGGTCAGCCAGAACGGGATGAAATCCTTCTTTGATAAAGGAAATATATCCGGGCGCCTTGGATACAGTTTATCGGATGTGTTAAAACATGTCAGCATGTATGCAACAGGGACCGAGACAAACAGCTCTGTGTGCATTGTCTGCAAATCACTCAGAAAGTTTCTCTTGAAGAGAAGAAAAAGAAGCCCTACATAACCGATCACACAGGAAGAGACAACATATTTGAATGTGGCAGTCGACGTCACAAACGCCGAGCGTCCCTCCTTTATCAGGTCCAGGACAGATCCTATGTCGGAGGAAGTGAAATTCGCTGCCAGGCTGGCTTCGTTCTGTGCTAGAGCCAGGCCGACATTAGCACTGCTAAGAGCTCCGCTATCGTTTGCTCCATCTCCACAAAACATTGTGATCTTTCCAATGGCCCTCAGATTCTCTATCAGGGCCTTCTTTTGTCCAGGGTTGAAGCGTGCAAATATAGCTCCTTTCTCAAGAATAAACTGAAAGTAGTGAGTGTTTCGGAAGAAGTCAAACTCCCTTCCTTCGCATGCAACAACAAACTCGTTGTTGGATACCCTGTCGTTTCCCCTGTAAAGACTCAACCTCACCTTATCGAAAGTAAATTCCTCCTCATCTCCAACACAAAGCCAGTCGACATCAAAAATGGATTTTGCATTCTCCTCAATAACAGGAAATATCACCGGAACAAATCCTTCAACAATCTTACACTCTTTGCCCACCGATATGGCTGTTAGTATGTTGTCCCCTGTGCACATGATACTTCTAATGCCTGCCTCATTAAGCTCCTCAATAGTTCTTCTGGAATTCTCCTTGAGCTTGTTTGAAAACACTATGAGAGCAAGAAACATCATCTCAGACTCATCTGTAGCTCTATCAATGCTTTTGCTTATTTCTTTGTATGCCAATGATATCACCCTGTATCCAGCCAAGGAATACCCCTTAACTTTCTCTTCATATTCCTTTGGGCTGCTCTTCAGAATCTTCTGGATCGACTCTGGAGATCCTTTTGTAAATACATACCTCTTACTTCCATCGTCTACCACTACACTCATTCTTCTAATGTTCGAATCAAACTCGTAAGTCTTCATAATCACCGCATTGATCTTGTCTCCTTTTACTTCTTCAGTACAATTGTTTAAGCCATATCTGTTGACCTCGTCAGTATCAAGGACTACCGAGGAAAAGTCCTTGTCTTCTTCATAAGTGTTTGTGTCTCCAACAGCAAACTTGCTCCCATAGATCCGATCTTTCTGATAATACACCATTTCTTCACTGTCGTTGTACTCCTTCAGAATGGGCCCGTAAATCTTACTATCCCCTCCAATAACTACACTCCGTGTGTTCTCATTCTGAACAAGTTTTGATGAAGAAAAAATAAACATCTTCAAGTCAAGAGTATCTCCAGAATACCTTCCATCCAACTCATACACTAGATGGCATGTGCTTAGCCCAATTCTGGTCAGGATGCTAACTTTCTCAACATCATCTACGGCCTCCTCGAGATCGTCGATGCAAAGAAGATCAAGACCCTCGCACGTCAGCGTTCCTGTCTTGTCAAAAACTGCTGTGTCCACTCTTCCGGCAAGATGAATCTTACTCAGATTGTTGCAGTAGATGTTCTTCTTGATCAGCTTTCTGTAGCATAGCTGAGCCCCAAGCTTCAGGTACGTTGGAAGAGCAGGATTTGCTAGTGTGAAAAACAGATCAAGATTATATACAAGATTCATGGTCTTGTTGAAGCCCATAATGTTGAGCATATAGGCTATACCAATAGAAATAATAATTGCAATCCCGGTTATGCTGAAGATTATCATTTCTGCCTCTCTTATAAATCGGTTTCGAGTAGGTCTTGAGTCAAGCATATTCTTTAGAATTTGCCCCCGTGCTGTCTGGAAACCCGTTCTAAGTACCATTCCAATAGCAAAATTCTCTGGGATGTTTATAGACCCAACCTCCCCAGAGAGCCGAGGTTTATTCTTACCCGTAAGACTTCTAACCCTACAAAGATTTTCATTTCTCAAGCTGTTGAATATCGGCATTGTGTTGATACTCTTCAAAACATCTGTTCCCGAGTATACTGTGGAAAGCTGCTCGGCATTCTTGTATATTGGAACCGCCTCTCCCGTAAGGAGACACTCATTCGTTATAGCATCCCCAAGAATCACAAGAGCATCACAAGGAAATTCCTTGCACGGCTCAATATACATTATATTTCCAGGATATATTTCTCGGCTGTCTACTTCCATAAATTTCCCTCCTCGAAGTATTCGGACCATTCTCTTCTTCATAAGCTTTTTCATATTGATCGAATGTAGAATCTCTTCCCAGTTTGTAAACACAAACGAATAGACCATAAGCACCCCCATCACCAATGCATAGCTGGTGTATTCAATGAACTTCCATACAAATAGGCATGTCACATTTGACAGAAATGTAATACTGAGTATATTCTTCAGAATTATGTTTGAAACACTGGGGATAGGGAGGTTTGTGATGTTCTTCCCATAGAATATGTTTCTTTGTACGCCCTCTATCCTTTCGGTCTCCAGAGACTTTGAAACCTCTGTCCTGTAGAACTCTTCAAAATCCCCTGAAGGATGCTTCTGCTCTGGAGGAACAACAAATTTCCCTAAAACAACGTCATATATAAACCGGAAAAACTGAGAGTCTATCACACGAGCCTTTCCCCCCAATGTATATCTCCTAAGCGAGGGAATTCCGGCCGTATCGTAAAAAAGAACATCAACAAATTCTTCTTTTCCATTCTGTGATGTTATTATGGCGCAATCTGCATCCAAAAGGCTGCAAGGAGAGCTAAGAAGAAAATGCTTGACCCGGGGTAGATACCTACACAACATGTAGAGCCCTCCCAAAGTCAGCATGCAAAGAATGTTGTAAAGACGCACAGACATTCTTCTTCTTCTTCCCTCAATACTTATAAACGGCCTTTCCTGCTTAATTCCCACAAACATTCAGGGGCTTGCCCACCAGGCCGATTTTAGAATGATTATCTCCGGAACATTAAGGAGATTTCCAAAATCGTTATGTTCAATACCATTTATTGTGGAAAATTAAAATAACTACGCCAGTCTCAATGCACTGCCTGCAAAGGAGACATTCAAAGCACCCCTCGGAGCAAAATCGTCATCTCCATAAATTAATGAAGCACTCGATTCTTTTTTGTATGAATAAAAGTATTAACTGTTAATTGGGTAATGAATAAATAAAATTCAATTAAAAAATCCAAAGTAGGATGACTGATGTAGATAGAACAACTAACATTTTTGATTTCACTGATGCCGTGCATAACATACTTAAACAGAGAGAAAAGCTGTTTGGAACTAGCAAAGTCCTTTTATTTGTGCTTTTTTCCTGCTCTTCAATCATGATATTTCAAGGAGAAAGCTATAGAAACTTCTGCTTGTCAATAATAGTTGGGTTATGCATGATAGCTTCCGACTCAAGAGTGCATGAAAGACTTCTAGGAATGAGCTCCGAGTATGGAGGGGTGCGTGGAGCAATAGGTAGCTTTCTAGGGAAGATTTTTCTCAACAAACTATTATTTTGCATTCTATGTTTTTTGGTTGCATTAACGATCAACATGTCTATGATTCCAATTACTTGGATGCTTGCAGCCTCTGTAGGAATCTCCTTGCTTAAGAAGATCTTCACAGAGGACTTAGAAATAACAAACATGAGCAATATTCTTTTCCATTTGGGATTTTTGGCATTACTTGTCTTTTCCCTCAACAATCTCAAGAAATCCAAAATAGTCATATATTCAGTTTTCTTTAGCTTCTTTGGATCGACGATTCTATGGATTACTCTCGAGGCGATTCTGAATGAAAACCTTGGGTTCAGCCGTGCGTGTAATGTGTTTTTCCGTGGGGAGTTTATGGACTTCATCGGAATATCGCAGCTGTATCCTTTTTTACTCTTGATGGCCATTGGAGTTTTTACCCAAGTAAGAATCAATACTTTAGTCTTTGCATACGGAAAAAAGCGGTTTGCCTCGATTATTGTTAAGCGAAGTGAAAATAAAGTGATAGAAGTCTGAGTTTTATTGGGCTTATGGATGTTAGTATTCTTGGGTATTTCTAGAAGTAGGGAAGTATTTAGTTAAACAATGGTTGGGCACCTATGGGAGGGCTTATGAGGGGAGTTAGCTCAGCGGTAGAGCGCTTGCTTAGCATGCAAGAGGTCATGGGTTCAATCCCCATACTCTCCATTTTGCATCGACTAACTTCCATTGGGACTAAGTATATTATGGCCAAAGTCAATCTGAAACCATCAAGATCCTCTTGAAACACAGCTGCATTTAGAAGATTGCAGAGTAAACAAAAAGCCAATAATGAGAATAAATCTGCTGGCGATGTTTATGATGCCCGCAAGCAATAGAAGGGTTTTTTACGTCAACTTAAAGGATGTTAAGTCGGGTGAGGATTTGCTGAGTCAGTTGTTTGAAAAAGCCCATCATCTTCCCGACGGGTCAAGCGAGTTGCTTGAAAAAGAAGACGGCTCTTCAACGCATTTGTCCAACCTAGCACAAGAGGTACAGGCAAAGGAAGGGGCATCTGGGTCTACAGCCTCTTCTGGACAGAAGGCACCGGCACAGCAATCGGAAAGTGGTAAGAGTGCACAAAAGAAGCAGCAGAGTGGAGGCCAGGAAAGTAAGGCACAAGGGAGCGCTAAAAAGGAAGAACAGAAGCAGCAGAAGGAGGACAAGCAACAGAAGCAACAAAAGAAAGAGGAACAGAAGCAGCAGAAGGAAGAGAAGCAAAAGCAACAGAAACAGCAGAAGGAGGAGAAGCAAAAGCAGCAGAAGGATGATAAGCAGAAGGAGCAGAAGCAGCAAAAGAAGGAGGAACAGAAGCAGCAGAAGGAAGAGAAACAAAAGCAAAAAGAAGCGGGGAACCAGAAGGAAGAAAAGCAAAAACAAAAGGAACAGAAAAAGTCTGAAAAGGAAGATGGTAAGAAGGAAACAAAAAAAGCAGATAAAGAAAGCAAGGAGACCAAAACTGCCCAAGATAAAGGTTCTAAAGACAAGACATCCACCCAGGGAAAGACAAGCACTGATGGTGGGGAAAAAGCCAGTACAGCGAAAGCAGAAGGAAAAAAAGCTTCTGAAAAGGCAACCAGCGTCAAATCTTCGGATGCAGAGTCTAAAGGTGCTGAATCTAAAGACAAAGGGAGTGCCTCCAGTGCTCCTTCTTCAAATGCAAGTACCTCTGGAAGTGCTTCAATAGCTTCATCTTCGGGTAGTTCTTTATCTGGAGCGGCTTCCAGCAATGTCAGCAGTGCAGTGTCTTCAAGATTATCCTCGAGTGCCATCCAATCTTCTAGTGCTGGATATTCATCTTCAATACCTCTCTTGTCCATCATGTCATCTTCCATGCTATCATCGGCCATATCGTCTTCTGTGCTGTCATCGGCCATGTCATCTTCCATGCTATCATCGGCCATATCGTCTTCTGTGCTGTCATCGGCTATGTTGTCTTCTATGTTATCGTCCTCGATGCCGGTGTCTTCCATGTTGTCTAGTGCATCCCATTCCTCCATAGCTGATGTCTTAAAGAAGGCATCGGAGATAAACAAGGTCAAAAACCTAAGTTCTGTAGATGTCAACGATATGCTGGGGAAGTGCCAAGAATGTGAAAGGGTTGATCAAGTACTTGTCTATAAGGAAGGAAGTCAGTACAGTGATTATTCTGGAAATATAAATTTCCAGGAAAAAGATGGTAAGTTAGTTGACAGTTCAGGCTTGTTTGTTGGAAAGGATTGCGGGTGCTCAAAGGAAGAAATACCTCAAATAGGAAAAATAACTGGAACAGGGCTATATCAAGATCAGAGTGTTAATAGCATGAGCTGCCAGAAACAAGCCAATGCAATTGATAAGTTATATTCTTCTGCCAGCAATATGGCGTTGAACTCCGGAGTATCTGGAAGCAAAACCGTTTCTGCCGGAGCGTCTCAAGCTGGTGGAGCTGCAAGCGGAGCATCTAAAGCTGCTAGTGCTTCTGCCGGAGTTTCTCAAGCTGGTGGAGCTGCAAGCGGAGCATCTAAAGCTGCTAGTGCTTCTGCAGGATCCTCACAAGCTGGTGGAGCTGGAGGTGGGGCATCTAAGGCTGCTAGTGCTTCTCAGGCTGGTAACTCTCAAGGGACTCAAAGCATTCAGCCAAGCTCTTTTCAGAGTGGTGCATCAGGGAATCTTGCACAAGAGACTGGATCCAAACCTCAAATATCATCTCTTCCTACCCAAAATAATGCCGAGGAAAGCCCTGGAGTTTCGGTAGCTCAATCTATTGAAAGTAGGCCTGAAGATTTCAGCTATATACCTCCTAAGATATCTATAAAGGCGGTCAAGGTCAAATACGGGGATACATGTGGGGATAACTCTGGACTCGTTGTTAACACAACACTCACCCAGGAACTCCCTCCGGAAAAAACAGTAACATTACCTCCAAAAACAGTTACAAAGACAGAAAAAGTGGAGCTTCCTCCCACTACTATCATAAAGGAGTTAACTATTATTGAACCACCATGCACAGTGGAAAAAGAGGAGGTAATTGTTCAGGGATCTGAAAACATAGATGAAGAAAGAACTGTTACTCACTCCACTACAGTTGTGGAATATAAAACAGTAAAAGTTACAGCCACACGAACGATATTGCAAACAACGTCTCCGAGAGACGTAGAGGTTCCGATTTCCACTATTAGCTTTGAAACCATCGATGGTATTAATGGAGAAAGGCCCCGGGAAGATATTACGACGATTAATACAACTATAGTAGTGGAAGAACCTGAAGATATAGAATGTGAGCAGGAGTGTGAATGCTATGAAGATAATTGCGAAAATCCCTGTGATAGGATAAAATGTGTGTCTGGTTGAGTTTTAACTGAATTAAATTAGGATATCTACTTTAGATATTTTGTGATTTTCTTGACAGGCCTGGAGACTTAGGAAGAAACGGTTACTCAAGTGATTGTAATCTTCAAACACAGTTTTTGATATAAAACAAGTTGAAACATACGGAATATAAAGAAAGCCAGTATGTATTACAACAAAGATGATATTGGCTTTGCTTTTACTTGGGCATATTATAAGAGCCGATATATTCGATGGGGTGAACTTGGAAAAGGTTCTAAGTGAAGGCTTGAAAGGCGGAGGCAGCGGGAAGTCGGGGCCCGATAGCGCTTCTCTCTCTCTTTCTTCAAAGAAAGAAGGAATGTCCTCTGCCTCTAGTCCCGCATCCTTTTCCTCATCTATACCATCCATGAGCCAGGCCTCAAGCTCGACAGTAGCTTCGGTAAAGAAGAGTGGAGAGGAGATGCCAATTGTTATAATAACTCAAGAGAGTCCTAAGGACAAAGGAAAAGGCAAGGGAGGAAAAGAACAGGAGGAGGAGATAGCTAGTATTGTGAAGAACGCAATAAAGGGTACCAAGTCCAATGGACTTTCAACAGAGAAAAGAGAGGAGGAGGACGGCCAAGGAGAATCTAATTACGAAGAATTTAAAGAGGAGTCAGATAAATCGAAAAGAAAAGATAAGCCAAGCATGATCAATAATTCCTTTTCTCCCATGATGGCAAAAGCGGTTGGGAACAGCAGTGACTTAGATTCCTATTGGACAACGGTTATAGTCGATAATAAGTTGAAGAAAGTCAAAGTAAATGTTAAGGTTATGACTGTTGTCGAGAGCATTGGGGAAGCTGCGCCATGCTCCAAAGATGGAGATGTAAAAGAGAAATCGAAATTTTGGAGCAAGCCTGGTGAGAGCTCTAAGAGCAGAGAAATCCCTTCAACGGTCTCTGTCGCCTATAAAAAGGATGAGATGAAAACATCTCAAGATAGTAAGAGTTCTTCAAAAAGCAACAGCGATGAAAAAACAAAGAAGACTGCAGAGGCTTCAAGGTCTGTTGAGCCTGAAATAATCCCGTCCGTGATCTCATCTGGAAAAGGCACCGAATCTAAAAAAGAGTCGGAAACCTTAAGTGCATCTAAGCCTCTTTCTTCCAGTATATCTCTAAGCGTTAGTGCGTCTAGGAAGAGCAACGATAGTGAGTCGGCAAGCTCAAAATATCGAAAGTCAGCAGAGTCCGTGAAGACATCAACAACATCTACTAAGGAGAAATCATCAAGTAAAGAGACAGAGAGTAAGAGCACACCGGGAATAAGCACAAAGGAAGACAGTAAGAAGGGGAACTCCAGTACAGTAATGTCCAAGAGCCAGTCTTTAGCAAAAACTTTTTCTTCCATAGCTACTGTGTCTCCGTCTGTTAAGAGTAAGAAGAAATCCTCGTCTTCCCAAGGCTCGGCATCCAAGGAATCCAGCTCCACCGTATCTATCGGACAGAAGAAGTCAAAGGAAATGACCAAGGACGCCAAAAGTATTAGCGTTTCGAAATCCGAGAAGGAAGATAAGGCAGAATCAGGGAAAAAAGAAGTCAATCCCGAAATGAATGAGCTTTTCTATGTTCTTAAGAATATGCCTGGAAAAGTCAATATAAGTAAGTCAGGAGGGAAAATGTTTGTGGAAGGAAACTTTGTTGCTCCAAAGGAAGAGAAGTTGAAGGACAAGAAGTTCCAGTTCTCAGGATACATCCAGGCGGCACATGCTTGATGAATTAAACCATTCAATTCTAATTCCCCTTAATTTACCTGAGTATTTCGGTATGAAAATTCCTGAAACACCCTGAAACAAGTTTCAGAAGAGATTTGGCCGGACTAAAAAGATTAAACCCGCCATGTTTCTTTCTTAATGAGGGCTCCTAATAGAATCGGCACGATAAGAGCTCTGTGCCTTCTTGGGATTTACAGCCATAGTGTTGCTTTATGCCAGGAAGATGAAAGCACTGTTGAGATTGTACTTCTGAGTAATGGAACCGAAAAGACAAGGCCGAGAGAGGATGATAAAAACGATATCAATACTGAAGACAAATCCAAGGCGCTTAGAAGTCTATTAACAACGTTAGTAAGCCATCTAATGGCGGGTAATAAGTTTCAGAATAGTCTTCTTAAAAGTTATGATGGAGGAGATCGTTCTGATTCCCCAAAAGAAAGTGGAGACCGACAGACAGCCTCCCCCTCCCAGAACTCAAAAGCCAACAAATCCCCTGCTCAAGAACCAACTACAGAGATGCTGGAAAAGATAAAGAGAGTTCCAATGGGATACAGGACATTCTGTTCCTTCCTCCAGAATTTGGACCTTATTAGAGACAAGCTAAAGAACAAACCCGGAACCAGAAGAATCCGGAATGTTCTGGTTTACGAAGGGTATCACCTCACCGACTATTGGGGAAGACTGAAATTCAGAAAGGAAGGGGATAAGCTTATAGACGAAACGGGATATTTTGAGGGAGTTAAAGTCAATACGTTTGAAGACATAATAAAGGAGGGAAAGATGACCAAAACCGGCTTCATTCAGAAAAAGGAGATAGGGGAAACAGAAGTAAACGAAAACCTGATAACCATGAAGCTTCTTCTAAATGAGATTGCCAAAGAAAAAAACACATCCATCCACGGGGTAATTAACGAGGGATGCAATATGTCCATTGTTGAAGAGCTGGTCTTTTACGGGAATAGTCCTTCCGCTCACAACGACGAGATAGTGCATGTTTGCATATGCTCGGATTCATTCTGCAAGGAGCCATGCAAAGATATCGTTCCAATGAAGATGGAGGAGCTAGAGTTCAGGGGTTAGATGGATAGAGTTCGTTAGGTACATTGAAATTTAAATGATTAAAGATATTTAATTGTTGATTGCAATCTTGTCAATAGGCAATATATCCTCAAGCTCAATCTTCTCATCAACCATTCTATCTAAGATGTCTCTAAGTTCATAAAGGCCAATATTCTCATTGGATTTTCCTCCCTTCCCTGACTTGCTCAATCTGATATTTATTTCATCTGTTTTTGCCTCTTTTTCCCCAACAACACATACAAGGGAGTATCCACATGTCTCTGCTGTCCTTATTCTCTTGTTCATGGTGTTTCCATCATCAATTACATCCAAACGGAATTTGGAAAGTACAGATTTTATCTTCTCAACATAGTCTAGATTTCCCATGTTTATAATTGCTATCTGCCTTGGCGATATCCAAAACGGTAGTTTTTTCCCAAAGCTTTCGAGGATTATAGCAATCATTCTTTCGATACTTCCCAGAATCGCCCGATGTATTATCACAGGTGTCTTACATTGCCCATCACTGTCTCGATACTTCAGCTCGAATCTCTGGGGAAGTTGAAAGTCCAGTTGAATTGTTGCACATTGGATTTTTCTACCAAGGGCATCGTGGAGAGTAATGTCAATCTTAGGTCCATAAAAGGCTCCATCTCCTTCATTAATCTTAAAAGACATGCCGCTTTCGTCCATTGCTTCTGCAAGAACCTTTTCTGCATTGTTCCATTCATCAATCGATCCCAGATATTTTTCAGGCCTTGTGCTCAGCACCAACTCAAACTTGAACCCAAAAACCCCATACACAAAACTCAGAAACTCAAGGCATCCCTTGATTTCACCCTTAACCTGGTCCCTGGTACAGAATATATGTGCATCGTCTTGCTGGAACCGTCTCACTCTTGTTAGTCCGGTCAGAGTCCCACTAAGCTCATTCCTGTGCAAAACCCCAAAATCTGCCAATCTCAGGGGAAGGTCTCGGAAGCTATGATCCTGATGCTTGAACATTACACAGTGCCCAGGACAATTCATAGGCTTCAATGCAAAGTTGTCTCCCTCAATAAGAAACATGTTTTCTTTATAGTTCTGAAGATGTCCACTTTCTTCCCAGAGCTTTGTACAAAAGATGTTTGGAGTGATAACCTCTTTAAATCCTCGTTTTCTATATTCTTCCCTCAAAAACTCGATGAGTGTGTTGTACATAATTGCACCATTTGGCAAAAAGAAACATGATCCCGGGGAATACTTTGAAAAGAAAAAGAGGTCAAGTTCCGTTCCTATCTTTCTGTGATCTCTTTCCATAGCTTCTTCTTTCCTCTTTAAATATTCTTGTAGCATCTCTTTCGAAGGGAATGTGATGGCGTAGATCCTTTGCAAAGACTTCAAGCTGGGATCGTTGAGGAAATAAGCTGAGCTATTCTTAAGAACCTTAACTGCCTTGACAACTCCGGTAGACAGAACATGAGGCCCCAAGCACATGTCGAAGAAATCTCCATTCCGATATACAGAACTCTCCTTGTCTACTCCTTTCTTGATGAAATGTGTTTTGCAAGGGTTATCCTTATAGGCATTTAGAAGTTCCTCTTTACTCTTGATTACCTTTTCAAATCTGTAGTTCTTCTTCATTATTTTGAGCATTTCCATCTCGATCTTTTGGTAATCTTCAGATGAAATGGAGTCTTTTATGTCAACGTCATAAAAAAAACCTTCCTCTGTGGGTGGCCCATGGACTAGCTTTGCATCCGGATATAAATTCACCAACGCATTTCCCAGTATATGTGCTGAGGAATGCCAAAAAATTTCCCTAGCTCCATTGTCTTCAAACGTTAAGAACTCTAGTTCGCAATCGCCTGGTATTTCCACCACCATGTCAGAATATATCCCATTGATTTTGCAGGAGATTACATCCTTTCTATCCTTACAATATTCAGAGAGGATATCATAGGGTGTCATCCCTTGGGAAACTTCCAGCACTCGATTTTCAAATTTCACTTTCAACTTAACTTCGTACATTTCAGGGGTAAGCTTGATATTTCAAAAATCCAATTTCAGGTCCAAGAGTCCTCCCAAGTTCTTCTCCAGTTCTTTTTATGCCTTCTAACACAAAGCACTCAAGTGCTCTTCCAATTACTTTAGGCATCTCATTCCGAGTCCTCTCAAACATAAATCTGATGCTTCTATGGAGAGAAACGGCCTGATCATAAGATCCTTCTTTAATGATCTTCCGGAAAGCGAAAGTTAGAATAATCTTATGCTTTAAACAGAGTCTTCCATTGAAGAAATCGTCTATAACATCATCAATAATAAATTTAGATGATTTCTGAAGAAGAGAAGAAATGGCGTCAACTTTGTATTCCTCGCATCCATCGTAATTCATAAGCACTCCAAAAGCCTCTTTACTTTTGTGCCTAAGTGTTCTTTCTGTTGAACTTTGAACCAGATCTGGAAAGCACTTGAAACTCATCTCAACCTTTCCTGCATCCTTCTCATCAGAAATCACCTTGAGAGCCTCCTGAAGGTATTTCGGCTTCCAGTTTGTCTCAAGTACCGAGAGATTATTTTCTACTTTTCTATAAGAGTTGAAAACATCATTTGGATTGGAAAAGTTTTCCCTTTTCTCTTTTCTCATCACCGAGTCTGGCATATCATCAATCATCCTCTGTGTCTCTCCCATAGTTTCTACTCCAAATTCACATGTATTCAGCAAAACGCTTGCAACAATTGCTCCATGCTCATAGTACTTTCTGCGCCCATCACTAAAATGATTCCCAATTCCTGTTATTAAAAGACTCATCCCATTGGAATCTATATTGTGTGTCTTCAGTGCAAGTACAATGCATCTTGTAAAGAAGAAGTCGTCCTCTTCATCAAGGATGGTGGACAGAAAGCTCATTCCTAGTACCCGAAACAGGATTTCCCCATTACCTACTGTTTTTATGATGCCATAAGACAGTTCCGACTTTTGTCCTATACAATATTTCATCAAACATTCTTCCTCAAACTGGTCGCTTCTAATCATCTTTTTCTTGTCCTCATAAAGTAAAACTTGAGATGATACATCCAAGTCATCGTAGAAGTCTAAAAACTCCAAATGTCTTTTGTTTGGGTTCCTCTTAAGATACAGATTGATAAAACCCGCTGCATCTGGACTCCTCTCAAGAATTTCCTTGATGGAAAGAGGATAGCCCTCAGCCCTCTTGACTTCGTTTCTTAAGATGTTCATTTCTAGGGATAGGTCCCATCTGTATCAAAGATATTTATTAGTCCTAATTGGCCAGGATATATTCATATACCCGACTCCTTAAACTACAGATTGTAGAGGCGTTCCTTCTCGACTTCTTGCGGCAGTGCTAAGAGATACAATCTCTATATCACTCACCAATGGCCCCAGCTTCTGGACAATATCGCCTATAACTTCATCATCCGAAACCAACATGCTTTCATTAGGGATTTTCTTTTCCTTTATCTTCTCTACAATCCTATCGATTTCCCGGCTCTTGCTCTTTTCTCCAACACTCATCGTTTGTGGATATGCCGAGGAAGTCGATGAACTGTAAAAAGTAGTGGTTTCTTCCTCCAGATCTGATTCCAAAAGCGGCTTCTGTGTGGTAGAACTTTCTATATTTGTTGTTGAAGAAAAGACTTCGCTTGGCTCCACAGTCTTAGTAGAAACATTATTTCCACTATATATGGCCGATTTTGATACTACAGAGGATATTCTTCCAAGGCTAGATCCATCTTCTTTTGCAAAGCTTTTCCGGGTTTCAGCAGCTTTGAGGCTCAGTAGCTCGTTTCCTATATGGGCGACCTTACTAGAAAACTCGTTCAGTTTTTCCTCAAGTCTCTTTACATGGTCTTTGACAACGGAGTTGACAGCACTAAGATGCATGCTACTATCAAACTCTCTTATTACTGTAGTTCTTACCGTATCAGTTACGGTTTTGTACTCTATGTCTTTCCTTCCGTTCCTTGAAAGTGTGAGAATTTCGTATTTGTAACTTTTCGGGTTGGTGGGTTTTGTAACTATACCATCTTCCTTCTCTATCGATGTTTTTTCCTTCATGAATTTGTTTCTTGAATTAGTTTTCTCTTTGCTAGAGAACTCCTTGAAAAGTGTGGCTACAGATGGAAGTGAATGTTCTTTGTGATTCTTCTCATTTAAAGGACCAAAGTCCGAAATCGGCGAAAGAATTGGATCGATTTCATTATCGTTTCCGCTTTCCTCCCCAGAACCTCCAGCCATCCCATCTTGATTGTAAGACAGAGAAGAAATCTCTTCTATTGTATCCTTTCTATTTGGAGTTCCAAGGTTGCCGGAAGCATTTTCAATCTCATATGCATTATCCTTCCATCTTTTATCCAAGCCTGTAGTATAAGGCATAGGACCTAGCTTTAAACGCTTTTCAGACATTAAACGAGAGGCAATGCTCTTTTCATAAGAGCTATCATCCTTGTATACTTCATACAGCTTCTTCAATAATTCAAAAGAGTCATCTTCATCTCTCTCTTTTTTTCTAATAGACAATATTGTATTCATAAGATTCTTGTACTGCTCTTCGTTCGCCACAATCCTCTGATACAGATTATCCATCTTTTTTGCATAATCTTCATAAATATATATACTCGGCACTTCCTCTTTCTTGAATGAAGAGATAGAAAGGATATAAGGGCCTTTTGTCTCCACAGGGGGAACAGCCGAATTAACAATTGTGTAATCCTTAACTTTTGTACTTGTTTTGGTTATGGTGGTTGTGGTCTCCTTGGTTATTGTATTTCTGCTAGTGCTAGAGGAAAGTCTTTTGGTAAAGGCAGTGGAGTTTCCCCCCTTTAACATATCAAAGATGCTTCTTATTAATTCCTTGGTATGGTCGTCATAGAATGAACCTCCTGCCTCTTTTACATAAGAATCTACAGACGGCAGCCTACTTGCAGTCGTTGTACGTGTTCTCTCGACAGTAGTAGTTATTGTCTGAGGATCAACGGATGTTCTTGGCTTTGAAGCTGTAACACTGGTGCTGGAGCTTGTATTTATAGGACTACTTCCCTGTATACTGAGCAAACTCTTGATCTTCTCAAGAATTTCAATATATGCCGAACTATTTCCCACTTCTCCGAATGCTGTTTTCTCAGAACTTTTTCTTGGGTTCGTAGATAGTACTGTATCCAATTCTTGATTTTCCATCAATTCCATCTTGCTTCTTCTATTTTTCGAGTTCTCCACAAATACCGTCTTTAAAACGGTTTTTACATCATCACCCGACTCTCGATGCAAGGAGCTCCATTGCCTTGTGATCGTCCTAGTTATTAGTATGGTCTGTGTTTTAGTCTTTTTTATAGGTTCAATACGTTCCTGATCCCTAATCTTTGTGGTTGTAGTTGTAGTTGTAGTTGTTACACTAGTCGTCTTTAAGGTAACTACAGAGACAGATCTGCTAGAATCTCTAAAGGGAGTTCCACTTCCACCATTTTGGCCCTCAGAATCAGGGACAAAATCAAAGGATTCTTTGATGAAAACAGGTACAAGATTGTTTTTCTCCAGAATTATTGGCTCGGGATGGTCGGCAGGGATTCGAGATGAAATCAAAAGAGGGTCTGTTGAATTCTGGTATCCAATAGGATATTCAGATGAGTTTTTTCCACAGATCTTTTCTATCCTAGGATTTCCCAGAACATACTCGTAAAGGGCTTTTATATCATCTCCCATTCCAAGACGTTCTTTTGTTCCATAATTTCTGATGGCCCAACTGTGCAGATCGCAGATTCTATATGTGGATCCGTTATAAACGATGGTATTGTCATCCCCATCAAAGATTTTCTGAACAGGCTTTCTCGGTATGGAATCGTCTTTTTCCAGAGTCATATTATTTGTATTCTTTTCGATATTCTTCTTTACAAACTTGATGAAAGGCCGTTCCTCTCGTTGCAAGATCTTTTTGATTGTCATGGCTGGAGGGCTTTTTACCTCTACGGTTCCCAGAATCTTGGTCCCTTTATTTTCAGGATTGTATACTTTAAAGCAAGAATCTCGGCACCTTTGATCATCGGATCTGCAGTTGCAGGAGATTCCCGGGACTGGATTTCCTTCGCTAGCCTGAAGAATCATAGTCTGAGCAATTACATATCCAGCTATAAGAAAACATCTGAGAAACAGCTGGGTGGCAAGCATATATATAGTCTTTTGTTTACTCTGTTCTTCTCATGGTTTTATTTTGTTTCACATGCAATGGATACTTGCAGAAAGTAAACCATGAGTGAATAAATAAAGAAGCTTTTAATGAGTTGCATTTCTCTGAACACTCTCCTTTAAATTCGGATGGGCCATTCTTCATTGTACCGAAGTCATTGATATATAAATAAAGATAAAACATTGTTTTGGGTTCTCTATAAAAGTTCAAGTATGTTTATTTATATAATAATGAGGTGTGCTCTACTATTTTTTCTTCTTAAGTACGTCTTTTCATCGGTGGAAACTGCTTCTTCCGATCCTAAGAAGGGGGTAATGGAAAGCCCTAATCAAGAGATATCATACCGTCCAGGGGGAAGCAACGAGAAGGTTGGGGTGAAGGGAACTCAAGTAGAATCAGATGGACTGTCTCTTCGAAGACACACCGATGAGGGAGGATTGGTTGTATTTTTGGCTCCAAATCCTTACGAAGAATGGAGTTTCTCATACACTTTTACCAATGCAAAGCTTAGATTCCCACATATAGGTGGTGTGTATCTATGGTATACCTCCGAAATCCAGGACCAGGGAAGTTACAGAGGAGGCCATGACCTGTTTGAGGGAATCATGGCAGGTCTTGAGTTTAGAGGATCCCAGCCCGAGATAGTCATGGCAATAAACGATGGGAAGACCAGTCTTGTGGGTTCAGAAGAAATGACTTTGTATAGAGATACAGTAAACCCGGAAAGACTTAAGGGAGTAAAAGACATCACGGTTAAGGTGATCTCCACACATAAGAATTTTAAAGTCGAACTATATGACGGAGACAGACTGCTATACGATAGCTTCAGGTATTACCGTAAAGGAACACTAGCAGGAATTGGATCTGGAAAGTACTTTAACATTACGTCGTTCTACGACAAAGCACCTTCTGATAGCGTTTATAAGCTCAAAGAGGCACAGCTATTTGAAAGGACAGAGACAAGTGACTACGAAGTTCATAGTATTCATGCACCGTCGGTGGACAAAACCCCAAGATCTCCAGACGGAATCATGCATGAAGATGAAGAAGTAAGACATCTTATCTCAAAGATCGAGTATCTGAATGAGTATCTCCACCTGGTAGTCGGAGAGCCTCATAACTCATCGTTTGATAAGGTTGTTCACATTCTTTCTGAACAACTCAAAGCATTTACAAAGAAGTTTGAAGATACCATCACGCCAATAAGAAGTGTAGGAGGTTCGGAGACAAAGCTTATGAATCTGAATGAAAAAATGAATGGGATTGACATAAAACTTCAGAAGATTCAAAAAGCATTTGCAGACTTGGATCATGTGGTAGGTTCTCTCAAAAATGACTACAGCCGAAGCTCGAACTTTCTTGTTTACATAATCCTAGGAGTTGGGGCTGTAGGACTAGGACTTATGGCAATGAAAGAGTATAATGCATTGAAGTTTAGGCAAAAGGCCCTCTGAGAAATAAATATTTCCGATCATTTTTACTGCTTTATTAAATAAATAATGTGCGACTCTATCCATATGAGAAGATTCTGGGAGGAAATACAAAAACCATATCTTGCAGTTGCACCTATGGTTGGAAACTCCGAAGAGGCTTGGCGCAGATTATCAAAGAGACATGGGGCAAATCTATTTTACACAGAGATGGTACATTGTGAATCTTTTTTACGTGGATCCAGGAACCCCGTGAAGAATCGATGGTACACAACGTCTGAGAGTGATAGGCCTCTGGTAATTCAGATATGCGGAAATTCGCCAAAGACCATGCTAGAAGCAGCTTTGATAATGCAGAACCATTGTGATGCAATTGATATCAATTTTGGATGTCCACAAAAAGTGGCTAGAAAGGGAGGTTACGGTGCATATCTGCAAGAGAACTGGGATTTGACAGAGAGGATAGTGAAGGTTTTATCTACAGGCCTTAATGTTCCTGTCTCCTGTAAGATAAGGGTGTTTGAATCGATAGAAAAGACAGTGGAATATGCAAAGATGATAGAGAAGGCTGGATGCTCTTTACTGGCAGTTCATGGTAGAACAAGAGATCAGAAGGGGCCAGCAATGGGGCTTGCGAGCTGGGATCACATCAAGGCAGTAAAAGAAAACCTAAAAATTCCTGTCCTTTCAAATGGGAACATAATGACTCATGAGGATGTCTGGAAATGCTTGGAATATACGAAGTGCGATGGAGTGATGGTTGGAGAAGCTCATCTTTACAATCCTCTTATATTCACAGGAGAAAATAAGTCATGTTTAGAGATAATTAGAGAGTATTTGGACATATGCATGGAGTCTCCTGGATGTGCAGAAACAGGGCACATCAAATCGCACATGTTTAAATTACTGCATAGTTACTTCACCATCAATCCAGAAAAACAACCTGATCTCGATTCCTGCAGCACCATAGACCAATTTTATAATCTTTATTTAAATCTCGTGAAGGAAGCGGAGTCTGCAGTAAGCAAAGAAGTATATTTAAGCATCTACAAAATGGCACCTCTTTCTATTTCTGGCGCGAGCATACATGAAAACAATAGTAAAAACAAATAAGAAGTATTATGTCTCTTTATTTATACCCATCAAATGCTTGAAGAAGATATTATAGCTTTAATAGAGGAAGAGAAGGCCATCGAAGAAGATTTAAAAGCCTGTGAAGAAAGTCTGGAGAATATAGGAGCTCTGGCCATCCGGATACAATCGTTTTCTAGATCTGTTTCCAGTTTGGAAACAAACAACCCTGAAGTGGAACGACTATCTAAGCAAGCCGATTTGTTTAACAAGTCTATTCTGAGACTTGGAAGCCAGAGATCTAAGAAAAGAAATGAGGAAAAAGAGGAGATGGCCCGATCCAATATAAATGTAGATAGGGAATACATGGAGAACACAAGTGTGCCCCAGCCGGTTAGTGATGATGACTTTTTTTCGTCCAGCACAAAAAGGATAAATGATGTTCTTATGAATGCAATGGATGCATTTGAGACTGTCAAGAGGCAAAATATATATATAAACAGAACGAGCGAAAGGATAAAGACTGCACTTGAACGAATAGGCCTTAGCAAACAATTGGTTGATCAGATCGACAAAAGGTATCTATCCGACAGAGTCCTTTTCATGGGAGGAATTGTTTTACTGGTTATTATGTTTTTCCTTCTTAGGTTTTTCTTATAGAAGACCCTTTTGGAGAAAAGATATCGAATTTACACATTAAAATTTTCTTTTAGGGCTATTCTTGTGTTTTCTTCTGGCCAACGAGTCTGTCAATTCTTTGGGTTATCCTTTTTGTGTTGAATCTAAACCTGGATTTTCTCATGGCCTCAAGTAGATATGAAGCTCTTTTGAAAGCGGCTGAAACAATAGAATATCCTCTTCTATATTCCCCCTTTGTCAGCTTCTTTATCGATAACCACTTGATCTCTTCGATTTCTTTTCTCGTCTGGGCTTCAAATGGAAAGGATGGCCTGACATTGAATACAAAGTAAAGGGTAATCTTATCGAATATCGTTATTGGGAGATTACATATTTTGTTCTGCACATCGTAACCGGTTTCCTCATAAACTTCTCTGATAGCACAGCTTGTACCATCCTCATCCATGCATTTCTTTCCCTTTGGGAAGGAGTAATTCTTTGTTTTCTTCTTTTCCTTAACAGCCAGTACATGAGAAATGTTAGAGTCCACAAGAATCGCTCCATAGACCTTTACAGACTGCCTGTATCTAACGAAGCTTTTAAGAGCCTCCTCGATGTTCACCTTGATCCCAACATGATCCAAAAGCTGGCGGCTGAAGTCTCCAAACGAGGTGTCCAAAATTTTATAGTTGTCTATCAAGAACCAATGGGCTTCCTCTACTGCAAAGAAGAGCCTCTCGACTGCATTTTTTTCCTGGTCTTCCAGACCTAGTAGGAACCTCGAGGCTATACTATCTAAAATATCTGGCGAGATCATTTGGGGCTCTGTGAATTCTATTTTGACACAATACAAGCCCTTGGATGAGTAGAGACAAATCAGAGCAGGATAATCTTCAAGACACAACTACAATAAACTTGAAGAGACGTAAAAGAGTGAAGGAAAGTAAGGCAGCTTCTAAACCTCCACAGGTATATCCTCAGATGAAGTGTAAACTAAGGTACTTGAAATTGAAGAAACTAGCTCATTTGTTGTCATTGGAGGACAGTATATTGAGCTTGTGCGAGCCTGACAAGTCCTCCGAAGGATCCAACAGCCAAAAGCATGTTGTCGAGCAACTTCGTGGGAGTCCTCTCTCTGTTGGGACACTTGAAGAGTTTATTGACGACCATCATGGAATAATTACTACTGGTGTTGGCTTGGAGTACTATGTCAATATAATGTCCTTTGTTGACAAAGACTTGCTTGAGCCTGGATGTACTGTTCTTTTGAACTATAAAGACAACAGTGTTGTGGGAGTTCTGGAAGGAGAAATGGATCCTATGGTTAATGTAATGAAATTAGAAAAGGCACCTTCTGAGACTTACGCAGATATAGGAGGTCTTGAGGAGCAAATCCAGGAAATTAAGGAGAGTGTTGAACTTCCGCTTATTAATCCAGAGCTTTACCAGGAAATGGGGATAAAGCCCCCAAAGGGGGTAATTTTATATGGGCTTCCTGGAACAGGAAAGACTCTTCTAGCTAAGGCTGTGGCAAACCAGACGTCTGCAACCTTCCTTAGGGTTGTTGGAACAGAACTGATACAGGAGTACCTTGGAGAGGGGCCAAAGCTTGTTCGAGAACTTTTTAGGGTTGCCGACATGCATGCTCCATCGATAATCTTCATCGACGAGATAGATGCAATTGGAGGAAGAAGATACAACACATCCTCTGGGGGTAGAAGAGAGGTTCAGAGGACAATGTTAGAGCTCCTGAATCAGCTGGACGGATTTGATACTAGGAATGATATCAAGGTGATAATGGCTACTAATAAGATAGAGGCTCTTGATCCGGCTTTGATCAGGCCTGGAAGAATCGACAGAAAGATCGAATTTGGAATGCCAGACGCAGCTACAAAGAAGAAAATCTTCGATATTCACACTTCAAGAATGACTTTGGATGAAAGTGTAAATATCGAATCTTTGATAACAAGTAAGGAGGATTTGAGTGGTGCTGACATAAAGGCTATATGCACGGAAGCTGGGATGATAGCATTAAGAGAAAGAAGAAAAACTGTTACAATGAAAGATTTTATTTCTGCAAGAGAAAAGGTATTCTTTTCAAAACAGAAAATGGTCTCAGCCGGGCTTTATTCTTGAATAAATTGTTCCTTACCACACTCGTATTTCTCTTCTTAAGGTTGAGCTATTTTCAGCCGGAGCTATTCCTCTGAAACTTCTCTATTTGTTTCAGCAATAGATTGATCCTATTCCCAGTCACCGGCTGGTTTCTTCTAGTTTTCTGCATGTACAATCTCCTTTGAACGGCTTTTTGTGCTCGAATTCTTTCTATCTCTTCCTCAGTTTTTCTATTTTCTCTTTTCCGAATGGATTTGTCTTGTTTTTTTCCATCTTCTTTTCTATACTTCATCGAGGCTAAGAGACTATTATTTTTTTATGAACCGATTAGCTTTCATTTTGGATCCAATAAATATGTACTCTATTCCATTATGAGGAATTATGAAATCAGTTGTTCCCTTTAAGTAAGTTTTTACCGAGTTATTTTCCAGGACAACAACTATCGAATTGGCTCTTTCTTCGACTATTATTCCATGCGTTCCTCCCACAACCTTGATCTTTGCACCTGTTAGCTCACACATGTACATTTTGTTTACAAAAGTTGATGGGCTCATTCCTCCCTTTAACTCGGATAGATACTCAGTAAACTTTTTACTTATCTCCACGAAGTCCTTATATCTTATTTTTTGTCTTTCAACACTTGGAATCCCTGCGGTCTGTTTCCTTTTGGAAGTTTTGACGCTTTTGTTTGCCAACGAAAATCTTTGGGAAAGAGCTCGAATGGTTTCCTTCCTCATGTACGAGCCATAATGATCCTCTACGCTAAACATCTCGCCTTTGCCTGGGGATAGAAAATGCATCAATGTTGCATTAAGTTCCATGGAGAAGAAGAACAGAGAGCTGGCTAGAGAAAACACAGAACTCAAAAAAAAGATTACATCTATGAAGAGGATCGAGGGAGACTTACTGAAGGACAAGATAAAAAAGGAGTACTTTGGATTTAGGGTATGGAAGAGGATTTCTGGAGAGCTTGAAAAAAACATTAATATGGTTGAGAATGTACTGTCCAGTCTTAAGAACCTTAAGATGGATATTCCCAAGAACGGGCCAGAAGAGGTTTTAGGGGACAAGTCGAATCAGAAGGAATAAGTCTTCCCAATGCATCTTATTGCTGGGAGTAGTAGATTTCCAACTTATTATTTCAAGCCCTAGATGGTGCCAATAACACAAAGGATAGTGGAAGCTTTGAAGGTACAGGATGAAGTAAGATCTTCTGATATTGAAGGGCTTTATTCGGAGGTACATGGAGCATTGATAAGCCTTGAGAGCAAAGGGATATGCAACTTGAGAAAGGAGGAATCGTATGAGGAAGTGTTGACTTCTGAAGGAGAAAAAATAGAGAAGAATGGAAGCCAAGAGTATTTGCTCTTTCAATCGATAGGAGAAGATGGAATAAGTACCGACAAACTGTCAGGACATGAGGTGGGAAAGATGAATGCATTCAAGAATAAATGGATAAGAAAAGAGGGAGACAAAATTTTTCGAAATAGAGAAGATGTTGAAGACATGGTTCGGAATATGGTTTTAAGCATGAAAAAAGGTACAGCTTCTGCAGAGGAGATAGAGTTATTGAGGAAAAGGAAGCTAGTGGCAGTGAAGAAAAACATTACGTTCATAGTAACGAAGGGTCCTATGTTCTTTGATAGTACTTCATATGCAGCTGAGCTAACATCGGAAATGATTCTAGACGGGACCTATAAAAACCTTAGTTTCAAACACTACAATTTCAATACCACAGGAAACATTCCTCGATGTGGATCGATTCATCCTCTTATGAAGATAAAAGAAGATTTCAAAAGAATATTCATTGAGTTAGGATTTAGTGAGATGTCGACAAACCAATATGTCGAATCGTCTTTTTGGAATTTTGACGCATTGTTTCAGCCGCAGAACCATCCATCCAGAGATGCACATGATACTTTTTTCCTTTCGGACCCCGAACTAAGCTCTAGATTTCCAGAAAACTATCTTGAAGAGGTTAAGGAAACACACTGTGGAGGAAGGCATGGATCCTTAGGATATATGAACAGCTGGGACATTAAAGAGGCGCAAAAAAACATATTAAGAACACATACAACATCGGTCAGCGCTAGAAACCTATATCAACTTGCAAAAAAAGAATTCAAGCCTGTGAAGCTCTTTTCGATTGACAAGGTTTTTCGAAATGAGAGTGTGGATGCAACGCATCTTGCTGAATTCCACCAAGTAGAGGGTCTGATTGCAGGAAAGGGTTTAAACATAACTCATCTCATGGGAATTCTTCAAGAGTTTTTCAACCGACTTGGGATGAGCGACATCCGATTCAAGCCCGCATTCAATCCGTATACAGAGCCCTCGATGGAGGTGTTTGGGTACCATAAAGGGATGAACCGATGGATGGAAGTTGGAAACTCGGGGATGTTTCGGCCGGAAATGCTAGGGCCCATGGGATTTGATCCTGATATAAATGTCATTGCATGGGGATTGTCTTTGGAAAGACCTGCCATGATAAAATATGGACTAAAGAATATCAGGGAGCTTGTTGGGCATAAGGTCGACATCGAATTCTCCAGAAAAAGCAAAATATGTTTCTTTGATTAAACACTATCTATATTATCAATGCAGGTTCCCCCTTCCGAATGTTTTACTTAAGTCGAGCTGTTGTGAACATGGATCTCTATATGAAAGTATTATGCAACTCGTCAGACATATACTTAGTGCAATCTTCGTCGATAGCTATTTATACAATTAAGCATGGAAAGCTAATATATGTAAGGAAGACAGAATTTTTTGATGTGATCAAGTCGGCAGTCATTATTGGAAACGAGCTTCTTGTAGTCTTCAACGGATACATTGTATTTCTGGACAGATTTCTTGATGAAAGGACCCGGTACAGACTTGGAAGAAGCTCCGTAGACTATAGACACGTTGGAGCATACATTGCATGTGGAAAATCCAGTATCTGTCTTACATCTTTTTTTGGGAACATGACTTTCTGTACCCTTGGAAGTGGCTTGGAGAGTCCTATCGAATACTCTGCTGACAAGAGTGTAATTATCGACTTCAAGAGCGTGGAAGGGACAGGACAGTACATTTCATTAGAAAAGAACCCAAAGGGAACATTTGCCAAGATTTATGAGCATAGTCCGGAAATTATAGAAGTATTAAGGGAAATAAGTGTTCCTGGAGGATACATGATTGTTCCATTAAAAGATAGATTTGCAGTATTTTCAACGAATAGGGTATTCCTTTTTAGAAGAAATGAAGAAGTTGAAATCTATAAGGTTTCGAAAGGACGAGTTGGAAGCTTAGACTTGGCCCTTGATGAGGGAAATGGAGAATGCAGATGCTCAGATACTTTGGAAGAGAAGATGTTTACATGTTATACGTCATATTGTGATGAAAAATGTTTGTTGACGTTGATTGTGGATGAAGATGGAGAGCTTTTCAATCTTAATACCACCTATGGTCTAAAGATGGAACATGTAGGAAAGATCAATCCTTCAAAGGATATAGCAATCCATTCTTCTGGACTCTTAGTTTCAATAGGCTATAATTCCGATAACTGTATATATTATATAGAGAGAAAAGAGGGGAAAATTAGTCTTAAGCTGGTTGCCATGATTGAGACGATAAGAAGATTCAATACTTCTACAATGGTTTTCGATGGAGTATATCATACCTATGTCTCTGATGGAAAGTACATAGGAGAGATAGTTGAGAAAACACCTATTTCTTTTCGGAGCGAATTGAACCTTTTTGAAAATGGGAAGGAAAAGATAGTAAGAGGTTTGTTCAATTGTGGAGCGTTTGTATGTGCCCAATACGAAGATGAAGTCCATTGCCTCTACTTAGAAGGAGAAGAGTTAACAAGTATATATAAGTTTGTGTCTGATGACGAGATAATTGGATATTTCAGGTTGGGAAGGATTGACTTTTACATGTCTGGAGGGTTAGTTAGGGCATACGAGATGAATGGGGAAGGAGAGTTAGACACAAAGGAATATAAAATCGATTACACCTCATTTTCATCAAACTCTCATTGTATATTTCTTGGACAGAGAAATAAAATAATCAAGCTAGGATCTGAGGGGCTAGAAACTATTGAAATAGAGTTTGCTATCAAAGAAATGGAATCTGACGAGAGATATTTATTCATACTGACTGGAAAAAGAGTCCTTAGAGTATACAGTATAGATGGTAGGAAATTTGTATTTATCCAGTCGTTCCGTTTTGATGTGATATTTCTGTCGGTGTTTGATGGATACCTATATACGATCGGATCGGATATATATAAGTTTCAAATAAAAGAGGATGGATCTCTCTCTCTTCCTATAAGAATGAAAGAGGCAGGAAGGCCCATAGGGAAGAAGGAAAGATTGATAATATTTGATTCGCAAGTTATGGATCTAAAGTACGAAGGAATTTTAAACATTGATGGATGGAAGAGTATCTTTTCAAGAGATATGATATTGGCTTCAAATGAGCATGGGATAAAAGTTTATGAGTACAGGAAACATAAAGTAGTCCTTGTCGATGAGATTAGCAAAGAAAAAGATTGTAAAATTTTGGGTAAGGAGCAGATGTATATCGATAACAACCTAGATGGATTTGTAATAAGAAGATTTAACGGATCTTCCGTAATAGAAGGACATGGCGAGGCCATTGGATTTTCCTCTTCTGAATACCAAATTGTTTCCATGCGCAGGATCATACCAGGTCTTGAAAAACCCGAAAGTAAATGCTTCTTAAAGATATACAAAGAAGGAAGTTTCATGTACGATTTTGAAACACCTTACAGGATTGATATAACTTACACAAGCAGAGGAGAAGTTTATTGTAGTGAGGAAAACAGACTTTATTGCTATGAAGTAGGAGTGAAGTCATTGCTCAGAAAGTTTAAGTTAAAGTTTCCATCAAAAATAAGCGGAATATGCTCTGACAGGGACAAACTATTTGTCGGAACAGAAAAGGACTCTGTATTCATGGTAAAGGACAGAAGAATTGTTTGTAGAGATAAGTTTCCAAGACGAGTGGTAGCCTTGGAGAGAATGAATGATGGGAATTTAGTGGTTGGAGATTGGGCAGGAAATATAATTGTCATGGAGGTTAAGGACGATTCCTTAATCTCGGGAGCATCAATATTCGTCAATGACATGGTTGTTCAATTTATTTCTCAGGACAAAGTCTTTGGAATATGCATGAGCGGAAAAGTAGTCGAGATAGTGGAGATTGGAGAGGAGTTGTTTGAGTTTCTTGAGACTATCGGGGAGAAGATAACTGAGGCCTTAAATAGGCCATTTTTTCAGGCTTTTAGGAGAAATAGATTTATCAACTCGGAGTACATCAAAGAGTTCAGTAAACTGAGTGAGCAGCAAATCAAGGAAGTACTGGAAAAAACGAATGTAGATATCGAAAAGATATTTGAAGTGGTTAATGCAATATAAAATTTATTTCTTAAAAATTTACATCAGGAAAATACCCATTTAAAATGTACAAGGCTGAGCCTATGCTCCCCAGTGATGTCTTCTCGTTGGACTGGGTGAATCTTGACGAGAAATCTGAAAGCTTTCCCTTAAGTTATTATCTTTATTACTTAATCAACCACGGGGAAGATTGTATTGTTATTCCTTCTCTAGAAGAAAGAGTGACTTCTTTTGCATATAAGAGGGTCTCCTATGCATACATGATAGGAAAGTTAGAAGAGAAAGACAGAGTTATATGTATACATATTTCAGCGGTTTCGGTTGCTCCTTCTTTCAGAAGAAATTGCTTTGGAAAGCTATGCATGGACATAGCTGAAGAGAGCGGTAATGTTTATAATGCACATTTTTCCGATTTGTATGTAAGGGAAGGAAATAGAATTGCAATTGAATTTTACAAAAAATTAGGTTATGTTGTTTATAGAAAAGTATTCGATTACTATATCGATGGGGGTGGCGAAGACGCGCTCGACATGAGAAAGTCATTAAAAGCAGATAAGGGGAAAATATACATGGCGAGAGGTACAGACATTCCAGCCTCGGAGTTAAAATGACTGGAAATAAAATATAGCCAAATTCTTTTTAGGTTTCTTATAATTCAAATGTTACTTTGGAGGAAGTCTTGCTTTGAAATGGATAGGGTTATGATGCGTTACAAAGACTTCCTATATTTTATGAACTCATCAAGATTTTCAAAGCTTTTTCCTTCGTACACTAAGTTATCATCCACTGTAATATATTCCTTATAGTTGCGTCCATTGCGATACATCATGCAAAGTTTCCCAGGATATTTCTCACTGAAGAAAAACCCATATCTTATGTAGCTTCCTCCTTGATTAAGATAATCCAGAAGTTTTTCCTCATCCTCGAAGTAGTACTTGTGATTCTTTATGTTCTTAACGTTCGTAAGCATCTTCTTGGCTACTCTGGATATGAGTTCATCTAAATCGTCGTACGAATTTCCTTTGTAGTAGTATTTCTCTGCTTCTTGTATTTTTATATGGACATATATGGAGTCTGTAACCCTTAAAACCACCACGGGAGTACCATCTTTCCTGCTTCTCCTTAGAAGTATGGAAGAAGAATTCTTCTTAAGATATTTTTCAGACTCCTCACTATTGAGGTCCTTAAACAACGGATGTGTCATGAACCGGGAATGATGTGGCTTCTTCGGCCCAGAAATGGTGAAACTGGCGGTATACGATAGCAGGTAATCGTTCATATACTCAATTTTCACAGTAACCAACTGATTTAAAAAAAACTCTTCCTGTCCTTTGGTCTTTCTTACGTATATTGACGCAGGAGTGGAGTCGGAACTTACAAGATAGTATGTATTTCCACACTTTGAAATCCTTCCTTCAATTACTTTACCAACTAGGCTCCCGTTGGATCCGGTTAGTTCTTCGAAGATAAGGTGGTCTGGAAAGCCTGAATATATTGGTCTTTCCCCATCCTCCAAAGCTCTATAAACATCCATGGCCAGGGGATCCGAACATTCCGGGATCGAAGGAGCAGAGGCTTTTTCGTTATCCAATTCCCTCTTCCATGTATTTCCACATAGTTTTCTTGCAACGCTATAGTTTTTTGGATGTACAGGAGTAGAGTCTAACGGTTCTCCTCCTGAGACCCCAGAAAATACTCCAGGATAGATCCTAAGATATGTTGTTAGATTGTCATATTCCACTTCATTTTCGCACAGACTTTTGAGATCTTCTAGCTTTGCTACATTCTTTAAACTAAACAAGTTGTTCTTCGAAGCGTTGCTCACAGGGATAAGTGATATCAATCCTTCTTTTCTCTTGTTGTTGAGCAGGTAATTGGCATCAACTCCAACTACCGATATTGCCGTTAGGATTCCTCTCTTTATTGTCTCTATTATTACATTTCTTGGCAATAGACCTTGTATGTAGATGATATTCTTGTTTAACATATCACTATACTCAATCTCCGGGCACTGAATAATTCTTGCGATGTTACAACAAAAGGAATAGGTGTCCTGGGACTTCATCTGAGCAATTCGGCCTTCTACGTACAAAGGATTCCATGAAGAAAGAGTCTTCATTAAATATCTGATAGATGTAGTAAATCCGCTAACTGCTATGCAACATGGATTGAACTTTTCAATGAACCCCAAGAGTTCATTTTCTTCATCCTCCTTGACCGTTATTGAATCTACAAGGTCTCCTTCAAAGTCCACTGCAACAGCCTTAAGATACTTTTTTTCCTTTGTAACTCCACATACATATGTGCCATCTCCTTTGATTCCAATCGATCCATTTACTATTCTGTCGATTGTCTCGAGAAAAATCTCTTTCTTCATAGCCTCTGCCTCCATTTTCTTAAGGATAGATGGAATAACCACTTCTTTTGATACTTTTTCTACAGAAGAACGAACGATACTTTCTCGATATCTATTCCATGGGTCTTCAGATGAAATATCGCTCAAATAAAAGTCTATCAGGTCCCTTTTTATAATTTCATCTCTAACCTCAAGCTCGTTCCTTTCATTCCGTACTCCATAGCTTTTGAATATCACTTCCAAAGCACTTCTAAAGATAGGATGCAAGGAGATTCTCTGGATTAGTTCGCCTTCCTCTTCAAACCTTGGAAAAGAAGATGAATCCAGAGGCTCATGTATTTTTTTCTTTGTTCTTATATTTTCACAAAACTCTTCGGCTGAAAGGAGTTCTCCGGGAAGATCGAGGTTCTTTCCAAGATGTTTCTTGTATCCATAGTACCATCGAAGAGCACGAATGTCTTTAATACTCTGAAAGAGTGGGTCGCTTCCGTATCTTTCTTCCACCCTTTTCTTTGAATTGGCAAACTCCTTATACTCATCGAAAATGTCGACAATTTTGTACCCTTCCTCAATACTAATCCCTTCGATCCCGTTGTGCAATAACACAAAATGGATACTGTATCCTTTTCCTAGTAATTCAATAACCTTCCTGAGAGATTCTGGCTTAATTTCCATATTATTCATAGCATATTCACATACCCCGTCCAAGTCGATTGGATCATATTCCAATGCATTTACATTGCCGCTGTTTGTCTCTTCAGTTGACTCGGAGTTCTCGTCTTCGAGAATGTATCTGTATTCATCTCCAGTGCCAAAGATTTCGTAAAACAGGGAATTCCTATCTTCATAATCGATGGAAGAGATACTTTCTGAGGAAGCCTCGTGCTGATCTTCCTCAAATAAATCCTCAAGAATACGTTTTCTTACTGTCTGGTTTCCCCTTCTGTTGATATTTATCATTTCTTCCGAGCTAGAGTCATTCATTTCAAGGACTTCCAAAAAATGAGTTTAACAACAAAATATTCCAAGACAGCCACAATGGCAAGAAGATCCCTATAGGAAATAAATCCGCTTTTATTGTTCAAATACGGCTTTTATCGAGTTGATTAAGAATATCGGCAAACTCCAGCAATGGATTCAATGTCCTTGGCTTCTCCTCCCACTGATCCGGAAGAATCATCGAGGAGGTTGCTTCTAGAGCTGCAATGGAAGCCTTAGCAAAATTTTCTGTTGTTGAAGTGGCACCGGAAGATATCGTGTAGAGATCTTTAATACCTGCCAGCTCAAATATCTTCTTGTTGATCCCTCCAGATACAATTCCTGTTCCTCTTGGTGCTGGAACCACCCGGACAATCGAAGTTCCGCACTTTCCAGATCCCTTGCAGGACACTGTGTGTGGCTTTCCTTGGGCTCCATCCCAAAGCCCTAACCTTACTGGTCTTATTGCACACTTAGCTCTAGATATAGCTCCTCGGATTGCAGATGCTGCTTCCTTCGAGGCCTTGGTTCCAAGGCCAACGTGCCCATTTCCATCTCCAACTACAACCACTGCCTTTATTCTGGTCTTCTGGCCTGCTCTTGTCTGCTTTTGAACAGATTTAATCGATAAAACTTCTTCCTTTATCGAATTGCCGCATAGCATATCAACTATTTCCGGTTCACGGATCACATGGGAGAATTTGAAGATCTGATCAAGAGACGTTATCTTGAACATCTTGACGAGCCTTCCAACAGCAGTCTTGGGTACCCACTCGTTTTCTTCTCTCTTCGGAAACGGCCTACCTGTATTTCTTTTCTCGGTATGTTCCATTTTAAGGGCCTATGAGAGATCAAAAAATTTGCTTCTCCAATCCGGCACAAGAATATAAAGGTCTCTTCTTAAACACAAAGTGTTATTTACGGATCAGTATTTCAAAATATCGAAAACTTTTAATAAACAACAGAACATGAAGTGTAGAAAGGTTTGTTCAAAAACTCTCTTATCTATTTCTCTAACACCTGTTGGAAGAACCATAGACAACTTTACTAGGGACATGAGCCTGGTTAAAAGTAATCCGACACTTCTACAAACATTCTATGACTATATTTCGATAAAGTACGGAGTTAAATGTGAGACAGGAATCGACTTGGTGGAAAGAGTGGTGATGGCCGATGGTTTCAAGCAGTAAGTGGAAAAGACCTAATTTTAGTCTTCTAGATGCGAAGGATCCTACTAATGAACTTATAAATAAGAAGATTCTTCTATATAGATGGATTAGTCCAGAACACTTGGAACTTAAGAATACAGAGAGAAGTGTGCTGGAAGATATCTCTAGGGAGTTTAGAGGTATCACCTCCCTGCAAACACCGACTGAAAAGATAACTCATATGATGGGGATAATGGAAAAGTTGTGTGATGTAGTTGGAAGAACCGAAGGCCAGGACATAATCCTACCATCTATCATATATTGCATTATAAAGTCGTCTCTTCCCAATATATATTTGGAAGTTAGGTTCATGGCTCTTTATAGAAGGAAGAGCATGGAAAAGTGCAAAGAAAGATGCAATCACGGATTTAGTATCGATGCCAGCTGTGAGTGTTTCTCCAGCAGGCCATACGATGAGAAGGAGGTAAACTATTATTTAACATCAATGCAGGCGGCAGTAGAATTCATAAGAAAAATGGAATTTTATGATCTAAAAATCAGTGAAGGAGAATTCTATGAAAACATGATGGATGCGGTAAAGCTCGTAAAAGATATTTGACCGGGGCTTTTTATCGGTATCTAAAGCCTCCCCTGATGAAGGAGAGAATACTTAATGGGCTACACAAACTTTTTATCACCAATATTCCAAGGAAGGCAAGAAGACAATTGGTTTATGAACTTCTCACACAAGTGTCAAAAATTGGCCACCTCTATTACAACCAAGATAGGGGATATTGCTTTGTAGACTATGAGACATATGAGGAATTAGAATACACTTATAACGTTCTTCGGGGTGTTAAGCTGTATGGAAAAAGACTGTACTTCAGTAAAGTCGAAAAACAAGTGAGAATTGTTGTCAGGAATATAGGACAGGAAGTAGATGGGGTTTTCCTCTGGGACGTTTTCAGTAAATTCGGGCCGTGCCATATTGAGATGAATGAGGGCGGACTAGGTGTTGTTATATATAGACGAGAAGACTCTGCTATTAAAGCTGTAGAAGTGGTGAACGGAAAAGTTATAGGAGGCTCAGAAGTATCTGTGGAAATTGATAAATAGTATCACCTATGCAACCTTGATTTGTAGTCTTAGAATATAATAACTCATTCGTATGCATCCTCATTTACCACGTTCAAGCCAAAGGCTTCTTCTTTCTTTTTTCTTTCGGAAAACGCCTTTACAGCATTCATAAGACATTCTCCATAATTTATATCTCCTGTTTTCATCGTAATTGATTTCAAATCATGGCTCATATCAACAGTTAAGGATTTTATCTGGTCTATGAAGTTGTCCGCACTACGCGCCTTCAGAAAGTAGGCTCCATATTTGAGATATTCTTCTTGCTTTTCAAACAGATTCTTAATTACTTCATACTTCTGGAGAAGCTCGGAATTGGGAAAGGATTCCTTGAAAGCATTATATATCTTTTGAGACTTCTCCAATACTCCCGCACCTTCCTTTAATCTGGATTTCAAATCTAACAGCTCTTGGTAGTCTAAGGAAATCTTTTCCATTTCGTTCTCCTTAAAGAAAGAATTCACCTCGCTTGGGAAGTCGGAGTATTGGATAGGAGCCGAGATATGGCCTTCTTCCTGAGGCGCTTCTCTAGAGCCAATCCGATGTTGAATCTCGGAATCTTTACTGTTATAGTTAATGTCTTTCTCTGTTTCATATACATTATAAGCTTCTCGGGAGTTTTCTGGCTGATTCTCTGCCAAAGTAGGTCCCGGAGCTCTAGCGTGGAGAATTCCATCTTTGAACCATGGAGAGTTACCCATTCTTCTTTGAGAAGAAGCTGCGTCCGAAGAATACGGGAAGCCACCTTCCGGGAAGAAGTTTCTAAATCCACTCTGGAACCATGGAGCAGGACTTGAGTAGCCCCTGTATTCCCCAGTGTTTACAGAAAAGCCCCTTTCCTCCTTCTTGGTGTTGGGAAAATACTCTATGTTTTTTTTTGTATTCTCATGCCTTCGTAGAAACTCTTCATATGGAATCCTCGGATCTTCATCCGCAGACCCAAATATCCACTGGTTGAAGTTTTGGGTGCTCAAAAAAGCTTGTTTTCCATCTGTTGTTGGGCCTGTTTGCTCAGGGTTCCGTGGAGCATGAAAATAGGGTTGATGATGCATCTGCTGGTTAAAAAAGATCGGCAAAGGTTTTGTTGTTTCCTTCCCTGTATTTGGATAGTGCCTGTTAAATGCCAAAGAGTTGTCCATCCACCCGGCACTAGTTTTAGTTTGAGGAGGGCCCATTGGAAACATGTTCATAGATCGGTCCTGGGGGTCTGAATGAGGAAAGCTGTCCATGATTTCGGAAGACGAAGCCATGGGAAAGCTTTGCATATCCGGCATTCTAGAAGGATATTTGTGTGAGGGGATTGAATGACTAGGGGAAGCAAAAGGCCTTTGATTTCCATACATTGGTTTTCCTGAAAACTGAAACATATTCATACTTCTTGGATTGGAATAGGATGAAGAAGAATTACGATTAAATTGCCGAGGATTCTGAAGGGGGACAAAGCCTCTCCCATTGAATGGAGCAACTCCCGGAGATTTACCTTGCTGCATTTCATCGAAATTCATATCAATAGAAGGCTTCGACATGTTTTCATCCTTTGGAACTTCCCTTCCATAGTCGTAATGGCCAAATCTAGTGCCAAATCCCTGATTTACATATCCAAAAGGTTGCGATGGCACTTCCTGATGCTGCCCCTCCCTTTGCATAAAAAAAGGCCTTTGATCAGGAGTGTTCTGAAAGTTTTTCCTGCTGTTCAAGCCGTAGGGATCCACCTCAGGCTGAGACCTCCTAAAAAACATAGGGTTTCCAGGACTATTAGAGAAGCTTTCTTCGTTTACAATGTGATCAGACTCATGATGAGAATTTTGAATGTTACATGAGTTGGACCTTCCTCTAGTACTGCTTTCCATACCTCGGTCATTGAATCTGGAAATGCCATCTGATTCATAGAGGTCATGCTTCCGACTTATCCTCATGATTTCAGGTGGAACAAATCCATCTTGCTTTCCAAAAAGTTGTTTATTTTCTGTAAATAGCTGCTCAGACAATCTCCTTTCTCCTCTTTCAAAATTAGGATTTCCATAGGAATAATTTTGTTTTGCAGAAGCCAGAGGTTCTCCAGAGATGCTTCCGAATTCTTGGTCCTTAGTACATGTGTAAGGCCCCACTTGCTCTTGGGTGGCTTTTCCTCTTCCATCATTTCTACTTCTATTGCTTACGACTCTCTCGATTCTCTGGAATCTTTCATTCATTCCTCTCAGGTATTCCTCTTCGGAATTACTTTCTTCATATATCCTCTGCTCGGCTCTTATAGCTGCTTCTTTAATCTGCACCGGTGTATATCCAGGAAAGATGTTGGACTCCTTCAATGCGATAAACAACTTGAAAATTATCTGCTTCCTTTCTTCTTGAGATAACATAGGCTAAAAATATTCCTTTTTTTTATGGTGGAAATTCGCCTTGGCGTTGTATCCCATTGGGCATAACCTCTATTCATAAATTAACAAGAGCTTCATACTGCTAGAGTATCTATCGAAGATGGATGTAAAGCTCTATACAGCTTGGGATAAGGTTATTTTATTTAACATAAAATCATCAAATGTCCGGCAATATATCTAATAAATTCATTGTCTCTCCCTAAACTCGTTGGGTGCCTCAGCTTTGGGATATCCCTTGTCTTCGGGATTCGGTCTCTCCTTGGGAAAATTAGGTTTGTAGGGCATTCCTTCTGGTCTATTCAGGCAGTTTTGTATAATATCTTCATGCTCCGTTATAATAGGCTTCAACTTGTCTGTGGCAAAGGTAAATACATGGCCACTTTCGCTGGCTACCAGCAAGAGAATCTCGGTCCCAGTAAGAATATTTAGTTCGTACGCTTTCTTCATTATGCCCCTCTTTCTCTTACTGAAGCAAACACTTCTCTTGTTTTTTCCAGATATGTATTCAAGCTTTATCTTCTTTTTCCCATGGCTCTTCCCCCTAGGCTTTTCAAACATAATCGGATGTGTTTGATCCTGCACGAACCCTTGGGGTATCATCCCAGTGTTGTGAAACTGAGGAACATGACTATAATAGTTATATTGCTGATCAAATGCATAGTTCATATTTTGAGGCATCCAGTGTGGATAGGTAAATCCCTCTGGTACATTCTCATTGATTCCATATGGAGGAAGATTATATTCAGTCTCTCCTCGGATCTGGGGGTTTCTCGTCTCTTCTTTCTTTCCATATTTCCTATTTTCATCCATTTCCTTAAAGGGTCAAAATTCATCTTTCTAAAGAAAGACCAGTCCAATCAAGATTTGCAGGGAGGAATAAAAGGATAACTTCGGCTGATACTGTAATAAAAGGAGTATCCAAAGAACATAATCCGAATATGTACACCAACTGTCCAATTCTACAGGGACATCTCAATGCTACAGACTCTCATCAACGGATGGACTTCAGATCTATTTAAACATAAGATTTTTCCGAACTTCCCCACTTATTTCTTACATTTTTCCAGCTTTTTATCAGCAGATTATGCCCAGAGAATCATCATTTAAAGTCCCAACTGCATATATCTTGGTAGAGTCTATCTTAGTTCCAATGATCTTTAATCTAATCATCACATCCTTTGTTATCTCATTTTCCAATAGAAAGTTAGGTATTTGATGGTTAGATATAAACACCGTAAGAGGCCCAACAGACGCAAACACCCCCATTTTGTTTGTTTCAACAACATTCGCATCCACTATTTCCCCTTTCAGTGGCTTTAGCGTAAGCGCTTTGTACTTAACAGTAAATATGGTCTCTCCCGTCAAAATGATTCTGCTTTCACTTATTTCATCTATACTAAGAACCATAATTACATATCCACTGGAGCTGCATGACCCTTCGACTTTGCTCAGCAAGTATTCTTCTATAAGAGTCTGTATATTTGGGCCTAGATAGCTTGGACTCAAGTGAATGTTTTGTGTAAAGTCTCTCACGAAAAACATTTTTGCAAGGGCTTTCTTAATCAATCCCTTAAACGGGCTCTGCTTATAAATGAAATACTTAATATGCTTTCTAAGTTGTTTATAATTTCTAAAACTATCAAGTAATAAGATTTAATGATATATCACCATTTCTCTTTCTTTCTCTTTCATTCCACATCTTCTGTAGAACTCAAGATTCTTTAAGTCGCAAACTAGTGCAGTTTTGTAGCACCCCATATTTTTGGAAATCTCTATCAGCTTTTCTACTATATCCTTTCCAATCCCTTCTCCTCTGTACTCACTAGAAACAACCACGTCTTCTATGTGACCTTTGGAAACACATCCTCTGATAAACTTTTTTTCGACAAACAAAGTTCCACTTCCAATAATCTTATCTTTATGTGGATTATATGCAACCACTATCTTATAACATCCGTCTTTGCAAAGTGATAGATACCTTTCCTTAAACTGTTCCTTGGTAACTTTACCAGGAATAGTTAGTTCATTCAGGCATTCAACAAATCCTCTTTCATAATCATTTATATCAAGACCTTTCAGTATATAGTTCTCTCTCTTTAAAATCGGAATGTCACACATACTCAAACTTGGGGAGCCTGAAGAGATAACATTTGAATTGGAATTCCCGAGATCTCCTTTACCAAACAAACTATCTGACAGAACCAGCACAACGATAAGGGTACCGATGCATCCAATGGTACATAAGACTTGATCTCTTTTTCTCATTTTGGGATTATGGGAAATTTACTTCCAAACCTTTATCTTGATTGGACAACATATAGGAGGGTCCATATAAATGCTTCAAAATTTTTAAGGACATGAAATTTTTACAACTATTTGTTATGATAGCCACTATACTTCTAATAGTATTGATTATAGTGGCTTCCGAGATGCTTTGGCAGAAGAGAAATGACTTGAAGAAGGAAGATTTACAAAAGAACGATGGCAAGAAGATTCCAAAGATCAAAGAGGAAAATGCAGCTAGGGTTATATTTAGGATAATTGCTGGAATAGCATTGATAAAGATTATAAAGAACTTTTTCTTTCAAAAAAAAGATGGAGAGGGAAAGCCAAAACCACAAGATAAAGGACTTACTCCAAGCGCTCCACCACTACCGTACCCCTATTATCCAGGGGAATATTATCATCACACTCTCCAATCCAATTTCCCTCCTTCATCAGACTACCAAGATATCACAAAACATCCATACATAAATCCCAGTAGAACATAGAAGTAACATTAAGTTGATAAAACACTGTGGTATACTCTCTTTTTAAAATTTTTCTGTTCGTTACAAAAATTTAAAAGAAAAATACAAGTACCGCCATACATGAGATACCATGCGGGTTTTACTAGTAATATTGATGTTAGCCACTGCAATTGTCCTCACAGTAACCCTGACAATTATACTGGAAAATATGGACAGGAAGGGAGATGATGATCCCTCGGATTCATTTGATGGCAATTCTTCGGGCTAGAGTTAAAGACAAGAAGAATTTTAAGGAAGCTAAGCCGATCTTGCATCAACCAGACTGATAGAGAAGGATAGTTACATTGGAGCTTTACAGTTTTCAAGATTCCAATCCTAATTAATGCAGGGAATAAGAAGACCAAAAGTTCTAATAATAAATCTATCTCGAAGTTAATTCAAAAGCTTTTCAGAAACACCAAAATAAAATCATAATCCAAGCTAGAACAGAATTATCTCGTTTTTCTTCAGAAGATCCATTACATCATCTAAGGGAGCAACAAAGAAGTCTCCTTTAAACATTTCCACCATTTCCCCATCGATTACTATTCCATGGATATCGGCACAGCAGTAAAATCCAACAAATTCGTGGGTTTGATAGAACTTTTTCTCTGTAACATATATATCTCTTTTTTTTAACAAAGAAATATATTTCTCGTAAAAAACGGCCTCTCTCGGAGACAAGAACGATCTGTCTTCATATAGGTTTGTAACCAACTTTTTCAATCTAACTTTCACGTACTCCTTGGCAAAAAACTTTATTCTCTCCAATTCCAACTCGTATATATTCTTCAGTATCGATTTGTCTAATGATTTCATGCCTTCAGTCCTTCTTGAAACTGCATCGAGGAAGTAGTTCATTACCTGGGAAGCATAAGGAAGTAGCCTTTTCGCCGACTTTTCATTCTGGTATGCAAGAATAAGATCATTTAACGTAGGAGAGCGCATGGAAAGGGCTTGGAAATCAAAATAGTTTGTCTCCAACCCTCAGAATGATCCTTGTGACACACGATGGAAAATTTCACCTGGATGAGGTGATGGCTACAGCCGTACTGCTTAAGATATATCCGGATTCCGAAATAATCAGGACGAGAAATATGAGCGTTATGCGGAGTGGAGATATAGTTTACGATGTTGGAGGTACATTTAACCCCGAGACCAATAGATATGACCATCATCAGGAGTCATTCAATGAAACCTTTAGCTCGAAATATAAGATAAAACTAAGTAGCTCAGGATTAATCTATAAATATTATGGCGAAAAGCTTCTAGAGAAATACGGAGTTACCAAAACAGATGAGCACTTCCAAAGACTACTAGAAGAGATTTATGCAACTTACTTTTTATCTGCAGATGCAATAGACAACGGATACGAAATTTTCGGTGAAATAGTCCCAAGATCCCTCTCACATATTGTTGAATCATTCAATGTCTTGAACTTTTCAGGAGGCTCAAACAACGAGCAGGACAGAAGATTTCTTGAAGCAGTACGATTCGTTTCCATGGATTTAGATAATTTCATGCATACTATAATCAACGGATGGATGCCAAACTATAAATATCTGAGTGAGTTAATTAGCAAAGTTGATGGAGACATTCTGTGTGTCGACAGATATTGTTTCATAGACGTAATTCCTGAGATAGAAAGAAAGTACAAAAAAGATATCAACTTTGTACTAAAAAAGGGAGAAAGTTCTGTGAGTATACTGGCTGTTCCAAAAAAAAGAAAACATTTCGAGTCGAAAATTCCTTTAAAGAAAGAATGGAGGGGCCTTTCTGGAGGAAAACTGGATGCCATCTCTGGAATTGAAGGTTGCAATTTTGTTCATTTGTCTGGATTTGTAGGGTCCAATAAAACTATTGAAGGCGCCATCGAAATGTGCAAAGAATCTATCAAAGCTTATCTTAAGGAAATCAAAAATGCTGATAATCTGGACAAATATTTATAAAAGCTTATGATAACTAACATCAAACGATTTAATATAAAAATTGTGGAAATTATAAATTTATAATAAATATATAACAACGTCCTTGTATTTAGAAGCATTAAATGGAAAACTTAAACGATGAGGATATCAAACTCAAAAGTTCCCTAGAAAACACATTTAAAGAAATAGATCAATTTTTTAGTGATGCTGGGATTATCTTTTCTAAATCGGAACACTTTAATCTTGTGAAAGAAATTAATGCCACAATGAATAGCTTTCTTGGCCCTCGAAAAGAAATTTATAATAGGAACGTTCAAACTAATGCTAAAAACTTTTTGGAGAGTGCTAAAGAAGTTGCAAAGGCATTTAAAGAAGTTTTCAATTCTTTAAAAAAAGAATCCATCGAAAGTTTCAAAGAGGCTTACAAAAAATATAACAGAAAAGTAGAAAATTCTAAAAATATTTATAGTGAATTGGAAAAATGTCTTTCTGAGTATGGAAGTCATACCTCCAGTGCCTGTTCGGGAGTTTCTTCTAGTATTCCAGGGAAAGAAACTTCATGCAAACATTTAAAATCAGAAAGAGCTAATAGGGCTTTAAGTCAAGCTTTGAGCTTTAAAAAAAAATAATTCCAGTGAACAGGAATTTATTAGAAAAAGTAGAAGGATTAGAAAATTCAATCAATCAATCTATCAAAAATATAGAAAAAAAACTATCCCATATTGAGAGTGTTCGAAAGTGTCTAGAGAAGGCGAAGAGTGAAAGTTCGAGAGATTTTAACATTTTAGAAATCTTGAAAAATAAGATGTCTGCCTTGGATACAGGTAAAATGGAATCCTACCTAAAGTGGAAAAAGGATCAAGTTCAATTATATGATGACATTCTAAAAGAAAATCAAGAGAAAATTGAAGTTTTCTTAAACAACTATAGAGAATATTTGAGACATAAAAAAGAGAAAAGAACTTCTTCTGTTGTCAGGGAGGCTTTTGGAGTAGTAGAAAGCTTTCAGGACGTAAATAGCTCCTACAATAGATTTCTCTCCCTTCTAAAAGACCATTGGAAGTTTTGGAAAGATATCTTTCGCCATCTAAGAAACAATGATGATGGAAACTGGTTATCAGAAGTAACAGGAAATGAAGAAAGAATCTCACCGACAAGCGATATCGAGACTTTTTTAGATACCCCTGTCTCCCAAGACTTGCTTTTTGATCCTCAAAAGTTGGAAGAATTGTTCTCTGGAGAAGAAAGCCAAGTTCTGGAACCCATCCAATCAGCTATCGAATTTCTTAATCAAATTCAACATTACGATAAAGACACCACAGAGATTCGTGAATATGCTCAGTCTATTATTCGTACCGATATCTACAGAGTTTTCGTATTGAAATATTTATTAAGGGAAAGCCCAGTACCGGAATTCTCTTTGGAATCTTCTCAGCAGGATGCCCTCGTCTCTGAGATCTTAGAAAGTGATTATTTCCTCTTTTTTTGCCTTCTTGTGTGTTCTGGATTGATTGCTCTTCAAAGTATCTTTAGAAAGACTAGTACATCCAAAGAGACAATGAATGCCTTGGGAAAGATATCATATGCAGTATCTATTCTTGGCCCAATTCTACATGGGATGTGGATACTATCAAATGAAAATTATAGTGAAGGGATTATTAAAGTAATAAGCAGTAACTGGAATGTGATTGCAAGTATGGCTCCTATGTTTCTTGTTCTTAGAGATATTAAATACATAAAGAATGGAGAACTAATGACATCAGAAGGGGCAACAGCCATAGGAGGCCATGGCGTAATTGTGGCCATGAGCATGATCATGATGTGTGCACAAACACTTGGAAAGAAACATGAGGGAGAATATAGTAGACAAACAATGGTATTTATGGCTGGAAACATCATAATGACAACAATGTATGGTGCGAAGTTATTTGGGCCATGGACTAAGAGCAGGAATCATTTTATTATACTCGGATACATTGTGTTTGCACTTATACTTTTCTTAATGGTTATGATGAGTGAAAAGAAAAAGATAAAGAATCGAACTAATGACAAAACAGAATGGATGGGGGTGCTCCAGTGGATTATAATATGCACGTTTCTTATACTTGGACTACAAAAACCTGAGTTTCACTGTCTTCAGTATGCTAAAAATGAAATTATAGTTTCATGAAAGGTACTTTATAAATAGCCATTAAATAAATTTCAAAACCAAATACCATAATATAGACAATAGAA